GTCATCAACGGAGATGATCGTCGCTAATCATCACGGCCAATCATCATGACTAATCACCATCACCAATCACCAATCACTATCATTATATCGCCCATCATTACAAGTATAATGATCGCTTTCATCATCATTGGCTATCATCATGATCACCAATCGTTGTTAATAATTTGAGTATCTCTCTTGATATTGCTGTTTACATTTCCTTTTGGAAGTTCTTTATGCTTAGCATGCCTTTTTGATAAACAAGAAATCATACATATAAACTGGCTAATACTAAGGGTTTTGTGAATCTAGTATGATGATGTAATCAGTTTCCCAGATTAAACCTTGAGACAATTAGGCACACTTTCACACCCTGTCTTCTGTTTTTAGGATATAATATTTCCTTTTCAATGAGCGTTTTACCGATATCTCTAAGAATTATCCTCCTTTAATCCTAAGCATTAGAACCATACACAAAAACCTGCTTCTTTATCCTTCGAAATAGCATTAGTTGTGACAGACTCGAACCTGCCAGCGGCCCTATCCCTCACTTTTGTTTAGCGACCTGACCAGTAGATTTGCAGCATGGACAATAAGTTCTATCTTCTGTTTTAATTTGCATTTTAATAAAGTATTTGTCAAGCCTGAGCCAGCTGCTCGTCCAGAATTTGGAATAATTCTGCCGTGGTTTCTCATTGGTGAAATCTGCTATCATTGTAAGATTTTAGACAACACGCTGTTGTGAATTTAGGGAGTTGCCTATTCAATGACGCTATCCGTTGATATCAGACTGTAATGGCCTAGAAGTCGATCAATCTTCTTCGAAAGCTAGCCGCATTCTTCTCTGCCACAGGACTCTTCACAACAGATAACTCCGCAAAAGGCATAACCCCGCAAAGGGATTCCATCGCTTGAGGTATCATTCACTGCTATTAACTAGTTAACGTCATTCTACACGGACAGATGATTAATGCCTTTCATTTGTCGTATGACTAAACAGATAAATTCTATTTGCAGTTGTTAGAGTCTCTGTTTGCATTTGTATGATAAATTAGCCTTCAAGATCCAGCATTTCTGTATAGAAAAATGGTCTTTATCAATACATTCTCAACCACATGGGTGTTGGCTGTATAAGCAGCAAGCCCTTTCGATAATATTCCAACGCAGTTCTCAGAGCTAAATAATCTTTAATGAATTACTTCTTTGCCGCTTAGTTGTTTTGGTAATGAAATGTTTTTATTTTTTAACTGACATTATTTGAGTTATTTTTCGTGTCATCTTGGCCACTTAAACCTGTTTATTATATTTTGATTAAGTAATTTCAATTTTTTTACTACTAGCAAGGCAAGCCACACTTTAAGATATTTCTCGGCTTCAGTTAGACGTCCACTTCCAGGAGAAATGGAGTTACGGCCTCTCCAAGTATTCGGGACTTCATAAAGTCGTGCTGTTCACCGGGAGCATTTTCTTAGCATAATGGACAGTGAAACAATTCAGCAACTGTGAAACTGTCCTGTAGCAAGCAGTTTTAGCAGAATATCTGTTCTGTTTTGACTAAATTAACATCGGTTTTGCAGATTGAGTCTTATGATTCAGAGTATTCTTATTGTCATGACCTTCCTGGCGACAAAGCAAACCATATTTCTGGGTCATCAAGTCCTACTTTTATACACTTTCAAAATCTAAACTTCCTTCTCTTTTTTTGCTTTATTAGCTTGAATGTAAGCTTCTTTCAAAGCTTCATTTATGCAGGCTTAAAACGCGGACTGAAAATCATGGTATTGTAATGAACTAGTTTAAGGCGTGTAGTTCAACGAACGTGCCTTACATGTGATTAAGAATGGTTGCACGCAGGTGAAAATAAACTTTAATCTAAAATCAGACGCTTGTTTGCAAATAGGTATGACCTCTGTGGATACCAATTGGATCCTCTATTAATATAATGTCCTGATTGAATTCAAGATGAATATACGAAATCTCTAGCTAAGATTCTTTGACGATATTTCTTTTTTATTCTTCTGCAGTGGTGAATCTTTATTTTTATCTGTAGGCGCTATGCATAATGTGATTACAAATCCAGCTATGTATTTTTCGGATAATTACAACATTGTGGGATTATGATATGTCCCCGCTACTTTTCATTGCATGTACAAACCTCTCTGCATCAGGTATCCTTGAGCATTTGTCTATTTAGATTTAGTTTGATATGATGAAATGTCACATTTCCGATCATGATCATTATCATCATCATAATCAACATTCGTTGGTCTTCATAGAGTCCCCAAGTGTACACCTTAAAAATTCTGTTTTGAAGAATTTTTTAATTTAGACCTTAACCTCACCTCAAACAAAATTAAAGAACACCACGAATTACCTCAAAATACCCGCATTAGAAACTGTGATATTCCTCTCATCCGTTTGATTTGAGACATTTTCCAACGGGGGTTATGTTTTTTAGTCTAGTTCAAGTTATGAAGAAAGATCAAGTTACCGTGATTCAGTTCGGCGACAGCCGGGGCTTCAGTCCGGGGGCTCCTCAATTATAAGCATTAGTAAAATGAATTAGACAAAGCACAAAATGCTATTCAAGACGACAGTTATACAGTTTCCTCCTCTGTCCAAACGAACAGTTTCTTGTTGCTTGTAGCTGCAATTTCTTAAATTTCTAGCTTCTATTCTGTGTGTTCTTGTCGAAAATAAAAATGAACCATGCGATTATCTGATTTACTGATTTTGGCGCCAAAAACTGCGCATGTTACTCCTCCCTTGTAACAATTCTGGGGCCTTGGGGCGGAGCCGTTTGGAACCGTCTCAAGGTTCTTGTGTAAACGCAAGAATGAAATATTTGGAACCGTTCCACTTGAAACCGTTCCAAATAGAACCGTTCAATTTTCTCTCGTGTAAACAATGTCTCAACCAGCTTCACGGTAAAAAGCAACGAAAATATTTTTGCTGAAACCCTCTAAAGTTTGGGGGCGCCTGTTTTTCGAACTAAAGGTATCTTTAGTCTGTTACGCCACTAGAACAGTGCCAGTGCTTCTGTGGCTATATCTTTATCAGTTTGCAACACATTTACTGTTTCTCGCATTTTGAGATATTCCATAATGCTCTTTCAGGCTATGAAATCAAACTTCAAAAATTCTAAACATTTATTTTTATGACGTCATTCCAAAATCAACGTCACCTTTCAATTACAACATCGATGACTGCCATTATTAATTATTATCACAATAATGAAAATTATAATAATGAACATCAAAATCGTAAACCACTGATAGTTGGATGGTTACACATTCTTAATTTTTTATTTTTCTACAGCCTTACCTGATAGCCAATGTATTGCATAACCTAGAGCTTTCTGTCGAAGTAAATATCAGCAAGGTGTTTCTCCTGCCAGAAAAAGAAAGCAGTTTTGGTGCAAAAATTGTACATTAAGTGCTGATGCCTCATTTAAGTTTGTAATTGATGGTTGTGAATATGCTGTTGGAGTCCTTCATACACAAAAACCCTTGTTAAGATCATTGCTCTTCCTTTCCAACTCCTGCAAAACGATCAATTATTCGCTGCAACAGTGGTTTCAAAGGCAGTGTTGCATAGTTTTGCCACCCATCTTCCATCTTGAGTCTAGAGCTGTCAAATTGTTGCACAATGCTGCTTGCGTTTTCTTTCTTTGTTCACTTTTTAGAGCAGCACATTCCTAAAAAATTTCAAAGAAACTAAAACAGAAGGACATACAATATTAGATCAGCGATTCAAACTCAGTTTTATGCAAATTTACAATTATGCAAACAAATTTTCGACGATATGTGGCCACCCGAGGTAATTCAACGTGCCAATCCATACAACAATGTTGCACCAAATGTTGAACCGTTTAGCCAGGGTTTAAGCCTGTATGATGTAATTATGTGGATCCAGTTCTCATTTTTTAGCTTTAAGCTCTTATGCATTCACTGTCACTTTATGGTAGTTATAGGGAATCTGGGCGGTGGCTAAATGTGAGTGCTATTTATTGGATGTTGGAGCATCCAGTTTGATTATACTTCGATGTTCTGTTTCTTGTTTGTTGTCATTTATAGCTTATTATGTGTCTTACTGTCTACCTCATTATCGTTAAAACTGTATCAAATCTGCTCTTTGTTTGTGGAGTTAAAGCTTGAGTGTTATCGGATTTCGTTCCTGGAGATTCGACGTGCATGAAAGCTTTGCTTGAAACGCTAATAGCTTCTCTGAATGAATACACAGGAGAAGTCCTAAGCCTTGTGACCCACCAGCACCTATGAGTCATTTCTGGAAAACAGATTATAAATTCGTTTTGCAAGACAACTGCACGATCCATAAAGCATATCACTCTAACTAGACTATATTTTGTAGTCGGGGGTTCAATTGTGTTAGGTGACCATCTTTAAGGGAAGGGATTTCCTCACTGATTTTAGAGGCACAAAATACTGAAAATATCTCTTGCTTGTCGTCCATGTTTTAAAATCCTAAGAATCCATACCAGGCCTTGCTTAGCAATGGCATTCTGCTGGATCAATGTGAGGGAATGTACTGGGAAAGGGGGGGGGGAATTATCTAAAATATCTAAATGTAAGTCAAAAATTGTTTGCTTACGATTGTCACTGTTTATAGTGTTCTCATGAAATCGAGTAATTGAAATTTATCTACGAGAATTACATAGTACCAAAATAAGAGGAATGGTCGAACAAAATCGAATGCAAATTATCATGGTTTGAAGTTTTGGCTTTCGCTTTAAGAGGGACAAAACGAGGCCCAAAAATGTAATTTAAATGGCTGGAAAAATTTTTCACGAAAGGAAGCAGTGCTTTTGGACCTTGATTTAAGGAAGTTTTCTGGATTAGTCGAAATGTAACCATGGAAACCTCGTGTTAGTCTGAAGTTTCTAGCAGAATAATTATGAATAATCCAAACATATCAGAGAATTGCAATGAAAATTTTTGTGGAGCATGACCAAAATCAGTTTACTGTGCTACAAACTATCTTATTATTTTCATTCTCATTAGGTTCACAGACGCAAAATCCGCCAGTTACTCCTGCAAACGACGTCAAAAGCTGTACACCGACCAGCCGTTCTCAAACGTCGCGTCACAAAAGGCCCCCTTCTCCAGGTTCGTACGACTTTTTCACTATCAAGCCATAGTTCTATAAATACCTGATAGGCAGTACATGATAAAGCTATGAAATAACATTCATTCTATTTGTCAGATTCCTATTTTGTTTCATATGTTTGTTAGGGTACCTCGGTGATTCTTTCAGGAGACCTCATGCATCAAAGTCCGCAGAATTTGTAAACTTTATTGGGCGTAAAAGCAATCGCTTGCTCGTGTAATTTCTGTTGAAAATATCACCTGCACAGCATTCAAGAACAGATACATTGTCTCATCGATAATGGCAGGGGTTTGTTCGGGCAACAGTAACACCTGTAAACATTTAAAAAAGAGGACGAGTTACTGTTTTCCTCCCCTTTTCTCCTTTTTTCAAATATCTGTATTTCAGTTTCAGTGACCCTGAACAATAAAAGACAATTCCTTGAAAAGCCTGCAATTTTTCTTTCTTGAGAAAAAAATTATCTCATTGTCACTTCGACCAGATACCTGTGCAATTTCCTGCGCAACTTCACTATTAATGGCCGTAACTAGCTTTCTCCATGACTTACTTCAAACACAATAGATCTTTGTGTTCACAAACTCATTCGTTTGAAAAGGTTTTGACAACCCCGTCGCTGCTTATACTTGCTTCTCTTCCTACTTTAATCACGAATTTTCTTCGTATAACACTGATTAAGTCATCCGGTAGAATCAAGAAAAATTGGCAATTGCATTGCAGACTGGAAACTCAGTGAAAAAAAACCACCTCGCTTTCATTTCTCTTTTTAAAGTTTATTAAGTTTTCGCTTGTTGACCAGGAAACGGATGAATATTTTTAATAAAGGCTGTGTTTCATAACTTAAGCCTTATAACTTGAACTTTGCCACGCCCTCACAGCCCAACAGTAACCTGGACCCTGGAGATCTTTCTCATACTTTCATATTTCATCAATGTCAATACTTGGTTGTAAACAAATTTTCGTCAAAAAAGTTATAACTATATCTGAAGTAACAATAACAAAATTCACAAAATTATGTTTCTGAAATATGTTACATACTATAGTAACAAAAGATAGATAACGTGCTATGTATCAAGTTAACGTAAAAAACTGGCTTGTGGCAGCCAAGCGTTCATAGCGACGTTGCTTTTTGATCCTTCGATGTCGGCTATTCCTATCACTGGAAACGGATGAATTAAGGCAGTGTTGCCATATGCATGGACCAGCTGTTCTGTGTTTTGATTGGTTTAGACCAAGTTACGTCACTTTCAGCCATGCTACTTGTATGGACGCACGGCTGGGTTTTTTAGTTCCTACGCGCGAAGCTCGAACTTTGGTTTTCACAAGATTAATTTTGAAAGATCCAGTGAAAGGACTATCCCTCGTTTAATATCTAATTTCTAAGTTTCTCTCGTTCAAATGGGCCTCGCAACGACGCTGATAGATAAATAACACGTTTTAATTGCAATACCTTGATACTCCCTCGACAGCATCTGGTGGTTTTTATTTTTTATTCAAAATGATAATATCAAGACGATTGGTATCCACGGATTATAAGGCCTTGTCTGATTTCTTTAAATCATTATCGGAAAAAGGTTCACCGCACCTTGGAACGCCCGTTTTCATATTTGAAATTTAATTTCCGTGTTTGATTTGTTATAATCTTGCAATTCTCTTGATTTCGACTATAACAGCAGCAGAATTAGGTAGACTAGTTTTATACAATGTTTTGCTAATCCAATAATAGAAATATTTCGCATGGATATTTTATGCTAGGCTGTGTCGATAGTTAGCCGTCCTATTAATTATTTATTCTCATTTGAAAAATTAACTATCTTTGACTGCTAAACGGCCACTGCGATATTAGCAATTGGTTTTTTTCTTCTCGCTAAAGCCATGCATATATATTTCATTGCTTTCGAAATTAGCACGTGGCTCTGATGTGGTGAAAGGTTATGAAGAGTATGCAGGAAGCCGTCCCAGACTTATGGAATGGAATACCTAAACACTTGACGAGCAGAATGCATGAGAAGTGCAACCCAGTGTTATAATAGCTTTGGGAAAATTATAATTTTTCGAAACCTTTATAGACGTTTGCATCTTTTCTCGATTCTCAGCATAACACAAGGATATTTCAACTGAACTACTAAATTCACTGGTTTTTTCCTTTGAATTGTGAACCTCTCATATCTATTTTAGCAAAAGTTTCCTTGCTAATCTAGAGGCTTGCAAGATTCAAAAGTGGCTTATTTTGTAGGAGGTCTTGGCCAAACCGTCACTTTTGCATCGTCTTCATCTTTGACAGCTGCAGGAGTAGTTTCAGTAGTTTCTTCAGCTGTCCTAGCTTCTTCTACTCTTGGTTTTTCCAAAACAGTGTTTTCTACATTGTCTTTTATTTGAAACATGAAGAACACTTTGGGTTTCAAAAGTTTAGGTTTCAACCCATCAAACCATAATCCAACCGGAATCAACCACAGTCAGACCGGACCAGGCTATCCTTTCAAAAGGTAAAACTTAGATACAAAAAAAGACAACCACGTTTTTATTAACAAGATTATAACTGTTTCAACAAAGTGGCTGTTTAGCTCCCACCCCTCCTGACTCACTTTTATCTGCGCCTGTGGCACAGCCTCGCACCAATGTTACCGCAATGTCAGCGTTGAACTGGGAGGAATATATCGATGCTTACTTTTCAGGATTGCAGATCTGTCAAAATGACCATCACCATAAAACCACTCTTTTTTGTGAACGGCTAGTCGTCTTAAATGCCCACTCTCTAAAACAACTCCCACTCATGTGCCTATCGCCTTAAAAAACTCAAAAAATTTACACGATTACAGACCACCACCTGTCTCCAATCTTCAAAATCTTCAGCCATCACCTATCTGCAACGCCCATTGCCTTTTGACAAACAGTCGCGCTGAACCTTCACGTCCATTGGCCTTTAAAGACTGTTAATCTGTTCTTTGTGATCTCATACACAATACCTTTCGTGTTAAAGCCCAAACAGTCTTAGACACGGCCTCTTGTCCTAGACAACGCATTATACTAACTACAGTAAATTATATCTTTAACAACAGCAAACAAGTCATAAGCAAATCATTGTCTACCTTATTATAACGTCAACATTTTCGATCTCCATAAAACTATTTTTTTTATAGTTTAATAGTTAGTTTAATTTTATAGTTAGATAGTTAGCTTTATCTCCTTAATTCAAGTGTCCTTTATAGAAATGCAAAATAAACTTTTCGTATGACCAAAAAAGATTGATCAGAAAACCTTCTCTGTGCTAAAACTCACTTGGTAAAAATTCCCATTTAATTCATGCTAAGCCAGTCTTTGCTGTTCAACAGATAACGAACGAATTCCCTACACGTGAGAATGAAATATATTAGTTCTTTATCATTATCAATTCTCTTCGTATGAAGAATATTCAACGTTAAATGCCTTCAGTCACAGACCACCTCATTCATTATGTACCAATGACTACGAAAAAATAAAGCCAACGAACTGCCGATTGCATTTAGAGATTTCTGGCAAGAATTAACTTTTGGCATCTTGTTTTAACCTTAGCTAATGTTCAGAATAACTTCGAGAAGCGTGATAAAACAGATGATGATTAGGTTTAGGCAAAATGTGCGGTGCTGCTTGCACGTCAAGAAAGAACGCCTACACGCTCAGTCGGCTTCATCTTATTGATCCAATGTATATACCTCTCACTGGTATGGCAACGAATCACATTTGCAAGCTAATTTCGATTAATACCATTAAAAAAATCGAGACTAGAAAAATTGAGAATACCTATACGAAGATATTTCTATGAATAATTTACATCATTTTCCTTTAGCATTCTTCTAAGACATTAGGTTGTTTTTCGAAGATATGCCTTTGTGCTAGGACATTGCATTTAACACTAGAAATATTCATCACCCCAGCGATTACCTTTTTTCGATCTTTGCCTAAACGTGGCAAACGTATACGAGGTAATTCTGATATCTGCATCATTTATTATTCATTTCTCGTGGCAGGAAGTTTTGCAAAACTGCTGTTGCGTTATGTACTGTTTACTCAAATCAGGCATTGCTTTCAAAAATTTCGTATTTTGTTTAACGGAAGTTGATAACTAAGTAAGATAAGCAATTTCCCAAATATTTCAGAAACTCGTTTTCATTTTTCTTGAAAATAGACAACTAGCAAAATATCAGAGAAATTAATTCTTGGTTGAAATTTCAATAGGAGAAATTTCAAATAGGTAAGATTTGATTACAATCAACCAAACAATGTTTTTGATTTAGCCAAACATCTTTTCGTTTGGTCTACCACATATCAGTCTAAAATTTCTTTTTTCTGCATTTTAACTCAATATATTTTGCTGATATGTGTAACCTCAAATCACTTATTTAATAACTCCAGAAAACCGAGTACTGGTGCTTATTGTTCTTTCGTAAACACCAAGTGCGTTTGAATGATAAATCTTTCTTTTGAACCTGCATATTTTTTCATATTAGTTAAATATCATGGGCGGTAACAAAAGAAAGTTAAAATAATGGCTACATCGTTTAAATAATTCATTATCAATGTGTCATTTTTGAAGGGATAGGAAAGGTAAACACTTTACGCAAATATAATGTTGATTTTTTGGCTAAACCCCGTGCAACAATAAATTGATGTTGTATTGTATGTTTGACCTTGATTTCAGATTTACTTGAATGTAGCGATAATAATAAACCATTTACGGTAGAAAAATTGGCTGAAAGATTTCTTGACGACGTTTTTAATGCCTATACATTCTAATCATTCATTCGCAGATTGTTTGTCAGGTCTTGCCCAAACCTTTTTCATGTGGAAATATCTCTTTTCCCATTCAAATGCGTTAATTGCCTCAATTAGCAAATTTTCTTCTTTGATTCGCCCAACAATATTTTGATTGCATGTATAGGAGACTTGACCAATTTAGATCTGGCTTGAACTCAACACAGAATATTAAACATCTGGCTGGTAATGGCGAAAAACGTCAACCGATTCTCGTAGAGAGATCAAAAAGTCATCAAAGAAATCAATTTTTATTAAAATGTAGTGACGTAATTTCTGTTCTAAAATTTATACAGTCGTAATTCTATTGGGCTGAATTGACTGTTTAGTTGGCTATTTTAGAGGCTCTTCTTAACCTATTTCTTCATCCTTCTTCAAGTTCAATGATTTCATGTGGTGAACCTTTTCCGCTCTCACATTACCTTTCCTAGTTTTTTACTTTTATATGATCAAAAGCAACGAGATAAAAAACTATTCTCTTTTTACATAGAAGAATTCAATTATCTGGCGTAAATACTTACGAAACTGATAAGATATCTTTGTTTGTTGAAAAACAGCAAGTGCCTTAATGGTAACAAAACGATGATTTCTAATAGTCTATATTGTTTGCTAGTAAATAATTCTGTATAGGACAGAGATTTAAGGCGACTAGTCCATTATTATCAGCCTGTATAATATTCAAATTATGGTCTGTAAAGTATATATTTAAATTGTTGCCTGTATGATATTCATTTGAGTGATGCTATTGCAGTGTGTTCTGCAAATGCTCATGTATAGGAATGTTACTTCCACAATACCCAATTTTGTCTGAAAAAGTCGACAATTTCTTCTTGCAGTGAATTTTCTTTGGCAATCCTCTTGCATCTTTTCATATTATTATATTTAGACCAATTTTCTAGGTGCATTACTTTTATGCCACCTTCCGACACGTGGAAAAGCTTCTAATCTTTGCGACTTTGACCACTCCCTTAACGAAATATTCCTGCATAAATGCTAATTCTTGCCAGCGTGGTCTCTAATTTATATGCGTTTTATAAAAGCCATTGTTCTGTCTTGCAAGCTTCAAATGCTTTGAAATCAGCTGCAGATAATGTTGGTAAATTTTGTGATCCCCTAGCAGAAACCTCAAAATTCCTTAATTTATCGATAGCATTATTTGAGATTCCTAAACGCTTTTGATCTGTAGCACAAAAGCAAGCAGGTGAATTTGAAGTCATGAGAAAGGGTGTGCCGACTTTGTGAGAATTTTTTTTTAATCTAGCTAGTTAACTGTCGGACTGTGTTGAACATAATTGTGTAAAATATCGTCATATTAAAGGCTATTTATGCTAGAATATAAAGTAAAAGAATTTTTTCAAGGCCTTGCAGAAGGCTCTAAAGTATTTCAGGGTAAAGTCGGAAAGTTAGGCTATCTTGGAGTGTTATTGATGATTCTTTGAATAATTGATGAGTTGAAAATGAATAATGCACAATGAACGTCTGATTTTCTTCACAGCTGCTCCGAGCTCATTGCTAGACGATAGCTGCAAGGGCGAGTTTCGTGCCTTCACTCCTCCATTACTGCCAAGCTTTCTGGCTCGAGGACGTGAAAGTCCTTTACGAAAAACATCTCGTGTCATAGACACAGATGACGCAGATATTGCAAGGGCAATTCGCCGAATTGAGAGTACTGTATCAAAGAACATCAACAGGAATACCGGCTCTACTGTTTCATTAGAGACAACAACATCAGTTGAGAATTTGAAGAATTCTTCAACAGATCGCAGAGTTGGGTCAGACAATATGGCGACCCACGAAAATGAAGACTTTGCTCCTGTTATCATTAGGACCAAAGACGTAGAGATTTCATCGAGCGCAGAGAGCGAAGAGGCGATCTTTCAGTCTGATTTTACCGGTCAAATTGAAAATTTCGGAAAAGACATTGAACATACTTCAGAATGTGTGGACGAAGATGACAATAATAATAAAAATCATCAAAGTAACACAAGCGAAAGCATTCCGTTGGTGAATGGTGACGTAAACCAGGAAGAGACAGAGGAGGACCATATGCAACAGAGCGTTATCGAGGGGGCTGTAGAATTTGTCGTTATCAAAAAAGAGAGCGCATCAGAGGAGTCCAAGAAAGAATCCTCGACGAAGAAAAGTAAAGTTGAAACTAAATCTGGGAAGGAAAAAATTTCAGCAACGAAAATGAACAGTGTCGATAAGAAAACAGCACCAAAATCTGCTCCTCCAAAAAGCAGCAAGACAAATCCCGACAAGAAGGTAGCTGCAAGCAAGACTGGTAATGCAAGAAGCACAAGTGCAAAGACGCCAGCATCCAAAACAACTGAGAAAGCATCCAAGGAAGCTTCAGGAAAGAGTTCTGTCGCGGCAACAAAGCAGACATCCAAAAGTGTTGCTATAAAAAGTGCTCCTGCCAAAGCTGCTTCTTCCAAAGCTGCAGCTACAAAACAGATCCCAGCTAAAGCGTCAACAGCAAACGCCAAGGAATCTTCAAAGAAAGCTGCTGCTGCGAAAGTAGCGCCTTCAAAGACAGAAGCCAAGCCTGCGAAAGCAAAAGAGTCTCCCAAGAAAGCCGCTGGTGGTGACAGCACGGACGGTGCGGCAATGTCGTTGAAATCAGCTGCTAAAGCCCCTTTGAAAGATAAAGAAATGAAGGGAGGATCAACGGCTACAAAAGCAGCAGAAATGTCGACAAAGGTCAAACCAGCTTCTGCCTCCAAAAAACCAACAACGGTCGGGGCAAAGGGGAAGGCATCTGACAAAGAAACAAAATCGTCACCAAGCAAGTCAACCTCTAAGCCTGCGACCCAAAGTACATCTGGAGGTGCCAGTGCTAAATCAACTATTGAGAGTAAGAAAAGTGAATCAGCTGATGCAAAACCTTCAACAAAAGCTGCCACGAAGAAAACTGTTGAGGCTAGCAAGCCGTCTTCTGCTCCTGCAAAGCCTAAAAAGACCGAAAAGTCATCTAAACCAGCTGAGAAACCTAAGTCTGCTCCTCCAAGGACAGCCCCATCGACGAAATCTGCACCAGCAGCAAAAACCACCCCAGTAGCAAAAACTACTCCAGCGGCAAAAGCCCCTTCTGCTGCTAAAACCGCTTCTGCTGCAAAAGCTCCTTCCTCAGCGAAGACTTCTCTTGCAACAAAAAGCGGTACATCAGCCAAAGCTACTCCAACATCAAAGACTGCCTCAACACCAAAGGCATCCTCAACAAAGGGATCCCAAGCGGCTGAAAAGCCTGCTAAGGGGGCTGGAAGACCTGGTACTTCGACGAGTAAAGCTGCTCTTTCAAAAACTGCCCCTGCAGCTTTGAATGTGGACAAAAAAGCTAGTGCAAAAGCTAAACCTGCTCAAATAACTGAGAAGAAAAAAGCTCCTCCTTCCAAAACAGCACCAAAAACATCCAAAGCAAGTGATAAATCAACAAAGGTTTCCGATAGCAAGCCCTCAAAAACAGATAAGAGCAAGAATGACAATAAAAAGCCCGTTGAGTCCATCAAGACAGAGACGGACAAAATTCATAAGGAGGCATCTATCGAAGACACAGTTCCACCATGTGCAGATATTTCAACTCCTGCCTTAGTAATGGACGTGAAAAAAGATACTGAAGTCATAGTCGAGTCAGAAATATCTGTGCCAGAAGAACAGGATAGTCTTACTAAAAATAATGTCTTTGAACCAAGCATTTTGACTCAAGACACGACTGATATCCACACTAATGATTTTGAAATTGGTTCACAAAATATCGACTCTAAAAATGATGAGCAAGAGGAAGTTAATTATTTTGAAGAGGTTGCGAATGTAAGTAAAAATGTTTCTATTGAATCTGAGTTGACCTCGTCAGAAGGACAGTTAGAGAAGCCAGAAAATGTTGCTATGGACGCGCTAAGTGAAGCAAACGAGCAAAGGGTTGATAACAGTATCGCGCAAGGTGGAGACTATGCTGAAGAAGAAACCCTGTCATCGGAAAAGACAACTGGGCATCTTCGAACGGAAACTTTTGATATAGAAGTTGAGGAAAAGGAAGAGGCAAAGGAAACTGGGAACGAAGAGGGGGTAGGGGCTGGTGAAATGTCCACCAAAGAGGATGCTGATTCAAGAGACCAAGAGAGTGAGAAGTTTGACGAATCGAAGCTGATCTCTTTGGAAGAAATCTCAGCAAAATACAATGAAGAGGACGTTCGTGAAGGTGCCGTTGCTCCAACCCCTCCCGAGACACCTTTACCAGACAACGTGACATCAGAGACCCCAGTTGCAAGCACTCTATCGGCGCTTGAGCTTCAGAACGAGTACTATCCAGGCAGTACGCCAGCTGCCACGCCAATGGAAGGATATCCTAAAGATTTTCATGCTGAAGCTGAAGTTGGACAAGAGGTGAAGGATATAGAGCAGGAAGAAGCATCCATGATTCGTGACGTTGAGAGTAGTGCAAAGAAAGAAGAGCCTGTTTGTTCTGAAGAAGAGCAATTAAACATAGAAGAAAAAGTTCTGGAGGAATCAAAAGGAGTCGAAGATAACGCATCTGCTTTGATGGAAGAAACGAGCAAAGCAGGTTTTGAGGAAGTTGTAGCCAATGAGGAATCTCAAATGATTGAAGAAATCGAAAATGCTATGCTTACAGAGATACTGCCAGCAGAAGGCGAGGAAAATTTAGCCAATAAAGTGGAATCTCCAATGGTTGAAGAAAACGAAAATACTTTGATGGCAGAGACCCTTGAAGCAAGTTTTGAGGAAGATTTAGCCAATAAAGAAGACATGTACGCGACGGAGGAGAATATACCAAGTAGGAGTGAAGCTGGAGAAGGCGATGTGGAATTTCTTGAAGGAAGTGATGAAGCAAAAAGCAAAGATGAACTTAGTATTGATAATTGCAATAGAGAAGACCAGGAAAGCGAAAGAGATATCGAAACAAGGGAACAAAGGGTTATTGATATGCCCCTCGAGTCAAGCAAGCCAGATTTTCAAGACGATAGTGATGTCTATGATACAGAAAATGCAGAGTACGATTCTAGCCAACAAAATGATCAGATGATCTTGAATCAACCTGTTGATTTGCAGTCTGATCGGTATCATTCAGATCCTCTTTCTCATGACATCAGGACAGAATTTGATCAATCGAGCATCACAGATCCAAGCTTATTAAGCGAAGCTCAGTCTGACAAACCTTTAATGGAAAACGAAAGTACGCTAGGTAAAAGTGATTTTAATGATCAAAGTGAATCAGAGGAGTTTGGCGAACAAAACTTTGTCGTGGATAATGAATCTGAGCAAGCAAATGACGACAAGTTTGAAAATGAACTTGCAAAAGTCGCTTGCGCACCTGAGACTATTAATGAGAATAAAGATTTAGATGAACTGACAGCGACAGGTGAAACTGAATTAATCGCAGAGTTGCAGTCAACAGATTTACATTCGATAGAAAAAGGTTACCAAGAAGAGATACGAGACTCGGAAAACGAGCAACAAAGTGAGCTTGTCAATACCCAGCTGTTAGAAGCAAATCTTCAGCAAGACGCAGCCATTTATGAACTCGAATCTAAAACGCCAAAGGACAGTGAATTATTAGAAGATGTCACCTCGTTAGACCCAGAAAGTGTCCCTGAGATGGCCGACGGCGACAGTGGTTTTGGGCAATATCCATTTAAAGTCGGCAGCAAGGGAACAGAGGAATTGATGCTAAGAGAATCAGTAGAGGCGCAAAATTTCGGGTCTGACGCTTCAATGGAGGACTCGTCAATTGTTGCTGAGAGGCAAACACAGGAAGAAGAGGTAGTAGCCGCAGAGGAGGAGTATGATGTGGAATCGTGCCCTCCAAGACGCGATCTTTCGGAATCCGAAAGTGAAGATGAAAATGAGGACATAAATAATGCTGAAATGGATTTAAGTTCAGACAAGCCACTTATAAATGAGGGTGGGAAACAAATTTCTTCAAATGATTTTAAAGAGAAAGAACTAATTGATATATCCCCATCCCCCGAGAACAGCAAGTATTTCAGTGAAATTGGGGATATTGAAGGAGCTGAAAATGAATTGGAAGAATCTTTGCGACGGGAGGAGGAAACTGTCAGCCAAACATCTGCTGATGAACCGGTCACGCCTGAAAACGAGCCGCAGGGCTTTCCTGATGTCCTAACAGAAGGAAAAGATAGATTACACGAATCTTCTGTAAAGCCTCTTGAATTCGATGCTACTGTATCTATGGATGATGCATTTACTCCATTGTCAGATCTTCCAGAAGATGCAGCTTCACCTCTTGTACACGACAGCTTTGATAATTATCCTGAAACGGTTGAAAAAGAAAATGACGTCGTTGACCCGAATGCTGACGATACGTTGTCCGATGATGGTGATGTATTCGAAAGTGATATTGTTAAACATGCAAAAGAGAGTGTCAGAATAGCGAAATCTTTGGATGATTCTTGCGAAGATGAAACCACTGGTTTGAATTTTCAAAAGTTTGAAGATAACGATCCATTTGAGAAGTTCAAGGACGAGAAGGATGAGCAGACCCAAAACACATCAATTCAAGGCGATCACCCTTCTTCTAATGTGGTACCTCAAGTTATTTCGTCACCTTGCGCTTCGGAGAGTGAAGATTCTGGGGATGAATGTGAAGATGACGTAACTGAGCAAGATGCTGATATCTATGATGGTAGGTGCTTTCTTAATCAACAGTAATCAATTTATTGTTTTAAGACTATGGAATACTTAAAACTTGTACCCTTCATTCTTCACCTGCATCACGCCATATTTAATTCCATGGATTGCTCATAGGCCCATTCCAAGATCAGATCATTCCAAGATGGGGCCTACTTTGTCGCTGAATGTCTTGAAATTCCATAAAATTCAATGATCAATTTTACTCGTAGATAGAATTTATAATAGGCCAATTTCCAGAAACGTACCACACACATTTGACCGATGTCCAGAAATATATGACCCATATAGGCCGGTGCCCAAGGGACGAACTAAGAATCGATTTAATTACGCTTGCCATTCAATCGCCGCGATCTCAATTTTTTAATTTTTGTTTAGAGTTTTATAGAGAAATACATTGTGATCGAGATACGTTTTTCGAAATCAAGATTACTTTTAAGAAATCCTGATAATTCGAGGTCTCAAACGGTTGCTTGAAAAATTTAGCTTTTTTGGTATTTTGGCATTTCATGACGCAGCATTTTTTGACGAAAAAGATATCGCTTCTTTTTGTAAAAGTCAGGTTTAAAGTTTCATTTTATTTATTTCTCTTGTTTAGATAAAGAACTGGCGAATGTAGAGGACCAACCAATGACTTTTGAACACGGTAGTGACACACCATTATCGCTCTCGGAAATCCACCTAAAGGTTTGTCTTGTCGATCATTCCTCACTGTGCTTTCACGTTAAGAGAGCAAACTACAACTGAATTTCGAGGCTTTAAGTTTTGCCTTATCCATTCTGTTAGAACTGGCAATGTAGAGGACCAACCAACGACTTTTGAACACGGTAGTGACACACCGTTATCGCTCTCGGAAATCCACCTAAAGGTTTGTCTTGTCGATCTTTCCTCACTGTGCTTTCACGTTAAGAGAGCAAACTACAACTGAATTTCGAAGCTTCAAGTTTTGCCTCATGCATTCTGTTAAATGAATGCTACTTACTAGGTTGAGGCATGCAGGTCTTTTTAAAAATCTTTAAATAAAAAGTTGCTAGTTTTTCAAGATATATAGAGATTCAGATCCATTGGTACTGACAATTTTTTTTTTTATGATTTATTAGTGTTGATTTTCGGCTCACCTGGAGTTTGTTTAAATTTTATTTGACAATATCTTTCTTAAAGGATTCTTCTACATCTGAGCTGCAATCTTCCTTCCCTGATGCCAAGACCTGTGATGAACTTAGAGGATTGTACGAGGCTGATTCAGGTAATTTACAAAGCCCAGATGCAGTTCAAGAGCACCATCAACACACGGAACATTTATGTCAGTCAGAACATTATCAGCGCTTGGAAGAGTATGGAGACTCACAACAGTATTCGCACCCGGAGCAGTTCCAGCAAGAGGAACAGTTCCAACAGCTGGGAAAACTCTCACAGTCGGAGCAGTACCAATACGCGGAGGATTACTCTTTAGATGAAGATCGAGATGACAAGGACGAAGAGCAGACAGCAAATGTGACATCTTCAGATAGAGATTTACAAGACGATCTAGAGGATAACAGCAGCACTGTAGCAACACGTGGTGCTTCAGAAAGACAAAGTTTTGATCAAGAGGAAGAAGGTGATGACAACGATGTTGGTGTTGAAGAAGAAGCTGACGATGCACAGGAACTTGTTGAAAGTGACAAGCAGGCACATAGTGATGATCATGCTACAGACAGCAGTGATTTTGTTATGGTTGACTCACCAGTCAAACACTTAGAGGTCGGAGCCAGCTCGGAGGAATCTGATGCAGAGGATGCCACAAAAACCACAGAAGTCTCAGATGAAGCCACAAAAGACCCTGACTCTGACGACTCACCCTTCCACCATATTGACCTGAAAATATCAACGAAAGAGATAGAAGAAGAAGAAGAAGAAACGCATCATCAATCATCCGAAGAAAAGAATGACATTTCTTCGGACCAGTTAGATGCATTGGTTTCAGAAAATCAAGTGCCTGCCGATCAGCAAATCGTTTCAATTGCTGCTGAAGAATCGTCTGTGACTATTGACGGTACTCAGAATCAACTTAATGCTGAAGATTTCAGTCAAGACATGACGACAGGACACAGTGCAATGGACAACGAAAGACTGTCAGAGGAGACTTATGAAAGCAGGGACAAGCAAACAGACCCAGCAATGTAAGTGATCTATATTTGGTAGTTTAGAACTTTTTAAGGGCGGTATTCCAACACTTAATATTGTATTCTAACAAAGAGCACCACAAAAACCTTTGTTCATAAAAAGGTAAATTCACGCAAAAGGTTTGCATCGCATCACAAAACATATTTCTAATCCTAACTTGAGTGCTCACAATGTCTTTTTGTAATCAATGCAATTTCAGCGAAGATATTTGGCTTGATCTGGTTAAGGCCCAACAACACCAAATTTATCTTTGCTGCTTTGAAATGTACATAAAATGCAGAGTAAAGAATAAAAGGTTTTTGGAAACGAAGTAGCACTTATTTAGTGGACTGTTTTTGGGCGCTTTCAATATCTTTGTCAAGCTTTTTGTCCCTTTCCTGCTCTCAAGAAAGGGGGGACCTTGCGGATTTACCTTAGCTATTGTTTCGATACGGCGTTGCTCGTCAATATTGGGTTTATCAATATACGCGACATCGCTGCAAATTGCTCAAGAAACATAGTGTTCAAGCAGGGGTCAGCAATTTTATATGATCAGCAAAAAACGTATGCTGTATGAATTTAGCTTAGCTGAAACTAAAAGTTCATTAATTTTTAATAGTAGTAAGTATACGTAAAAACAATAGACTGGTAAAGTTGAGACGTCATAAACCCTTTCCATTATTTTTAGATCTACAATTCCAGGCAAAAGTCTTGAGACAAAATGCAATTTTTTGCAGTTTTCAACTTTACGTTGCCCCTTTAAATTCGAGTCCCCTTCCTTTCCCCCGAATCAATGTAGGACTTTTAGTTCTATCATTTCTACTTTAAATCCATGCATTCATTGGGAGAGGGAGAAAAGTTTTTTTCAAAAGAAAGAGAAAACATCGACTTTCAATGAAAAGTGATTTTCTTCTCAAAGTCTATGATAAGCTTTGATTTTAACAGTTTTTCATTAAGATCTTCTATATAAACCTGACAGCATTCGTAAACAGCCCTATTCACACCGACGGGGCATCTCAGTATGATGGCTTTAATGAAAACCTTGGTTCGGGTCCACGATACATTTATGATGCCAGTGATGATGATGAAGAAACCTATTAGAACGTTTCAAAGAATATTTGCTAGATAATCGCGGAGGTAATTCCTATTTTATATTTCTCGCTCCTCTTGCCTTCAGCCCCATTGTTGATTTGGACCTACCCCATTAAATTCGGCGATGGGTATCTAATTTTGAGTTACGGTATGGTATCATGTTAGTAGATGTGAATTTCGCATTGTAAACAGTTACTTCGAATCGCGCAAACCTTGCTTACGTCAATTCTTATTTAGTAACAAAAGATTGCTAACAGGTATCAGTATTTCTGCCTAGGCTTTCATGGGAGTTTCCTATGCCGGATTTAGGTTAAAGATATAGAATAGGGGTGCGAAAGCTGTATGAAATATGTTGTCAACGCTCTAATTAGGATATCGTATCGCTTGCTTTAGTAGCTGGTGTCTCAAACCTTAAATTATTAAGCGATTTGAATTTGGCGACATTCCCTTTTTTGACTTTGAAAATTATTGAAAATGATAACGCAATGAAATATCAGGAACGTTGTTGGTAATAAGAGTTTGTTAGCCGTCAAGAATTCGAAGGTGAAACCTTGAAGAAGTATGTGGCGAATAAGAGATCGTAGCTCAATGAACAAAGGTTGAGCTAATATAAGTTTGTATATAACATCATCCTGAAAGCTTTTCTGAAAAGTTCATAAAGTTACTAACACCAAGATGCATATAGGGAGTTGAATCTCTCCGCCGTACGGATCATCTATTAAAACAAAGTCTGAAAGACTGCCCTGTTATTAAAGGTAGAGAGAATATAGTCTATGTGTTCAGATGTAAACCCTGTTCACACAGCGAAAAATAGGCCAGACTCGTTCCAAGCTAAATAAGCCAAGGCTTGGTTCAGGTTAATCAAGCCCAGAGCGAGTCCGAGTTTGTTCCACACTAAAGAAAGCAAATTCGGCAGTGTAGACAAAAACCTGGGACGGGCCCTCTATAGGAAAACTGCGAAACGCAATTTCGCACCTCTTGCATCTTTCATCGAATTCAGAGGATTTAAGTTTAACACTTAGAAATATTATATATGAATTATTTTTTGTTTATTGTAAGTTTCAATAATTATTGTGGTGGTTATAGGCAAATTGAAAATAATTAATTTTGCAGACATTTAGCTGGTAAGAGATAATTGCAAATTGAAATGCTTCTGTAGAATTTATTTTGTGTAAAATTTAACTGTTCTTTATTTGGAACGGGAGTTGACTGCTTAGAACATCTTTATTTAATTATACTTAATTTTGTATATTTATTTCATTTAAATGAAATCTTGTAGGAGATGAATCGATTGTTAGTGTTCATCAAAGCAGATCATCAATCGAGATAAATCTAGTTTGCGGATAACAATCACTGTTCTAGAATACTGAATGACCATAATTCGAATTTTTCTTTGTCACGAGCTCTTATCCCTTCCTGGGCCCTTTATTCCCGTTTCCCAAAGAACAGTTTGAGTAAGAGATTCGAAGGAACTTCAACATTTTCCCGCCATTTTCTTGCCATCTTTAAATGTAAAATTTCCTGAATGTACAATCCTACAAAATCTAAAGTCACTAAAATTATGCCATATCTCCTTCCTATTTTTTTTCTGAAATTTTTGTTTATACTGAGCAAAAAGTTCTTCACAGAGAAATAGTTACAAGCTAATCCAGGCGCTCTTTGCTACTTGATTACAAACAATTCACAAAAAGCTTAAATTTATAACATTTTTAGAACATTTCTTTTAAGAATGGTCAGTAATCATAAATTTTATAATCAAAATGATTTTGAAAATGGCTTTGAAAAAAGCAAACATTTTACGACATACTAAAAGCTTTTTCGTCTGACACTCCTCAGAGCATAAAACGTCAGAATAAGGCTCCGAATAAACACGATGGAAAATATATACCCAGTTTGATATATATCTAGCAGTTTTGGAGTCGATCTAAATAAAAACGAAAAAGCCGCCATTTTGTAGACAGAAGGAGTTCGTATTCTCTCTTGGACTCAATTGGTAATTTTTCTTTAGGCTCGCAGCACTGATTGGTCAACCATACCGGTCTTGTGCTTGCGTTTTTCTGATTGGCTTATTTCGATCCACAACTGGGTATATATTTTCCATCGTGTTCTTTCGGAACCTTATTCTGACGTTTTATGCTCTGAGGAGTGTCAGACGAAAAAGCTTTTAGTTTGTCATAAAATGTTTGCTTTTTTCAAAGCCATTTTCAAATTCTGTACCGCAAAAAAATTGTTCAAAATGATTTTCTTAAAATTTTTATGTCAGGAATCCAGCCTGCTGTACGCAAATTTTACACAGCTTTAAGTTGCATGATTCTCTTTCCACACATTTTATTTGCCGTTTCTATGAGCATATTTTTACGTCTTTTATGACAGTAGGTAGAGGTTGCCAAAGTTTGCTTCCGACGAAAAATAAACACTTTCTATTCCATATCTGTTAAGGCTCCTCTATTTACATACAAAAACAGGCACTAACTCTAGTTCTTTACATCGATTTGGAAATTTCAATCTTTATCCAACGTGACACAAAAAAAAGTTTTTAGGTTCTTGTTTCTTCATAGAAGCCAGACAAACTCCATTGGAGATCGCTATTTGAAAAATGGAAAAATTGTAAAACGGCGGCTATTTGAAACCACTTTGTTGACATTTGGGCATCTTTTTGTAAAGTGTTTTTCTGCATATTACACTTACAATCATATATATATTGTTAAAACGGCGAGAAGCATAAGAGAAAGAATGAATTAACATTTAACGCGGTATGAGGAAAAGCACAAAAGCTCAATTTCCAACAATTTTTGGACGGGAAGAGACAAAATATGCAAATAGAAATACCTTCATCTTGTGGCAATGATGCGATTCTATTCAACTTCAAGAAATAACATAATTGATATTAGTCAAAAAACAGTAAAAAAGCAAGTCAATGAGCTTGAAAAATTCCAAAAATCCTAATAGAAATTTTTAGCTTCGAAATAAAGCAGCTTAGATACTTAAAAACTCATTGCAATCATATCTAGAGGTAGTGCTTTGAATTTATATCATGAAAAGAGCATCTTTTTTATTATGCAAGACTCAACAAAAAAGCAAGCCTATATGCGTAGGAAAAATGTGAAAATATGGTAGAATTTTTTTGCTTGAAAAAATGAATAATCCATGAAACAGATCTTTGAAACACATTTGAATCATTTTGAAAGATAGTTTTTTGTTTTTATGTCACAGATATTGCATCTTTTGCAAAACAAAAAAATCAATAAAAAGGCAAGCCTATAGGCTTAGAAAAGATGTCAAAATATGATTGAAAATTTTTTGCTTGAAAACCACGAGAAGCAATAAAACACATCTTCAAAACACACTTTAATCATTTTGAAAGATAGTTCTTTGTTTTTAATCACGGATAATGCATCATTTTCGTAACAAATAAAATAATAAATAGGCTTAGAAAAGATGTCAAAATATGGTTGAAATTGTTTTATTTGAATTCAGCAATAAACCATACAAAATATCTTTAAAACGCATTTAATTCACTTTTGGAGATGGTTCTTTGTTTTTAAATTACGGATATTGCATCCTTTTCATCACGAAAAAAATCAACAAAAAACAAGCCTATAAGTTCAGGAAAAATGTCAGAATATGGTGTAAATTTCTTCTCTTTGAAACAGCGGCATCATAATAGGCTTATCTTTGAAACTTCTTTTAATGATTATTAAGATTAAGTTTTTTGTTTCCAAAACGCAAGATTTCCATCTTTTTCATTACGCAAAAGCTCTGCAAAAAAGCAAGCCTTTGGCTTAAAAAAATCGTGAAATTAATAAGGAAAGTTTTTTCCCTGAGAACAGTGATTAACCATTATACATTTCTTTAAAGCCCATTGAAATCATATTTGGAGGTAGTTCTTAATTTCTATTGATAAAAATAAACACTTTTTGGCATCTAGAACCTGCACCAAAAAGGAAGCCTATAGGTAAAATACTGTAGAAATGATTTTTCTCGAAAACAGTGATAAACCATAAAACAGATCTTTAAAACACATTTAACTCATGGATGGTGGGGAGGTGCTTTAATGATTTTTAATCACGAAAATTTCAACTTTTTGTGCACAAAATCTGGCAAAAAGGCTTAAGAAAATTGGCAAAATACGGTGGAAATTTTTTAAAGCTCATTGCAATCATATTTAGAGGCAGTATTTTTTATATCATAAAAATAGAACCTTTTTGGTATGAAAAACTTGGCAGTCTACGTTTGGCGTATTTTTGATTGGCAAACATCTGTAAAAAAGGCTGTCCATAAAAGCTTTTAGACTTAGGAGAACTGTCGAAAGCTGGTGAAATATTTTTGCCTGAAATCAGCCGTTCACCAGAAATGTTTTTTCAAGACAATGGCATTCTTTTGGTTGCATGAAAATCAGAAAAAAACAAGCTTATAGGCTTAGGAAAACAATGACAGTGAATTCAAAAAGTATCAAACATACTTTTTCAACAGCGCTTTTTGTTAAATGGGGGCCTATTCAAGCGTTTCAGACTTTCCTATTAAAAAATGTGTATGTGAAATAATCTTTTGCTGCTTGAAATTACAAAATGCTTGAAATTGAATTTAGCACTTCAAAATGACTGCAAAAAATTTGTTTAAGATTTTTTTAAAAATGGATATCAGAAATGGATAATTAGAATTTAATTTTTTGAAATTAGTTTTATTCTTTTAACAAACTACGACAGGACGTTCATTCATGAAAGCTGTTTTGTTGCCTCCTTCAAGAAAAATATTTGCCACATTTCACACCTTTTTTCCTTGCGAAACGAAAGTTTTAATAAAACGTGGCATTCTTACTTTACATAAATCTTCTATAAAAGACCTGTCATTCATAAGCTTTTGACCAGGATTAAACTTTTCTCAAGAACACTCAATACGACTAAACAACACTTAACAATGCATAATGTTTCTGTCGAGGATCAAACTATGCTAAGCAATACTCAATTCGACTATACAACACTATACAACGCTAAATGTTTATGATCAGGAGCAAACTTTGTGCCAAAGAACACTCGATACGACTAAACTACACTTGACAATGCATAAAGTGTTTGTCCAGGATTAAACTTTTCTCAAGAACACTCTATGCGACTAAGCAATGCTAAATGCTTAGAAGGATGTATTCTGACTGCGAAGAGGCCGTGAAGGAAATGTTTTTTCTCTGTATGAGTACAATTACAGAAAGTCCTATGGCGAACTTAATTGCAGATCTATTCAATTGTTGTCAATTATTCAATCTTCTAGTGTGCTTTCGATTAACGATGTATAATTAGAAAAAAAAATTCAAAAAAAGAATTAACTTTATTGAAGCAAAAATTGCATTCTCAGATCACTTTTCACCCGAAAATAGACGATACATATGCACAAGACATATGGTCGATAAAATGATTTCAAGACCAAAAGAAAAATAAGGTGTATGTGGTTTTGCTGTTGAATGGTAAACTTTATGAAAGATGATTAAAGATTTCTTTGAATTTCTTTGCCCATTCATTAAAACAGGCTCAATTAAAGCATTGAAACAGGCTCGACTCTTGCAAAATAACGATAACATGCGAATGGAAGCCCATGGTCATCCCAGTCTTTGTGTATAGCCTTCCAAAGCCAAAAAGTTCCAGAGCCAAAGCTGATCAATTTTTTGGCGGCACAAAATTAGAAAATGGCTTTGAAAAAAGCAAACATTTTAAAACATGCTGAATGCTTCTTCGTCTGCCCCTTCTCAGAGCTTAAAACGTCTGAATTTGAGTCCAAAAGCACAAGACGGAAAATATATACCCAGTTGTGGATCGTAGTTTCCAACCAGAAAATAGCGAGCACATGATCAATATAGTTATCCAATCAGTACCGCGCGTCTACAGGAGAATTACCACTAGAGTCCAAGAGAAGAAACGAACCCCTTCAGTTTACACAATAGCGGCTACCACAAGCAATTATCTATATATGACCTCTTTGCAGAAATCTCAAAACAAAATCGAAGAAAAATGATAAAGTTGTCATTATTTCATAAAACCGAACAAAGCATTGACTTGAATGAAAATTGATATAAATAAACATATCAGATAACTTTAAAATCAAATCTGTCATTGTCAATTTTTACATATTGGAGCCTCCATATAACAGACATCGCTCGGACCAGTGTAATTACCCAAATGTTTGTGTCTGCTCAATATAGGTTACATTAGGGGCGTTTTGGCCATTTGGGATAAAAATATCTCTGCGCTGTTGTAAAGTGTCCGATGTATAGAGTTGCCCATTAATGGAGGTTCCAGTGAGTTTACCATTGAAAGCTGTGAATTATTTACAAACTACTTTCTTTATTTACATGAATTCGAAACGGAATACTGCTGCATGAATCTACATACTTTATTTAGTTGCTCCTGTTACTATGGCCAACATTCTTTAAAGTAAACAGGAAGCAAAGAAAATCTTTTCATGCTAATCAAGTTTATATTGTTTCCGTTTTAATCGTATGAATAAGATTACCTAATTAAGTCACTCTGGCCGGACCCTTTGTCCAACTCATATCTCATCTTTTGCAAACTTTATTAATCAAATTTAAGAATTTCAATTGTTAGGGACCAAATTTTAAAAGTTGCCGTCAATATGGGTTCCTCGTGTTCAAATTTACAATGGCAAATGGTCATTATAAATACACAGCAAATTCCTAAATAATTAAAGCAAACGCGACCCGTTATTTTTCATATTCAAGAAATTAATACGTCTGTTGCTCTTACTATCTAATCCGAGAAAAACATTACGAGCAATTCTCCAAATCTCCAAATCGAGCAACTCCAAAACCTTAACGACATTTGACACAAGAAAAAGTGGCTTACAGCCATTCGACCATGAGCGTTTGACCAATCAAATCGCGCATAGAGAAAAACACATAAACAGTTTCTGCCTTTCTGCAAATCGGTAAAATCCTAGAGTAGCACGCAGTAGTTTCACGTGAGTTGATTTAAATTCTTTTGTGCGCGTGCTCTGATCAATTTGGCCTAAGTTATTATTTGATTCGCTGTATTTATGCATGTCAAAAGTTTCTTAAACCACCTGTTAATCAACTATTGGCCAATACGCTAGCAGCTAAGCGGAACCATGCTTTTTGATCGGCCATTAGTTAGATGGCTTGACGACGGATGTAAGTATTTGTCGATTGCCTCTAAATTGTTCCAGAGACATTTCAGGTTCAGATAAAAGCATGATTTACGAAAGTTGTCTGGTCGACTGTGTCTTGATTTGTGGCTTCAATTTTCACAAGCATGGGAACATCAAACATCTGGTAATCGAGATAAAACATATACCGTCTAGAGATATTTCATGATCATGCAAATTTTCAGTTGCATAGCGGCATTTCATAGTGCAATCTCGTGCTGATGGTCTTTTATTATGCTCAAACATGTAGATTTTGGTACAGAATTACAAACCAAGAGACAGCCTTTGTCAGCATCTTCCATTTTTTCAACTGATCTTTTTTGAGATTGTTGTGAGAACGGAATGTTCAATGGCACCCTGTTTTCTTCAATTGTTTTAACAGAACCAGAATTGTTGTAACCCGCTTTCGTTTTCTTGAAGATGAAGTTTAATGGATTGAGCCTTTCTAAAAACAGTGCCTTAGCTTCAGAAGATTGGCTTGCTCTTCTCTCTGCTGTCGAATTTCGTTTTGATTGCAGTGTCGTCATAATAGACTCTTTCGCGCGTGCAAGTGGCTTTCCTTTACAAATCAGCTTCAGGCAGGTTTTACGAAGGGATGCAGTGGATAAGAGGTAAACCACAGGATTGATGCTGCTGCTTACCCAAGGGACGACTAAGAGAAACCACTCATAAAGACTGCTCCTTACATAATGACCAACGACCATCTCATGAAAGCTTGTGCAAAAGAAAAAGCTCCAACCAGCGAGAAATGGAAGCAATATCACCATGAAATTGCCCGCCACTTTGATTTCTTGGATGCGCAGATGCCTTGAACGGAAATAGTTTGTTTTCGATTCATCGTTTAAGTTGGCTGCTGCGCTGTACACAGCTTTAGCGACGCTTCGCGAGAGTTTGACATTCTTCACAGTAGCATACAGAATGAGGGCATACGAAACCACGATAACAATGCATGGAACGAAAAAACCAAAGAAGTAAGCTATATACAACACGGTTAGGTGGTAGGCTTCGGAAGCTATAACTTGCCTAAGCATACCTAGAATAAATATAGCAAAGGCATAAATCCAGATGCATTTAATTGCAAGCAGAGTCTTTCTTAAGTTGATCGTATCGTGGTAATGAAAAGGGCGCATCACCGCCGTAGCCCGGTCAAAGCTTACGCCGGCCAAATTGATGATCGATGCTGATCCGACTAGAATGTCAAGGGACGGAAACAGGTAAAAAGGAATATCGACTTGGAACACATCGCTAAATACAAATGACACCATGATTGCCATCATCATTAGGTCGGCCACTGCTAGACTGCCAATCAAGTAATTTGATGCAACACGTAGCTTTTCAACTTTGAACAGAGCGAAAATGATCATACCGTTAGCTAAAAGCCCTGGTATGAAAATAACAGCAGCAACACACAACCAGGCTATGTACAAGTTACTAAATGGTATCTTCTCTCCTACTTCAGAGGCGACATCAAGACTTCCATTATCAATCTTAGACTTATTTCTGACTAGTTTTAGCAGAGTGATTGCTACCACTCCACCGATCTTTGTTGGCACTGCAGTTGCGTTTAAAGCCATCTCTTTTTCTCTTATCCTGTAAAAAAGACATTTTTCCTTTAGGAAACTAGCTACTCCGAGACACTATGAGCTCCAAGAGCCATGGTCATAGACTCTCTGTGTTATTCTTAAAACAGTATTCAAAAAGTGTTTAGAATTACTTTGAAGTACATGAATATCGGGGGGGATTTCATGACGTTCAAGGATCTTTATTATATCTTTACACTATAAATCTGAAAACGACTGGTAATACTATCTGTATTCACCAATACCACGACAAATGGATAGGACAAATGCAACAGTGTTTCTTTTGAATATGTTTCAAGTTCTTGACAGGTGGTTTTCCAGCTGATACAGTTTGGCACAAATAGACTCAGAGCAATATATCGATATGGCGTAAAGGTGAATTGAGTACTAGCGAGGCCTCATTATTTTCATTATTATTTTAAAAAACCATAACTAACCTCTCAGAGAGAAGCTATTGAATAATTTAACGGCAGAATGGAAAGCAAAAGTAGCTGTTTGCATTAGAAAAGATAAACCAAAAAAAAATCTCTGTCCGGGCCATTCGAAACGACGTTCTGTGATATAGAGGTCATTGCTAGAATGTGATTTATCAACAATGCAAGCAACTATGTTTTTAAAGCAAAGAGCGTTTTAAGCAGGTATCTGATGTTTATTCATTGCTGTACATTGCTTGTCTTTTTCTTGAAGGAAAATTTTTCTAGTAAAATATTATAGGTTTCTAAGGATTCCAAAATAAAATGAATAAAAAACACAGTAAGGAAGCCTACTCCTATGAAAGAGACTTTTCTATCAAACTCATGCATCAAGATTTTTCTGCTAACGCTACATCTCTACAAAAATATTCTTGTTTTGCAAAATATAATTTTCATGACAGTACGCAAGTCAAGTTAAAAGTTTGAATTCAAGCATGATCTTTTTAATGTACTATTGCAGGCAGCACGATATATGTGCAGCAAACCCAACGATTTAAGTATCACTTTGATAGCTACAACTTTTGTCTGCGTTATTCGTATATTATCGATGCAGTAAAGATGTTATCTATATAATAAATGCATCAACTATGTATCCAATAAAGCTTTTCTAATGCATATACTTAAGAAAACTATACATTTTATGATTTCTCACATCGTAAATGACTAGAAAAATCAAATGAAAAAAATAGATAATAGCTACATAAACAAACAGAAAATAAAATTCATCTAAAATCTTCGAAATCATTTTTCTACCTAAATTGTCTTTTACGGTTATCTAAGTATATGATAAAAAAACCAAGACTGAAACTACATACGTATAGCTGCTTGCTTCTGCTCTCCTGAACCGCGAATGTATAGCTGCGAATTACTTTTGCCGTGCATTAAATAATAATATGCAAATAGCCAATAGCAGCTGTCTTCAAACGACAAGCATTTAGTCACAGTCTGAGCCGGTTTATCAAAGGCCTTTTTTGTTGAAAGGTGTTCGTTTTATTATCATCCAAAAAGTCATCGCAAAATTACTTCAAAAGTTATTCCTCTACTTTGCATTTGACAGTATAGCCGCCAAGTTGAAATTTTTCCCAAAGGTATTAAATAGGGAAGCTCGCATAGATTGTAGGAAAAACTTGATTCTTGCATTAGGTAAAGTGGGAAAAACGACAAATGTGTTTAACATCCTGAACTTAAACCTTTTCTAAACAAAGTATATTTAGAATTTGAAATTTTTATTGTTTAAAAAGAAACCCATTACTGTGAAACTTAGCAAATGCTACCTAAAAGCTAAAACATAAATAATGCTTTTGCCTCGATTAAGTCGCAAACAATATGCCTTCACATACACAAACCTTTTGACGACCCATTCATTCCTAACCTTATCAACTCAGCAGCTGCGAATAAGGTATCGGCAATTTTCAAGAAAAAAATCTCAGAGTTTGCATCGTTCAATTGTACGTATGACCTTGGCAAGAAATTCATATGCAACACCGCTTTTATTTGATTAACATTATATTTAGTACTTATAATTTAAATTTGTTGGTTTTAATCAGCTTGAGTATAACTAGAAATAGAGCCAACTTTAAATAAAGAAGGAAAACTATATTTCAACATATAATTTATTGTAGCATATAAAGATTTCAGTTAACCTGTCATTGTCCGCGTGCAAATTCATTTAAAGATAAAATTGAAATTATGAAGTTATTCAAATGTGAACTAATCTAAATTGATTGATACTAGTATCGGAAGGAGGAGGTGACAATGGCCAATCGCCCAATAACGGGATAATTATGGCCCTGTTTACATGGAGGCGAGTTTCCCGGCAAGTTTGGCTAATTAACTGCTTGTGTTTACATTAGGTCGGGAAACTCTACTAGGCGGGATAAGAACTTCTGCGCACACTGCCCATTTAAAGGCAGAAAAGGAATGTCTTCAGCGTCAGGCTGGTTCCCAAAAACATTGCCAAGAACTTGCGACGAATTTTGATGAAAAACTTACGTTTTAGTCTGCTCTTTGCAGTTGTCAGAAATTTGTGATATTATTTTGGCTTACGAAAAAGCAAGAGAGGCTATTTTGTTAAAAAGCCTTCTACTGGAAAGTCGTCAGAAAACTCAAAATAAAAAATGAGCGCTAGATTGTTGTGAAAAATTTATTAGGCGGGAAACTCGGCAAAGTGAGTTTACATGAGCTAGTGGGAAACTCACAAAAGTTATGCTAAAACTAATATGATCTTAAAAAATCCCTTCATTGACTTTTCTGGTTCTGTTGGAATAATTTTTAGGACCGGATCAAAAACTCGACCTGATCTGTTGTCAAGCGTGACATGTGGTAAAGTTTGTTTACTAAAGTTTGTTGTCAAGAATGTTTACTGAACTTTCAGACAGAATTTCGTTCCTATTTATAATGAATTTTATTTCTGGCATATTTTTTCCATTTTTATAAACGATAGAGTGATTGTTTGTATGGCTCGTTATCATTGTATTGTCTTTCAACCATTCTAGAGCAACATCTGATTCAGCTTCAAAGTTTGCAACATGTACAGGAACAATCCTCATGGGCAACATGATTATTCATGTTAACCTTTTAAAATATAGAAACAAAGTTAGGCACTGCGGATATAATGTCAGGCACTGCGGAGAGTTGGGAAAAGTGGGGGGTTTAAAAAAGTAGGGGAGGGTAATGCCAAAAAAAAGGCTTGACTGTTGATTGACTAGTTAATTTTTTGCATTTTTGGCAATAAGTAGGGGTCTAAATCCCTTAGCCCCCTGCTCCGCGGTGCCTGAATGTTTATGATGAAAAGTATATGTTCTAAGAAAGATCCATAAATACTGCCCCAACAAATATGATCTTTGTTTGACATAACACGCCATTCTACAAGGAGCATCAGCAAAAGATGATGCTTGCTGTAAGCCCTTCTGCATGCAGCAGTGAAATGTGTGAGAGACATCAATAAGATACATCGTGATTTACAATCACTGCCAAAAGTCTTGGAACACTAACGTAGGTTTTCAAAGGCAAATTCAGCCTTCCCCCTCTCCCCCTAGGAACAATGTTGATTTACTATAGAAGAAAGATAAGGGTTATAGAGTACGCTTTTTCTTGTGAATTGTTTGATATTTTTCTATACTTTCAACATTGTTTTAGGGGGAAAGGGGGGCGGAAGTGGTAGTATTCAAGAAAACAAATGAAAAATAGAAAAGCACAGCGCAAAGTGTTAGGTGTTCCAAGTAATTTTGGCAGTGATTGTACTTGGTTTTTTGCTTGCAGAAATGACCTGCTAGCAACATTCCTTTTTTCTCTATAAATAAAAGCCATGCGAGTTTTCTACACATTTTAAGAAAACTCTTAATAATTTTTAAGCTTATCGTTCTTCTGCGCATTTTAATATCTTATCAAAGGCTGGCGTTCGCGTATCACTGCAAGAATGATAAAACGCAGGATCAAAGGCTGGCGTTCGCGTATCACTGCAAGAATGATAAAACGCAGGATCAAAGGCCGGCGTTCGCATAACACTGCAAGAATGATAAAACGCAGGATCAAAGGCTGGCGTTTGCGAATCACTGCAAGAATGATTAAACGCGGCAAGGTGTTAAAGCAGCTCTTGAAGTAAAATGTTGGTCAAAATTAGATGAAAAAAATTAGAAAAGTTCAGTAGAAAATGCTACTTTGGAAAATCAGTCTAGAAACTGCATCAAAGGTAGGAGGAGGTTCTTTAAATCTAACTAAAGAGCATCAAAGTTGCTACCAAACATACTTATTATCAATTTAAATCTCACTGGCAATTTCTGGTGACATTGTAAGACAAGAATTTTTCCTAAAAAAATCTAATCTATTTAGAGAAATAAAAGGTACAGCGACAAAAAGACATCGTGATAGTAGTATTCCAACTTCAAATCTATTAAAATTCTATTAAAATTACAGTAAATTGACATTCGAGTGGAGACAGTCCGAGAGTTTAGACAGAAATACGAGGAATGTTTATATTCTGAAAACGTCTTTTTTATCGCCGCACTTGTTATTTGTCTGATCATCAAGCTGCATTTCCCAAAATCAGAATCTATGTAATCTATTTAATAAGAGAAACTTGATAATGCTTGTTAAAATCTAAATATAATTGAAGACGAAAAAATATCTGATTACATGTAACTCAAAAATTGTCAAAACTACCCTAAAATAAAAAATAAATTTCAAAATAATTGCCAAATATTTCCAAAAATATCCAAATATTGCCAAAAATATCCAATTATTGCCAAAAGTTGCCGAACATTTTTCTCATTTAACTTCCCAAACTTTGAAAGTGCTGTTGATGTTACTTTTAAGAGCAGGTATGGTTGCTTTGATCTTGAATAAGACAAACCAATTAATACTCTTTTTCATAAAATGTCACGCATCCACAAGTTTTGACAAGGCACGAGGAAGGCAGGTGATATGCTAGAATGAGTTTTATCTCAGGCTTCATATAAAGATGGCTAAGTTCTCCTACCAACAGCGTAAACTATTCATTGTACCATATTACCGTTACCGTAAAAAGAGGAAATCAGTATACTTTGAATCCAAGCCCAGCTATAAGCCTATAATACCACTAGGGCTCCGCTAGCGCTAGTGATGATCAATTTGTGAGCAATGTTGAGATTTGCTTTTTTCAAATGTTCTAACAAGATTGAAAGCTGCATTTAGAGTTGCAAGCATTAAAGAGCATACAATATTGTAGACATTCCAAATTACAAGAAATGAGATCTGAAATGAATAAAACGCGAATAAATTGTTTCTGAGAATTTCTTATGCCAATTTTTTTAGTCTTTTGTTACCAATCAGCTGTGAATAGAACGATTCTCACTTTTAATGATGAAAAGGTACTTTTATATTTCAATTTTATTCTCTTTTAACTTTCCTCTGTGTACGAAATGTCGGAAAATGACCAAGAGCAAGGAGAGCGAAGCGACAGGTGCAGGGATTGCATATGAATCGCTTCGTCCTAACAAAACCTTTGGGGGATTTTAAAGCTCGTCATAATTTCAAATGTTCAGAGAATGTGTGGTCAAATGCATCGAGCGTAACGTAAACAATTGGTCATCGCAAGAACAGAAATTTTGTACCACGGAAAATGCAGGTGTTGTTCTAGTTTAACTGAAACCAGCAGATAAAAGATGATTAAGATTAACGGTTTTTTAAAACATAGCTTAAGAAGCTCGCTTTTCCTAGAGAGGGTCTAACGCCCAGTCTAACAAAACGGAAAGAACCTCACCGCACGTGAGGCACGGGTGTGAGAAGAATCTATAAGGCATTAGCGTGGTGACTGCATGCGATTTACTTTTACATTTCACTTATGCAACTAAAGGCATTTGACACAGGTAAAAGTGGCTTACAGTGATCAGGAGCGGTTGACCAATCAAATTGCACACAGAGAAAAACACGTGAACAGTTCCCGCGTTTCTGCAAATCGGTGAAATTCTAGTGCAGCGCGCAATGGTTTCACGTGAGCAGTTTCCAATTCCTTTCTTCTGTGCGTGCTCTGATCAATTGGCCTAAGTTATATTTGGATTCGCTGTACTTATGCATGTCAAATGCTTTTACATCGTTGCAGAGGTTAGATTATATTCACCATTATTGTTTAGCTTTATTGATTCTAATCTGACTAATTTCGCCTTTATGCTAAAAATTATAGTTACCTAAATTGACTTTGTAAAATTGCTGAAAATGTTGTCAATCTTGTTTATATGTATCTCAATTTTAAAGGCATTGAGTCATGATAAAATGGATTGAGTATACCCTGAGTGCCAAAATCCGCTGAGTCGTGATTTTTATGATTGCGATGCTATTGGTTGTCCTGGAACTGGTCACAGGAACTCAACTCGTACTGATTGACAAAACAAATGTCATCAATAGCAAATTGTCAACAACGGATGCAAATATCACATGAAACACCAGCGATTACGCCGAAACCAAATGACCCCCTAAGGAGAAGGCCTATTTACCATGACGCAATGCCTTTAATTACAGAACATTTCTAATATAAGGAAAATCATCAGTATTCTCAAACGTCTGTGTTTTTTAGGGAAATCAAATTCACCGAAAAATTGATGGCAATACCAGAGCATTTGCCAAGTACCTTTGTTCTAATAATGTAATAATTAGAGATTGTAATAGGCCTCATGATATTTCTAAATCAATATGAAGAATGTTATTACTGAACAGCAACCTTTTTATCAGTTTTAACTTTTATGAGTAAATGGCATGAAGTGTAAGTATAAATTAAGACCCTTTACTAGTGAAAATGAAAAACTTGAGAGCGTTTGATATTTATCTGTATTCGCCTCTCCAAACACCAGCCTTTTATCCTGACATAAAAAGGTGAAATAATAGTTCAATTATCTTTTGGCAGAGATCTTTGCTCTGTGTGCCGTAGTTTTTAGGTTGTGTCTAAGTTGTTGGATTCAGAGAGACAACGATCAGTGTATAGGTGGAAATGGTATTGAAATATCAAGACTCCAGTCTCCGAAAATGGCGTCAAAACTATTGTTTGAATTTTCGCTAACTTAGAGAGACTCACTAGCAGAGAAAACGAAAACTACGTTCTTATCTTTGATGAGTGGGAGAATATGTTGATTGACAACACAACAGCCAAAAGAATCAACAGATTTTGTGCAGCACAAACATCAGCAAGAATTTCTGGTAAGCAAAGATCACTCTCTAAATTTCTGTGCTCCTTTTTGCACCTTCTTTAACATATTCTTTCGTTCAATAAATATTCATTATCATTTTTGAGTTTTTAAAAAAGCTAGCCGAACCGAGAGAAAGTACAGGTTCCAAAATGTCAAGACTGGTGGACACACCTTTGTACTAAGGACTCCGGACACTACAAAAGTTCCGGACGTAGCCGAGTTCGTCATTTATTGTCATGGTCTCAGGTAGAAATTTCCTTCCTTGTTGAGTCTGCCTCGCCAAAAAGTGTATGAGAACATGAATCGATGGACAACGTTTGAAAAATACATCAAGACTAAAATCGCCCACAAGAAACCAAACATATATTTAAAAAACTAAAAAACCACTCAAAGAGACTCTTGATGTACAATAAAGATGAAAATGGCAATGTTCTGTTGCCCTAAATGAGCAACCAGGGATGCACTGCGTGTACCATACTGTCCAATATTTTCAAAAAGTTGATATTTCAAGGTAGAAGATCTCTGCTTTTGAAATAAACTGAATGCACGCTATAATCATTGAAAGCTACTTAGTGCTTCTCCATAAGCTAAAAACCTAAACAAACGGTGTTTTAGAAAGGATGGGGTGAACTTTGCTCTTGAAATTTCACTTTTTCGGCGGTCGATTTAGACTGAAAAGAAATGGGAAATGAGATGTGGGGGTGGACAAAGACCAATAAGATATAAAAAACTGAACTCACCAAAAAGCAAGTGAAGCACAAAATACAACAGGTCCGCAAGAGTGCAATGGTGCTGCATCATTATGTTTCTGTCATCCGTATCAAGGATGCTAATATTGTTCTACAGAATTCTTCAAAAGAGGTCCTGGATCAAAGAAACTAGTGCAATTCTTGGAGCCTTTGATTTGAATCGAATTAGATACGGAGTCGGAGCCAATTATAGCCGTTTCAATACAGTGCAATGCAAGTATTGATTGGTATCAGTATTGGTCATGCAGATCCGTAAAGATTTTAAAAAGATTCCAATTACACGACGGAAACGTCAATACAATGACAGGCACTTGATAGTAGCTCTCGACCTGTGCAAGGAAATGGAATGTAATCTATACTTTTTGGCGTTTTTCAAAGATGATACCAAAAATGAATTGCAGACTGTTATCAATATCGAGTGATAGAGCACACAAAACAGCAGCTGGGGCGTGTTGTACAGCTGGTCTCTCCGACAACATCTGATATGTATGGCTGGTTTGTGGGAAAACAAGCAGGGAATCTTCAAGAGAATATTTCCTGCTGCAGTGTTGCAGACAGCGTTAGAATAGAGGACCAAAACTTCATTTGGGGTTTAGGTTTTCGTCGCCCAGATCCTTGATCCTTTTGCTTTTGCTCACATGGGACAGACAAATACTTTTAAAGATTTGTATCTCCTATTGATTTTCTTTTTAAAATTCGAAGTACATATTTGTAAGCAAGAAATCAAAATAAATGAAATGAAAACTAAGCAAAATACAGAACTTTGGAAAAATTATTAATTTATCATCTGAACAAGAAAATTATCTAAGTTCTTCAGTGTGGGGTAGCCTAAAAAAGCATTCACAAAAAACCAGAAGTTTCAATAACTATTTTGATTCTAAACCTGCTGAAGTGTAGAGATAATCTGGGGAGGGGGGGGGGGAATTTTAGATATGCTTTCTAAGGGTGGAAGTGGGCCCTGCTGGCAAAGACCTACTGGCAACAAAACATTGGGGAACCTAATCCCTTATAATTTACCTTTCCGTCCCCAAGATAAATGTACAGCTTAAAAGTTGACCGAGATAAAGAATTTTTCTTTTCTTGCAGAGAGCCCGCTATGGACTCTTTTTCGCTAACAAGATGTCTTATTGGATTATCAATTCATTCTTATTAGATTATTTCATTCCAAATGTAATTAGCCAGCTTACTTAAGTAGATTATTTAGATTTTTTCAAACCTGGACAAAATTTCTGTCTTTTCCAACGAAAAAATAAACGCTTCAGTTAATCGCCTAAAACAAAAGTAAAAAAAACTAAATAACCCAGTAAGGACAAAGCGCAGAAATTGGTGCCTGCTCTGCTACCCTGTAAATAAAGGCTATCCGTACATATACAAGTAGAAACCTGCAATCTTTCGCAATCTCATGTTGTTATTTCTATCCATTTGAAGATGTTGTTCAGCATATCCTCTAAGCATTAACTTTTCAAGAATAGCGAAAAAGCCTTAAAATTGTCTGGATTTTTAAGTCCTATGAATATAAACAACAACTGCATCATAACATAATACTGTTTAGAGATACACCGGTAAAGGTCAAAGTACATATTGCGCATCTCAACGAAAAAATAAGCTACAACACGGTCATGACATAGAAAATGCTCTTTTGGAACAAATGGGGTTTGCCAAGACCTGAAATATCCTCTAGGGGGTGAAATTTCACACCGTAGTTCAAGAACGGTTTAAACAATCGACCAATTTAGCTAGCTTCAAGTTTATATCGACAAGTAAAGGTGCAGCGAGGTTAAGTTGTTTCTTTATTTAGAGCTAAGCAGGTTTCAGTTTCATTGCACATGTGTGTCCTTTTCCAACAGGATTCACAGTCTGCCAGTTTTGCCATATTTATCATGCAGTCTCTTTCCTTGTTGGATGTTTGCCTGAATTGTCTTAAACATGTATGCAAAAAGCGAAAGGGCAACTGTCAATCTTATTTGGAAATAAACTGGTTATGAAACATTATTCGAAGATGTAAAAGAAATAGGGACTCTAACGAGCGATCAAATACACGATAAAGTTCCTCAGGGTTTAGGTTGACGACATCATTGTCTCTCGGAGGGGCGGATTCTCACCGTTCTCCGGATGTTCTCACCGTTCTCACGTGAAAACGTCATTTTTTTCGAAAAACGAAATTGCGAAAATGAAGGTTAAAATATTCAATTTTACTCCAAAGACAACCTCCAATACACGCAGACAGTGTCATCGTAAGGTTGCATGGCCTGATGATGCGTAGGAGCCAGTTTGAAGACAATCTGATTGAGATTCAAATTCCTCTCAATCTGAACCATTGTTTCATCTTTGAAATAAATTGAGCAGTTGTTTTGCTAGCCAATGAAAGTGCAGAATTTTCGTTTTAAACCAATGAATTGGTGAGAACTCAAAATAAATTAATTTCGTGCGCGAATCGAAAAAAACAATCAAAGTTTGTCTTCTATCGTTTCTGGTGAGAAACTCTGACGTAGCTCACAGGCTGGACGATTCAATTCAATCGAGTAAAATACAATAAACAAAGCCCGCGAAAATCGCTGTAAATCAAAGGTAGAATGTCTCAAAGATGTGGAAACTTCTCTAGGTTCCTGCTATCAATCATATATTTTCTTCTTGAACTAAGAATTATTTGGGTGGCAATTGTTCAAGCTTGTAATAGTCGTGAAGTTATACCAGAATGTTTGTTTTCCTTTGCTGTGCAAGGTTTCAGGTTTGTGCTCATCCTACTTTTTAATTTTTCGTATTTTTATTTCATTTTTGCCTGATGATAAATCTATACCAATCTTTCGACCTGTGACAAGATTAGTTGCATCTTTCAGATATATTTTAAGAGCGTGGAGTCTACTAGACCTTGGCCTTACTTAGGCCTTCTAATTCTCTGCATTAATTTTTACCATCATGTACACGTTTTTTAAACAAACTGAGCTGGCTGGCTTTTTATTCTGTTACATCAAAAAGTAGTATATGCTGGGACATTGCCATAATTAAGCCATGTTAAATACTAACCAGGTTTTCCAGACACAGATTTCTATTAATACTCATTTCCAAATTACACCCTTCATTTGGCTGTTTCATAATTCGTAATAATTACGAAAAAGGCTGAATCTGAATTTTGAAGTTATAATCATGTGTAGTAGCATGAGGAAAACACCCTTTTCAGGGGTTTGATGCTAATTTTTCCCTTTTCTGAAATAAATCAAAGGCAAGGCAGAAATCTGATATTATCATATGATAACAGACAGAATGTCAATAATCGCTAAGGCCATAAAAGCTTAAATGTTATAAATAAAAATTATAAAAATGACATATCTAAGTATATGAAGTCATTCCTGGTTAACCTGTTAAATGTTTATGCTACTGAAATTTAAATTGAATCACACCAGTTTAACAGAAGTGGTATGACACTTGTCTTGCCAAAAATTATTTAAAAGCAATTAAACTTGTTCCAGTTAAAAAGTACACACACATAAACATAATGTAAGAAGACATCTTAAAGATGAGCCCTAAAGTATTCTTTTTTCATTTTTAAAGTAAACATGCTTGAAGCTGCATGCAAAACCCAGCCAATTAATTTTGTTCCATATTTATTATATTGCTAGCAATTGACTAAACACTTTCAGCCTTTTTCTTGTCTAAGACTATCAAAGTTATCCCGTGTTTGTTCTTATTGGATATTGGTTAATGAAAAGCTCTGATTTTATTTCATGTTGTAGACCAATCATTATTATTATTTACATGTTTTAATTTCCAATGAACACTTCTGTCCTTTTTCCATATTTTGGTTGAAAACATTTATTGCCTTTGCCTGGTCTGAAGTATGCTTCATTTGATGTAGCTTATGCTCTCTTTAGCAACAAATATTGGCCTTCTGTCACAGAATGCTTTGTTGAATTCAATAATTTAGATTCAATTTTAAATTTCTCACAAAATGTTCCTTGTCAAAGCTTTTTATGCTTTAATCTTTTTGTGGTACACTTTATAATTTATTAGAAATATTCTTTGAGAAATATTAGCAACTATCAACAAATATTAGTAAACCTTCTTTTCGGTAGAAAAAAGCACTGTGCAATTAGAAAATATGATTGCATGCATGGAAATACTGCTCCAGTTTGTGTATTTCTAAGCATAAATCCTTAGATGGGTTTTGGGATGCTACTTTATCAATTTAAAAGTGAATTCCACAGAAAAATTGTATTACAGTCAATTCTTTGTTCTACTGTTTTTCTGCTATTTCAAAAATTAAAGATTTGAAAAAACGGAATTCTTAATTCTCAATTCTGATTTGAGTGATGGACTGTTAGTACTGATAATTACAATTAAAGTTTCTTATGTTGAAAATAGTGTAGTTGATATGAGCCACATTTTTTAAAAGGAAGTTTCTCAGATATTTGAAAGGGCGTGGTCAGATTTTTTAAAAGGGGTCACGCCTACGCAACCCCTTTCTTTCGTGGTGAGAGCATCATTTTTACTTCTGGATCCGCCCCTGGTCTCCTGTGCTGGCAGATGACATTTAAAAGGGGTGATGACAAATGTAATGCAATTTAATGTAATGCTTTCTTTCAATTCATGTTAAAAGGGCGATTTAGGGTGTCCAAAAATGTAGTGAAAAAAGCCCTTCATGTTTTCTTAGTGAAACTGTTATAGAAAACACATATTAGTGATTTCTTTCAACACAGCTTTTATGTAGGGCATCAATGCAGAACACTCCCCACTAACCTCACCCGGATCCGATTCTCCGACACATTGCCGCTGCGCTGCTTTGTGGAGGGATGAATGGTAGATAGTGTAGTGGAATTACGAAGTAGGAATTCCCAATGTCCAATCGATGGGGCTTTTTTCTGGTCATTCCCAACATAGTGTAGAACATAAGTGCCAAATTTCAGCTTTATATTATTTTTGTCCTGGCTAGACCGTTTTTATATCTAATTCCACTACACTAAGAAGGAGCGTGAGATCGTTGTTACTAGAATTGCTTGCTGTTCATTTAATTTGTTGAATAATCCAGTAAAATTACATTAAAGCGTCGCTATTTGTGTGAAATATTAGAAAATCAATCCTATTAAATTCGTTCTCTTGAAATTTGTTGCTACCCTGTTTACACGAGAGTGGATCTGATCCTAATCGGACCCAAAGATGGTCTGGATCAATTCCGTTAACATTTTTATTTTAATGTGAGACAGTTAATGCAATTCAAACAAATTCGTTTTCGAAATTAGCTTTTATCTTATGGTCTACCTAAAGTCTTAATCTATATATAATGCATTCCGACTGGGTTTAAACGTCGCACTTCTAGCGCGCTAGTTCAATCCAAATATACCTCTTTTTGGTGCTTCTTCGAAAAATGGTATTACGCATGCACAAGAAATGTTATTGCAAGGCTCAAAATAGATGAACTTGATTTGATTTTATTTGATTAATTAGAAGCGCGACGTTTAAGGTGACGGCTGACGTTTAAGGTGACTTGTAGCGACTGATGGCGTCGAGCTTATGTCATGCCTTGAAGCTTACTTCCAAATTCAATTTCTACGTCATGCTTATCTCGAAGGTAAGTAATATTTATAAATTTCAAGACATCATATTTGACTTGATGCGAGTTAAGCACGACGTGTAGATTGGCCCAAAGCGTCCTTTTTTGATTTAATCCTGTTAAAACCTCTAGCAGACATGATTAGCAATTTTCTTGGTTGATTTTGTACACTCCCATATATTGATTTCGCAATCTTTTCAACACTAATATTAGTTCAAATGTTTAAGCGCTGCAATGAGGATTGATACTTCCTCCTAAATTATTCACATTCTCAGCGCAAAAAGCGATCAAGATTTTTTCAAGCTACTGCAACGTCTTTAGAAAATATGAATAATTCAAACACGACTGTGAGCTCTTTTAGAAATTGTATCTTGAGGCACAAAACGATTCACACCATATTAGATACAATTTTTTGCAAGTGACAACTGAGAGAAAGCAGCTTGTCGTTAGATTTTTCTAATCCTTTGGAATAACTAAGCAGATAGAACGACTTCTTTGCACCTGCCATTAAATTTGTACCATTTCGGAAATTAAGTTTCCAATGTGCATTAAGAGCAACCGACAAAAAACTTGAAATTTTGCGCATGACAAAAAGCTTGATTTGAAATTTCACGTACATCGTGATTGATCTGTTATGCTACCGAGTATTATAAAACCATTAAACAATTCTTTAAAAGCCGAAAATGTTAGGTGAATCCCCTAAAAGAGCTTGTTAGGTGAATCCTCAAGGTTTAAAAGATACTTACCCAGTGATTTTGAAAAAGCGCTTAACAGGATGTTCTTACTCAGTTGCTCTAAGATGCTAAGTATGAAGTGCCCATTTGACTCAAGTCCTGTGTCTCACCTCTTTTTATGCCTTACCAGGGGCGTAGCGGGCGAGGGTGTGTACACCCCTAAATTTCCCCTAAATTGGGGGTGTGTACACCCCTAAATTTCAGAGAACTTGTCGGTAGAATTAAATTTATAACAAAATATTAATGTAACAAAAGAATTTCTGTCGGTAAAATATAGTTTTTCACCCCCCCCCTCCCCCCAGCGAGAATGGTCAAGCGACGCCACTGTACCACACAGTTGTTGCGTTAAAGACTCTTTGCTAACAATGGGCCTTTGCGAGCGTGGCGACGATCCAAACAAGGGCAGTAAACTTCTACGGATTAACCAAAATTGATTTTTAGACTGTCTAAAAATGGATTATGGGATGCTTGCGTAGCGCAATGGCTCATTGTTAGCAATGAATCTTTAAATGTGTGTGCTATTGTAGCTTACATATGGACAAAGATGTTAACATAGCCTTTTGCCCCTGTGGTATCGTTGTTTGTATTGTTGTCAAGAAGCTTGTTAAAAGTACTTTGAGTAATGTGTATTGTAATCTTTTACTAACTAAAGTATTCAAAATTTACTAGACAAACAGGTATTCATTTGACTAAGTAATTTCTCCTCTACACAGTTCATGTGCAATGAAACGAAACCCCTGTTTATTATTTTCGAGATTTGGGAAGACCCCTCCCCTCTTGTTTTACCGACCAAAACGTTCGACAAAAACTCAGAAACTCGAATTTTCTTCCAATCAAATTCAAAAAACAACATCTCTTCCACCCCTCTCCCAATATCCTCCTTAAAGACGGTTCAAAGTTTTAAATTCTCTGGAAATTTTTCTTTCAAGCAAATTTCTCTTTCGTAACACATAAAAGGAACAGAAAAGGAAAGACGACAATCTGATTCGTAATATCTGCAAAATTCTTTATCCTACTAAACTTTATCCTGCACAATATTGGTGGTTTGCCGTGGATACTGCGAGCATTGATCTTAAGAGCACGAAGTCTTATCTTCTAAATTCTTTCTTTTACGGAACGAAAGAATTCATTTTTCTTGCCAGTCGGGTTCATTCCACAGATATGAATAAAATCTTGCTAAATAACACGTTTTCCTGGCTTACGTGTGATAAATCCTACCTTTTTAATGATGCAAGCAGAAATCTTTGTAAGGCAAATTTAAATTTTAAAAGAAATGTGGTAGAAGTGCAGTAGAATGCACTACAAAACGAATGCTGGCCTATTTAGTGTATCATTTTTAACTGAGCTGACAACTAACAACTTACATTTTGCATTGATTGCAAAAATATATCTTTAAAGAGGATGAATGATGCAATTACCGTCTCAAGAACTTCAGCATAACATTCTAGGACATTCAGAATTTCAGGTATTTCATCCAAAATATATCAATATTGATGACAGTTCAGTTGAGCAACATGGAAAAGTAAATGCTATTCATTTATATTTTATGAAACAGCGAAACCTCGCTGGAAAACAACCAAAACACTCTAAAAACAAATCTAGAGTCAAGTCCGCTTCTTACGTGGCGGATCTTTTCATAACAAAGCTTTTCTTGAAAATGTGCGAGGAAAGGATTTAATAGCAATATATCCATGTCGTCTGTAGTTTCATGGATTGTCGTTAAAACTGTTGATGAAATGATGATATGAATTCAGCTGTTGGTTTAGATTCAGCTACTTGAACCGTCTTGAAGCTACTAGATGGATTTCTAGATCTGTAATATTGGTTTTTATACAAAGCTGCATCTCCTACAAAGCATGCTACTTGTGGGGATCCCCCGCTTACAAATACTCTATGATTGCTATAACTTTTTATATATATCATCATTTAAATTTTGATAATGTTCTGCTATCTACGTTCACAAATTTTCTAGAAGTATTTAGTGGACTAAAGCAATACATTGGCCCATATCTGCCACGGTAAAGACAAACATTAAGCAAAAATTTCAAGTAGTCAACAGCATTCCATAAAAGGTTATTAACCAAATCAATATTCACGATAGTTCCCTAGACCCACGGCTTGGTCAATCTTTTTGAAACATTTCATTTTTGGTTGCATTCAGTCAGAGACGTTTTCTTCTCTCGACTAATATCTCACAACTAACATCTTTCATCTGCCCAGAAACAAAGGCACTGCCAGTTCTTCTTGCAAATGAAATCGTGAAAATAGCATGCTGATAAAGATTCTATTGGGAACTCAAGTCTACAGTAGCACTGTCCAAATATTTTGAAGATTCTGTCAATGATGATGGAAATGCTTCACTTGCTTTCTATCCAGCTCTTAGTTCTGTATTGATGATGTGATACATCTATTGAAAATCGAACATTTTCGACTTTTTAGAATCAATCGTTTCACTCTTATCGACTAAAATGCCTTCTTTATTGAAAAAAGGTCCCAACAATACTTGAAAAGAAGTCATAAATTTCATTTCCTCTTTTTCTATCATCATTTCGCTTTTCATGATTTGCTGTTAGTTCAAAATCGCCAAGAGCCAAGCCTTCACAAATGAAGTTATCAGATAATTTGTATCGATGAAATACAATTCTTTTTTATATTTTTTCTTTATCTTTATACTCCAATGCTATCTTTATGTTAAAGCAGATCAAATAATCTTGTTGTGCCTGGTATGAACTGTGCATTCTTCCTTCTGCACATCAACATGCATTATCTTCTTGATAATGATTCCATTCGAATCGTTTCATACAGAATGATAAAGAGTTTTCTGGAAATTGGATTTAAAAATATTTCCAATAACAAGTTAATGCCAGTTTCATATGTTCACGATAAAGCTATCAAATACAGTAGAATACCTGACTTCAATAAAAATATAGTCTTTGAAATTTTTAGTGTTTAACGTAGGCATTCAATTTAACTCACCCATCAACACAGTGCTGGCAGAGTATATCTTTGAAATATATTGCTTGACCTCAGTGTGAGCAAAACATATTTGTCATCTTCAAAATATCTTCTTCAATAAACTTGTTGATCGTGTTTGGTTATGTTCGGGGAGTGTCGTGAGCTTCTGCTTGCCATGAAGCTTTTCCATAAAGCTTGCAAGTCCTTACTTTTACCAAATTATTTTTGGGATGCCGTGACCATTTGCTTATCCATAGATTTTAAGGAATACCTATAATCCTTGCCAAAAATAGCTGGAGCGCCTTCCCATTGCAGCATGCAAATAAACAAAGCATGTCAAAATTATCTTACCAAAATATCACTGCCGCTCCCAAAATTTCGACCCTCTCCCCCCGTACAATGGTGATTTATTTACTTAATAGTTTCATACAGCTTTCCGTGAATTTTTTTTTATCTTCAGCGTCAAAACAGCCGAATTGAGCAACATTGTTATGGGGGGTAGAGGGGGATTTTAAAAAAAGCTTCAGCTTTGCACAAGTGTTCCAACAATTTTGGCAAGGATTGTTGCACATTTGCTCATGCCGTGGATTTCGGGAAATGCCACGGGTATTTGAACTAATCGTTAATTTTCTGAGAATGCTGTCGACTGTTTGCAATCGCTGTGAAGTTTTTGTTTTCGCTGTAGCAGTAATGGGCCAGCATAACTAACCAGCGTAACGTGCCACCGTGATGGGTCACCTTAATAAGCTACCGTAATGGCTCACTGTTATGGGCCACCAAAACTGGCCGCCATCATGGGTCACCGTGATTAACCACCGTAATGGGCCACCTTAATTGCGCGCATTGGCTCGCCAGGAAGAAAGAAGAGTAGACAAGGAAGATGTCTAACTTCTCGATAAACCATTTCCTGTTGAAACTTCTTCGATAAGACCCAGATTTGAGAATCTATTTTGTTTTTTGATTTCTTCAATTGATAGATGATAAATAGAGGAAGTGAAATGAAGGTCGCCACTTCAATGAATATCGATCGCGGATGTTGATCACGTTAGGGGTTATGGAGCCTCTGCTATAGAGTACATTAGTGCTAAACTTCCCCTTGTACCCAAAAATTAACTGGAAAGCAAAGAGCTCCTAAACCCCTACGCAACAAAAGGTTGAAACAAGTCGGCAATGCAGGGACGAAATATCTAGGTTGTCGGCAAATTCGAGCCATTCCGCAGAGCTAGCACATTTTAGGAATTTGACGTTTTTATATCTTGTATAGACCCAAAGCATTAATGGATCCCAAAAGTTTACTGAAACATGTTACTGGCGGAAAATAATATTTTCAAATTCTTCCAAACTTCCCAATAGTGCTTATAAATACTCGATATAGAGATAGTATCTATGTACTGTTTTCGTATTTGACTGAAAACCATCTGTCCAACAAGGATTCGTGTTAGTGAAACACCCAGATATAGACTGTGAAAGTATTCCCTACGCACAGAAAATGCCTACTAATGGGGATCTAGATACAGTGTTAACGGAGTTTGGCGAACAAAAAGAACCGTTAGTCTAATAAACAATACTTTATCACAAAGTAAGCATTGATAAGCCATGATAATTGTCCATCCCGTCACTGTACATTTAACCGGAATTTTCAAGATTCGCGCCCCAAAACTGTCGGATTGATCTCCTTCTATGTAAGGTGTCATATTAAGCGAAAATTTCAATTTTTGTATCAAAATCGTGTACATGGAATTAAGTTGAATCTACTGCATTCAACTTGACGTGTGTGCTTTAATTCAAATAGTATTTCTTGTTATCAGAACAAAAGAAACCTTCTCCATAATGGCATTGTAAAATTTTGTCTAATGATTATACTCGTTTTGAAATTAGTGAAAATCAAGCGGATAAATAAAACAAAAAGATAAACATCCTACAAAACTTTTTCTTATTTCTCAAGACTTTGCGATTGTGAGGAGAGCTTACCTTGTTATATGACTGTTTCACCAAGGGACACTGTGGGATTCGACGACCTTACACAACCGCACTTTTGATGAAAGTCTGACCTAACTGCAGTGTTTCTCGCACACAAGTGATGGATTTGGCTTTCATGGTTCTGTTTTATTATTTATGAGCAATTTGCGACTAGATTTTATTGTAATTGAGTACATCAAAACATAGGATTAAGGCAAAAAAGAGCCTGAATAAATACGAATGTCATTTCCGTGAAATAATAATCCAAAGTCAAAGTGGAGACTTGATTAGAAATTCTTGTTTGCAAAGTAAAAATCTTGGGTGCTAGAGTGTTGCCAAGAGGTCGCGGAGGAGCAATGGGGTGAGTTTCGAAAATTGAAATCATCTTAATCTCACTCAAATTGAAATGTAGTCTGTATTTTCCATTGTTTAATGCTATTTTTCATTTTTCAGGAACACAAATTTATTCTCCAATCAGAAGCGTACATGTTTAATTGTAAGTTGGAGAACATACATGTTGCTGTAAGAATTGAAAAAAATTAACAGCTTTTCGAAAATTGACAATAGCCTGTTTTAATCACTAAGAGATGAAATTATGAATGTATGAATTGCTAACGTATGACAATTGGTTCTGGAGCTTTAATTAACTAATATATACCTTCGCGATAAAGTTTTAGTCTTAAAACTACATGTGTAAAAATGCGAAGTTCTAAACTTTCTAGAGCTTTCTCTAAATTTATATCTTTAAAACGTTTGAAGAGCTCACTACGATGCTAGTTAAGCTGTTGATCTATGTTATTGCGAATCTTTAATTTGACACAGAGGTGGTTGTAACCATCTGCCAATCACAACTAACCATTAGGCGTGATGTAGCTGATTGGCCAATTGTTGAATTACAGATGGCCTAACCCACTTCAGTTTCTGCCAATTGTCCCCAATCAAAGGAACCTTAGTCATGGAGCATGGAATTATCAGAAATATTATTTTTTTATTGTCAGATGCGACATTCGTCTTTATAAGAAAACAACCTCGGTATTAACAGCTTCTTAGTTCTTTGTTGAATTCAATGCTTAAAGTTTCTCACAAAGGTTTCTAAATTACCAAATGCCAAAAAGTTTCCTTTTAGAAACACTAAAACGAAACAAATGGAACACCTTATAAGTCCTAAGGAGCTGCTTTTTTAATTTCTCTGTCAATGAAACAGGGTGTGTGTCTAATCGTCGAAAAGAATCATTTCCAATACCTCTCTTAAATGAAGATTTTCGAGCAGTTTCTTAGAATTGAGCGTGATCCGTACAATGGTTTCTTAATATTTTAGTTATCTTGTGGCTTGGTTGCTTAAAGACTGAATTACATAAAAATGAGTGTACTGTTTGCAAGCAATATAGGTACATTGTAATAGATTTCAAGTAGAAAAAAACGTGAATTTGACAAAAAACAAAATATATTCAGCAGCAGTGTCAAAATTCTATGCAACTATAGTCATTTCCCTCCCCTTCTTCAAATCGAAGCAAAGAAAGCCTTGTTCAACGATAGCTTCTTCAATGGCCTAAAACTAGGCACATTCTTGTTGCTGTTTCTGTTTTCGTTGATATTTTTGTTGCTGTTGTTGTTATTCTAATTGTTCATTTGATTTTTGATCACATACAAAATTGTCTATTAACAGTTAAGCCGGGTTCTGCCGGACTCTATCAACAGATAATCGAACGATTCATAATCTTTTTGAAGAGTTGTTAGGCTAGATTAAGTCTGATGGATCTTGTTTGATTGCTGCCATGTTCGGTCCGAACATGGCAGTTCCACGATTGCTGCAATTCCACGTTCTTCAATATCACCTATTTTTTTCGATTTTCAACTTTTTTCTTCCTGTTGTCCAGTTTTCATTATAATAAAGATTGCATCTCGCAGATAGCTGTCAGGGCATTCGCATGGGAGAATAATTAAAATATGTAGAAAGGTGCCTAATAAGTTTGCATCTGAATATTTCCTTCAAAGTGACACAACTTTCAGTTTTTTGTTCGGTCTTCTTTCTGGTTGCACAAGCAAGGATGATTTTAAATAACCGCAACATGCGTTTGTAAATCGCATCAACGAGGTTGACCTTACAAAAGCTGTTTAGCTTACGATATAGAATAATCAGATGACTTAGTAAGATTATCTGTTTTCCCTGGAACTGTTGAAATTCCACATATTACTTAAAACTTTGTTATCTAACAGTCACGGAACGCGAATGCTATTGACAAAGTTGAAGGAGAACTCAAAACAACAATCTAAAAATGACAACCAAAGTTCGTATAAGTGATTATGCGGCTGCTTTAACTTCACAACCTACCAGCATGGTGATGATTAAGAAGCAAACAGCACTGGAAACGAAGAACCGACCAAGATGACAGAATTACAACTGTGAGCATGTTAGTCCAATTATAACACATCCCAAGCCAATCAACGAAAAAGTAGCATGTTCTTAGCTTGCTCTCTTAAAAAATAGGTTTCTTCTTGCAAAAATCTGAGATGAAAGGACATTGACCAAAGAAGATAATTTTCTCGACCGGATGTTGTTATGCCTCTTTTATTAACTTTCACTGCATCGATGACGCTTTTCATAAATTCTTATGCTATCGTTAACTTTGATGTTTTGATGGTAGGTGATGTCTTTGTAGGTGATGGCAAAAATACAGCATTGGTATTTTGTAACATATATTCTTTGCAATAGAGAGTTCTTTTATCTGTTACTTCTCCAGCAATAAACAACTTATGCAATATTGTTGAAGAAGTAAGAATTTTTATCATTTTATGAACATAAAGAATGTTATGAAATATTTTTTCGCAATAACAAAATGGTGTTATTCGGTAAAAGCTTCCCAGAGGCTGTTGGCTGACACTCAACTAGTTGCCAAGAAAAGAACCTGTGAGGAAATGAATCTCTTACCGTTTAATTCTGACATATACATGACTTAGGACTATTTTAGGCAACATAGTTTCTATTGAGGGATCCACGAGTTTGTCAAAGAGTGCTCGATACATAATAGATTGATTCCCAAGAATCGATTCTTTTTCATGTGAAAAATGCTGTACAGTATTTTTCCGCAAAAGAGGAACCTACTTTTCAAAAACCCGGCTCCTTTTGGGACTTGTTTTAAAGTGCATATATAAATGGCAAGTTCAACGCTTATTTCATTACGTTCTTAGCACTGTATTTTGCTGGTAAAGCGGGTCGGCGATGCTTCAAAATCCCTTATTGTATAAAAATTTTCCGATGCATCGAGCAAAAACAAGTTACTTATAACAAATGGCCTAACCATAGAAAGACAGTTTGTAGGTTCTTCTTTGCCGAGATCTGTGGTATGACAGAGAGGTATAAAGATCTAGCTAACAAATGTGGACTGTTTGTATGACATAAAGCCATGCTAGCCTTTATTTTCAGAATTATTAAGCATGTGCCTGCCATGCACTTTCGCGCAGTTGCAATCCACGTGTCAAGGGACTCCATTGAATTCCTTCGACAAAAGCTCCTTCGAGAAACACCCCTCTGATTGATTCCTCTCTACATAAATCTACTTACACAAGCCTATGAACGCGATCATCTGTCAAAAACCCAGTTTTCAAATCTTCCTAAAGTCAGATTTCTTTAGCTTTAAAAACAGTTTCTATGATCTTAATTGTAATTGAACATCTCTTTATTAGTTTTTATTCATCAATCTGGTGTCATATTAACCTTACTGTCACTGCTCATTGTATTGACCAAAGTAATAATATTAATGTTTAGTTTAAGAAAATGCTCTTTTATTTAATAGAATTCGTTTTAAGAATTTCAGATTGCCATTGATTATTCTTGTATTTATACCTTGTTTCTAACATATGCTGCTTAAACGTTTATTATTCTATCGTGTTAAATTTGTATACCTGGTGACAATAAAGAATTTTCGAAACGTGCTTTTAAAGCTAAAAAATGCCGATTCATTCGTAACAAAGTACAATAGCATTTAAAATATAAAGGAACTACGAATTGACCTTAATTTAAGCACTATGAGGAATAGTTTAAAAACAATTTGCAACTCAATCAAAATTATGTCTATCCAGTGTGCATCAGTGTATAAATAGTTTTAAGGTGGTCAGCTGACCACAGTTTTGATAATGTGGGTCCAGGAACGCCCCTAGAAAGAGATGAAAGAAGGGAAAATGGTACTTGAAACATAGATATGCATATATCGTCACAAAAATGGGTACAGTGAAGCATTTTTGTAGCTAACATCTGTCATACTCTAGAGCTTAGGTTAACTATAGGCGTCCGACGTTTGTGGTGCCCTGAACTGGAAAGGTCTCCCGTACTGTTCAGATATGCAGAATAGGATACGTTCTATGTGATATGTTTACAATACAAAAGTGACATCAGTATTGACTTGGAACAGTATCTCAATGAGTTCTCTATCGTTAATTTAGCCCAAAGTCAATAAACTCTAAAAATACGATTCAGACATTTGAACACGCGTATCCAGTATGCTATCACATTTTAAGCAGCCTTTTCAACGAGCACAGTGAGCAAGACTGTTTGATGTCGAGTTGCAGCAGACTTTTACAAAGCAGAAAGTCACAGTTGCGGCTCTGATGCCATCATTCTTATCACCTGCTTTACCATACAAATTCATCTGACTGTGTGTTTGTTGTTTTTGTCACGCGGTTTTATCCAACTGCTCCAGTATGCTTTCTAAATCATTGCTCAGTTCAATAATACATTGAGCGATAATGCTTCAGCCTTTCTTGTTTTCATTATCTTTGCCTATCATTGTTTACATCTGATCAACAGCGAAAAACTCATCCATGAAAATTAAGAATTCGTTATTTTAGAAAAGCAATAAATCATTTTAAAAACATCAACCATTCAATCCTGATCTATCACAATACAGTATCCCGAAAATGGAGACGGAGTGGCTGAACTTATTCGAATAAAAGAGAACGATTCTGCTCTCTCACACTAGTTTCTATCTCTAAAAACATTTGGTGTACTTCAGGGATCATGTCTTGGACCCATTGTTATTCATCAATTGCATCGATGTGTTTAAAACACAGTCAAGTTGTGCGCTGGGCTTAACTGAGAAGTACAATTTTGGTTTAGGGAAGTGTTAAGTGCACTCTTTTTCTTACAAGAGACTCTCTAAGCACTACTATGAAGCGAACAAACGCTCCGTGCTGGTTTTATGGATTGCAAAATTACTTTTTGGGAATAAACATGCCTTGCAGTACTGCATATAGTGCTTGATGGGATGCTAACTATCTGATTTAAAGTTGAATTGCGACTGTGCTACCCTAATGAATCGAACTTATTTAAGGAAACTTTGAGTACTCAATTTCATGACAAATCATGAAATTTCTAAATACTGATTTATTTTACAAATACAAGTGTGTGTTGCGAATTCAATACAAAGAACATTATTAACTCGCACAAATTGCAATTTACTTTGCATTTAGCCGCGGATAAACATCAAAATATCGTTGATAATATTGTTCAACGCCAATCGTGATCTGTAATTAGGATATAGCACTTAAAATTGAATGAGCAATCCGCATGTTGCTTTTGTTGACTAAAATTAAAATGCCAAACATTTTCGAGTCTCAGACTATTTTCAAAGTATAAAATTGACTGCACAAAGTTATTGCTTTTTGAATATATGAATAAAAAAGTTTATACACCAAAGCAGTTAATAATCTCACAACGAATAGCAAAGAAATAAATACATCAATGCATTAACAATCAGACTGCGTGAATTAAATAAATTATCTTAGCATGTTTATTGGGAATCTAAAAGTATGGAATCCTGTCACTTCTCAAGGTAAAATCTTTTTAAGTTTCTTTGCAAAACAAACTTGGATACAAGGTCGAGGTCCTTAACAATTTTGTTCATAAAAGGTATAAAGGTATATTTTGCTTTTTGCTAGCAGTGGCTATATTTCAGTTCATTGTTTCAGGTCGTTGACACTGGTCCAGCCATTGTCAACCAGACGAAAACACTTATATTATTTACTTATTTAATTTACTTATTAAAAAGAACATGAACGACAGCATGACTCTTAAGCCTGGTTCTCATATGTCAGCGATCGTCGCCGATGAGGGCCTTGCGATGCTTGCAATATACGAGAATATCAGTTTTTGTACGTCGCCGATGAACCAAAAAAGTTTGTTTCTTGCGATCGACGGCGATAATCGCCGATGGGAACATATCTGCGATCATGCCTAGCTTCCAGTCTTCCTATATGGCCACACTTGCGCCGAGCAAAATGACTGAACAGGAGGATTTGTCTAAAGAAGACACTGTATATTAAAGAAACGCAGAATCATGACAATAAGAACGGATGTTTCCAGATATTTATTGAAAATATGAAGAAGATTACATCAGAGAAGTAATCACTTTTGTTTCAAAATATGATCGTATGCATCGGCTGATGTTTTTATTACGTCGAGGCACTGCTACCAGAATTGGCGCAAAATTATCAAATTGAGGCACTTTGTTTCAATGTCCACTTATGACAGAACAGGGCCAGAATATCGCAAGTCATCGCAGTCAAGCAGTTTATGAGAACACTTGCATCGGCGATGGTCGCCGACGGTTTGCGTTATATGAGAACCTGGTTACAAGCACCAGAATAAAAATTTGTCGACCACTGAAGTTGTCTTCGCTATGCATACTGCCAGCAAAGCTACTAGCTACAATTGTTCTTTAAAATATGCATGTTTAGCTTCTAGAGCCTACTGAGAGTTAAAAATAACATTTCTTTTTAACAAGATACAATTATTGTTCAAACTTACATTGAAATTAATCATGAATAAATTACTTGTTCATTCAAAGCAAGCTATTGATTGTTAGTTTGAAAATGTTATTTTGTGCAACAAATACAACTCTAAAAATATCATTTATCAATTGATGAGAAAAATTGACAATCATGTCACACAGCTTGATCTATACCCCAATACTAATGATGAATGCGGTAACAGAAAACAAAGCCTAAAAAGTAGTAAGTTTGAACCCGAATCTATTTTATGATGTGGAAGCACAAAAACCTAACTAGTACCTAGTTTCTGCTTGAATTGTCATCTTAACAAAATCAAAAAAATTCCTATTATAACGAAATCCTTGTCTTTTCGCTAAGCTGCCAGCTTTTTATGTTATTAGAACTAAGCCAACTAGATTATGGAAGTACCAAATAAACAGATATAAAAAACTCTCACCATCCATCAAAGCAGTTGATTCATTTAAAAAGTTCTTAAAATCAACAAAATACTCGGAAATCTAACATATCGCGCTTTTGAATTTGCCAACATACCAAACGGCAATTGTACGCACAAGGGTTCTTTTTAAAAATTTGAAAGAACGTTGTTTTACCTAATGCTAGTGGGAAATTTGATTGGAACTATCGTAATTTTTTAAGTTTTTTTATAGGGATTTAATGTTCCCAACAGGGCCCCTATAGCTAAACCACTTTATTTACTTGCAAGATGACCCACTTAGAAATCATGTGTTGTATTTAAATCGGTTGACTCTTTTCACTTCATGTAAACAATTTTCTGTGACCCCTTTCCACAAAAAAACAATTGACTCTACGCCGTCTACCTTTGCGCTACAAGGCTACAAGATTTGTTCAACTGAAATTTAGGAATTGGAAATGAACTTAAAAGTAACACGATCTTCTAAAAACCTTCGCACTAAAGCACTGGTATCAGTATATTATTCCAATTCTAACACTAGATTGGTAGTTAATTTATGATCTTTATCAATTAATTATGATAACAAATTTCAACATCTAGTCATTACCAGCAACAGAATAAACGACGTCTTTTCGGACATTTAAACACATGTTATAACTACCCCAATGTGATGCTACTAAAGCAATACGAATAGTGTGCCGGCGGCCAACAGATTCGAGCTTGAGACAAAAACCTTAAATGACATACGTCTTTCATCCAGATGACAAGCTTGAAAATCTATACCCCTTTTACGATTTGATTTGCAATAGACTGCGGCGTATTGGTTGCAATAGCTTTTGTCATCGTTCTGAGGCATTTGCTGTAAGCTCATGCACATGAATATCAAATCCAAGGATTGCGAGAGGGTTCTCTATATGCTTTGATGGATGAGCAAACCAGGTTCAAATCTTATTCATAAACGTATACATACCATTCACTCGACAAGTATCTACTAGAAAAATTCGATGGAGCGAGAACTGTTTCAGCTTGTTATGCATAACATCTCTCGTGCTTTTAGTTTATATTCCTGCAACAAACCAATAAAATTTTAACAGTACAGTTTTTAAGCAACGAAATAATTATTATTTATGAACTAAACAAAGAACTGACACAAACATGAAAGTCAGTACAACAAACTACAAATTCGTACCTATAGGCTGTACCTTTTATAGGTTGTATTAGATTACGTTACGTGATCAGTATTGGCATGGTTTGCATCCGTGGAACTAGGTAAAACTCATTACAGTTGCAGCTTATTACGTCTGCTTATAATTTAATCACTTTCAGTAAGGTACTTTACTTGTGAACAGGAGATATCTTACCCTCTGGTAGCCATCAGCGCAACGCCATATCTGTTTTTAAACGTCTTCTCTGCTTCTGAAAACAAAATAATTTATTGCAATCAATGAAAGCTTACAAAAGATTGACAATTTAAAAAAGCAGCTACTGCTTTGATAGCTCATTCAAAGAATCATCGTAGATCTTCTACTTTTAGGGTTCATTTGGACCATCTGTGGTCATGTGGAACTTCTTTTTTGACAAACGCAATGTAAGGTACAACATTTATGCGAGAAAGATGATACTCCTAAATAGATGTTCAGACGTCTCCATAACTGTGGCACGAGAGATTGCAGAATAACATTCTTCTCCTTAGATTATTTATACAAAACTTGAGTTTTGTGTTTGTGTATCTCTTCAAGAAGAACCTATTCATTCTTGATTCACGAGTCAAATTCCTTTAGGTATTGTTAAAACAATGCAAATGAGAACTGCATGTCAAATTTTCTGACATATTCATATATATAATCATATGTGATACAAATTATTGACAAATTATTTTAAGAATTTACGGAAAGAGATATATTAATAAGGTGTATTTTGGTGACGTGCTTGTTCGGGGTGCCTGAAAATATGGATTTCTTGTGAAGACAAATACTTTAGGAGACAATGCTTTATGATGACATATGGCAAGATTCAAGCAAATTTTTTAACTCAAACTTTAAAAGCAAGCTCTTTAACTCAAAACAAGGTATAAATGTTTACCAATTCAGGATCGGATGGAATACGGGAAAGGAAATCTAGTAATTCGTTGTTGCCAACAGCATTTGGCTTTCGTATTTTCTTTGTGAATTTATTGACACCTGTTGGAGAACAGAGTCTAAAATTATGCAACGTAAGTAGGTATGTTTTAATTGTCCAGATTACGTGTGTGAAAGCAAAAAAGAGCGCGAGAAGCTATATGACCTGAATAATTCAATTATTTTTCGCAAAAAAAACTCATCAGAATACAAAACTGTAACCAGGAACAAAAGATAGCTAGGTCAACAGGCGGATGGAAGGCTTGGACTGGCTGATTGAATAATCATTGTCCTAATAAACCTCTTCAAACACAAAATTTGAAAACAGCAACAAAATTTAGCTTTTCCATGTTATTGTCAAAGCGGTATTTAAATTATGACGTCATTAGGCATTCGTATTTGGCCTAATGAAAAATCACCGGCATCTAGGTTTGGTAAGACCAGAACCGTATAATCTGTCAAATTAAAATGATGGACTCAATCAAAGTGACGGAAGAACATGAATTATGTAAACAGCAGCAGTCGTTAAACCTGGTTATTCTTCAAAGTCAAAACCAAACTAAAGCTTTATTCCATGTGCGCCGGCATTTATTCCATTCTATATAGCCACATAACTTAGCAACCAAATGTCGGGCATTTTACAGTCAAATCGTTCTGTAAATCTTCCTCGAGACAAACAGCGTCGCTGCGCGAATCTTTCTATCACCTTGTTAAATATCGCCTATGAATGAACCTGATTAGCTGAGTCACTCGATGGCTCTAACACAAGTTAGTCGTATGGAGTGGAGAAAATATTCGATTCTCTTTGTAATCTGAGAGGCGACGTTGCAAAGGTTCTAAAGTCAGAAGGCGATAACAAATGATTCAATTTCAGTGGCTGACAGTAACCATGTTTGATGACAAAGAGCACCAGCAAAACTTGCTGAGTTTGCGAAAGTCTGTCTTTCCAAAAAATTCATCGCGAACGGCGAGGGGGAAATCACTTTTAAAAAGGTGTACGAGATTAATAATCACTAGTGATTACTTTGTGATTAAATAAATTTTGTGTGTGATAAATTTGATTTTTAGTGATTAAAGTGATTAATTTGTGATTAATTTGTTATTAATTTGTGATAAATTTGTTATTATTTAGAAATTGAATCATAAATTCAAAAGTGCTCTCAAAAAAATTCATGCGCAAGAAACGTCGTTTGAACACATGACGGTAAACCAAATGATAAGCAAAATTCAACAAAAATATTCCATGAATTAAATGACAACCTATCATGGCAGTTTGGCAACGATTTTGCAACATACTCTATGAAATTAACAAAGAAAAATTAGCACTTCAGCAAAAGGGAGATCCAGAAAAAAGTTTGACAGTTGCAGATTTACAAAAGAAAAAAGGTGCAATAGTTTAACAACATTGACAACTAAAAACAGAGACATCTTTTCTGAACAGCAACATAAGCAAAATATTAAATCAGTATTATAGGTTGGTGACAGCAGCCTGAAGTGAAAAACAGTGAAAAGTTGTTGATCACTTTGAATAAGACATTAAGAGAAATGCATGTGCTCTTTTCTGTGGGCCGTCAACTTTCGTCATAAGAATTTGAATTTGCACCAAAAGAGCTATCTTTCCTGAACAGTATCATTAGCAACATGGAAGCAAATGAATAGCCTGAAGTGAAAAACAGTGAGAAGTTGTTGATCACTTTGAATGAGACATTAAGACAGATGCATGTGCTTATTTCTGTGGGCCGTCAACTTTCGTCATAAGAATTTGAACTTGCATCAAAACAGTAAACAGTTGTTGAAAACCTTGTAAAAGACATTAAGCAAATGCATGTTTTCTGTGCTGTGGGCTGCTACTTTTGTCATAAGAATTTGAATATGCTTCAAAAAAGCTATCTTTCCTGAACAATATCAGTAGCAACATGGAAGCAAATGAATAGCCTAAAGAAACACAGTGAACAGTTGTTGAGCACCTTGTAAAAGATATCAAGGTCAAGGCATGTGCTCTTTTCTGTGGGCCGTCAACTTTTGTCATAAGAATTTGAATTTGCACCAAAAGAGCTATCTTTCCTGAACAGTATCATTAGCAACATGGAAGCAAATGAATAGCCTGAAGTGAAAAACAGTGAGAAGTTGTTGATCACTTTGAATGAGACATTAAGACAGATGCATGTGCTTATTTCTGTGGGCCGTCAACTTTCGTCATAAGAATTTGAACTTGCATCAAAACAGTAAACAGTTGTTGAAAACCTTGTAAAAGACATTAAGCAAATGCATGTTTTCTGTGCTGTGGGCTGCTGCTTTTGTCATAAGAATTTGAATATGCTTCAAAAAAGCTATCTTCCCTGAACAGTATCATTAGCAACATGGAAGCAAATGAATAGCCTGAAGTGAAACACAGTGAACAGTTGTTGAGCACCTTGTAAAAGATATTAAGGTCAAGGCATGTGCTCTTTTCTGTGGGCCGTCAACTTTTGTCATAAGAATTTGAATTTGCATCAAGAAAACTATCTTTACTGAGCATTAGCATAAGTAACATGGAAGCAAATAGCCTGGAATGAAAAACAGCGTAGAGTTGTTGAACACCTCGTGGAAGACATTAAAACAAATGCATGTGCTCTGTTCTGTGGGCAGTCTACTTTCGTGATAAGAATTTAAATATGCATCAAAAAAGCTATCTTTCCTGAACAGTAGCATTAGCAACATGGAAGCAAATAGCTTGGAATGAAAAACAGTGAGCAGTTGTTGAACACCTCGTGGAAGACATTAAGACAAATGCATGTGCTCTGTTCTCTGCCCTTCGCAAGTAATATCGTTATTGGAAAATAAAACTTTCATTCCTGAGACTTTCACCTATAGAAAAATTAAAAGTTCCGGAATTATGGAACTTGATTATAAAACTTTATTTGGGGAAAATACAAGAATCTTAAATAAATCATTTCCCATATATGTAAGAGTTGGAACTGCGAAATCCGGAACTGCCTTGATCCCCCCCCCCCCCTGCAGCAATCAACGAGAAATGAAGGAAAAAATAACTGCTACCAGGCGTGGTTTTCGGTCAGACCAACTTCAGTGGCATTTTGGCAACAAAAACAGCAATGGTTGTTTCAGTGACCCAGGCATCATAACGAGGCCTTAATTTTTGCTCCATCGCAGGGTACATAGAAAAATTTGTTGATGAAGTGTCAATGTTCTCGAGCGTGTGTTTAGAGATTTTCGAACGTGTTCATGAAAAGTTTTGAAAAATGTGAAAGGGGCATTCTAAATATTGCATTTTTCAATATAATATAGGGATAAACGTGGTCAAAGATTCTAATATTTGTTTTTAAGTAATTTTTGTAATTAATGTTGTACTTTGTGATTAATTTGAATTTTTTATTTATGTGATAAATTTTTTATTGAAGTGTGATTATTCTCGAGAGCGTAGGTGATTTTAATCAGTGATTTGCCCCTCGGCAAACTGCATTTAAGCTTAGATATTTGCTTTGTCTTCAGCAAAATGTTCCCCTAAAATTTCCCTCAGAAAAACATAATTTGCAAACTGGCTGTACATTAGATCATACATACAACTATTGGAAGCTTTTTCATCACTGGTAAACGGTTTGGTAAATGTGTCTCCAAAATACCCCACTTATTAAAGGAAAAAACAAATTATTGAAACTTTCCGAATGAGCTATTTCAAACAGGAAATGCGACCAGGTCAATTTACATGCATTTGACATTTTCGGGAGAGTTTCCATAAAAGTCACTATATGCCGATATACTATTGTTACATGTATCAAGGAGTGTCAAGAGATGAAACAAAGCTGAATAAAACAGCAAAAGAGACCACATGACCACAGATGGTTGATGTGTGACAAACCATGTGCGGCTCTAATAACTGATTCAACAGTTCAAAAACGCCAAAGAACCTGCTGCCAACAACCAACAACAAACTGGACGTACTTTAATCAATCAACGTTTTTTGAGAAAATGCATTACTGCAAGCTAGGTGTCAGTCAATTATAATTTGAGCGCGTTCAGTTTAGGTAGCTGTCTTTCAAAGCAAGTTTTGACTCGGGAGGCTTTACCTGACATGCATGTGTCATTGGTACTTTGGTGCAATAATGGCTTTCTTTGGTAGGCTGTATTATATGCCATCCTTTTGCATCTGGTACATGCACCGCATCAGGCTAGATTTGTCTTAACTAAATAATACTTGGATTTTCAACTAAATAATCTTGTTTTAATTGTCGAAACAAAGCGTTCAACTTGACAAGACGGATTACTCTTTGGCCATAACTATTGGAAAGTTAATGAGACCTTCGAACAAAACTATTGGAAGTCTTATTTCATTACATGACCTTGACTGTTCGCCATAGGATCAGTTAAAGATCAGATAAGCACAAGAACTAGGTTTTTATTGGGTTTTCATGAATAAAAAATCATTGAATAAAAATATTCTCTATCAATGGTGGCTTGTCGTGGCAAAATTTACAGAGGCTTGGCCCGCTTCCGTTCAACCGAGCAAGTAATAAAACGATAAGAGTAAGAGTATTTCACTGTCGTATTGTTGCTTCACCTCTCATGCCTTTTCACAGAATCAGACTAGAGTCAAGCTTAACATCGATGACGTCATTTGCGCAGACACAGAATTACTTGGAAAATATTTCCGTTTTCCTGTACAATTTCTAATAAGCGAACCGCACAATAAGTTGCTGCTTTTCAGAACATGGTGACAACGAAATCAACGAAATATAATTTACGAAATCAATCGTTGATACAAAAAAAGCCGAACACTCTTACTTATGGGCTAGATACAATATCCTATAGATGTAATGAATTGTGGAATTCTATACCGTTAGACATTCGATCGACAGAAAATTGTAAAGTATTCAAAGCTAAAATTAAACAGACGGATCTTACTTGCTCGTGTAGACTTTGCACACCATTTATTTCTAATATTGGATACTTGTAAACATCGCGATTTTTTCTTAATTGTATTTGTTATTGTTACAAGTTGGTGTTAATTAGCATTTAATAAACATTGATTAAATCAACATTAAATAAAGTGAATAAATATAAAAAAACGAAAGAAGAAACAGGTAACCTCGATTGATAAAATGGCTGTAACTTGAGAAGACACAGATAACCAGGACATTTAACTGATAAATCCTTGCTTTGCATAAATATAACGAGCCCTCAAACTCTTATGAATAGAACGTTCCAACTTCAAATCGCATTTTTGACTGCCTTAATACGGGGCAGCCTTTCAGTGCAAAGGGCAGTGTATATTTTTTAATCTGGAGTCATTTACAGATGATTGTTTCCTATTTCATAATGAAATATTGTCAGGGCTTACGTACAGCATAAGCTTGTTCTAAATGTAAGCCAAACAAAGAAATTTGACGTTACCATGGACCGTAAATGTAATGCATCAAAATAGACAGTTGAATAATCTGAACCTAAAAAGCAAACATTGTCTCATTGCCTTGGGCAAACAGCTCGGTTCGTTTTGCATCTTGGCGAACTTCAAAATCATGGTGCATTTCTATTCGACGCTGCTCATTAAATAGCTATTTGTCAAAGCAAAGATGAATTCTTCCGAGATAGTAAGACGACAACAGAATCAAATTAGTGTATCGCTAAAGTTAACGTGACCTTAAAGCCGATATATCAGTACCTATGTAATATCTTCATGGAAAAATGTTTAACCCAAGTATCATTACTGCGATAATAAATTGACCGAGCACATTTTTACGCATCAGGTCTTTATTGTTATTTTCGTATGCATCTTTGAATGACTGTATTAAACACTTTGAGTCAGCAATTTATCGCTTAAAGGCTCTTGCCAAACCGGCATGCTTAGCGGCAGTTGTCGTGGGAAATTGACTGTGTTTTCATTTTCATGCAGTACAATACAAGGCCGGTTCTTTGAATTATAGTCCTAAAGCGTGCCGGTTGCGCCTTTAAAGTCACAAGTAAAACGAATCATAGAGGATTCAAACGCTTATATCCCGTGATGTTTCACACAGAATTGATATCAAATAAACATGTTTTTCTTTGTGCTGATTTCCACTGTTGTCAAACGGTTTGCATGTGCAGACATCATAACTACTTTACGCCATGAAAAACAACATCCAAGCAAGAAACTGGATGGATATAGTTTATATATATGCACAAGTTGTCTTTCAATGAACTTTATCACACTCAGGTAAGGCAAAAACTTACCCCAGGCAAGTAGTATATACCGCAAAGGTAGAAAGTAGAGCAGTATGGTGCCAACTGAGAGTATGACCATGAGCAGATAGGAACAGAATGGGACACTCCAGTTAAATGTGCTGAAAACAAGAAAAAAACATCAAAATGTTGAGGTGCAATTGAAATACACTTTTAGCCAAAAGGTGTGAGAAAGAGTGCACAAAGGGTGTGAGGAAGAACGCACAAACAATGTGGGTAAGGTTACAAACGTTTATCTGATTCAAAATGTTTGAACAAAACTTTTTGAAATATCTTTTCCAGAATATCCCTAATCGCAGTTGTTTACCCTATTCTAAAGAAATTAGGCACGAGTACTAATATACCAGGATACACCCAGCCAAGCCCGATCCCTTTCTACCAAGACAGGGAAAGCTCCAATGGCTTACCACCAGCCATAGGTTTAAACTCTAAAGCTCAGATCTTATCATCAATAGTGCTTGTCTACTCTATGTAAATACACGGCGGAATAAGAATGCTCAGGAATCAGGAAAACCTTTCTGGTAGAAAATGTACTAAGTAACGGTAAAAAACGAAAATGGATTACTTTTTTATTCTTTCAGCAAAAGAAGCTATAAAATCCAACTGATTCTGAACTGTTGTGCAAATATTAGTGACAGCTTCAAGCCGCTCTCGCAGACTCTTTCCTTTAGTCTAAAGAAAGATAATTCTTCATTAAAAACCTTGTTAAAAATGCAACAGGCTGATGAATCAAAATGTGAAATAAGACAAGTCGTTGCTAATATTTGCGAAAGCCCTTCACACCATTGAGGACTTGACGAAAAGATCTTTTGAAAATTTCATGTTCGGCTGCAGCAAGTGTCCTGAATTTTATTTAAAAATACTTTGCCGCCAAGATAAAGTGACTGTGTCATTGTTACTGTCTCAGTACTATCAGCCGACAGCAATCAAAATACGAAAAATGACGAAATTGACTATAAGCCAATTAATTTAAACTGAGGATCATAAAATTGTCAAGCTCCAATTCGTTGACATTGGGTCATATGCTGTAATTCAAAAAGAATAAAACTTTTCGCGCAAAATCACGTGCCACCTTGATCCTAGATTTATAAAGAGTTTTTTATTTTAGAAGCATGCATTTGACTAGTAAATCGGCAGAAAAAGCATTCATTGAATATCCATCAGATTAAGACAACTTAACCTCATGCAAACTTTATCTGCAAACAGACCAGAGACAACTATGGTTTTCCAAACCGAGACAAGTTTATTTCAACAAAACAGACTGAATAATGTGGATTGCTGTCAGATGGGAAACAAGTATAACCAAAAGAAGCAAAACTGGTAGCCCACTTGGTTTCAAATATAAAAACGAATTAAAAATAACTTGCTTGGACAATTTTTTCCCAAAATCTTTGATAGTTTTTTTTAATATGGGCTTAACAGGACCTTTCTGCGGGTGACAGTAGAAAGCTCCTGAAATTTCCTATCATAAGCAAACTACACTCTGAATTCGATGTTAAAACAAGGATTGGGATACTGAAGTTGATCACATTGTGAATATTATGCGAGGGTTTTGTTATAAAATCAAACAAAGCAACTTGTGGGCTCTTTTGAGCGCCAATTTTACTACTCTCGTTAAGAAGTAGGACCACTTATCAGTTTCTGAATGAAATTGAGGTTTTCACTGAATATAGCGTTTAGCAAAGTTCAAAAATCCATTATCTTATCAAAATATTATAATTGTTATGCCATTATATTATTCATTATGCCAAAAAAGAAGTGAAGTTTTGGTTGTATGACCGCAAGAGACCTTGACAGTAACAATGCAACTTAAAAAATTATAATAAATAATGGATTTATGACAGGGAGAAAGCTTTCTATATCGTGTTGAGCAAAATTAGTGCAGCTTCTTTCTGAGGTCAACCAGGCGCCCTCTTTCATAATCTTATACGCCATATTCCATAACGATTGTACTATTTCTTATCTAAGTTTTGAAATAAGTTCCTATCTAACTGAGTTTGATACTTATTAGATTTTTAATCAAAATTTTATGATGGAGAGAAATTGTGAAGAATCCAAAGAAGTCTATTTTCGACTGCTAACAAATAACGCATGGAATTCAAATGACCAGCCATCGCAGGGACGGACTACCTTCGGCCTGCAGGCCAAGTCCGGCCCATCAGGAGGCATTACATTGCCTATGAACTAAGGCAAAATGTTACACTAATTTCATGCTAGCTAAACGTGTGATGGCCTGTGCTGGCCCGCCAGGATGCAAACATACAAAATATGCTATTAAAAGTGGCTAGTAAAAACCTTAGTTTTGTTCATGGATTACTGCTGTCCAAATTACAGTGGTTCGATGAAAAACTGTTTGTGTAGGTCTTTTTCAAAAAAAACTTTCGGGTTAGTTGGCTTTTCTCTACTCTGAATCTGAACGGAGTTACAAAAACGAGACAAACCTTTTTATTCTTTTCATCCAAATCATCTTCATCGTCATCATCATCAAATGACGCCGAGGAATCCTGAAACAAATCGGATCTTTCAAACTGTGGAAATGCAACTTTCTTCATAGACTCAATGATAAAACTTGCTTCAATATTAAAGAGATATGTTCTAGTTCTTTTTCAAGAGCATAAAATATATACGACAAAATAGAACCCTAAGAATCTTTGAACAATTATAACGATTAATCTTTAGTTTTTAACGATATAACGATTAACGATAAACCATTAAACTTTAGGTTTTAAGAAGAGATCTCTTGACGAGACCAAGCGTTTGTATATTTATCATATCAGACACAGCTGTCATGTAGCTAATTTTGGTAAAAACTGCGAGGTGTAAAACGAGTGTAAAACAATTATTCGAGTATTCTCATTCTACAGCAACGGAGAGGAAACGACTGATTCAAAGCCAGTGAGTTCCTATCCACATTTCAAGAAATTCATACCCAACAAAATTTAACCAGAAGACAGGCACAGCGCACCAGCCTAAAAGTCAGGGGGCTGAAAAGAGCGTGACCAAGCTCTTAAGAACGCCGGAAAACACCCTCTTAAGAAAATACTTGCTTCTTTCCACTTATTATTTTTAAACAGTCTGATTCAGAGAAGGTTTCAATTATTATAAAAATAGATATGATAAGCTTGAGGAAAACTAGACACCAAGCTAACCAAGTTAGAGAATATAACATCATCAATCAAGATAAACACCAAGTGTCAGGTAGACATGACAATCACATGACATTCGTAATCGCTTTGATTAATCGCTTTGACATTCGTAACGACTAACGACCATAATGTTTTAATGTTGAGTTATGTTAGTTTTCGTGTAAATGCTTGAATGCTATGTATATATTTCGCTACTAAGCACACTTTCTCTTCTCTAGCTACTCAACACCAAGAAAATGAATAAAAATAGGTAGCCCAATGGCTGCGAGGTGCCTATGACGGATCTATGACGAAACAAGTATGATCTGTAAAAGACTCTTATCTAGCAACGATTTGACATTAGACACGCTCCCTTCTAATAAAAGTGACAAACAGGGAATATTAGGCACTAACATACCTCTAAGTGTACGGTTACTCATAAACGAAACAATGCATAGGATCAGGGCTTCGGTTAGGATAAGCATGCAGGAAGTATGTTTATGCATTAGCAATGACATGGCTCTTAGCAGGGATGATGAAATGAAACGAATAAACACTTTCAAAACGAGAGAGGATAACTTACCTTGTCCAGTTCAAGATTCTGTTCCTTGTCAGGTGATAACATAAAAACGATGTAGTTTTTCAGCAAAATTAGTAGCAATATCAGCGGCAAGAAAAATAATTCGAAGTTCAATACCAATAACACATATAACTAAAAAGAAAAAAAACAAAAAATTGGTTGATTGTTAAATACTGAAATGAGACAAAGTAGCAATTTGAATTAAATGATACAAAAATTCTTCGAAATGATAAAGTACATTTGATTATTGATTCTAGGAACATTACTTTTATCTCAATCAAAGTATGTCCCATATTATAGCTTAAAAACTATTCAAAGTAAGGTAAGAGGATAAAAAAGAACAATATCAGGTATACACAAACTTACAATAAATGCAAATGCACTTCTCAGTCTGTATTTCCAAGTAAATAAAGACTGGATGAACTGTCCCGTTGCAATTATACTCTTGATAATGTTACTCAGCCTGTCGACATTTTGCTGTAGAAGCTGAAATAAAAGTTTTGTGAAGGTTCTCTAATCTCTAGGTACAAAAACGTTGCATGAATAGTAGCATCCACTGGTCTGCTACCTTAAGCGCTCGAAGACGTAAAAACAGTGCTGTCCACACTATTGTGCACCGAGAATTCTAAAAACTAATCTTCAGAATTCTCGAGTTTTAGTCAGTTTACCTTAATGAGCATCGCAAAATATTCCTAAGATGAAAAGATAGTCCAACCTGACCATTGTGGGCTCTTGTACAAACATATGAAATCATTTACTTCCCTAAACAGTAAACTTTATCATATCTTGGTTCTAAACTTTATGAACCAAGCAGGAAAGTACCGTTATCCTTTTCAATAGTCCTATCTCAGCCAAAATGAAATAAAACTGATATTGTACATTTCAAGGCATTCGAAAGACTATATTCAAAGATTCTAAACAGTTTTCGTGATCTCTTCTGTTTTTAGCTCTAAAAATAGTTATCAGTCAAAATAGAAATAGGCTGTCTATGACATGCAAAATATAACAACATGTGCTAGAAAAAAACCGTGTATGCAAAATTATCAACAAAGAAAAATCAACCTTAAACAATTGCAATATCAAACATTGAAAAATACCTGTCTTCTGAACCTTGGCCTTTCGTGAAGGGCATTGATCTCTCTTGGATTGAACGTTCGAATGCTCGCTCGAATCGGGTTATAAACAAGGTCAAAGGTTATTATCACATGCCCTTTCGCCTGTCGTTCTAAGTTCTTGTCTTTCAACTGATAAATTCGCTTTTCTTGCGGAACAATCTAGGATAAAACGCAGGAATAAATTCAGAACCACAGGAAATCAGTCGGTGAACTAGGGGACAGGAAAACTGAATTGCAGAAAGGGTGGCAGCAGCTTGAAGCGTTTGAACGTAAAGACTACCGACTGATCAAAGTTAAAAGTCTAATGGTAGACACACTTTCCTCACTGAAAAAAAATGAACACTGGAACAAGGAAAAAAAGAAGACACAGCCAATGTGATAGAGATATTGAAAAAGTTCTTCAGTTGCCTGTATATACGTTCTTTTAAGTTGGCACCTTTTAGACACAAACAGATGTTAGGAACATTGATTCTGTATCCAGAAATGCGTGTCTTTAAGCTGTGCACACCTTAGATGGAGATGTATTTAGACAAAATGTCTCCAATGCTATTCGTGGCACTTAGATGATACGTTTGTGTGAGTGCTTTGTCTGAAGGTCCTTTCGAAGTGATGTAGGCAGAGAGAAAAAGTCATTCATCTTTAACAAAATCATACTTTGTTTTATCTGATAGAGCACTATAGAACAGGTTACGAAAGAAGGAGAGTAGTTTTATGCACCAAGAACTTCAATTCACATCATTGATTAAACAGGAAACCAGATAGGACTACAGCAATATACTTTGTATTCATATTGTTATTTGGTGGCTTATTACTAACTCAGGTTTTAGTCAAGCTCTCACTTTCATTATACACCTTTCACTATACAATTAGCATTTAAAACCAAACCATTTCAGTTTCAAGAAATAGGATCAAAACTGGTTGACCAATCCCCCTTTCTAATGATAGATTAATTCTTATGTCACTACGAACGTAAAATATTTAAGAGCATCAAAATTTTTTTTAATTTGAAGATATCTATGGAAAATCGGCTTTAGCAGAGGAGGAATGAAATTCTAAAATAGAGGACTTAAAGTAATCTTTCTTTGTTCACTAATTACCTATCGTCAAAATCAATGGACAAAAATGAAGCTCGTAGGTTGTGTTTTCCTTTATATGAATAAAGTACGATTAGATAGGTTAAGCAAAGTTATGACCTAAATAGACAGCGTTTCTGTAATATAAAGGGCGTGTTCCGATTAGTTGTTTAGCTTTTAACAACCAACAGCCAAAGTCTGTAGAGACATTCTATGACTAACGAAACCACCCTCACGCGATGTGACTAACGAAACCACCCTCACGTAATAACAGCTTGACGAAAGCACACTATAATCTCATTGTATAATTATTAGATGTTAGCGCAACGAGCAGTCAGTTTGTTGAAACTGTGTGATTAGATTGTACAGTCATTGATTGCAAAGTTTTTTATCATGATTATTATAATATTTGTTGTCCTGATAAGCATAACTAAAACTACAGTTGTTGATCTTAGATTATTTAATCTGATGTAACCAAATAAAAGAACTTAGGGAAAGATGGGGGAAAACCATTTTTGGCTATAAAGATGTAGCCAAATATCGACCTCAAGTCAGTCTTACCGTTAGCAAGGGTATTCCAACACGTCCAAGAAATTCTGGTGCGCCGCGTCGATCTTCGTCATAAATTGTGAGGCTGATTGTTTCGTGTATGTCGTAAATGGGCCTGCGTAGAAACAGCAAGATGAAAGAAAAAGACTTTACTACAAAATGTAAACAATTTTTTTAAAAAAACCCTCAGTGTGAAAAGGTTTGGCAAAGAAGCGGAAAATCAGTTTGGCAAAACCTATACTTGACACTTGGCTGTCTCTCCAAGTAAACAACTTTTAAACATAAATGCTAGAATAATCTGTTTTTGTAATAAATACATTGGCAAAAAATATTCATTGCCCAAAGTTGTAGGAGTAGCTTTGTTGATGGGCGCTAAACATGAAGTACGGCTTGTTTGTACGCGTTAGCAAAATAGGAAAATATCTTTAATTACAACATGCTTCCGCACCCAGGCAAAATTTCGATGCTCCATTACGTTTTGTTGGGTGATCGATACTATAGACTAAAGTTACATGTACCAACCATGAACCGTTTTACTTGTCAAGTTAAAGGCCATATGTCATGAGTAAACAGTGTCAATTCATTACCATCTACCATACCTAATAAGGATCTCCACAATCAAAACTCACATTTCATAGACTTTTTCCCAATGAGGATTCAGTGTTTTGTAAACTGTTGGAGTAAGAACCCTTTGATTGTTTACTTCAATAACAGCAAACGGATCACTTGCACCACCAATGTCAGCTGATGCCAAACCTACGGCTCTATGCAAGCGAATCTAAAAAAATTTGTCTTCAGTTAAATGACCAGGTTCATAAATACCTATAAAAATGCTAACGTTTGAGTATTCGCCTCTTACGCGCACGTGGGCTTGAGCCTCATTCGCGTGAAGTATTCAAATGCCTTTACTCAAAAGGACTGTCGTTTTGGCAGGCCTTTGAGAAATGCTAAGGAATGTGGCAGTGGGGATCCGAGCCAAAGTGGCAATCACACTTAAGACTATTGGGGATGCACCAAAAAATCATTAAAAGGGCTAAGCATGTGACATTGTCATTACTATCCGAGTGAATGTTGACCTGAATAGCTTTAAAAGAGACTAAATTTACAATCCTTTCTTTCCCTACCATTTCTGCTTGCGAAATTTAACCCACGCTATTAAACATTGCGCCTTGATTAAACCTTAAAGAGAAGCCACAGAACATCTGCTTTAGAAACTCAACCAAAATGCTCCCTAATTAAAATGTGAAACTACCTGTAGCCAGCCGATTTCGTCTATCCTCCTCCACGTATTTTTCAAAGTAAAATCTTGTTCGTGTTCTTCTCGCATGTTTCTTGCCTGATCCATGTACAACGATAAATCCGACACGCTACCAGGCACAGATAGAGCAGTGATTGTCATATAAAACGAAACCATGCCTGCGTTGTCTTCTAGGTCAACTTGAACAAAATGAGTCCGTTCTCGCTCATAAGTCGATAAATCTACAGCACACCTAGGAGAATAACGATAAAATATTTCCCTTGTGCAAATGCATCCCTTATTAAAGAAATTTGACTATCTCCTAATTATAAACTCAATCAATAGCCCCGTAAATTTTGGATACATACTTTCCTATCCACTCACTTACTCAAAAACCAAGCCCCCAAATACCACCTAAGCAGGAAAAGGAATAAGAGAAGAACAAAGTGAGTAAAATGAGACAAAGTCCCTAATGGTCTTCTCTAGTTATTATCGATATCAAATGTGGTCTGTAACTACCGGGAAATTTAATCCGATACTTGATTCAAAATGCGAGTCGAGCGTGGCTGTAAACATCTGCTCAAGAAAAATTATGATAATCTGTGGATACAACTGGATATCCGCAATGTTTGATAAATCCTTTTCGCTTTTCAGCGGCAACAGACATGGCTAACTCTAAAGAAATGACTTCTTCTACACTTCCATACCTGCCCATGAATTCATCGCGACCTGGATCTTTATCCCATACTTGAATTTCCAACATTTCGCTCACATCATGATACATTCTCAGCTCAAACTTTTCCTTCCATTGTGGGTTCAGCGTTGCCTTACAAAACTAAAAAAAGGAACGACTGTGAAGTTTCGGAAAAACTTTGCTTGATGCTAACTTTTAAACTTGGGACACAGAGTTGCTCCAACTTTTTTAAAGGTTCTACTATTATTTGAATAAATCAATTTATGTCTCCTACTATTAGCCCATTGAATGAACAAAATTTGATGATTTTATTTCGGCATCAAGAAGATATCAACTTTTTTCAAAATAAATACTAATTATTATGTTAATAAGGATTTTGCTAAAGCAAGCAAACTGCTCATCGGTTATCAATTCGGGCCTAAAAATATTTTATATCATAATGCATTTTTTACCTTTGTTTTGTGCTTCTCATTCCCAAGTTTAAATTTGCAGTATGGATCACTGAATCCTGCAAACAAGATCATCCTTTATGTCATATTTAAACCCTCAAGAATAACAATTTTTTAACAATGTCTACTGGAATATGGAATACATCTAGCAAGTGCAGCCATTGATTCGTCGAATGTATAAGGCCTAAGGAGGCTTGAAACGACCTGTTCCAGTCGACTTGATAAACTCGATATCAAAAGGCCATCATTTACTTCGCTATTTAAAGCCTAATCCCTTTATAATAACGCAGATATCTGTATCTACCCCTTATCTTTGTTATCTGTCACTTGTCATTAGTTGATTTATCAGTCGATTGTTTTCGTAGCAAACATAAATCAAAGCTAAGATTTGGTTGAAGTTTATCATTTGGTAAAAGGCATTTGACACATGACCATCAGCGGTTGTCCAATCAAATTGCGCACAGAGAAAAACATGTAAACAGCTTCCGCCTTTCAGCATATCGGTGAAATCCTAGAGCAGCGTACAGTGGTTTCATGTGAGCAATTTCCAACCCCTTCCTATGCGTGTACTCTGATCAATTTGGCCTAAGTTATTTTTGTATTAGCTGTTCTAATGCATGCCAAATGCCTTCGTTGAAATTCTCATAGGCGCTAGAGAAGTTGTATGGAGTAGATAACACTTTTCTTGGACCATTTTTCAAAATCAACCAATGTTTGCCTGACATAATGTGACTTACCATTATCATCAAAAGAGTTGAGCTTGCTACCTTCAACCAACGTTATAGCAACGACACCATCCCACGACGGTACTCTACTTCCACGTTTCGCTTGATTCCTGGTCGACACACTTCTTGTCAACTAAAACAAAAACAACTTGAGTTCTTAAGCCATACGAAACTGAAATTCGCAATAGCTACCATGTTGCTATTTTCAAAGCAGAAAATAGATTCTCTGCACAAAGAACCACGACATATTGCATAAAAATTGATTTAATTGCATAAATTGCATAAATAATTGCATAAATTACTTTAACATGTTGCGTACAATACTGCCTAACCTAGCATACATAACAAAATTACCTTAGATAAACGATCGTGTTGAGATCTCATTTTTTACGATGCCTCTTCTTGTGTTCGTATCAAATCCTTTCAATTTGTATTTTGCTTCAATCTACCTTCTTTGCAACAAACTTAAAGCAACTTTATTGAGGAATTATCGATAAAAATAGGATTCAGTCATCTTTTTAGAGAATTATCCATTGGTTAAGTGAGACTCCTTTCGAGAGCAAGCCAACACTACTACCTACAGCCTTGGGTAATGGGCACTTCTTTATTTAAAGCTTGAAAGACACAATTAATTAAGCATAGCAGCTTTCGACATAATACACTTCAAGCGAAAACTTTTCAGACGAGAGAAACTGTTGATTACGAGATTTTTTGTATAGACCTTGGAATGAACTGAGCAACTGAAGAAGAAAATAATTGTTGGATCAGAACAACAAAACAAAAAATTCGTATGCCTAGTGACACTCTGATATTCTAAGATGACGGCCGAACTAAAAGGTCCTTCTCAGCTATGACTCTCAGTACTGGGCTAATCGAAAATTAATCTTCATTAACTTTCAAACATTTTGCTTTTATGACGTAGTCATCCGATAGGATGAATGAGTAGAGAGAAACCGAAATTACAACCGCCTTCTTTCTGAAGCAACATGATGACCCATTAATCTCAAAAGCCATTAGATGAGCGGCACTCTTTATCAACGGGGAAGAAAGGGACGTGGTGATATAGTGTAATTTAACAGATTTTCGAGAAGGCTAGAAAACAGCTCTCAAAAAATGAGGCTTCGTAGATCATTTGATTATAAACTTTAAAGATGCCAGCTCAAATGCTTGGCAGTAAGTATTGCAACAACGACGCAAAAAATTGCTGACAAAATAAGCAAAGTTAAGAAACGCGAAAGCAACTCTTTTCCGTGGCATAGAGGCTTTCATCAACGTAATCACAAAGCAAATAGATAGAAAAAGATCAAACAAAGAGCGTGACCTTGATTGAACTATGAGCAAGTACTAAGGTATGTACAAGAGCAAATCAATAACAATGGTTAAGCAGAAAACAAGTACACAAATATTAGGACAATGAATTATATTTGATGACGTGGTTCCTTGCAAAATGCAAACAGTAAAGCAGCGGCTGTGCTGTTGACGATTTTGTATCATTGAGAAATGAGCAAGATTAAGCTCTCATAGTTTTCAAAGACAATGACAGGTCCCACCAGGATTGTGAACGGGACAGAATTGGTATAGCAAAGATGTAGATGGTCACTGGTTGAGAGTTCAAGTCTTGCCCTAGTCATGACACTTGCTCGCATTTTCTCTAAGGACTTTACACAGGAAACATTTTTGTCACAAAATCTATTAGGACTCTTCTAAGGACACACAGAGATTTCATGGGTCAAGACAAAGCTATAAATATAAGCTGGCTAAGGCCTAGAACAAAAACGCTACCCTTGAGAAAATACGTGCCATAACAGTTCATATGAACATTTTGAAGGTATAGAGTGGATTAGAACTCCAGAAAGCAACGAACTTTAAATCAATTGAGCCACGCCTCTTAGTCCCTATGTTATAGCTGATCATGAGGCAAATCACTGCTTAAAATCACGTACGCTCTCAAGAATTAATCACACTTTAATCACAAAAAAATCACATTAAAAAAAATCAAATTGATCACAAAGTACAACATTAATCACAATAAAGCAAATATTAGAATCCCTGCCCATTTTTATCAGAAGTCATTCTTCAAGGTTGTTAAACTTTTGAACCTTTTTCGTTTGCAAATCTGCAGAGTCAAAGTTTTTTGTGGATCCACCCCTGAACTGAACTGCTAATTTTTCTTTTTCAATTCCATAAAGTATTTTTTGCAAAACCGTTGACGACGTTTATTGAGCATGAAATTATTTGAGAGCACTTTTGAATCTATGATTCAGTTTCTAAAGAATCAAAAATTAATAAAAAAATTAATCACTATTATCACTTAAAATCAAATTAATCACACACAGATTGATTTAATCACAAATCAATCACTAGTGATTATTAATCTCGTACACCATTTTCAAGAGCGATTTGCCCCTCGGCTGATCACTGACTCCAGCTTTGTTACAGATTGGTGTGTAAACAACCGCTTTTTTCAGTTCATTAAAAACATTTACACTTGCCTGGTCCTTTGTAGCAAGATGAAGGTTGAATTACAGGCAACAAAAAGGAAGCCTTTTCAATTCTCAGCTACGCAATTTTATCCTAAACACGACAACAAATGACTTCCTAAAATCGCCATACCATGAAAAGAGCAAGTAGGTTAAGCAATACAGAAAGCTCTCTTACATTTTGAATCTGCTTCCGTCTTTCATCATGAGCTGAAGCTGAGAACAGCGAGCTTGAAGAGGCCCAGCTTTTGCTTTTTATTAAACCGACCGCTTCAACCGCTTCAACCGCTTCAACCGCTTCAACCGCTTCAACCGCTACAACCTCTTCTATTTCTTCTTGGTTTTCATTAAAAGATTCACTGTCAACACTTGTGTCTTTATCTTTTTGAGAATTTAAGAAAATCCTCGGAACAGGTTCAGGTTGTAGGCGACGAAATAAAACAAAATCTGTGGAATGCATTGCTTCCATTACTAACCTCAAACCAAGTTTATGAATATCACCAGACTCATGACTGGACAATACAGGCTTCAAAAGCAGTACAAGCTTTAAGAAGCTTTGTAGATTAACAGAGTAGATGTTGATGCATATATTGTAAGCAGCACGACTCTCGGGTTTACAGAAACCTGATATTTGACGGATGATAAGAACAATTTAAAAATGGTATCAAAACATCCTAGGCCACAGTTTTATCTTCTGTATCAAGAATGTTCTTTCATCGTTTGTTTCTTACCAGGCATTTAGGGCCAATCGTCCCCTTTACAGCAGTCATCAAAATATCAAAGACAAGTCTCATCCGATGCATCAAATGAGCACTTGCAGAAGAGAAACAAAAGTTGTAAAACAGGAAAATCACAACCTGTCAATAAGTATTACGAGGATCGTCAACAAAGACAAAATAGCTGTATTATGCCACCAACCGGATTTACAGAGCATTTATAAGCATCTTGAAGTTCTTTGGTTGATGTGGAGAGCACCAGCAGAGATCCAGTGAGCAAAAGATTACAGTTGGTTCAGCTGCAAAAACACTAACAAAACTTCTATCGTGTTCATAGGAACAAAAAATTGCTTCTTTTGATTTTGCCAAAATTCCCAATTTCAAATAACAATAAAAATCCACCAAACCAACAGAGTGGCAAACCAAAATTTATCGCTTTACGTAGGATTCAAAATGCTAAAATTCTGGATCCTGAAATCTGATAAACCCACTTTCTACGAAGGAAACGAGACTTTATTGTCTTCTACTCCGCAGGCCTTTAAAGAGTTGACACGAATTTGTCCTCTAAATTTGCGGCTTTAATTCAAGAGTTTTAATTCCGGGTGCTGGATCCGGCTATGACGTCAAACACTTGTAAGCAATTCTTTGCAAAAACCAGGGTTAACATGAAGAAGAATCTTTTGACCACTGTAGAGCAAACTCCGTCGTGCCACTAAATGCAAAATGGCGAAGATGATTTAAATGACGCTGGATACTGTTGAAAGCTAGCCTTCCTTCGGGTAGAATAATTATGACGATACAACACCAACGTAACCCATTGAATGGCATTCAGAATTCCATTTCAGTACATTCTGGTTCTTCGCATTCAACAGACGAGTCTAAATAAGATTTTTGGCTCAAGCTCCTTAAATGCACACTGTTTACTACAACAGCTCACTCAAAACCACAGCATTTGCTAACTAAATCTACATGTCACATAGAGCTACAACAACATCCTGATCGCAAGTATAATTTTGCACTACAGGCACCCATCTTCAATAACTCATTCATGGTACCAATACGGAAGAAAATATACCAGCAATAGTATGATAAAATATTCAATTCACTTGTATTAATGAATCTCGTTTGTGTTTCATGTTTCTGAATGGTTGCTTGATAAGAATTACTTGGCTCCCTGTGCTGGTCAGCGGGTAGCAGCCAATTGGAAACGATTTCTGGCTCACAGCGAAGTTTATGCACAGTAACAATATTGATGGTCACATAAAGCGTGCTACATGGAGAAAGTAGCTTCAGTTTGAAGCCAATATATGTTATATTGGTTTCAGAATCAAATGCCTCACGAAAGAATGTATGAGAACAAAACAAAGACAGCTACCAAGCTACTCTAGAAACATTCTTCAGACAACAACAGCTTCAGACAAAACAAAAAACTACCTGTCGGTACGTGTCTTTCTGAGATAACACGTCCTGGTTGCAAAGCAAAACAATACATCACTTTTACAAAGCATGACCAGCCAGAGGTTGAGTAGAACTTAAGTGCTAAAGAGGAAAGTATTCTGTCTTGTCGGAAAACTGCTTTGTTTTCTAAATGCAATCGAGTTCTACTTAAATGCCCATAACATGCCTCTCATAAATTCCAGTTAAAATGTCATTATCAATTTTCTGTCTCAAAATAGCTATATCAACATGCGAATATAGCATGATTCAGTGGACGTTGGAAGCTTTCAAATAGTTAAACTTTGCTATCTTTTGTCAGCTTGTACAGGCAAACTGTCAAACTATATACTTCAGCAGTGATCTTTCGAACGGTTTATCGATTTCTAACCAAACTTTGCATATATCGGAAAATATCCAACTAACGTGCAAGTCGGACTTTGTCGGACTATCTTGATAATGGCTTTGAAAAAAGCAAACATTTACAACATATTGGCTAAAAGCTTTCTCGTCTAACACCCTTCAGAGCATAAAACGTCAGAATAAGGAACCGAAAGAACACGACGAAAAATATATACCCAGTCATGGATCGAAATAGGCCAATCAGAAAAACGCAAGCACAACACCGATAGAGTTGACCAATCAGTGCCGCGAGCCTAAAGAAAAATTACCACTAGAGTCCAAGAGAGAAAACGAACTCCTCCTGTCTACACAATGGCGGCTCTTTCAAAGCCGTTTTTAAAATGATTGCTTTTTTAAAGCAATTTTCAAGTTATGAACCGCCAAAAAAAATCTTGATAATCCGCCTAATGACCAAACTAAAGACCAAACTAATGAGAGGTTAAATTTACTGAGAAGATTCTGATCACTAGCCAAATGAAGCGGGATCATAGGCTCCTACAAGGAGCAATGTTGTCTGCTATCCTGGTCATTCGAAAAAATGTTCTATTTGTCATTCTGATTTGGATCAACAGCTCCATATGTAATTAGAACAGAATAACGAAATCTACTGAGCGAAATTTTTGGCAACATTTTTCATATCACATGATGTTATGTTTGTCTCTTCCTTTCGCGCAACATGGTTAGTATACAATGAGCTAAAGGGGTGCAGGTTGGTATTGGGTGGGCAATGCCTGTTAAACAACTAGCGTTTCTCTAGTTTGCTTCTATCATACAACAGAAAATGTATTACAAAAGGCAAGTCTGATTCTTGCGGGTTACACAAAAAGAGGACCCAGTTTAAGCTATTTGAGTCATGAACGGATGCAGCTATAATTGAAAGCTTTTACAAAAAAAATATCTTCAGCTACAGTTAATCAACATGTGAATTTTAAGATTCGGTTGATAAAAAGGAAGACAGCTTTAGGTTAGAACAAACCTCTGGTTCATCGCTGCTTCCTTTTGCTGTTATAAGCACGCTAACGACAATTTGGCCTAGATCTTCTTGCAGGCCTGTTCGATTGATCAAGTCCAGGTTCAAAGTGTGAGACCTTCAAAGAAAGCAACATTTAGCTAGATGGCTATAGGCTAAATAAGACAAACGAGCAATGGAGCAAATATAAAGGAAAGGGAACATCAATTTCGGCTTTGAGAAAGCAAAATACCAAAGGATAATTTTTATGCAATTCGCCCATTCTCCACCACCCCCCCCCCCTTCCCCCCTCAAAGTTAATGTCGATACGCTTATTTCTATTCATTTTGATTGCTGCTACTTAATGGTTTTTTTCTCCAGTCCACTAACCTTTTGACCGGGATTGTAGCCTCCGAAGGCAATTATTTTAGGACACTGAAAAGCTATGCTTATCGAGCAGTGTCCTGGTCCTTCCTCTCGATATGACCACAACTCGTGATTCCTACACCTGGAATTACAGAGAGCTGGCAATTCTCTTCACTCTGAGAGAAGGTTTTGTCATGTCAGGGTCTCGAGCCATGGACCCTTGATCTGTAGACCCCAACCACTGACCCATCCTCGGCCTAAATCTGTGAATTCGAATTTTGATAACAAACCGTCTGTAACTCTATCCCTTTACTGAAAAAGCAAAGCCGAATGCCACATTTGCCCACATTACTATAGCGCAATTTTCATTGAGTTCTGGAATCATGGTGTGCAGGGATGAAATCCACTCAGCCCAATGTCAAGAAAAACGAACATAAAGGACTTTTCAGCCAAACGGAGATACTGGCCATGGCTATGTTTAAACAACAAAATATGAAAAACAAATGTTTAAAATGCCTTTTTAAATCAATTTGAATTTTCAAAAAGGATGAGCCAGAAATTTAATGAAAAGGTTTTTTGCGCTACTAAATTTATAAATACTGAGAGAAATTCTTAAAAGGTTGATTTAATTTTTGACGTGTCACGTGGGGCATTATGCAATAGTTGATTTGTCTTTTGACGTGTCACGTGGGGCATTATGCAATAGTTGATTTGTCTTTTGACGTGTCACATGGGGCATTATGCAATCTCTTAGACAATAATCGTTGTAAATATGGTTATCAAAGCCAAGCAGATCAAATAAGCTGCAAAAACAGTTTACGTTCAAAATCGTCTGAAATTTGTCTCTGTTTTAGAGATTACCTAATCAGCTCAGCTGGAGAGTAGTAAAAATACATATAAAGGCGTCAACCAATAAACAACGAATTTTTGTAGGAAAAAACTGCTGAAAAAACAGTACAATCTTTTTGTCTCTTTACTAAACGTAAAAAACAATGCATGTGATATATACGGCCAGATTCTGTTTCAAACATCCTATCTTTTGTTGTACAAGGAAATAAGTATTCTTCCACAAACATGCACTGACCATTGTAAAAGAAATCCGTATTTTCGAAATTTGTTTTTGAAAAAAAACAACGATTCAGCGGACTTTTGTTACTCAAAGAAAGTTTGCAGCCATCTGCAAATTAAATTTAGCTGATGAGAAACTTAAAGCTGACAGAGTAGAATCAAATGCCGGAAATTTCTTGTATTAAGACTCAACAAACGAGGAACATAAAGAAAGAAAATTTCAAATAAAACGATTGAATAAAATATTGCAATTTGTGTCGAACAGCAACTGATAAAAACTAAAACATTCCTCCCTAAGTATTTTTAAATAACCTGACAAGACATTGAAGAAATTCCCTGTAGCTCAAACAATTGTGAACAGAATCGAAAAGCAACAGGCAGTTCTAACAATTACCTAAAAAAATTGGTCTCCCTTTCCTCCATATGGGAAGATTACACGAAGGAAAACCACATGCTAAATTGTAAAAATCAAGCTTCAGGTAATGAACTGAATAAAAGTGCTCAAGAATAAGTAGAAACCTGATGTGATAGAAAGCTGCCGATAGTAAGCAGTATAGAACTTGTTAACTATCTTTGTTGGGAAAATGAATTTAGTAGAATTACAATAAAGAACAATACAAAACATAAATTTTGGTTACTTTTTGTTTGATATAGAACATAAAAAAACATATTGAGAGCAGTATTTGTTAGATCTAATAATTTCTAATATTTAATTTTTATGTCAGTAAATTAATCGAACTTAACTTACCTGTTTATTTCAAGCTCACCAACATTGAGAGATGCGACACCCATTTGATCATCAGAACTCAATCGATCGAAATCATAAACTTTGAAAACCAGATTGGTATTAACATCGTCAAAGAATAGACTGAACTTTTCATTCCAAACAGGATTTAGATTCTTGTACACGATCTTGCTTTTGTACACACACTTTCCTCTGAACTTCGCTTTAACATATGGGTCACTTGTACCTAAAAAGGACAAATAAGCGTCTAGCAAAAATATACGGGTGATAACGTCACGATAAAAATCGATGGATGTAACTCTAAGGCCTAACTCTCTCTGCATAAATGCAGTTTGTTTGTAATCAAGTAAGAGTCCTTCCTCATACATGCATTCCTACATTCTCACTTAACAAATAGTACATTCGATTATATTCATCTGTTTTTAGCTACGTTTTGAGCTAAATACAAGACAAATTATACCGTAGCCACTCCAGCTTAAAGTAAAGAAAGAAAAAATTTTTGGTAAATAAGCTTTCGGTACTGCAAGATATAAAGGTGGCACAAAATAGCGGAAACATGGCATACTGAAGCACTTATCGTCCGATACTCTTCAGAGTATAAATGTCAGATAATTAATTGACCAAACGTAAGCAGAAAATTAATATCCAGGTATGGATCGGTCACAGCGTATTTGCAAAAAACTGAAACGCCTAAGTTAAATGTGATTCCGCAATTGGTCAACAGTTGCTCAGAAATCCAGAGTGTACAAAAACGTATAGTCTGTACTTTTGCAGTATAGGCATAACTACATATGATAATTAAACCACTGTCATACCTATTTTGTCATTTTGACAAAATAGTTTAACTTCACCGGGTACCTGAAAGGGGAGCACTAGCTACTATCATAAAACAAAGCACTCATTATGCAGCTTGTGCCAAATACAAACTCAAAAAAACTGAAAGGTGACTTTCTAGGTTTATTAAAGTATGCTTTTACAAACAGTTGAGTCGCAGTATTAAATGAGAAATCTTCCAAGCCTAAATGTATACAAGATACAATCACTGAGTGCTTGTCAACTCAGCTGAATTGAAAATACTGTTTTAATGCAGTGTAGATTTAGGCAAAGAAACGATGCAGGTGTTTAAATAGTAATAAGAGGATACCTTGACGTCTTTTTAAAAATATTCAACACTACAGATAGTTATTAAGAGCAGTTTCAATAACATCACTGTGTGGTCACCTGTTTTTTCTTCCCAACATAGCTTGAGACATTGCAAAACGTGTATACTTTGGTTAGTCCAAGGCGATTTCTTTTGTGCAAAGTTAATTTCTACATCTAATATTTTGTTCAGCTAATTTCACAACTGTCCACAAGTGCAAAAACAACACTTGGCCGATTTCTACAGTTTTCGTAGAAAGTAAAGATATAATCTTCAATCGATATCTGCAAAATGGGTGGATAGAGTTGACGCTCAAATACCATATCAGAAAATGTCTCAAATACCAAAGTCAGTAATCAAAAAAGCCTTTGGTTCCTTCAAAATTTGAAACAACACATTAAATAGAAACATATCATACTAAAACGATTTTCAGCTGACACTCATCAGAGAAAAATGTCGAAAATGTCCAAAAAGTGAGCAGAAATATAGATGAAAAGTCATGTAGATATCACGTAGATGAATAGTCAAAGACAGAAAGCAACTTTCTTTCTACACAAGTTTCTCGTTTCAATGTAAAGAGAATTAAAAACAACAAAACTAAAAGGGGAAATAGAGGCACACACTTGATTCTTGAGGAAATGCCGACATGAGGCCAATTCATGTTTTATTTGGTAAAAGAAGCCCGAGTACACAGGTCAGAAACAGCTTTTTGGACAATGAAATACCGGCAACAATTTTCATTTCATTAAACTTCATTGTATCCTTAGTTAATGGTAACATTTAGTGATTACAAACTTTGTAGCATCAATATTCCTATTGCTGGTGCATGCAAAAAACATTTCTAGTCGTGAACAATTTCATTACATATTTTTCTCTCTGTAATGTTGTTCATTGTCCAAATACAGGGTTATGTTCTTAAATGCGGAAATTTAGTTTGATCATTACTAAAACATCAGAGAAGAACATAGCTTGATGAAAAGAAAATAGCTGAATGGCCAGGAAGTAGTTTGATGGGAAAAATAGAGGTGGATGAGAAGAACATAGCTTGACGAGAAGAAAAATTAAAGTTGAGAAGAACAAAGAAAGATGAGAAGAAAAAAGTTGCATGGGAAGAACATAGCTTGATGCGAAGAATATCACTAGATGTAAAGAATGTAGTTGGCTGCGTTCTTCTCGCCCAACTTGTTGAATGAGAAGAAGGTAGTTTGATGGGAAAAATAGAGGTGGATGGAAGAACATAGCTTGACGAGAAGAAAAATTAAAGTTGAGAAGAACAAAGAAAGATGAGAAGATAAAGTTGCATGGGAAGAACATAGCTTGATGCGAAGAACATCACTAGATGTAAAGAATGTAGTTGGCTGCGTTCTTCTCGCCCAACTAGTTGAATGAGAAGAAGGTAGTTTGATGGGAAACATAGAGGTGGATGAAGACATCGAGATATAATGGTAGGTAGAGCTGTTGACAACAAATAGGAAAAGGCCATGCTCTATTCTCTAAACTAATATTCTCTATTCTATAAGGGTATTCTCTAAACTGAGAGTAATCTGATGATTAAGAAAAGATAAAAATACTTCGTTGTCAATAAAAATTTGCTTACCAGATCGATCTCTTGCAATCAAATTTAAACCCTCGCGTATTTCTACTTCAATTTGGAACAACGAACACGTGTTACTCTTCCAAGCGAGCGCAGCCTAAAATAAATTAAGGATTAGTTTAGAATGCAATTCAAAATAAAGGGGCCTATAGATGGAAGGAAGTTGCGTTACCTTTCCCAGACTATGCCTAAGAGGTACTCAAGCTAGCACGGCTTAAAATAAACAATGAAAATCAAGAAGAAAACAATCAAATTTAAAATAGAGGAACCTAAGTAGAAAGAAAGTTGAGTTTATTTTTAAAGTTTACGAGTCGATGGAAAATAAATTCATCTAGATATCAACGGCTTAATGAATTGGCTGAAAAAAAGAGTGTGAGGCATGAACTAAAGAGAAGCTAAGCAAATTAAAACAGGCAAAATATAAACAATACAATCTTTGATAATTAATTTGGTAGTGTTTTAGATGAGAGTTGAATGACATGACACGAATCCTTTAGCACGGGAAATGCCTCATAACCAGAATCATCTAAATAACAGAAATATTATTATTTCCTCAGATCGAGGCCGTGTACTTGTATTCTGCTGGCAACGGACATTATCTTTGCTCGCACAAGTCGCCACTATATGGGGATTTCACTCACATTTTACTTCTCTAAACATTCTAAAAGTAGTCATGCACCTTGTTTGCAAACATGATATTGACAGAGAATAAACAGGACGCTTACAAACGACTGGCATAAGTATATTATACCAATATATACTAAACGAAATGTTAAGTTATGATGCATTACTTTCAGCTTTCCAATTAAAACAATATAAATTATGCATACAAAGTGATGAACGTGGACATGACCATGAACTTGAGATTATTTGATTACGAAAAAGTAAATAATACTTTACCTAGAGCAGCAAAAAGCCTAAATATTTAATGCTTTTAACGTTATTTGGAGAGTGTTTGCACAAGCATACAGAAATTGAAAAACCTTCAACTAACAATGAGTTTCAAGGCTGTTTAGCAAAGACGCATGATCTACTAATACTAAGTCTTAAGTACTAAAGAAGTGATATTGAGGTTGTCCAAAAGATCATTACATAGATAGTCTTTATTTTGAAACGTCAAATCTTTTTAATCTGAGACAAAGCATTGCTTCGGCCGTGATGAAGAACTAAGAAGATAGGTTGAACAGATCAGGGAAGAACAAACCAAACCATCAGAACATTTAGTAGGTGGCTGGAAATAATTAATAATTCTAAAAAGATATTTTGTCAGGGTTTCTTTCCACAATAATCCTTATGATATGTTTGATACTTAACGTGAAATCAAGATGCAGTTAAGGCAACTGGAAACTCACTAAGTTCAGTTCAAATAATAGCCAAAATTAGTATAGAATTTATATAATTTACGTTATTACGTCAACACAGATTATGAAGTCAGTACAAAAAAATCTGCTGGCATGTATACAACATGGCACTTGTTAAGCATTTTCATAACGAAAAAAGATTTTTTCATCCTGGTTTAAAGCTAGACAAGTTTATCTCTACGAGAATCTATGGTAACTTCTGTTTTCATATTTAACGGATTTGAATCTCAAAGCTTACAGGATCAGCGTGTTTTCTCGTTTATGACTTAGGATGCAACTTGGTTTGAAAGACGACCTTCATTAAATCTTCATAGACCTTTCTAGCAAGAGCAATTATGACAAAACAGCGTCATTTTTATGGGAAAGTCAACTCTGACTTAATTGAGTTCTAAAGTATGACGTCATAAAAAATCATAGCCTAAATGACAACCAAATTATACTTCAAAATATACAACATTAGCTAAATATATCATAAATTGGCCGAGATATCGCCAATGAAAGATTTGGAGCTTGCTATCAGATTGCTGTTATTTCGACACTCTTTCAGGGAATCAGGTTCAAATTGAAATATTTTAAACATGTATTTTTGTGACGTCATCACCTAAGAACTCATTCTGTACAATTTTATCTTCCCAGTATAAAGCGTCGTTGTAGCTCCAGACAAGGGACACATACGTAGGACAAACAGTAAATCTAGCCATTAAAGCAGTTTGCCCGTCTAGAAACAGGCAAATGACCTGTGGCAGATGACAGTTAAGAATTCTCAGAGCCGTCGATACATTAAGCTGAAATCTCAAAGAGTAGCGGTAGCAAACATATTCTTAACATGTGTGTGACCAACAAAGACTTCAGACAACTTTTTATAACGTTGATTAATGTTTCATCAGCGGCTGCAAGCTTTTCTAAATTTTCTCGTTAGACTGTGCCGTGGGTTTCTGTGACTAGTTACATTCAAGGACTCAAGGGAAACGAACGTCTGTATTATAACTTGGGCAACAAATGACGGGGGACTGGTCAAGGATATGCTCCTTATAACTTTATCAAAATAAAGAACTTTGATACAATTTTTTGTAATTGGCTTACCCCCTTGTAAGCCTGCGTCGTTTTATAGCAGTACAGACAGTTCAATAAATTTGCACAATAATCATTAAGATTGTATAAATGCGTCTCCTGTAACAAAACATCTTACAACAAGGATGAGAAAATATTCCCATAATCCACTCAAGAGCCACAATCTCTTATTTCTTTAAAGGGCGTATTTTATCAACCCATATTTTAACTGCTTAGAAACGACTATTGTTTATGAAAACAGCTATTAAAAATTGAGAAATCAAGAAATGCCAAGATTAGCTTCTAAACAGAGTTTCATAGGGTTTGTGAAGACACTTTTCTTTTTATTAGGCTGACTTTTTTCAACATAATTGCTCTCCTCAAAACATATGGCTTACAGCTCTGAATTGGGCAATTCGAAAAACCTCCAGCACCTCCAGCGTAGGTATCATGCATATATATGCAACATGCTAGGTAACATGCTAAGTAAACATGCAAGCCCTACCCACAGTTAAAGTCTGCGCAGATATATTTTACAACAAAGATAAAGTATACATATAGAGAGTGTTTCGTTTGAAAACCTATATACCGTAAAGAATTTCAATTAAGCCCCTCGCCTTATCAAGCAAAAACTTTAAATAAGCCCCCCTCTCTATTAAGCCCCTCTCTATAAAGCCCCCCTCCTCTTTAGCTTTTGATGTCAAATAAATAAAACATGCGTATTTAGTGGGTCTCTTGACGGGTGTGATGGCCATAAGATCATGTGCATCAAATTTTGCCAATGCAAAGGCTTACTTGTGCGCCTTAGAAGTCTGTCGACATTTGTTTAGAAGATGTCCAAGGGTTATCAATTGATCCTGGTGTTAGCTGCTAGCAAAGATTCTTGGGAACATTTGTACTCAAATTTCTAACAAGCCCTCTTCTCTAATAAGCCCCTTCTTTAATAAGCCGTCTTCTCTAATAAGCCCCCTTCTCTTTTGAGCCCCCCTAGGACTTTAACAGTAAATAAGCCCCCCCCCCCAGCAGGAGGCTTAATAGAGCTTTTACGGTATATCAACATTGATGTGGCTGTAGGTGAACTATTGCAACACTATCTACCAGGTTTGTTGATAAGATATAACCTTTCAAGAAAAATGGGAAACTATGGGAAAAAAAATTGGTCAACCCTTTGCTGAATATTGGGCTGCAATCAGATAAAAAAATGGTACATCAATAAGTCTGGTCAGCAAGCTTATTTCCTTTATCGTCAAAACAGCTCTTCGCAACTTAAAGAATGGTAGGGGTCACAAAAGTTAGATACTCATTACTTGGGCCCCCTCAAAAATGAAACTTCAAAACAAATGAAACTTGATATAAAAAGTAGATTATTTTAACAAAAACTTTAGTCTTTCTTTGAAAGGCAACATAACTAGATAAAATTATGGAGCCTGAGGTCTTTTTGTGTTTTATATTATTGTCTGAAAAAGAACTTACCATCTGATTTGCACTTGACGTTAGCTGGATGCATGGAGCTTGAACCCATTACAAATTATGACTTTTTGAGTATCTAATGGCTAGCTGTATGAGTTTCATAATTTTATTGATTAAATATCACTAATGCTCATAGTCTCTTTTGAGGATTAGACAGTTTAAACCGAACCTAGTTATTGAGTGATGATTCAACAGAAAAAGTTTAACAGACCACAAATCTACAATATTTATCATCATATGCAGAATTTCTGGCAGACAGCTGCAACAGAAACCAGCTGGTAAAAATAGAAAATGACAATTCCACGAGCAAAGGCAAAGGCTTCTAATTAGCATCAGCTTTGTTTGAAGAAAGCTAAGTCTTTCCATACAAACTTGAATCTGATGATATTCTGCAGACTGTTCCAATGAAGCCTAATGACATCAGGTTTCCTGGACTATTTTATGAACAAATAAGAACAAAGTTGATGATAATGAAGCATGAAAACTTATCTGATGGTGATTGGCATTGTGATCACATATTTTGTGATTAATTTTGTTCAGTTTCATTCAATTTTGTTCAGAACTGTACAAGTTTGATTACCAGTTTTGCATTTAAAAAAGTTTAATATTTATGCTAAATTTAATCCTATTTATAAACTAATTAAATTTTAATGGGAAAGGGAACGTAATGTTAAAGCCCTTTAGCCAAAGAAGCTTTACTGCTGTTTTTGGTTTTTCAGGATGAGTCAAACTTTATAAAGATTGGCCTTTGCGAAATTTTACGTTTCCTATATTTTTAATTTAATGAAAATAAATTTACAACAGGCGAATTGAAATTAAACAATGTTGGTAAACCAGGAGGCGAATTTCCTTCTCATTTGAAGTAAAGCATCATTGTATCCTGAGAAATATAATCAGCAAGTATAGAGATAATGTCAAAATTTATTCAGTCTGTGCTGTCCAATCCTGCAGTTCATCCTTCCTTGCCTCTTCTCCCTTTTTTATTATTTCAAAATGTTTGTTTTTTCATTCATATTTTTTAAAATAACTGCTAAAACCATTTTCCCATGAAAAGGTTATGAATTTCTACATGTTTTGAAACGAAAGTGCAATTTGCAATCAGAATCAATTCTGTTTTTCATACTAAAACTGCATGATGCATAAATTCATAGAAACACCACCATGGGTGACTGATTTGATCTTTTGGGAAACTTGAAAGGAGTTGATTATTGCTGTTTCAGAAACAAACATATGCTTCAACTATTTCCCTAAAGTAGCAGGATAGTGATTTTAAAAAAGATGTTTCCTAATGCTATACTTGACGTAAAAATAGCAATAAACATACACTTTTCAAACAATTGAGCTTAAAGAAAAATAATGCTTGATAAATTTCAAGTGAGTTCAAAGGTATAGGGAGTGTTTTTGGACCTCCAGAGAGATTGCAAAGAATACCCCGTTTGTGTTTGCAAATTTAGGACAGGCATAAAACTTAATTTCCCTCCGAGCAGCATGAATTATATCTTTTGCCTGGAAACTATAGCAATTAAGAATAGCAAATTACTTTTTATAAGCAATTATTGATATATCCATAAAACCTTTTAATCAATTTTACAAAATGGTACACATTTAGCCATATAGATTATTTTTTGTTCAATATTTCATTGAGTATTATGCAAGTTAATAGGCAATGAGCATGGACCTCAAAGAAGAACCTAGCAATATAAATACATCAGGGAATAATGCATTAAATATTGTAAGCAAATTGAAAAAGTAATAAGTAAATGCGATTTTGCTTTGAAGGAAAATTCTACTAACTGGACAAATTACTTCGATATACTACATTTTTCCAACACACCAAAACAACTACATGATATCATCATTGGCAGGTTAGCAACAAAATTTTCCCTGGAACTGGGAATTTGCACCAGAAGAGAAAAAATTCTAAATAAACTCATTCTAAACAAAAAATCCGGATGAAAATTACTTACAGTGGTTCCTGGTGGGAATTCAGGGGCTTTGGCAATTGTTTCCGACTCCGACAACGAAGCATCGGCTTCACCAGCCTCATCCGCTTTCATATTGGCTTTTTCCCAATCAATATCCCTTTCTTCAGATTCGTAACCATCCCCGACATTCATCTCCCTGGACTCTTCTTGGTCTTCTCGGTTGAGAACTCTCTGCTCAGCTAAAAAAGGAGGGCCTTCTAAACTTTTAACAGCTTCAATCGCCTCTTCGCCATTAGATTCCAAGCTGGAATTCAAAACAGCATTCTCATGATGTGAAAGCCTTTTTCTTCTTAAGATTTCGCCGTTTTTCTTGTCTTCAGTTTCTCCTTCCCCGCCATATAAGTCAAGCAAAGACTTCGATTTACCCTTGCTCTTGCTGCCACTACGTTTGCGGTATAAATGAAATGGGAAAAGCTTGGTTTTTTTCTTCACCTCTTCTAGCGGCATGATTATCATAACATATGCCTTGGCCCGTTAAATTTTAATCACGAGTTACAAATTAGACAGAGTGGTTGCTTGTTAATTCTATGATCTCAATACGACCGCCCAACGAGCGATGCTTAGGCCTTGATTGCATTCGGCAATGCCGCAAGAGACAGCACTCAACATCGTGTTTCAAAACAAACGACCAACTTCTTGTTTTCTTTGCTCTGTTAGCATCACAAATAGATATGTAACAGTTGGCAACATTAGCTGTGTCAATCGGTTAGCAACGACTTCTGCTTTCAACGACTGTTATTTCGTGACGAAAACAACATCGATGATGGACATGACTAGAATCCCTGTCACAGATAAACAACAACGTTGCCACAGTGCTGCCAATTTGGCCTCACAAGGGTGGCAAATAGCCAAATAATTCCTTCTCTATCTCCTCTATCTTCTATAATCTTTTCCGAAACAAGCGACTTTATAAAAAGTATATCTGTCCTGACGGGTTTAAATTTTCATGGATACAAAGATTATTCACAAAATCAGATAATGATTATCAATCTTCGATGAAGACACAACAAACATTTATATAATAATCTTAATTTCATAGAAACAGTAATAACTGATAAAACGGACCCATTACTTTTCAAGCCGAAAGTAAGAAGCGATTAAATAGTTTAAACATAGTTTATATAGCCTAGGTGACGCAGATATAAAAAAAATGCAAAGAATGATAGTAGAGGCTCTTGGATATTGCATATATGTTTCCGAAAGAGCACCACCAAATACCTCTAGACGCATAAAATTGGTTAGATCTGTTGCGAATTGTCTGAGAAATAACTCTTCTATCGTAAAATCGGAAATGTCTTTCCATTTTAGGTAAAAAAATATGGAAAATTTAAATAACAAGTTATTCTCAATAAAAAGTTTTGTACATATACATCTTTCGAGACTGTTTATAAGATTGAGCATTACTTAGACTTGATAGCTACCTAGCAAAAAGAAGAGATCCAACTTTTCAAAAGTGCGTCTCAGTGCTCACAACTTCAGGATTGAAACAGGTAGATACGGGAAGAATCCTATTCCTAGGACTGATGGAAAATGTCCGTATTGTCAATCTTTTAATAAAACTGCTGTGGAAGACGAAATTCATTTTTTATTAGTCTGTCTCCTTTACAAGACTACTAGGAATTCTATGTTATCTATGATTTATTCAAAACTTGCCATAATTTCTTCCCTTTATCTTTGTAATGAATTTATCTGATTGTTGAGTCAAGAAGATATGGATTGTCTGATGCCAATAGCTAATTTTATATCGCTGGCATTGGAATCACCGGGATCTTTTGGAAAGTCCTCTTTTTTGCATATCTACGTAACGTTAACTGTTTAGCTTATAATCATTTGTACCCTTGCTTATCTTTGTATTAGCTTTTTGCTGTATTCCAAGATTTATTGTTAATTTGTAAATTTGCAAGTATTGTAATTGTGTTGGTGATGGGCCATTTCGGCCTACAAACCTAACTGTAAAAACAGTAAAGTTGGCACGCTGGCTACCTTTCATTGCGCCAATGGCCAACTATCACTCCGAAATGTTTATTGTTTTATTAATTCATTTAGCAAAGTGTTCTAAACGATAGCAAAAAAAGACTGCAATAAATATTCTGAAGTGCATTTCAAGCTAATCTAAAAGGGCGTGATCGTCAAAAATTTCTTATCTTTCTCGCAGGGGGCCTTATCTTTTGGTTTTGCCCCAGGGCTCCGAAACCTTTCGTTGGCCTGGTAACGGCACTATTGTCGCTACCCGCCAATTCTAAATGCTTCAAAGTTTTAAAAATATTCGAAACCAATGACACGGGCTCCGACGCAGGTTGGAAAGTGGAGGGGCCAAAAGAAAATATTAGAATCATAACAAAAGTTTTTAAAAAAAGCTCTATTGCTGTGCAAAAAAGTGAGGGGGCCATGGCCCCCCGGCCCCCCCCCTTTGTCGGAGGCCCTGAATGAAGGGTAATTTTTGAAACTAGACAAAAGAAAATAACTCAATCAATTTCGGGTGCTCATAGCAACTCCAGAAACAATTTCTTGAGTTAGGTGACATTGAGTATTGTTAAACAATAGATTTTCCTGTTGCGTGCATAGAGATTACCCTATCTCTATGGTTGCGTGTCAGTGATGTGATTCTTAATTTTGTTAGTGCCCCTCTTGTTAATTTGTAATCCGTTGCCATGCCATTCCATCCGCCGGATTCTGTGAATCTTGCAATGAGTGTTGTTATGAAAGATATACAGGAACAAAGCAATACGACGACGAGAATCCAATGTCACGAGATAAAATTTTCAAAATAAATTAAATTTAAAGAATATAATAAAAAATCGCCCCGGCATACAGGGCTTCGTCAGAGTAAATGAAACGAACGAGTGAATTTGAAATGTGAGATGGTGCTGATACCGAATTGGTGGATGTTGAATGGTGTGAATGCAGCGCAGTGGAGAAAGAATGGGACGATGGAAGTGGGGGAGGGAAGGGTGGTGGGTGATGTAAGGGGATGTGGGTGATGTAAGGGGATGTGGGTGATGTAAGGGGATGTGGGTGGTGCTATGGAGATGGATGCAATGGGATGATAATGATGACTATGAATATGAATGTAAATAAAAAATAAATAAGAAAATAATAATAATAATAATAATTGTGATGGAACTGAGAATAATGGAATGTTGATGATAGTAATGGTGGTGATGATGATTATAATGGTAGGGAAAATATGGTGTGGGTTGTGAGGGCGGCGTGATAGGTGATAAGTTGTTTTGTAAAGTTAACGGTCGGTAGTTCTGTTCATGCTGTTGGGGGTGAGGGTATTCGCCATTTCTCATTAGTTGCCATCATTTGTTGTCAGCATCCTGTTGTCTCTTGGTTATGTGCTTTTCATTATATTGCCATGCTGTTTTATGTTGAGAAGTCGTGTCGAAGCCGTTCCGTTTTGTGAAGTTGCCGTTAGCCGTTAAATTCAGCAAAGTGTACCCGCCGAACATTCTTGCCGCCGCCGAATATTTATTGCTTGTGGTTTATATCGCCGATTCTGGTTCTTGTTGGAATAAACTGTTGTTCCATTTGTACTTGACTAACCAGGGCAACTGTAAAACATAATAGTTTTACAATATAGCGGACGAAGGTCATTAATTCTAATAAGTCAAGTGAAAAGGAAATTGGAAAGATTTTTCATCTATTTTAAAAGAAATTTTGAGCAAATGTAAGGAATTTTTTCAGGAAATCGGTTGAGCAAAAAGTGGAAGCACTGTATCACCCACAGTAGCTGCCTATTTTAAAAAGGCCTAGTTATGAGATCGCATATGGAAGACGTCTTTTTTGAGTAAGGTACAAGGGTAGCAAATGGAAAGCGAAATGGACGTCTTCCAAATGAAGAAAGGTTACACGACCAATAGACAAACATGCGGCCTGGACTTGGAAACGGACCTGTTAGCAATCTTTTGATATCCCACTGGGCACTGGCACTTCATTTTTAGGTCATCAAGCTTAGATAAAGATTTAGATATCAGACCGTCATTACAAAAGACTGTAGTATGATGCAGTTAATGCAACATGGCTCGATAACTAAGGGTAAGGGCCCCCAATCTAAGGGGCCCCCAATAATCTCATCAAAAACAATGTTTTTCAGATTTCGCTCAAGTTTATCTAGCTGTCAAGAACTTTCACCCCTAATCATCGTTTTTACATCTTTCTATTTTCTTTGACATAAATTCTTAACAGATATCCCACTCGTTATACATTTAGCTCAACAATATTAGATTGGACCCTCTTGCAGTTCGTTTCACAAGCCTCACTTTATTTTACTATCTGAGTGTAATATATTCACCACTGGCCTTTTTCTCGTGTCTGCTTATTTAATTAGGTTTTTTGACACAGTACTTGATAACAGCTCAACAGATGGTAACCCTTGGCTATGTTGACCAAATTGTCAAGCACGTGTTCATTATGCAAACCTCTGACAATACATTTAATGTTTCTAGTAACAGCTTTGTTGTAATCTGTCGCTATCAAGTTCAATTCTCTAGAAACTGAACTACTTGGACCCGCCTTGCATTTATGTATTCCCCAATTCATGACGAACGAAAGTATTACAGCATAAATCTTTCATTAACTACTTAATTTTATCTTTATTTTTCCAAAAAGGAATTCATGAGTTGGCTTGAACAGCTGAACGTTCTGAAATTTTGTTTCTTTGGAAAACATGATGCATTGCTAGGTAGTAGATTTTTTGACAAGATTTTTATCAAAATTTCCCATTAAATCTACCTTTCTATTAAGCTTTTACCATTAAGTTAAAACATGATCAAATAGCTGAAGAAGAAAAAACAAATAGACTAAAGACACACCGCCAATAACCCTGCTTTGAGGCATCTAAATGTATTCGTCATGACTGATGGCCGATGGAGTTACAGCTGTCCGTCGGGGTCGCATCTAAGGTGGGGGGGGGGGGGGGGAGGGACCGTGGCCCTGTACTGTTCATCAAAATATAATATTAAAAGTTCTTCATTCGCGTGACACTTTTGCCTGTGATGCACAATCAGGGATTAGTTGGATCTTTTTTGAGAAATACAGTTTTCAAGGAAATCTTTTTAAGTATATATTTGGGGTAAGATGTGTAAGCTGCTTTATCATAACTACACAAGATAATGAAGTCTTTTACATTGCGTTACAATGTTTTACGAAGCAGGTAAACATATAGAAGGCATGTAGAGATTAACAATGCAGATGTGAGAAAAAAACCACCAAACTTCTGTTGGCGTGTATGCTTCCAGCATGTTAAGACAGGAAAAAACTCCCTCTGCCAGGTCAGAATATTTTTGCAGTTGTGAAGTGCCGTTTGTGACGAATTGAATTGCATATTTAAAAACGACCAATGGAAAGTCACATTTCAATGGAAAAAACACGGATTCTTGTCTGTATAACCGGTATCACCATTCATTCTATAAATTGTTAAGCTAAACAAGAATAAATGGCTGATATAATGAGCTCATTCTACACAAATGCCGTGCGTTCAAATAACAGCAAACAGCTTGTAAAATGAAGGGTAATCCTGCATTCATTAATAACCTAGTGCAGGCAAGTTAAAAGAACTTGTAGGCCTTGCTCTCGCCCTCCCTGGACTCAAGACATAGATTGACAAGATAACACGATGTATAAGACGAAGCAATGACGATGACGAGAGTCAACAACTCTGTAGAAAATGCTTTTGGATAGGCCAATTATGTCATATATGTTAGGGTGTGTTAGGGTGTATAAAGTCTATCGGTACCGTTAAATTCATTGGCCATGCAAATTATGCTAAACCAAACTCTCGCAAAGGACTAATCATAGCTCATAGCAAAGGACTTTCTAAAGGGCTTCCCCTGTGGGTGGGGCGCTCAACCTTTCATCTTGTAAATTTAATTACAAAGAAGTAAGGAATTTGCATCTCCAATGCAAGAACACCTTGACTTTTCTGCATGATTTAAGAATGTTTCAAAAAAATATACTGATAAATTTATAAATAGAATGAATTAACCTACAAACTGAATACAAATACAGCAATTATCGGCTCAATGCTTGATTCATTGGATTACTTGGTGATTTTATCCATTCCTTTCTTAATAATTGTTTCAATTGAGACATTCGAAGGTTAGGGTTCTCTTCCTTTAATCTTGGGAGGTTTTCTTCTTCGAAGGCAGCATAAGCTGCTTTCATTCTCTTTTCTGGATGTTTATCAACAGGGTTTGTTTCATCCTCCTTCACTTTTAGAACAGCAATTGCATCTTCAACATTCCTTGCTTCAGTAATGCCTTCTTTCTCTAAGTGTTCTGCCATTGAACGATTGGGATTATCACCTGTAAAATCATTCATTGCTTCTTCTTCCTTTTTCCTCATGGCTTCTTCATTTTGTCGCAGCTGCACCTCCTTTTGCTTTTGTGTTTCTATTTGTGCTCTTGTGACTTTTGCTACAGGTGCTGCAGATTTGGACTTTCCTCCAAGACTGGCCTCCTCTTTTTCCAACAAAGCCTTTAACTCCTTTTTCCGCTGTAGTTCCAACAGCCGCTTCTGATCTTTATCCTCCTAAAAATGCAAAAAAGCCTCAATTTAGAGGAAAATAGAAAAACAGCCATCAACTACATGATATGAGCATGATTAAAACAGATTTTAGCAATGATAAAATAGCTATAAAGCAAGGCACCATGCAGAACTTTCAGCTGTAACTTTAAGTTAGTGTTAAGGCTTTCTTCTCGGATTCCCCTCAAGCAAAAATTGAAGCCACCTTCTTCTTGTCATTTTGCCAACCATGTGAATGTGTCATTTTGTGAGAAACGTTTTCAAATTTATAGAAATTCTCTCTTGCTGACACCCTTGTTTCCTTAGTGGCATACCTCCTCAAAATCTCTCCTCATTTTGATCTATTTGAGTCAGGTTTAGTGAGTATCTTTGGTTTTCTACCACTGCTAATAAATGTGCTAATAAATTTTACTTAGTAATCCAACAACAGTCAAAAATAGACACAGAAAGTTATACACATATTAGTCTCTCTTCTGTCATGTTTTCTTCATCAATATAACTGCATGATATAAAGAAAGCACCACTGCCTTCACTGCCTAATCTAAATTTGTAAATGTTTCTTCATTCAAGAAATCATTTGCTGAAGCTGTGGGGTGCAAAGACATTGATTTTGTCTATTCGGCTTACATCAGAATTAATGGATTTTAAAAGAACATTTTGTAATTGACTTTGCAACAAATTTTTAAGCATGTTTAAATAGCATCATTCCTGGGGTATTCTTATAAAAATGAGTATTTGAAGTTACCAAGCAGCATGTTACACACTTTGACATGTATTATTTCATGTTTTTAAAAGATATGTTGGCAAAATCTGACTGATACTTTGGCAAGTTTTAGACATATAAAATGTCAGCATATCAAATAATTTTATTTTCTATCATTTTAAAGTCAAATTACTTTTGCTTTCCTTCACATACAAGCAATAACTTGACATTTTTCAAAAGCCTTGTTCTGATGGCTTTCAGATGGTATGATTTTCAATCTCATTTCTTCCATTTTTGGAGACTGTGTCAAATTTGCTGATGAAGTTTCTCAGCTGCAAAACATCTGACTTTGATTATTAACTTTGAGCCAACAATTTGATTACTAATTGTATACTGGTGATAGTTTGATTGTTAAATATAGCAAATGTATGGATATAAAAATCATAATGAATATATTCAAAATCCACACTACTTTAATGTTAACTGTAAAGAACCTAATATAAATATAACAAACAGAACATTTACAACAGTGGCAGCCTGGCAGTGGGGACCAGAGCCCCAAGCTGACTTTTTATAGGGGCACCAAAGCTTGCATAGGGCACCAAAAAAATCGAAAAAAGTTTTATACAATCAATTTGTCTGGTTATTAGGTTTTTAGGAGGCCAGCAGAGACAAAGAAAACGCCTTATCTCAAAAATTTCTTGTGGTGCACGCCCCATACCCACTAAAGAAGTCTCATTTCAGGGTACGTATTTGTGCCCCTTTAGTACTGTATTATCCAGACAAAACATTTGTACTGTTCGCATGGGTGCAAAAATTAATCAATTTTTTAGAGGAGTGTCAGGAAACTAACTGTTAAATTATTTTGTGTGGAGGGCACAGCACTCATGGGGTACACAGACATACTCTGAAGACAGTCTGTGTTTAGAGCGTCCAGCTCTTATCATGTTTCTTCAAAAAGGATATATTAAACAGATTACTTTTAAATCAAAACATTTGACTTCATGATTCTCAGTTTTGCTGAAGTAGGGGGTACAGGGGGCCTGTTGCCTTTTGATAGGAGGGATAAAGAGGCTCTTTTCATTCAAGTGCCCTTGAAACCAGCCATTTTTATAGATAAATATTAGATTCTGATTGTAGTGCCTAATTCATGACAACTTTTTTCAAAACTTGTAAAAAAATTCCTTATGCTGCAAGATAGCCATATCAAGATACCTACAGACAGGGGCGGTATTAGCGATATTAGCCTCAAGCAAATTTTTTCAGCAAAGGCTCTCATAATCTACTGGTCATATATCTTTAAAATGAAACTAGCACTGGAAAATCCTTGGCAAAAACAGTTTATTTGGAAAGCTAACTGTTTTCCTGCCATTTTGCAATGATATGGCATGATATAGCCATAGTAAAGCAAGCAGAAGCTGCTACTCTTGAAACAGATTTTATCCTTTTAAAGAAAGACTTTCCTCCTACGCTGGTCACAACACTTATTGTGATGCATTCATCTGATGGCTGCAAAAAATACTATAGCCACAGCCCTGAAATTTTGCTACTAGGTTTGTGAATCCTAATAGCAACTTTGTTATCCACGTTTGTTTGTGTCTCCTTGTGTGACGTTAAGTGGCCAATCATGCTGTTTTGACAGAACCAATATATGGGGACTTGCTATTAGCCAGGTCACCCCTTCCATTCCTGTGGGATATTGCATTTAAAATAAATCATATGGCTGTTTCTGGTTTACGCTGGGGGTTTCAACAACATACTGACATACAATCCTTTCATCACCACAACGATAAACACAACACCAACAGCCACTTTGTTTGAATATATGAAAGATAGCGCTCTCTTATTATTTTTTGGCATAGTGATATGTAGTTTACTCTCAAGCTCTTATGTTAGTTTCTTCAAAAATTTAAATCTGCACTTAAATTGAATTGAAAAATATGGTGCTTTGGTTTTGTATAATAACAATGAGTATTTATCAGGAATATTTGTTCTTATTAAGGAGTATTTCAATGTACTTTACTTGCTGATATGATTTGCTATTAAAAGCGGGATGTTAATAGCAACAGAAAAGAGGCTTCAGCAGCAGCTACGGAAAGAGGGCCTTTACACTGTAAGCTAATGATATTTATCTGCATGCTGCAGGCCGTCAAAGCCAAGTCTACAGTCATAATTGAAAGACTGAATGAGTAGGCATGACTTCTACACTGTAGGCGCATTTCAATTAAGGTTGTTTTCAGAAAATTTGAAAAAATGTCTCTGAATTTTATTTAGAACTAAGAAACGGTTTGCAGCTTTACAATCTTTTTGGGGTTAGTATCAAAATCAAAATTATAAGTCTGATAAGTCTGACAATGGGTCATGTTGCCCTGGAGACCAAATATACCTCAGACCATGGCCATAGCCCCCCTTCTGATTTTTTTCTTTTCTCTTTATGACTATGAGATAGAGAGTGTTAAAATAAAAAAAGGAAAGGTGTCTTCGATATGCGGCCAAGACAATCAAGATAAAACCATGAGATAGAGCATAGAAAAAACAGTGCAATGTTGAAAACAACCATTGATGAGGGTGTGGTTGGAAGTAAAAAACAGCAACAGTCACGTCCTGATAACAGGATTTTCTCTAAAAGCAGCTTAAAATCTCTCCCAGTTGCCTCTGCCTACAGAAGTTTGAAATAAAACAGCAGCTATGAAAGAATTAGTAGAAGTTGGAAATTATCGGTTAAATGCCCTTTTACTCAAGCCTGTCCCCTTGCCACTTGGTCACTCCTGTGTCCCTGATGTTTCAAACAAGTAGGCATTTTAAATTTTCTTTTTCAAGGGACATATATTGATTTTGACAAGGAAGTTGGGTTGGGCCTAATTTTTTAAGGGTTGCATTTTGTTGGCCTTTAAACATATTTCTTTAAAGTTTGATGGAATATTTACTTCATTTTGTATCAAATGGCCAATGACATAGTCTTAAAAGCATTTCTAGCACCTTTCACTTGTTTCATAGTGAATGTGAAGATATGTTAGAAATTGCATTTTCTAACCTTATAAGTAACTGGAATCCTCTATTTACTGGCTTGGATCAGCTCTTTCAATTATTTGTTACCCTGGCACCCTCTTGTTAGCCCTATGACTGTTATTTGTGTTATATGTATGTTTTGAACTTGTTTAGTTGCCCCAAAGTACAGGTTTAGCAAAAGGAAGGTAAATATTTTATCTGGCATTTTGAATTTCCCTCCAAGGTACCAAATGAATTTCTCAGAATTTTCCCAAACACAATCTTGACACATTTTTATTTAGTTTATCTGCTTGGACTGGCTTCGAAGAGAAAGTCAATTTCATATGTGAGTTGGTCCAACTTGTCTTGATACCCCAATGAAAAATTATCTTATTTGCAGCCCTGTGCTCACGTGGGGTTCAGTCTATCCTGGAAAGACAAATAAGAACATTACCAGACTGCCAATCTTTTCAGGGAACCCCATTTTTCTGCTAGCACCCCCTCCCTCCCCTGGGGGCCCCCAGGCGATAAAGGCCAGGGTACCACTGTTTCACAAAGCTTTGAAGTTGGCAATTTCTGTAATAAAAAATTACAGATCTAAATCTGTAATAAATTCTTAGCTGTAATAAAATTCAGAGAAACATATCATAAATTAATGGTTCTATTAACCTTTCTCTGTTGCTTTTTTGCGGTTAGTTTATGACCATCCCTCCAAAGAGCATCTTCTTTCTCCTTTTCAACACGGTCCCTTTCCTCATTCTTTTTAGTTTCTTTTCTTTCTCTTGCAGCCTCTGCTTTTGGGTTTGTAGATAGCTTTTTCGGCATGACTCTAATTCGTGTCTTTTCAACCAAAAAATGTTCTAAATTCACTAATTTGTAGCAGCATCATTTCCAATTTGAAAAGTAAGGAGAAAGAAACATCAACAACAGCTTCGCTTGTAACCTCAATTGCATGTCAGCAACAACAGCCACAAGCTATTGGCTTTTGTCAAATAAAAATTTTGCGTCAAACCATAGTTACACTCAATGGGAATATCGTTTTCCAGCATTAACTAGTTAAATTAAATTAAAGACACAAAAGAATTCTGATGCAAGTTATAAGCTGATGGGCAAATGAAAAATTGGAAATGGGTTGTCCATCCATCTGTAAAGTCCACGGGACACAAAATTTGAAATCGTGAATAAATAATTTAATTTGACCTTTCCACAAAGAAAATATCATGCAGTATGCATATAATGAGAAAAGACCAAAAATAACTCTTCAATTTAAACAAACTATAGAAGTATTATAATATTATAGTAAACTAACATAAATAATTGCCGGTGTTATTGTCGATATCTATCGTGCAATGCGTAAATAAACTAGCAGGAGATGTTGAATGTATTAGGATACGCTGAGGAACTGTGTAGGGTAAAAGGGCATGTAAATTTTACATTACCGGAAAACATGAAAAACTAACGCGTGACGAGCCAATGTATCCTAACTAAAGAGAAGCATGAACAAATATAGACATAAACACAAGACCGACCTATAATGAAATAAGTTTCTCTATTACACTTGGCCCCCTTCATACCCAAAGCAATAAACCTAAATGTTTTTCATATGGATTCAAAATGCATATAATTTTCTTCACTTACTTTTGAATTATACTTGTAAAGCATTGTTAAACTTCCCAGCATAAAAGTTTTAATTACCAGTGGGCCATTCTTTGCTCAAAGACCCAGAGGAAATTGCCCCCTTGCATTGTAAGCTTCGCTGCTCCAGAAAGTTTGCATTGGAAATCTAGCCTGGTTATATCATTGATGGAAAAAACATTACACATTATCAAGAAGAGATCAGAGTTAATTGTTTCTGTGCAAGAGTATAGGGTGATCGAATGAGTATATCAGATATATGGAGATATAAATTGCAGGTTGAGATAATGAATTGTTAATAGCTAGAGCCAAGCATTCCTAGACAGCTGATTTACAAATTTGTCTGTCTATCAACGAGAGTATTTTTTATGGATTGGCCATTTATGTTCTCTACTTTGGGTTGATATCGTTTCATGCCTACCGTTAGTTGATTCGAGCAAAAAGAGTTTTTAGTAAGAAGCAAAACAAAGACGATCTGGACGAAACATATTCTTGTAGAAATTTTAGATTACATTTATAATCAAGTTCAAAGAGCTTTTAAACAATACTCATTTTGAATTATTCATAGGAAACCTTTTCAGTTCATTGATAACCGGCGTCCCTGTTTTTTGCCCAAATATCGCAAATATTTTAAAAAAAGTGACCGGAAAGTCGCAAGTATACAGTAAGGAATTTTCAGTCACCACTTAAGTCAGAATTCACCCAGTCTAGCAACACTAAGATGTCTTGATTGATTCAAAGTTGATTGGTTGTCTAGTTGCTAGTCTCGCTATGGATTGGCTAGTCAAAGCCTCAACGGATAGACAAAGAATCAAGCTTGAAGATTTTCAGTTGAAACTTCGAGCTTCACCTTTTACGAGCTTCACCTGAAACTTCATGCCACCATCAGGCAAATGTATCTTTGAATCTCTCAACTTCATTGAATAAAATATTGTTTTAATCTCGAATCTTTATTGAATAAAATATTGTTACCTATAAACGCATTACCAAAACAAGACTCAAAGCCACACCTAAAGGGAAATGACTTATGTGGGCCATTGCCATAGTGCCTGTCAGAACAATTTAGTATTGAACCCTTTTATGTTATTTGGTAAAACATATCATGCGACCTTACACGTTTTTATGCCATAGGCTGCTGTTACAGGCAGTGGCAGCGCCAGGGGGTGATATGGGGGGTAATTACCCCCCATATTTTTCGAAACATGGTCTACATATTTCTTCTAAAAACGGGTTAAAAAGCACTAGGTAGGGGTAGATCATATTTCCTAAGAAAATTTAACCTGGTACAAAGCACTGAAACGAGACGATTAGGGCGTGGTCTCACTGGCCACGCCCATTACCCTCCCACTCGGCAGTAGCTGGCGCCGCCACTGGTTACAGGGTCTTCTAGGAAAATAATCAGGTGTTAATCATGATCAACGACTTTGCAGAAAACAATCCAAAGAAAGTCACAACAATATCTGACAGTCTTGTTATTGAATACTTGATAGCTACAGTTGCTGCTACAAATTATACTGCTACCTTATACAAAACAGCTAGTTGTTTGGTTGAAGTTTCGTTCCTCGATTTAGATATATTGCAAATAAACTTTGAAGCTGATCAAATAAATAATTGTGAACGATTTACAATTCTGGATATCTTCAAACTTTGCAAAACAGTAAAATGTCTAACCAGCAAAGATATTGTGGAATTGGTTTCCAAAAGATCCTAAATTTTGCTGCCTGCTTTGTCCTGCTGTTGCCAGCCTGTGGTGCATGTAGCCAGAACCAAAATTTCTCTTTGCCATCGCAGGTTTCCTGCTGCTAGCAACTTTTTTCCACTTCTTAATGATGTCACCAAAATTTCTCTCGAAGTCAAAATCTGGGAGAAAACGGGAACCGTGTGCATAAAAGTCGGGGTAATACGGCTCCATTTCATCTCTTGAAACAGGTTTTGCGTGGAGATGGACAGCGAAGGCCATAAACAGAACCAGTAACATCATTTGCATATGCACCATTTTGAAACTTCTGTAATGAAAAGGCATAGTAAATTTCTTTGATTGATAGGATTATGTATAAAAATGTCAATCAACCGTGGTATTTACCATCATCATCACTGTTCTTGATACCCGGAATTTGACATAAAACAAGGTGAAATGGCTGAGAGGGGAGGGGAGAGGGCTATAGTTTGTCTGGAAATTCGAAACTATTGTCGTTAGCCCTCTAAAAATTCAACTCTCATTTCTCCCTTGTCAGAACATTAGCCAAAAAAGATTGGTATTTAATGCAATGCAGGTTCAAATCAATAGACTACCAAAGTGATGATGTCACAAAAAATATATTTGAAAACGTTTTCAATTTTTGAAATCAGCTGAATATGTTACTAATTGGCTGAGCTTTGCTACATAAGCAACAGTATTCTATTAGCAAACCTGAAATCTTTTATCGGCCATATAACCTCAATTTTTGAGCATTCCTGTCTGATTTAACATATCCAGAGATTAGTTAGTCAAAATTAAGAAATTTAAAAAAAAAATTTTTGATGACTTCACACTTCGGTACACTTAGAATTTTTGGGAATTTTTTTGTGATCAACAGTCAACACAATTTTGATCTATATTTTGCTCAATATAGGCTTTGTAGTTATATTTGCTCACAATGCGACGAAATAACCAAAAACTGTTACAGAGCAAAGCAACCCAATGCTACAAAAATTTCTGACACAGCCCAAGGTATTGAAATTTCGATTTATGTAACTAACAAGATAAAATATATAAATATATAAAGAGATAAACCATTTTTAAGGATTTTTTCTTGTTAAATGTTTCCTTTTCGTAACATTTGGTGGTACGAAAAAGCAAATTATTGGTGAACATTGAATCTTGAAGAACTTCGAATGGCTTTGATCAAAATTCCATGGATTGGGAAGCGTTCGGAAAATTGGTATAACGCAACCAGTATACAAACGTGTAGAAGTAAGGAAGAAAGAAGTGTCTCAGTATTGATCAAATGCATGAAATTAATACTATTTGACACGTGCTGTAAAAATTATTTAACAACAAAAGCAGTAATTATATAAAACGGAAAAACGTTATTGCTACTTACGGCTAGACAACAGCAACAGGTAGACTACGTTGAAACTCCCTGGTGACAGAAAGCAGCCAAGCAAAGCTTTGGAGTCTGTGATTGTACTGTTCATGGCTTTAATGCAGTTCTTATTTATTCATTCCTAAAAGGAACAGCTGGCTAATGACTTGTTAACGAAATCATTGATTCATTCCGAGGTAACAATCGATTGACTATTTTTGATACGCTGTATTCTGAGTAGGTGAGAAGAAGTGAACCCACCATATTTTCTCATATCAAAGCACCGGCTGGCCTAGAAGACAGCACCTCTTTCCAATGGAATTGGAAATCAGTCACAAGAATTTCGTATTTATGTTCACAAAAAGTGTCAAGAAAACGGGATTTTCCTGACATTTACCATATGTTGTACGTAAGCATCGTTTAGTACAAAAGCCACATGCTTCAGCCTAGCAGCTTCGATATTTAGAGCTGAGATACAAAAAAAACATGCTAACCCGCCTTCGCTAAAAATCTTGTACTTTATAATGCGACAAAACAACCATGGACAAAATAAATTTACAGCGGATCTTCTTCATGGTATACCGTTTTTTCTCGTGGTATACCGTTTTTCCTCTAAAGAACGCGGCGGCGTTTGATACAAAATCCAAATTTGGATACGATGTTCAAAAAGGGTGGCGTCTATCACATGGCGGTGTTTAATACACAATGAAAAGTTTTCAAACGGAAAATGACAAGAAAAGTGCAAGGAAAAAAGATCAAAACATACCTTAGCATGACTTTGCATAGTTTTTGACTGATAGCAATTAATTTCTGTCGCCAGTTTTTTAAAAAATAGACTTGAAATAAATTTGCAAAGGCGACTTGTGTAATAAAAAGCGAAATCAAAACCTATACGAATGCAGCTTTATTCGTCTTAAATGATGATAAATTTAAAAAAAATTAAAACTTGATTAAAGATTTTAATGTCTAGCCTGATTGAGAAGAAAGATGGAGACATGTGGCATAGAGCATCTGGCATGGAGACAAACCTGGCACCAAGGTGGCAAGGGAGGGCATGAATGGGGGCAGAAGGACTGCTATTAATGAATTAACAGTGAAATTGAAAGAAACGTTTGAAAGATCTCTGAACAAGCATGCATTTTTTATTTACTAGAAATATTCTCATTTCTAGTATCAAAATTAATTGCTTCCAACTCTGCGCGAAAGAGAGAAGAGAGGTTCTAAGCGTACAAGTCCGTTTTTAGGTTATTAATCAAATAGTATTATTCGATAAGAAGCTTACTGTAAAATTCTGTGCAGATTCTTCTACCTATTTTTATTCTTGATACTTGCTTAATTTTTTATACACATCTGATATTGTTACTTAGCCACAAAACTGCGATCAGCGTAATGAGAGCTGGATGCTTAGAATAACGACCAATAGACCTAAACAAGATAAACTGTAAAGCCGACTTTCAGAGAAGAGTCAAGTCACATATTGATGTAGAAATCATGTTAAAACTGTGTGAACATTCGCGTTTGTGTCCAGTGTGTTTCAGCAAAAACTTAATTAACATTTTAAAGAAATGGCAACAGGTTTATCTTTGCATATATCACGAGCAGGCAGAACACTCAGAGCCGTTCGTGAAGACAAGCTCACCGTATAGTGTGGACAACAGAAAACGAAAACTTTTCGTGAAAATATCTCTTCAATATAGTCAAATTTATCAACCATCTAATGAAAACACTTTCTAGCACTAAGATTGGTACCTGAAACCACAAGGAAAACAATTTCTGCTAATGAACATGTAATTATCAAATCTTTACTAAACATTCAATAGATTTAACCCACAGTCCTCGGGACTTCCAAATTTCAGTGTTGCTCAAATGAATAATTGATCCTAAAACAAAACAAACTTATATTAGCAAAAACGTTCAAGAGGAACCCACAGTAATCTGGTCCAACTATGCTTAAAGATTCAGAAAATTGAATCGAATAAAGCAGAAAAAGCACCATAATTTGCAGATTTTGAGGTTTCAATTTTATGACTTTAGAGCATGCAATGCTTATGATGATGAACAACGTGGGATTTAGTCCCCTAACTAGGCCGATGTCTATGCAATGTTACTAACAACAATTTAAGAGATATCTATGATATGCCATGGTATAACCTTTCCATGATATAAAAAATTATTCAAAAGAATACTATATGTCATACAGGATACTAATTCTAGCACAACCTGTAATGTTGGGATAAAATATCAGACATAACGAATGGATCCGTCTGCCGTGCGCAGCTGGTAAAATACAATTCAGAGCGGTTTATCTAATTTGAAGATGGCAAGAAATAGCAAAAACATTGTATGCTACTAATTTTGCGATACCAAAAACATATTTGGTTTCTCTGATTACAAGGCCAGGAAACTCCAAACAAAAAGGAATCGTCAAAACTTTTCTCAGTAGAAGATGGAAATGTTGCTAAAAATGAAAGTACAGCAGGGTATCCGTTTCGTTTTATGTTTCATAAAAAACTTGACAGCCAATAGACAAGACAGAAAATTCAAGAACTAACTGACATTAAATGTCTCCTAACTACTTTTATTAGCAAAGAATATTTTAAACAGCGTTTCTCTTATTTTAATAAAAGTTGATCCATGAATTGTCAAATATTACTCTAAAGGCGGTTCACGTTGCAACCAATAATTATAGTCAATAGTGGGTAAATAGTGTTTTTACAAACTGTTTTTCAGGAGAACTTTCAAGACTATTAGCCCTATGTCAAAAGTCTTCTTTTATCAGGATTGGAATAGAATTTTGAAAAGATGTAGCATTTTTTAATAGCCCTTTAAAATAAAAGTCTAAAGACTTGTCTGTCTTATCCCTCCTGATCTGACTTTGAGTCAACTATTTTCAAAAATGTCCTGTGAGCTAAAACCACGCACTAGAAAATTTGAAAATTTCTCTTTCCCAGAAAAAATTCCTGCTTCATTAAATTTTGAAAAAGAAGATGTTACTCTCTGATCAATGAGAAAATGGACGTAGTTGAATAAGGTTTTGTTATAAGTAGGTGTGAGCAGGGCCCAGAGTATTATTGAATCCCTCTTCCTTTTGAATTCGTCTTACGTCACTTTAGGATACAACTGTTTCGACATCTAAAGATGCAATTTCTTATTGATTCCCGACATAAAACTCGTTAAAATGTCTAGAATTAAAAGGAAACCAAAAAGATTAATTCAACAGCTACTTGATCGTACTTCTACGCTGACATTCAAGATAAGCGCAAAATTAATATTCTTAATAAGTTTTAGCCGTATCATATGAGTGGCAGCAACGCAAAACAGGTGGTGAATAATTGACAAGAAATGTGTGTTTATATGAATTTTTTATATATCTTGACTTTAACTAAGCATTGAGATGTTTCTGAAGTCTCGATCAATTGACATGGTAAATTTAGTAGTCTTACTTCCCCGTTCGCCGCTTCACATTTAATTAAACATTAAAAATATACCTTTTAACAAAGACATAATGGATTTACTTCTGTCCATGTTGGAGACATTCTCTGCATTCGTTATCAACCACTCTAAAATCTAAATAGAACGAATTTTGAAATAAAATTATTAAATTCATAAGGATTAGCATACAATAAATTAGAAAGGATAGCAGATGAATAAACAAAATTTATAGCGATGAAAAAGGAATGAAGAACAAATCTTTGAATACTGCATATAAGAAAATGCATAAATAATCATATGCAATCTTAATATCAGCAGCATTTTAAATCAATAGAATAAGCACGAAAAGTCTATGAAAAGAAGATAGTATGTTAAGTGAATGATTAAGAGAAAACGAATGAACAAAAACTATAAAAAATACAGTCTTAAACATAAGGTTTCTCGCATTGAATTACCATGAGTTAAAAACATATAATACGTCGATTTACAAATGATAGACAAAAATATTTTCCCATGGATAACAATAATCAAAACATCTGGCCTTCACCTTCTCTTGCAAGTGTTGCCACGAAGGAGTCAACAAAAGCGATTCTAATTGCTGCCCAAACAACTCCCAACATGCCAAGTCGTAGTTTTTGTCACATGATTGCATTTTTAATGGCAGTTGAATGCCAGATGAAGACCATATTGCCAACGTGCAGGCCAGAATTTCGAGTAAGCTGCGGCAAGTTTCGTCCTACCAAAAAAAGGATTTTTCAAAAGAACATAGAAATATTGTGCTTTAATTAAATCCACAATCGCAGCTCAGAAAGTTTTCACAAGTTTCTTGATTTACAAACATTTAGCTTACACTGTTTTATGAAATAGTCAAAATCAAACTCGAGAACGTGTTTCTTGATATCCAATTTCCCCCATTTGATAAATTTTACGACAAAAAATCATTAAAACACAATGCATCATGACTTGAAATCAACAAGTCAGAATCGATGACAACGGTGTCGTATTTTTCTGTATTACAGAACACTAGCTAGCTCTAAAAAGTGACTCATAGGTTCTCAAAGTAATCCAGTAACATCGAGAATGCTGGAAATGGTTGATGATTAAAGGCCCGAAAAAGGACCGAAGAAAAGATAATAAGACTACGTGACGAAAAACATTGGGATAAAGAAAATGAAGAAGAACAGGAAAAAGAAGAACAGGAAGAAGGGCAGAAAGAAGAACAGAAAGAAAATAACAGAGGATGTGAATAGGAAGAAAAAGATCCGAAAGAAGAACAGGAAAAAACAGAAAGATGAGAATAGGAAGAAGAACAGGAAGAAAAAGAACAGAACAGGAAGCGAAAGAACAGGAAAAGAAACAACCGGAAGATGAGAATAGGAAGAAGAAAAACCGGAAGAAGGAGAATAGGAAAGTGAACAGGAAGGTAAAACTGGAAAAAGGAAAGGATCTCGGAACTGGAAAATAAACTAAACATAAACTCAATTGTATATGGTTTTTCCATGAAGGAGCTGATTAATGTTTTACCAGTTTGTTTACTATCAGCTTGTTTATTTTCCCCATTTGCTCTAGAAGCCACATGACCTCTTCGTCACGCTCTTTTGATGTCAAACTTCTTAGAAAGTGACGCTGCAGTGCAATTTTTATTGACAACATTGAAGAGTGGCTGATGTTTGCTGGATCTGTGATGAGACAGTTTAGAAATAATAACAATCATAATCATAAAAAAAAGACGAAATTTGCCCATGTCTTAGCTGAAAAGATGTAATAGTCTTGATTCTAAAAAACAAAAATTCACATAGATACTTGCTCTCAGGCCCGCCGAGAGGTTTCAGAGGCCCTTGGGCAAGACCGAAGGACTGCTGCGAGTAGATCGAGCAGAAAATTTTTGGTATCAAACACTTCAGATTAGCTTAAAAAGAATTTCAGAATATTTCTTGCAGTCTCTTTTTGCAATCTTTTAAAACGAATTTCTACATCAAGGCATACTTTTGCTACGTTGTATTAATTCCATTCTTAAAATGGAATTCATTACTGTTTGGGGCCCCCTATCTTGAGGCCCTGGGGCAACTGGCCACCTTTCTCAGCAGCCCAGCTTGTTCTATCTAAATTTCAACAGAGATTTCAAATTCAGTCTACCTGAACACGAGAAAATATAATATAAAGAAATGCAGGTTACAAAACACAAAGTACCTTACATAAAAAGTTTAACACAGCTGTGATAATATCGCGTATCATGATCTTATTCAACCAAAAAACTGAAAGGGCATTTCAAAATTTAATGTTTCAGTTTGCAAACATTTTATGTTTATTCACAAAAATAAATATTGTCTGAACCTCTGCTTGAGAATAAGTTACAATCAAATAATGTCTTGTAATATTCCGTGGTGATAGCTTAACAATCACTTTGGTTATTTCAGTATCACGCGGCCAAAATAGTTCCAAGAGCTGCACTCAGGATCTACATATATTTCCTTGTCTGTAATCTTGATGAGATAAGAAACAAAATAACAACCTATTTGTATAAGCAGCCAATCAATAATAGACTTTATCGAGAAAACACACATTCATTTCTAGACCCTTAACTAAATTATGTTCGAGATATAACATTAATTCGTTGAAAGGTTTCCAGGTGATATCCAAAAATTCTAAAGATACCTATCTATGATATTGGCTTCTGAATTAAACAGTGGTGTAATATTTAACGCCGTGGATACCAAGATCCTGGATCTGTTTACACGATTGCCTACTGAAAATTAGGCTGTGCACACGATATCGAATCAATTTCTCGATACGTCTACGTCTATTCACAAAGCAACGTCCTGGCCACCTTCCGCGCTGCAGAGCATAGACTATTGTTTGCAAAGGGGCTGTACGAAACCAGGACTTTAATAGGAGGCTCCAGAGTGAAAGTGAATCGAATTCATTCAAGTGAATTGCTACATTAAAAATTATGTGGTCTCATTTTGTAAAATAGAAAGGGAGAGCAGCAAATTCGGTATTTAATTCTAATTTGATACTACAGTGGAACCTCCATATAACGGTGGGACCAATGTTATTGTCCGTTATAGAGAGGTGTCCGCTGTATGGAGGTGTCATCTTTTTATAACTTTTGTTTTGGGACTCAAATGTCTGTCCGTTGTTTGAAGGTGTCCGTTGTATAGAGGTGTCCGTTGATGGAGGTTCAACTGTATATGATTTAGGTACCGTGTAAACAGGGCCTTTACCTCCTAAGAAAAGCTCAAAGGCTCTTTCCATGGTCTTCAATCTTGAGCCAAAATAAGCAACCATAGCTGACTCAATCCTGATAATATGTTCCGTTGTCTGCAATAACAGGTATAATGAACATCATGATCAAAAAGGTCCTAAAAGTAGCATTTGTGCAATTTTTACATAAATTAATATCCGAATGGTATTATCATAAATTAGCATGTACTTTGATACGGTTGTTGTTAATATGTGTTCGGAGAAAATATTTCCATGCTCTAAATCTTTGGGAATGATTGCTTCTTGAAATTGCGTTAGTTTTGTGCTTGAATTTGAGTAGGCTGTAAAATTCCTGTTTAATCATAGGTCATTGGGGTTCAATGACCTAGTAAGTTATTTAATGAAAAGAGGTATATGGAATTGTCAACGAATATTACAAGAAATTGTCAGGAAATTTTAAAATATCCTCTTAGTCTTTAATTAACTTGGGTAATTTTTGATAAAATATCAAACAAGCCAGAATGCAGGATGAAAGATGGAACATATTATGCAGACCGAGACTTGAGTTGTTCACACGGTTAACATATTCAAGTGGCATAGAGATGGGAAATTTGTTCACTCAGCTGCAAAGGTAATTTCGCCTTCACAGGAATTATCTACTGTGCGCATCATAAAAACAAGATTTAAGTAGATAAAATTGATAAGGAAGCGTTGACGGCTCAGGCAGAGAAAATGCAACGGCTACAAACTCAATAAATGATGCTGATATTGAAAAAATCGTAAATGCATGGATTTCAGATTTACAGACTTCGCCAAGGCTTTGAGTAAAATGTGGAAAAGAATGCATAGCATTCTTTATTCTCATTAGCTTTCATTAATTTGTATCAATTTGGTTTCCTTTGCTTATTATTTTATCAGATATCTATATATTAAATTATTTCATTCATTAATCTTCAATCTTTCATTCGTTATTAACTTTTTCTCTTCTCTAGTTTCTTGTGTTTTTCTTTTATTCTTTCTATTTTTCATTCTTTCTCTCGTTTTAGTCAATTTTCTACCTTCCCTTTTCATTTTTCCTCTGAAATTCTTTCCTCTCCCATTTACTCTTCACCCAGCTCTTTTATTCGCGTTAACTCATTGGTAGATTAATTTATTCTTCAAAACGTTTATTTTACATAATCGTTCGACTTTGATATCATTCTAATCACCAATATATGAAAAATGGCTGCAAAGAGGCAAAATAAGCTTTAAAACACTTAGCCACTTGTATCGCGTAAATGCAAATACATCCACTAATGCTTTGACAGTGGACTGGAAAAATACGAAGGCCAGGTTGTTTTACAAGAAAAACTGAAATAAAAATAATTTTACCTGGATATTGTTCAAAAAATCGTGCTGAAGCTCATTCGGGAGTCGCAGGACACAGTCTGCAATGCCTTTGATATTTTCATGGTCCTTTCAAAATATTTCGTAAAAAAAATCAGAACATTCTTCAACATTTGTGAAAAAGTAAATGATTTTATAGGCATAGAAGGTAAAAACTAAAAAACCAAAGTGCGAATAAAAGTGTAAAATCCAAAATGAAAAAAGGGGAAAAACGGAGATAAAGAGTAGTCACTATTCATGAAAAAATAAATCTGTGTCATTAAATCGAGATTAATCAAAGCTAGAACCAATCAAACGCGTCACTTTTACTCTCACATTCCTTCGATCTACGTGGGTACAAGTTTCTGCTTGCATTTGCGCTTTAATTCTTAGCAGTGTACTATATTCAGATTGATACTTAAAACTAATCAAATAGTGGGAATGAATAGTTGGAAATGTATCAATTCACAGGATGATAAAAGAAGACGATGAATGCACATCGGACTTAATAGCTAATAAATTTAATAAACTTATTTTTAGAGATAGTCAAACTAATAAAGAATTGGCAATACGAAAAAATGAAAACAACATTAAATATAGATACCTTCATTGCATCTTCATTTGCAGTTATTCTTTGTAGAGCACATTTGACACAAAGAAGGCATGATTGGACAGGATTCGGAAACTCGGCCATTTTTTTCATGCTAGCTAACACCGCCAGCTTCTGGCTTTCAGTGGCATCCTAAAATGCGCCAGCAAAAAGGCAAGTCAAAAATACTTTCAAATTCAATACATATTTGGGCCCAGATCATTCGTGGTTTTTCATGTTTCATACAGAAAACATAGAATTTAGCAAAACGTTTTAACAAAACTTTCAACTCCTATACAAAGACAAAAAGATCCAGTTTAAAATTATCGGTTGGAAAAAGTTACACGACCTATGATGTTCGATGTGTTGATTTCTGTTCTAAGAACGATTTATTAGATTTGCTAAAATGGGAAATTTTTTCACAAACACTTAAATAAAGAATACTCACTGGCTCTAGAAAGGCTTTGAGCATCATATCTTTTGCCACCATTTTCACTTTGTTTATTGGAATAAATTTAATGATATGATTGATGCTGCTTAAGATTTCTTGCTTGCATTCAATCTGGAAGAGGAGGAATAATCACTGCCAAAAAACTTTATTGACTTTTGAGTTGACAACCTTGCAAAATTATACAGTAGCTACAATTAATTGGGACATGTACCATTATGTAAGCAAATATGCATACAGTTGCAAGTACGATTACTTTCAGCACCATGTAAACAAATTTCGGTTTGGGCTGTCGGTTCAAAGATTAGCTCAATCCCAATGCCATCGTAATTCAATTCTCAATGGCGGAAGGATCCTCTAAATCAAAGTCTCAATCAAGAATGGACATACCCAATAGACTGTGCAGGGAAATTCTGGCACCATTTCAACGATCGAGGAATGAAGAAACGTTACGGTTTTTTAAGGCAGTTGCAATTCCTAGTCCCTTTTATGCGAGGGAGACCTACGTCACTTTTACGTTCTAAGATCTTGCCCTCCCTTTACAATAAATTGAAATTATTCAAGTAATAAAATCGAGTGCACGTTCTGTTTTGGACATGCTTGCTTTCGAATTCAAACAATCTCGACGAACATCAATAATGTTCAACAATATCGAGCTATCACCGATGAGAAATAGAGTTCAGTTCTTTTGTTCTCTTTAGCTAACGTGTCCTCGTTATGTGTAATCTAAACCTATATGAAAAAGGTAGGGCACTGGAAAAAACCGCTAACAAACCTCAAGAGACAGAAAAACTGAAGGATTCATCCATGATAACAGCCAGGTGGGGATGGTGGCAGAAGAAGAAATGTTGAGAACAGCAAACTTGAAACAAAGACGCCTTGTTTCTTTATCTGTGCAGAAAAATCAGAAAAAAGGAAATTGCAGATAAGCTGTCAATGCAAAAATTCAAATAAGCTAACATCAAATGGAGAGCAAGTTTTCTTTACAGGTCTGTTTCCTGATAATCAAACACAGATTTGGGACTGTCTTGAATTTTGGCTCAGGTTCAAAGACCTTATTACAAAAAGATAAAAAAATGTGGAACAAAGCAAGAAATATTTATTATTTCAAAGGGTTTTGATATAACGGAAAACATCATAACGTCGAAACATTGACTTAAAATTACGGAAATTTTTCGCTTACATCTAAGAGCTCTAACATCTTTGTAACTGTTTTTAAACTTACATTCATACAAAGTTACCAACCGAAAGAGAAAAATGCATTAAACTGCTTTCTAGTTTATTTGATTGCTGGTTACGTGTTCTTCCAAGGCAATATTTTGAATAAGCAGAAAACTTGCTTTACATTGCAAACTAAATGTGTAGCGTGTTAGAGAATCAAGTTGTAATAGTCTCTAGCCAAAAAAATCAACTCTCAAGCAATAAATATGCTGCCACATAGCTAACTGCACTGCACTGCACTGCACTGCACTGCACTGCACTGCACTGCACTGCACTGCACTGCACTGCACTGCACTGCACTGCACTGCACTACACTGCACTGCACTGCACTACACAGTGCATTGGAAATTCCCAAAACAGTTCATATATGAAATTTGACGATGAAGCTAAAAAATTGACTGAATTTCATATCAATGGGTCGTAACAGGTAGAAGAAATCTGTGCATGCATTCTCATGGATTATTCACCTACCGAAGCCAAGTTTCATAAGCGGGCTGAGTACTAAGGCCCAGTTGACAGGAGGCAGTTTCATTGCGGAGGTGGAAATAAGTGGGTGGATTATTGAATTCACAGCTTGTGATGAGAATCTGCCGTTTGGGCCTACGCAAAGAAAAACATTGTCAGAGGTATTTCAAAATATTATTAAAAAATAATGAATATCTCAACAGAAGTCGATTTTCATTTACGGTCTTGAGTGATGAAAGTTGATTTAAAAGATAAAATAAAAAACTACATCTAGACTATGCAATTTGAAATCTTGTAAAACAACACTTATTAATAGATGATTTTTACTTTTTATCAATACTTTCTATGGCTGCAAATTCTCAATATATGTAATCAAATCAGAATTCAAACTTACATCTATTTATTAAATCAAACCTTCCAGGTATACCAGAGTACACCAATGTACATATTATCAGTTTGTTAGTTAATTAGTAACAAATGTGATTCAGTATCAAACAACACATGCTACCTATGATTAATTTTTAGATTCAAGATCGTTAACAGTTGAGTTTCATTGAATGGAATACGCTTCAGTAATATAAAATGACAAACCATACTATAAAAATTATCAATGACTTGTCTTCTTTCTATAGATACAATGTTACACTATACTGTGGCACCTTGGACATTTCATTACAGCACGGTTGATAGACAAAGATTCAGCGCTTTCAAATTATTGCATGAAAAATATAAAATACGAATAACTATAATTCTAAAATCTTAGCAAATCTAGAAAAATGGCAGCATATTTCTTGCACTAGCTCATTTTTATACCTGGTAATTTTTGACAACAAAACTCACCTGATTTCCCTGCTTCGACAAGGCAGTCAAACAGGGATCGAAGTAAACTTGATTCAGTTAAATAATTATAGTTGCCAGGCACTGAAAAATAAAATGAATGTAAACTGAATCCGAGTAAGCAATCAATCATATTTGACGAATGAAACTCAAAATGATTTGAACAAAAATTGAAAAACAATAGCTTTGTCTTAACTTGCTCGGGCTTTCAATTTTGGACTCAATTATTGAGACAAAAGTAAATGTTTGCAATTTCCTACCTAATGTGTTGACCCTGTATATTTGAATTGTCCTCTTTCCCCCGAATCAATGTTTGATTGGTAGTTTTATCATTAGTGCTTCAAAAACATGCATCCGACATTGAATCGGCGGAGGAGGGAAAGTATATTTTGAAAGGAAAGAGAATACATTAAGCTTTCTAGAAAAGTTTCAACTATTTTTGTCCAGGATTGTAGACCTCATTAATAGAAAGCGTGTAAATGAAGCTTGACAGGTATGCATTCATCATTACATTTGAAAATTGTGCAAGGAACCCCGTGAAGGAAAAATTTTGAACTACAAGGAAATGAGGGGGGGTGCTATGGACACCGGTCATAAGAACGTTTAAAAGTGCGAAAGAGATATTTTGTAATACATGGTTGAACATGACTTATCACTTCGGAAGGTGTCATATAAACTTGTACATTCTCACAGGCAGATTGTCGTTGCGTTCCTCCAAGGTAGACAAGATGGAGTAATCCAAGCAGTCTGCAGCAATGGATGCAGAATGACGACTCTTCAGTTATTTCTACTAACTAAAAAGATATAAAAAATCTGATCACCCTTACGCAGGTCAGGCATTCGAAAATGCATTGTTGAATTTCGTAGTGATTTGCTTTCCGTTGGTGACATTTTGCTAATTCGTTTATTGGACTTGATTACGAACGCTACACCATATTCTGATGGCATAGGAGAAGCACAGAATTCAATCCTGGTTGCTTATGTCTGCAAGCAGATATCATAAAAAAAACCAAACTTATACGAAACTTCATCAAACTCTAATTCTTTTTAATTATCAAGCCCCCTTAAAAATGCAAAATGTAATCTAATAAAGGTTACTTGGTCTCTTAGCGTAAAGAACCTGCAACGTACTGAAATCGTATTCAAGATAAACTTACCTGCTGAAGCGTCTTAACAACAACTGCCAATTTGTTCTTTAAAGAAGCATCGAAGACATCTAGCTGATCAAACTGGAACAAGACAACAAAAGGTGCCTAGATGTTATTTCTATTGACTTGCAACTTAGGTCAGCCGTTTTGGGACAAAACTATTTGTCTCTTTTTTGGGGCTTATATCATTGGGGATGTCCATTCATGGACGCTTTACTGTATTTAGCTTGGGATGAAAATGCTATTAGAAAAAAAACTACTTAGTAAACTGAAGCTTTTCGTCTGATACTCTTCAGAGTTTAAAACGTCAGAACATAAACCGACAACTCTGCGCTAGGAAATATATATACCCAGTTGTGGATCGAAATAGGCCAATCAGAAAACACCATATCCACAACTGGGTATATATATTTCCTAGCTTGGAGTTTTGATCTATGTTCTGACGTATTAATCTCTGAGGAGTGTCATACGAAAAGCTTTAGTTTACTAAAGGTTTGCTTTTTTCCAAGCCATTATCAAGTTTTGTACCACCAAAAGATTGTTTAGAAAAAACTACCTGGAAAAGAAATGAACTGCATCCAAATGTGTTCAAAAGGCCATAGACACAAGCAGTTCGCTCTTCTGTTGCCTTTTTCTACAACATGATTAAAAAGTTACATTAGATATCTTGTTTTCAAGAGCCAGAGACAGAAATTTCCTCAGGATTGCATTAAACTATGGTTAGTTAGTCTTTAGAAAGTTGAGATTCTAGGTGAGCTAAGGTAAGATACTAAGTTATGCAAGAAGGCTGCAGATTAAGTTTGGCAAGTAAGTATTTTCAAATGAGAAATAAATAAGTTAAAAATTAATATCGTCTACTTCTATCCACAACTGCTTTCACAAAATACAGCAATTAACTTTCGTAAAACATAATTTTAATGAGCCATTGAAAATACTGCATAATGTAGTCTTAAGGTAGATGCTCTAATGAAGATAACTACTTGTGAATAACAAAAACGAAACCTGATCTGTCATGTCTTGAAGCCAAAGATCAACTGCAATTTCTACAAGACTTTTCGTCTGGCTTAAGCCAGAGTACAAGGATCCCTGCAACAGCATACCATACGCAGCTTGCAATACATAGCTCTGAGAATGTAAGATATGGAACAGATATATAATAGACACAGTATTTTTCTTTAAACTTTAAATGATGATGATGAAGAACTTAACATAACTTAACATAAAAACTTAACATAAAAAGTATAGAATAACAATTGGCATTTAACGAAGCTTTTACGAAAAACAGTAAAATCAGAGACAGACACAATCTACAGGCAGAACAGCCCTAAAGCATTGGAGCCATCACTAACTTAAAAAACATCACCACCACTTTTCACTCTTAATATCAAGTACTGTATACAAATTAAATGTGGCGTCGTAATCTCTGGAGCCTAAAAGGTTCCCCTGAATGTATTTCTAGCTTTACACTAGACAAATACATATTTATATACAATATTTCAATACGTCTTCGAGAAGTTATGTATTACCATCATATACTATGCATTGAATATAATTTCTATAAAGCATACCGCTGGGTGCATTTTACGAACTGAATTTATGACATCCAAGGCCTCAGCTACGACACTAGCCTTGATCAGATCAGCAGAAAAGCCGCTAACAGTTGAAACCGCTAAAGCAAAATAGAATCCCTGTAAAGAAATGGACATGCATCAGAAATACGAGGAGATCAAAGAAGCCAATTGACTATCTTGTCGTATATGGCGAGAAAATGGCGGATCCATAGGCCGTTGAGATGGATATCTAGGTCTATAAATAAATAGCATAAAAAAGTTTTCAAATTGTGCTAAGATACTAAGGGCAGGTATCAAACATTTATAGATCAGTTATATAATACACAACAAAAGCTCAAAGAACCTCAAAGATCAAAGATCAAAACAGTGTTCTCCAAAGGTTCGCCAACATTTTAAATTCACCAATTAAATCATAAGTTTTGAAATGTTACATATTTCATCAAATTTTTTACAAATTCCTTCTTAATATACTTTAGTGTATTTCTGTTTTCGTCTGGCCTTCTTTAAAAAATGAAAACTTTTATGTCTTACCTCATCTAAAAGACTCGGTTTTTCATGTAGATCCAGATTTTTTACAAATTCAGCTAATTTGTTATAAGCAGCGATGGCATAAACTCTAGAATCTTTTGAACTCTCTGTGAATGTTGCACACAAGGCTAGGCCATATCCAAAAACGGCGCCTTCCCTGTGCAAATGAAGAAAACTCACTTTAACTTGTATATCAACAAGGCCTTTGTCATGATTGATATTAATGCTTTACCGGGGCTGTGTATTCCTGTCCACAGTCAAAGCTTTCTGGGGAAAGGTTTGCAGATTTGAAAGAGAAAGCTCTACAAAGATTATAATAAGAAATGCGCAATATGGAAACTTCAGGGTAAAAAACGATAGATATGGTAACAATTCAAAGAGAAATGGGAACCTTCAATAGGGAGCATTTCGTGAAATTCCATTTCAATTACGTATTTCACAATGTTTCGTGATACGCCCTGCTCTGAAAATTTATTTGACTAGTTTTAATTTTAGTACAGAAAGTGAATAAGACGCATTTTAATTATGTGAATTATAAAAATTACTATAGAATTTGTCATGTTATGCTAACATGTTCAAAGGTGTGAAACCTTAGACGTCGAAGCACAGTTGATTTCATACATGGTATCTGCATGATAGCAGCACTTTTTGCCACATGCATGTTTTTACATAGGAAATCTCTTGTTTTCTATTTTGATGTCATTCCTTTTTAATTGTATATTGTTTACTATTTCCACATGAAATACAGACTCATGGAAATTTACTTCCAGTGAGACTTTGTTCTATGAATTAAAATGTCTATGGCTAAATGGCTCTGACAAAGGAATAAAGTCGAAAAAGAAGAAACAACTGGTTTGGCTGTGAAACTGAACCGTTTGGCTCAATAGAATAATAGTTGGTTTTAGGCACAGCAACTTTGAGCTCGATTCTGATGAAGACCCAAACTTTCTTTCTAATGACTTCTTAACAAATTTATTTGTAAAATTGCGCTGGTAAGTATTATTTGACGAAACAGACTAGAGACGACAGTCTTGGCTAGGGTGAAGATCACTGGGGATGGCAGGAAATTTGTCGCTAATTTTAATGAGTTGGAACATGCACAAGACTTTCATAACAGTTATGGTACTGGTTAACAACTGTAGCACGACATTTTCATAGTAATAGGCAATGGGACAAGAACAACAGAATTCTATAGCAATATATAAACCATATTTCTGCCTCATATATGTTAAAAAGATAGCATTTATGAAACAATCTAACCTGTTACATAATTCTGTGTCGTAAACTGTTCTTTCCAGTACATGCAAAGCTCTTGCACACAAAAAATATCCCTCTTGCCCTATGACGTCATTGAAGCCTTGTTGCTGTAGCCGATTCAGGAGAATTCCAAGTCCAATAGCAGAGCTGAATTGAATTATGGACGATTTGCCTGCTCTGGGAAGAAGGAAATTCGAAATGATTTTTTTCATCACGTTTTTACATCATCAATCAAGAGCAGCAAATACCAATTATTATTATAAATATGATATATCTTAAATACTAACTTTTCTTGTCCTGTAATCCGTGTTATGAGAAACTGGGTAATTTGTTGAATGCGCTCCAAATCAACAGAAATAAGGGACGAAGCAACTTCTGAAACAGCAATGGCTGCTGCAGCACGCGACAACAACGAACTGGCGGTAGATTTATGAGATGAAAACTGCAAAGCAAGATATTCACCTCTTTGACTAATGAATCAAACCTAACCGCTGTTTTGGATATCTAAAGACAGAAGACTACAACGAAATAGGAAGTAGGGCAAATATGGAGCTAATTAAAAAAAAGATGAAGGTAAGAAAAAATTAAGATAAATCAGGAAAGCATGTGGAAAAGGAATGGACAATTACAAACTTCAATTTTCTACATTTACTTCTTCACATTAAGTTAAATTACCACACTATTTTTACAATTTGGAACCCTGTTAAACTGATGAATAATAGTCGACTTATTGTGAGAATACGAGTGAAGGTGACTGTAAAAATTTGCACAAGTTAAACTGGAACAAAAGAGCAGACCTGTTGACACCATTGCAATGGCGTAGTTTTGGGTTTAAAATTTCCATCAAGAACAACCATGATTGTGTCTGCGACTTTGGCAAGCCAGGACTTCTTGTCTAAATATTGAACTGATTGGTTTCTCAAATCGTCATCACCTTTATTGTCACTAGAAGTGGATACTTTCACTGCTAACGCAGCCAATGCGAGAACTGAATTGCCTTGCATTGTCGGAATACCCCTACGAAAAACCTTGTTCAGTCAGTGAAATACATCTACTAAAGCATTTTTTCATTTGAATAGCCAGCCATTTAGGTAATTCATACTTGAAAAAGAGCTCCAACTTTTGTTACTGTCATTTTTGGAAGTTTCAAGCTATATGCCTCACTGAAAACAGAACATCTTATACCACATAAAAGACCAAATATATAGGATGGTATTGTTAAGAGATATAAATCCCATCAAGCTGGTGCACTTGGTCTAAGTTGCCTAGGATCTCTGAAAAATAACTTTTGTTTTCTCAAAACCGGTAACGAATGCCACCTTCAAACAAACAATGAAATCAATTATATAAACGTACATTAAACTGAATTTAGAACTATTGACTAAGTTATTTTAATTAATATCAGAGCCTGTGGTAACGACGAGAATAGAGATTATATTGAAGGCAATATCAAGGAATGATTATGAAAGCCTACAAAAACAGCGTATATATGTAAAGAGGGTAAAGAGAAGAATTTCAAGACAACACAATCAATAAACAAGAACGATGAATAAGTATTTTCTACTCATAGAATAAAAATAACTTTATAACTTTGCTCAGTTATCAATTCCCAATGATTGTTCAGCTTTAAGGTTACTATTTCTCTGTTTTTGACCATAGTTCTCAAGAATAACTACCTTGATGTTGCTAGCATTCAGAGAAGTCTTAAAGCACAGAGAACTTACTTGGAGGCCTTCATCAACTGACTCGTTAACTGGTCTCTCACCCTGTATTAACAAAAGAGCTTTAAAATATATATTTAACCCCAATTCAAGCAAATCAAAAAAACTTTGATGAAGGTATATTTTCAAGGTTTTTAAATTGTGTTCCAGCTCCCGGTTCTTCAGGTCTCTTCATCTAAAAATCGTCGAGTTTGCAGTCATACAGTCCTGAAGCATCGTAAAAAACATCTTGGCATATATTAAAACAATTGGAAACTGGCAAAAGATAGACAAGAAATAAAAATTGCCTGTCAAGCGCTGGTAGGCAGATCGGTTTATAAAGCCTTTTGAAAATAAAAGAAGACCAATATCGCTGAATTTTTTCGAAAAAAAGTAAATAAAGGGACGATAGATTCAGCAAACGCATCGGTGATATCGCTTTAAAAATTCATAAGACTGTCGTAATGATGTCAGGTAACATTTTGTGCTTCTGTAATAGCTGTATAATCAAGGCTTTTGAAACAAAACAAAGAAAAAACTAACCAGCAAAAAGAGCTTTCGGTTTCCGACTTCAAGTATTCTTCGGTTATGCTTCCTTTGTCAAACTGCAATGACAGCTCTGCCTTTCTGCCCTAGAGCGGGAAATTTAATCAAAACATTTTTAAAATTACTTGAATACCAGAATAGGAGAAATACTAGTTTCCTAGAAATATAAAAACTTATAGTCATAGAAATATATAAACCACCTTTCGGGGATGAATGCTTTCCAGAAAAAAGACTAATCAAAATCACACTTTCAATATTTTGTTGTTACAAATATTGATCATGTCTAAAACTTTCAAAAGCGATGGAACTTTTCTTAGATTGAGAACAAATTTTCAGGACATTTTTATCAAGTACCTTTTCTCATTATCAGACTATATATTTAATTGCAACGCTTTATAAAATGCTCTGGATAGATCATCTAAAAAAATTTGTTTCTTTAGAATTTCATGAAAGCAGAAATAACGTGGAGTGCAGCCACTGGGGGAGGAGATCTAGCTCCAAAGCACAAAATTTAGTTGCGATATGACATAGATTGGAGACGGTTCATAGAAAAATAGATACTAAGATTTTGTGATGAATCTAAATATTGCTGAAAAATAGAAATTGGAAGAAAGAAACTATTGCAATTTTGGGAAGATAATTCTGCTACTTTTTCAAATTTTCAGAAGAAAACTTTCTTTACTTCAAAAGTGAAAACCCTAACCAAGGTCAATTCGGATGACTCAAACATGCATTAATCTTCACCTTAGTCTACCCATGCATGTATATCCAGTGAGTCTTATGAAAAATACAGGAAAAGCACGACTATGATATACACTTCGGCAGTAACCGTGAAAATCGATACAAAGAGAGACAAGATACTTCTAAAGTGACATCAAAAATCCTGTCCATCAATTTCGCCCAAGATATTGGTGCCATAATAGCATGTTGCCAATCTGCAGGTTCCACGTTGACCTGAAACAAAGGATTGATGTTTAGGTCATTAAAGGAGCAACAAATCTTGTTTTTCCAAAATAGATTAAATATTCAATGGTAAAAAGATTAAAACGATAGCAGACATAAAATATTGTTAAAATTCCTTCACAAGGCATAAGACCTCTATAAATTATCTTCTTACAGTCAAGAAAAATTCCACTGAGGCAATTTCCACAGGGACAAATTTTTAGGACCAACGGCATTCAGTCGACCACCGTTAACCCACAATTCCTTGATCTAAGGATTCAAACAAATATAATAAATAGAAACAGGATTTCTGAAGAGCAGTGTCATACTTCACCAAGAAGATTGTCCAGCATCTGTCTGTTAATTTTAGCATCTTCAATTAGGTCGTTTCTGCCTGGTTCTTCTCGTTTGCCAAGGTGAATGGTTGTTTTGAAGCAACTAAGCAGTCCAGCTTTAAAGCAAAATAACATAGGCATAATGGCGAGTTCCACAGAATATATAGAAAAAGAACTTTCGTGATAGATGATGACGACTTAGCTTAAGAAATAAATATAATTCTAGATATTCTTACAAGCTAAGCCTGGTATCAAAGCTGATTTGCATGTCTTCCGATACATGGATTGCAGAAACCAAGGGATTCCCTCAACAAATTTCTCATAAGTTGAGCCAAGTCTTCTGGCTGCCGTGGCACTGCTTATATTTCGTGGCAGCATCTCTACTTCTTTTGTTAACAATTTCGTCAATAATGTGCCGTAGCCTAAAACAAAGAGAAGTCTGCTATATTTAGTTATAATGCAGATTCACGGATAACAGTATTAGTACAATTGCTTTAAAGATCTGTATGTAGACATAGGACCAATAAATTTTATTCTTTTGGGTGATTTAAACAGGAAATTAACTGAAAATACTCAAGTATCAAGCAGCATTTACAAATTTTTGTTTAGAATGGGTTTCTGTCAAACTCCAGGCAGAGAAATTATCAAATACAGTCTATGCTTTGTGTATTAATGAAAGAGAGATTGAGTCAAGCTGATGATGACCTAAATATGTTTAAAGAAATGTAATAACAACTGAACAGTAAAGTGAAAAGTTAATAAATGCAAAACCTTCGGTAGTTTTATCCGCCATATTGCGGAGAAGTAACGCATAGGCTGGTCCGGTAATCTGTTCTCTATAAGGGTTAAAGTCATCATCTTCAGGCCTTTTTTTCATGTTGTGTTTTCTAAGCAGAAGGTCAGCGATAACAGGTCGTACCTACCAGAGAAAGATGTCCAATGTAACTGTTTCAATTACCAAATAGCATTCATACTATTGAAAATCTTTATCATTGTCTCATAAAAGTTTACAATTAACCAAGAAATACAAACATTTCCAAAATGCAGATGAATAGTGAGATCTGGTTGGTTTTAAGTTGAAGTTGGAGAAATAATGATGATGACAGCTACAACCTGACCTAACAAACAGCACCTATATGAAGCATTAAAAATGTTTATCTAACCGTTCCCTCGTGACTTTGTTCCTATTCTCATAAGAATGTGTTTTTAGTCACAAACTTTAAGCTCCCTTATTCCCTTACTGTACAGTGCTCTAATGAAATATAGCAGTTAATAAGCAAGACTGCTATTCCTGGTTAGTTTTTGGGCTGATACCAGTGCATGTAAACAGGAGTAATAGAAAATTTGAACAGATTTCAAAGATAAGGTAGCCACAAAGATAAGCCCTATAAAAGTCTCTATCGTTTAAAGGAATTAATCCCTTAAAATTCATGAAAATTTTGAAAGGGTAAGAACCGAATTTCACATATCCCCTTTATCTATTTTATTCCATTTATCGAAGCATGTTTGACGATGCATCATAGTGCTGAGTGCAACTAAATTTTGAGATCAACAAAAGGACTTCCAATAAGCTCATGAATGCTTCTAATAGAAAAATCCTTGAAATCACAATAACAATAGTAGGATTAGATGTCTGTCTTAAATCATGAAAGAATCAAAAACATACTTACTTTTGGTGGTAAATTTCCTACAGTAAAACTATCCACCTGGAAGTTCGTCAAAAAGGCAAATGCTGCAGATCCAACATTTGGATTCTTTTAAAAGAAAAACCAAGCAAAAATTAAGAAAACGTAGATAGTTTTAGATCAAGATACCAGTATTCATAACATATAAATATTGGCGATCCTCGGTCTAAAACACAAGAAAAGTGGAAAATGCCATGTTTTAGTGAACTGGTAGAAAACACTTTGAAATCTTAATGAAAATGTTACAATTTCTTTTGAATATAAATGATGCAAATATCATATAAAATTCTATAGTATTCAGGCGAATTTTAATGTTTGTCTTGGTTAGAATATGCATTTAAACTATTCGAATATCAATTTTTCGATATACCTCATGATCAACGTACTGCCATATGAAATCACAAGCATATTGGATGAAGTTCTGAAAGTGAAGAAAATTATCTAGCTCTGACTATTAAGATCAAAGTGATAAATTTAAATGGTTATGAAAAGAGTTAGCAATGAGTCAATGTATAGTAATCACAGAATTAAATGCATTTTATTTTTGCAATAAAAAATAAAGTTAATGAGCTCGACATTTGAAATCTTAAAGGCTCTTGCGCAACCGGCATGCTTTGCGACTATCATTCAAAAGACCAGCCTAGCATCGGACTGCATGAAAATACAAAAGACAGTAAACTTCTCAAGACAACTGCCGCTAAGCATGCCGGTTGGACAAGAGCCATTAGTAACAAACTGAAGTGACAAGAAATAAGACGAGAGGAGAAATGACGTTAGGTAAAATCATATGAGGCACCACAATTATCACCAAAGGTTATTGGGAGTTAGCTAGATACAATAACGACAGGTTGGGAGGTACAGGGATACGAAGCTTAATAAAAAGAAAACAATAATGGGATATTTTAACAGGATAGCCTATAAGTGCAAAATATGCTGCCATTACTAATGACAATAATTTGGCGTTTTCAAGAAAAGTTTTTCCATCATGAGCCATTAAAAAAACACAAAAATAACTAGAAGGTCAAGATTGAAGTTATAAAAGTATTGTTAGATAAATGGATTTTCTGAATTTTCTGATTCAGCATATCTCCTATTAAATGTAAACTACTTAATTACTTATCCAAAAAATGGTAGTGTATTTTTGGTGCTCTTATTGAAGAAAGTTCACTATGCACTAGCAACTTCGAGTTGTTTACCCATTGCCATTATACGGACTGGTATTTTCAAAACAATGGGGAATAACCCCCAACATAAAAAGAATCACACCACGATGGTAACAAAATCAATAATACTTGGCGTATAACCCCCGATTGAGAATGGAAAGCTGCTGTTCTTTCGACAGGAAGGCAATGAAGCAAAGCAAAACAATTATTGAACAACACAAAGAAACATTTGGTAGATTTAGATCATACATGGCTTTCTTACGTTGTTGAATATTTTTACTTCACGAGTACATACTTTCGACAACCAAAATGTACAATGTTTATCCTTTGACGTTATTCAATAATCTGGTGTAAGGCCGCATTTAATAAAAATTAGGACGCAAAAATCTTACGAGATCGGCAGTGGATCTTCCAAGAACCCGAGGTGCCAAGCTTACGAAGCTAATGATACCCTTGATAACGATTGGTGATTGACTTGAGAGAACTTTTGGAGACACTTCTGCCCAGGCTGTTTGGAAATCAGATACCTGTAAAGAATTATATCCTTATTATCAGGGCTATTGGTTTATAGGGTTGACAAAACCACGATCGTTAGGACCACATTTTGAAACAAGAAGATGATTTGCATGCTTTTGTCACTGAAGGAAAAAGATTCTGAGTTCCCACTTCCGTTTCTATCTTTCGTTTGACATCATAAATGTATGATGAAGAATAAAAAAAACAAAATAAATACAGCCCAATAAGACCTATGATAGATGGCATTACCAGTAGCAATCTGCTGGCGCTGAAAAATTCGAAATGTGTAAAATTTTAGCAGCCCAACGACGTTACATATTATTTCCATTGAAAAACTTTAACATTATTATTTTAATCTCAGCCACACACAACCCTCATTCACATTTCCTTTACAAATTTCCATCACTCTCTCCATTCACAACCACCCCCATCATTTCCAGCTTCTGCGATGCATCAAACCTCCTCACCATCCACCAGTCATATCAAAATATCAAACTAATGTAAATTTCAAATATATCACCTAAGTAGATTTTTCTTAGTTCATTATCACCAATATATCAGCTTAATATTTATAACTTATTTGTTGACTATTATCGGTGCGTTGCAGTGTTCCTTATCCTTGTCATTTAAGGTTCATGATTTCTACATGTTTTCTAGCACCAATATTTTACTGAAGATTTAAACATTATATCAGTGGATGGTTGTTTTGGCTTCGTGAGGGATTCCTTAATGCAAAACAAGTCCAAATGAAAACGGGTGATTTCTCCCAAGATATCTCGATTGCTTAAAAATGATGCAAACTCGAAGTGGTTTAAAATAGCAATTACCTCTGCCTCACATAGAAACTTCAAAGCCTCAAGTGCTAGGTACACGATGCTATCAGCCACCTCTGAACGAGCACAAACCTGGCCTTTTTCAAAATCATTAAATATACTTGCGAGCAAACCAATTACATCTGGGCCATGTTGTGTAGGTCTGTAAGAAAGTCAAGTTTCACATCAAAATTTTTACATGATCACTACCCCCTTTCCCACTGGTGGGTTCACCCCTTGAAATCACCTAAACCATATGCGTCAAACTCAAGGCCCGCGGGCCGCATCCGGCCCGGCGTGTTATATCCGACCCGCGAGATCATTTTAAATCATTGTGTTAAAATAGAGTGTTCAATAAACGATTATCCTGATCGGCCCGCGACCTAAAGTGTGTTTTGAATTTTGGCCCCCTGTGCAATTGAGATTGACACCCCTGATCTAAAGGCTTGTTTCTGTTTTGTGGTTAAACTTTGCTGCATTAATGCATAAAGAAAAACAAAAATAAAAATACTTAACAATTATTGGCTTACTATGAGATGTACGAAATCAGCCTTCTCCCATCAGAAGAAACTTATAAAATGGCGCTTTGCTTTTTTGACATCAACAGCGGTCGCTACTGATACAGCAGAGGAAATTATAAATGAATATTCGGAGGAAATTGATCCAATTTACCCGTAAGGCAGGGAAGATTGGCCAGTCGCACTGGAATGAGCGCTTCTTTAGGACCAACGTTCCATAATATTTTACAGCCAAACGTACTGTGCAAAGCGTATAGAACTAAGTTGCTTAAAGCAACCGAAAATGCCGGGCAGTAAAAATATCAAGAAAACTATTTCTTCCAGCAGTTATGTGTACCTGAGTTTACAGATCTCTAATAGAGTTGAAACTCTAGAGATGTTTAGCTCCTCCCATATTGCCTGTGACATATCTTTGAGCTCAACTCGTTTCGAAAGAAGCTGCTGGAGGTATGGAAAGATCCTCGGCTAAAAACACGAAAAGAATATCCATGCAATACCTTAATAGAAAGCGTTATCGACTCAAGAGGTTTCAGTGGATAATTACAGCTGATGAAAGACTGCGGTAGCCTAGTGGAAAAATCAAACAGAATTCGAAATGGGCAAGCACAAGCGACGTTCTCAAAAGAAGATTAAGAATCATCACGTCTTATGACAGGCAGGTGAAAAATATATGAAGTATCAGGATAAACGAAGCTTTAAGAGCTGTTGATGAATTTCTGCTTAATCATGAAAAATCCATTCGTAACCTTTTGAGCTTCTTTATACGACGATTTTAAGTCAAATTCTGAACAGGATTACAGCTCAAATGGCCTTCATTTGTTAAGGCTCTTCAAGAACAAGATTTTGCCCTCAGTCTTTAAACTCTATCGATTTGTTTGAAACCTACTAACTCTTGAGGTATACACAATTCCAGGAAAATGAATTGGTCATATAATTACGGAATCAACTATTTTAAAAAGAAACTATTAATTCGGCACCTGAATCTTCCATAAATCTTTGGTTAGTCTGATTGCCAAAGGAAGAACAGCATTCGATGTGCTTAGCATTAGGATCGCTTTCAAAACTGGTGATACCAAAAGCTAGAAAAGAATCGAAAATCTTAGAACCACTTTTTGTAAGTAGAAATGAGAAAATTAAATGCTAAAAAAGGTTGTTTTTAATGAAAATCAGCTTATGCTCAGATGCGAAAAGATTGTCCGCAGAACAACACCAAAGAACATGCTTTCAAATACTTCCTACATAAACCTTAAAGTGACCTAAATACTGTCAATTTTCAAAGTCTTTTTAAGGGCAATTTTGAGCATTCATTCGAAGCAATAATTCGATAATCGGGGCAATTAAAATTACAGTAACTGAGGCCATTCCAAATTTTTTTCCACTTTTAAAATGCCAATATGGGATAAAAATGGACGTAAACTGACCTTGTTTGTACCTAACAATGGTAGCGATTCAAGAATCATAAACTTCATAGACGATTGACCGCACTGGTTTGAGGTGTGCAGTAATAATGGCAGAAAGTTGATGGCCTAAAACCAACATAAGACATTAAAATCAAAGCAACAATAAGCTTGTTCAAGAATCTCTATACTATCTCTATGTAGTGAAGAGTTGTATTGGAAATCAAAACAAGTAGGGCCCGCGCCAACGGGAGGGGGGTGGCTATGGCCCCCTCACGTTTATGCAGAGCAAGTATTTTTAAAGCTGCAGTAAAAGGGGTAAGAAGCCTTGGCCCCTACTTTTTTCAGCCTTGCCCCCGCCCCCTCCACTTTCAAATTCGTGGCGTGGGCCCTGACAAGAGTATGTTGAAATTTTCGTTATCAAACTTATATCTAAGCTTCGTCTCTCTTTTGAAATCGAGTTACCTGGAACCCAGATAGATGATTCCTCAGCTTTAGAGTAATGATACCCTATACCTATATGCAAAATTTCAAAATTTCTTGCAATAAGCAACATTTCTACTATTACCCTCTACGATGTTTGTACGACAGTTGGTTATATTGTAAAACAAAATATTTTATGACTAAAGGGCTAGCACACAGATTTTGCATTTGCATTTTATCCCGGTCCAAGTGTCATGCGATACTGCCAAAATTAACTTCAAAAAAGAGGCAAATGGATATGTAAAAATGTGGAGGAGCGCTGCAAATGAACGTGAGAAAAAGAAAAAAGTCGAGTTGTAGTAATGCTAGAGAAAAATCTTTGTTTCTCTTCTTATTATTCTGGTTATTGTGCGTATCATTACACAATATTGTCAAATGAATTATTTAACTTTCTCATATTCCCAGTGCTCACTTTGACAACTTCACACTATCAATTATCACTTCAGCTAGTATAAAAAGATACTTCAAAACATTAGAAACCATTTTTGGGTTGGTCATTCCAAAGGTAGTGATAGTTGCAAGCACATCTGATAATATGTTTTCGTTCTGTGGATTTACAACCAGAGTCGAGAGCATCAGTATTAATGAGTCAGAATGTGTTTTGCTTTCATTGAATGCATGGATGAACTCTTTAGCAGAGGGTTCTGACCTGAGAAAAGAGTAATATATGCGATAATTTCATAAAACTTTTAGCAGTGGAAATTCGTTAAATCCAATCTACTGGACAAACTACAGGTAACATGTAAAATTTTTAATAAGACTTGAGAAGGTTTAATTAGACTTCGTTCTTACAAAAAAGATAGAGAAAACTGTTGGCAAAAACTGTAGTATTCCATTAGGGCTAGAGGGAACATTTTCCACGTGGTTAGTAACGTAAAAATGCCCTGATGACATTTAGCAGACTTTGACGGTAAACTCTTAATTGAAAAGACTAATGTTTCGATTGATATTTAGATTGATCAGTATTGAGCATTGTAAACAAAGGAAATATGAGTACAACAGCATTCGACCATATTTTCAGGAACCAGAATAGATTGAATTTTGGAGACTTCAAGCGACATGGACTTCCTATTAGTTATTTCAGCGTGATACAATTTTCTTTCTCATTGGTCTTCCCAAGTAACATAATCGATAAAACTCAGGTTTTAAGCCTTTCAGTCAAGTATTCTTGGCTTTCGAATGGTCGTTTATTGGATAACAGCAAGATTGGCCTTTCTGTTAGTTATACCAAAATCTAAATAAGGAAGCTCCTTGGGGGTCAAAAAACTGAGAAAAACCTACGTAAAAATAGCGAGGCTAGAGATTAACATAAACCATGAGGGTTATAATTACTGGGTAATAAAAACGCATAAAAATACTCGGTAAATCCTAACAATAAACGGTGACAAAAAGTGAACGGGGTCTTAAATGTGATATAAAAAAGGTTTGGCCTACAGAAATCTGGATATTGACTATTTCCAAAAAACGGGTTATCTGGATAATATAGAAGGGGCAAACTTCGTAATCGTTTGATTCACAACAATGAAGAATTTACCAGCAGCTTGCAACACAATTCTTGCTAAAATTTTGTACGTAAACTTTGGGACTTGAAACAGGCAATGCCTCACTGGGATTCACTTTTGAGTGCTTCGTGTTCATAGTTTTTACATATGCTTAATAAGACCACATTGCAATTTCACTTGATTTGGAATCAGACACCTCTGAACCCTTACAAATAGGCTTCTAAAACGCACACAAGTATATTCACCTGTTGATTTCTATTAACAGTCTGCAGTGATGTTTAGCAATCATAAGCTCGTCTGCCAGGCACTCGGATTCCAAAAATCTATTATCATCGCCCTGGAATATTTTAAGCAAACATTGTTTCTTTAGCAAATATTTTACATGATATAAACTATTTCCATGTTATTTTTCATATTGATATGCAAAACAATTTGTTGTTCTTTATTGATACTAACATGCGTTATATTTAGTTACTTTATGTTCTCATTGAAATGCAGAATATCTTGTCAGGTTTCAAGAATGTCTTCCTTGTACAAAGAAAATGTTGTAAGAAAGTTTTCTATATCATATTGAAGTAAATTAAAGGTCTGGATCATGGCTAGAATGTTTTGGTAAAAAAACTAGTGATTTTTCCAATCAATGAGAAAAATATAGTTAAAGCAAAAACCAATAAAGCTTGCAAAAGTACATCTAAGAGATTAAGCCATCGTAAGCTAACAGAAGCCAGCGTACTGATAGATTGAGATAACAAAGCAAAAAGCAATGAAAAAAAAGGATTCAAAATAAATACCTCATCATCAGAATTTTTGGATGATAAATAGCAACATCGAATATTCATAAAAAGATTATGAGCTATTTTCTGGCAAGTACTTCTATCTTTTTCTTCGTTTTGATCTGCTATTATTGTGAACAAAGGAAGGACGAACGCCTTCAAAACGGATAAAGATTGGGATGGATGACGTAATGCAACACAACACGGAATCACGTGGAGTCCTGAGTATAAAAAAGTAGGGAGTTAGAAAGAAGCTGCAAATATACGTGTTACAATGGCATTAGCAGTACAAAGCCTGAATATTATTTCCTTAGTACAAAAGAAAATATCTGCAGTCGATAATACTCCCTTTATGTGAATTTTTATCCCCACTCCTTATTTTTCCATCGACAAAAACCTTCGACTAAAGATTTTGAATGACCCTTGTTAAACCATATCCCCCCATTTATTTCCGACCTGATTAAGTTTGATATTTGATGAAAGGGAGGAAACAAAACGATAGGTGCAACTTGGGATAGGTTGCTAGCTTGACCAAATATAAACTTCAAACGTCTAAAAACGTGGTAGAGCTTACCCAGTCTAAGAATTTTCTCGTGATAAATTGCAGGACTCTTGTATAACAGGAGAGCAAGCAGATACAAAAATTCATCTGATAGAAAACCCTAAAAAGTTAAAAAAATAGCATTGCATCAACAAGAAGCTTCAGCTGTATTTCTCAGAATAAAAATCATTTCAATTTTCAACGCGCATCAATAAAATGGAATGTAAAGTGAGAGACAATTGGTACGAGATATCGTGCTTGTACCAGAGCTTTCCTGTTGAAAATATAAAGCAAACTTTAATCATGAAAATATTCAACCTTTGGATAATTGAGAAATATCTTTTCAAGCAAGCTCAAATGCACAATCAGGTTCCTCTTGACATCCACAAGTTTATGACACAGTGACATTGCATGATAACCAATCTTTTTCAGGAGAAATGACACATTTTCTGAAATGAAAGATGTACATTCACATCGAGAACTTTTATTTCCACACCTCCTTGTTACACAACAAAAGGTTTAAAGCCTTAATACAGGTCTTTAAATGGAGCAGAACTTGTTAAAGACAAAAATTTGGCTTATAGTTGTATCAAAACTATTTCAGCGTACTTTCTCGTTTCACAGAAATTACAGAAACAACTTGACGATAAATTAAGCCGCAAAATTAAGAAGCATCCTCAAACTGCTCACACTCGGCCAATGTGTGGCGCCCAGAAAAAACGTTAATAAAGTAAATTTATTCAAACTGTGGAATATTCTTATTTTTCCTTCTTTAAAGGTTTTCTCCTTGTGATATCTAACCTCCATAGACAGAATGTTGAATGTTGCGGCCAATTTAAGCTTCTTACAATAGTCATACGTCCATGTAACTCTCGTTGAAACTAAACACTATTTCTATTTTCTTCAGTGTCTCTCCGTGGTTGTTCTTTGTTCTTTTTAATGGTGTTATAAGCAAAAATGTAAATAAGGACCCTGCGAGAAGAGGATCAGGTGAGCCAGGGGGAACATGGCTGCTACAGTGTTCAGCAGGATTCTTGTTAAGAAGTAAGACCCCAAGGTTGAGGGCAACAAATACGGTTTACAATTATTTGAAAAAACTTGGCACTTAGGATTTATGACAGTGCTTAGAAAGGAATTAAGCCATACCGTCACTTTGAAAGCCAAGTAAGCACAAAGCCAATTGTTCTGTTAAAATTGTGTTGTCATAGATAAAATCATCTGCTGTCTGTATACGAAAAATTTATGAAGGTATAACACACAATTGGTATTGCAAAGCATTAAACAGACTGTAAATGTGGCATTAAGAAGGTATGATAATAAGACAGGTATATTGTGGCTTAGAAGAGAGGGGAAGTTTAAGGAGAAAAGAAAGCTAGGCCCGTAGTATGCTCAAGAAAAAAGAAACATAAATCCAAATGAACCGAACTGCTCTTAAGATTAAACAAAGCATAATTCGAACAATTTTTTTGCGGTACAGAATTTGAAAATGGCTTTGAAAAAAGCAAACATTTTACAACATACTTAAAGCTTTTTCGTCTGACACTCCTCAGAGCATAAAACGTCAGAATAAGGTTCCGAAAAAACACGTAGAAAAAGCATAATTCATAGATCAGTTATGTGATAAAGATAACTTTGCTATTATCAAATCTCACCTCAATACTAAAAAACAGTGTATCATATCATTACAAATAATATGAATCATATCACTACAACAATGAATTGTCATGTCTCTATAATGAAATTAAATTTTCCAGAAACTAGTGACCTGTTTCATAATTGTAATGAGTAGATTAAGATGGAAAAAGCACTTGTAACTGTGCCAAGGGTCTTAATGCCCAGACAAATTACTGGGGATTCTAGAAAGATGATGAGCTCTCGTGAGATCACACTGATAATGAAAAAGACATTAGCCTAAGAAGATGTTAGGTGTTATCATACCAAGCAAACTCTGTACCTTTCTAAATTGTACTATCAAGAACAGGAATTCTGCAATGTTTATCGCTTCTTCTTTATGTCCACTGTCATATAAGGTCTTAATGATTTCAGCAAAGCAAGTGAACAATGTGCGAGCATCCCTGAATCTTGAAGTGCGATCTGGGTCAAGCAGCACGAATGTGATAAATGGTTTTATTGATGATATAAGATGCTGCAGGATTCTGTAGACAGATAAAAGGAATGTATTCTTTAAGCCGAATTTCGGTGTCATGCAATTAACTCAAAAATAACAACATGCAATATTTTGTTCGAGTCTATTCATCTAAATATGAATGCTTACACAGTTGCCTGATAATGACATTAAACGTGAAACTTAGATATTTCTTCTTTTGCCCAGCAAAAACACTTTATGTGCTGGCGTAAAAAATGCGGAGGGAGGTTCAGAGCCCCCCCCCCCAATACCATCCCCTTTGGCAACGCCCCTGTATGCTGGGAACTATATGACAGATTAGTAAAAAGTAATTTTCAATAAATTTGTAATGCTAAAGAAAACCAAAGGGTATAAAATTAAATCACATGCAATGTATTGTTAGTATTTCAAGAAAAGGTGGGCTAGCGTCACAATAGTTATTGTCAAAGCTGTTGAAGAAAAGATTCAACAAGAATATGCACCTTGATTGGTGTGTAATTTTGAAGTGGGTAGCATGAATAGGCTATCAAACTCAACGGCAAAATCAATGAAAGCTATTTTATGACAATAAAGAATGTTTATAAATTATATAATTTTGGAACTTGCTTGGATGATGATTCAATTGCCAAAAGATATTGATACTTGATTGCATCAATAATATAATCACATGCTTCTGGTCTCTGCTGAATGACTGCTATGAAAGGATGCATTTGAGTCCTGTAGTTCGAGAAATCAATTGATTAAAAACACGCCAAAAGCAAAATTTACCAAATTCAAATCCAAAACAAACAATTAAAAGCACAGTTAAAAATATTGTGCAAAACAACCCAAAATAGTACGTTTGTAATCTTAAAGGCATAAGCCCTGAAATGAATCATTCTTACCATTGGCCAATTGCTACAAAATATTTCACGTTTAATCATTTCTTTCGTAGTTTACAGAATAATATGCCAAAGGCAGCATGTCAATGGGTAAAATTGAAAGACCCAGCTTCATGCCTTGAAACTCATAGAAAGTCAAAATAGACGAGGGTTGATTTGATATATTATATAACGGGAATAAAAGATGTCATTTCTTCGAAATTGGAATCTAATAACTTGTTGCTCCTAGTCTATGACCTGATAAAATCAAGGTTTACTGCATGGCAAGAAACTTTAGTCAACTTAAGTAAACTTTAAAAAACAACAAATAACTCATTAAAATAAATTAAATTGCTTCATAGGTGGGATATTTCGAAATTGGAAAATTCACCATTTCTTTCAGGTGTCTTTCAGATAAATCGCATCATGGAAAATCTTCAGCAGGGTAACAGATAGAAAAGAAAACCAGCAATTGGGAGAAAAGGTCTGGGCAACCCTTAACAAAAGAAGAAATTATAGACGCCATGAAAAAGATGAAAAAAGGCAGAGCAGCAGAAAATGACAAGATAGCATGTGAGCTGATGTAAGCTTTAAGAAATTTCAGGCTTGACAAGATACCTGGAATTGGTCATCATCGGTATGATTCTGAGAACATTCCTGATGAAATTCTTGAATCAATTTTCAAAGCCTTGTCAAAGAAGTCAGCAACAATAGATTACAAAACACACAGAGAAATTTTCAATCGTGCTAAGAGTACCACCAAGGAAAGGATGTCGGGTAAATAGTTTGGATACAAACTTTAAAGGGAGCAAGGAATGCAATTTTGTACCTGAGATTGATGATAGAAAATTTATCGAAAAAGCAAAAGGAAAGAAAGGTTAGAGATTAACAGGAAAGGTTTTAGATAAATAAGGAACTTGTATTATGATAAAAAAGCTGCAATCAAGATTTAGGGTCTTTTTAATGAGTGAGAAGAAACAGAGAGGAGTAAGACAGGGCTGCATTCTATCACCAGAGCTCTCAGTAAAATCAAGACACACGATAAAGTCAATCTAGAGAGACTAACCTTGATAGCTTACAATACGCAGATCATGCACCATAGGTTGCAGACAGTGAGGAAAAGCTACAGAGACTGTTGCACATTGTAACTACAGAAAGAGAGAAAGGTGGTTTGAAGATAAATTGTGAAAACATATGTGATGGTTGCAAGCAAGAATGCAAGATTTACGGAGTGCAGTATGCAGGTTAATGGAGTGCGTATAGAGTGATTAAGTAAATTCGTCTACTTAGGCAGTTGTATAACATCAGATGGGAGATCAGATTTAGATAATAAAAGCAGAATTAGCCAGGCAAAGACAACCTTCATGGGCATTAGGGAATTCAAGTATACAAGGAAGATAGGAGTGGATTTTAGAAAGTGTTCGCATAATGGTTAGATCTGGTTAGTGCCATTGTATGGATGCAAGTCATGGACAATAAGTAGGAACATAGAAAATAAAGCTTGAAGTGGTAGCAATGTGGTTTTCGAGAAGAATAGAGATAATTTCATGGAAAGACAGCTGTTGAACACAGTCAAGAGGAGGCAATGGGGTTTCATTGGGTTGAGAAGAGAAAAGGAATAGAAAGAAAGATTACAGAAGCTGAGATGGCAGAGAAGCGAGCAAGAGGAAGACAAGGGTTGAAGATGTTAGACTGGATGATAAAGAATTTGGGTGTTAGCGATGAAAAGTAACTAGGCAAGTTTGCAAGAGATAGAAGATGGAAGGAGGGTGCACCACCATGATCCGTCTATGGCATTTGATGCCATGACACCAAAAGAAGATGGCAAAATCCACCATATAGAATTGAGTTGACTTTAGTGGAACAGCTTAACTAAAAATAAGAGTGAGGTTTTATTCCAAAATGGCTTCTAGAAATACTAGTACATGAAAAGTTTTCATTAAAAATTAACTGAAGATATGAAGTTCTGCAAGACGTTTAAACATGAAGATGTAGCTCAATCTTTTGAATTTAAACAGCGAGTAAGTTATTTCTTTCAGGTGTTTTTCAGACAGATTACCTCTGATGGGCGCAAAGTTCCAAACATTAGGCATTGCTTTTACATTTGGGTTGACAGTTTTATCTTTTGTTTTGGAGGACTGATGTAACTGAAAGACATTCTAAATACAAAGGCAACTTCTCTCAATTGTTTTTATGCCATTTTCAAGTCAAAACAAATACCACAAGGAACTGTCTACAATCAGTAGATTAAAGGTAATTTAAAAGCAAGCATGATAAACTTAAAAAAATGGTAAACAAGAAAGTTTACAACAATTTTTCTACAAGTGAAAGTTGTGAACAAACTGTTATTGGACTGATAGCACTTTAATTGGGCTTAGCTGCCCTTGAAATAGTTAGATAATTAGATAGTAATAAAGACTTCTCATCACCTTATTTTATAAGGACAGTGGAATTCTTCTGTCTTCTTGAGTTGATTTTCAATTTCCCAGATAATAATTTCCCAGAGAGATGAAACTACTAAGGAGGGATTCCTACAAAACAATATAAATACAACACAATTTATTCTATCGTTTGAATTAATATATTATACTTTGCAAATCAGTAAGAAAACGTGACTGTGAAAAAATTATATCAAGGTAAATTTTTCGAGGTAGATAAATCATGAACAGATTAAAGCAGATGTTACACAAGAACATGAATAAAAAACCAGCCAAATATTTGAATAAAATTCCAATTTAAAGGCTTTTTAAATGTAGGTTTTTTAAGAAAACATACTTTTTGGTTGCTGAGAGAATTAATATCTTTTTCAGCAGATAGTCTTTTGGAATTATGCTTTTTACGACAAGTTTTAAAAGTAGCTTGAAACTTGTGATGTTTGCATCAAAACAATGTTTATCACCACAATATTCCAGCAGATGAGTGATTTCTTTAACCTGAAATTCACAAAAAAGACAAATTAAAATTTACAAGTTCAATATCACAGAAAGCAGTATGTCAATTTATCAAATAAACACATCAAACAAAATGACAAATTTCTTAGGCCATCAACTTGACAAAGTTAACTTATTTTTTAAAATACCAAGCCGTCTTAAAACTCATATCTAATTTTCAAGAACAATAGATAGATGGATATCTAAAACAACAGCTGGAAGAAGCAGAAGGTTAGTTTTCTCCATCTGCTACCAAAATAATATAGTTTCTAAATACAAATCTTCCACCATACCTGATCAGGATTCTCTACTAATTTCCCTTGCTTGCTAATTTCTAAAGTGGCATTGTAATCCTTCCATAGGTTCTGCGAAAAAATCACAAATATAAACAAGATGAATAAATTACAGGGCTTGAGGAATATGACAATAAGTAGACCTAAATGCAGGTGCCTATATATGTTCTAACAGTAACAACCAAAGTAAATCAAACCTTTTTTTAAAATTACAATACTCAGACAGGAAATGTTGAAGCATTATATTGCCTGAGCACATAAATCTCCGATCCACATGAAGTTCTGATAATGTAAAATTTGTTGGCATGCTGGTAGTTGCAAGCCTAGTTTTTCCTGGTTTAGAACAAAAAATTCTAATCAGGGGGCACATGAGGCGCGATTTTGCTTTTTATCAAGTGACCCTATGACATACATTGTGATAACTCAGAATTTTTCTGTCATTAATAGAGAGTTTACGAAACACGACGCGCCAGGTCCAGACAAACTGAATTTGTTTAGAAGCATGTTGTAAACGTTAATATTGCACTGTATACCAGTAGCAGCAATAACAAATTATCACAATATATGTCACGGTGTTATGTGATTCATTTCCCGCCATAATTTGAAAAAGGTTTTAAGTAGGAAAATGAAATCAGAAAGGAAAATTATTTCAGCAACACTCTCATACAGCATTTTACTTTAAGTTAAAAGGAAAAAAAATTTGGTGCTAAAAGCGTGTCACTTGTTCTTTAAGGCATACAATGGCCTCAGTCCATAAAACAGAGACCCTTTTTCTTTTTTTATGAAGACTTGATGGCTTTTAAACTGAAATATATGTGTTTGAAGGGGTGTATCACTATTTGAAAGTTTTTATAAACCAAATAATTTTCAAAATCAAATTGGGTGCAAGGATGGCTCAGTTGTTAGAGGCGCTGACTACAGACCCGAGGGTCAGCGGTTCGAGTCCCTTGCATGACCAAACTTTCCCCCAGATTGAGGAGAGTTGCCAGCTCTCTGTAATTCCAGGCGTAGGAATCATGAGGTGTGGTCACATCGAGAGGAAGGACCAGGACACTGCTCAATAAGAATAAGCTTCTCAGTGTCCTAAAAACTACCTTTGCATGCTAGGTAGAAACAAAAACAAATTTTGAAAGAATTTTAGAAGACATTTCTTGAAAAAATAATTAAACAAAAAGGAGACAAGTCTTTTAGGCCCTGGTGCCATGCCTTTTTTAGAGTTTTGACATGTATGGAAGCATGGGCAAGCAATCAGATGCCCAATATTACCAGGACTGAACATGCCTTTCCTTTTTGTCTGCACAAAAATTCTTAAAAGCACTGGTCCTGTCTTGCCATTCCACACAAGCGCAGCAAAGTTCTGAATGCACATGATGCCAAACGGACAGTTTCTTGTCCACACAAGAAACAAAGTTTCCAGTTTGGTACAGTACATCATGCATCTTTTTAGTGTTAAAAAGTAAACAGTGACCAAGCTACAGAGTACAGCAGTTTCCAAAAATATCTTGGATATGCAAGAGCAAAATTCAAGTGTGCAAGTGTGTACTTTTGTATTTGTGTACTTTTTAAGCACTTCAATTGTGCACATTTGTGTGTAGAGCCTAAGGATATAAATTAAGCAGCAGAAATTAACAAAGGTAAGAAAATGTACATAATTGATAGTTATTTAAAAACCAGTCAGTACAAGATTATGTCCACCTTGATGAGGAAACTCGTTCAGAATTTGCATTTGAAGTTTTAGTGACATCATACTCTACTGTTATAAAAGGTTCAGGTGAAGTCTATATTCTGGTAGTTTAATGTTTACTTTACATTTGATATATTTTTAGGGGTCATGCAAACCATGACAGTTACAAAAATATATGAATTTTTGACACTCCCTCCTTCAGTTACCACCGTTTCATCAGCTTTCTGATCCCTACTCTTGGATTAGGATGACTATCAAGACAGAGCTTTGGCTAAACCATTTTTGTATATTTTTGTATATTTTTATTAAACTAATGCATAACTTATTATCTAGGATAATTTTTCATAATTTCTAAATGTATGGATCAAGAATTTTGAACAACTTATTTATTTCATTGCAACAATGTGGAAGCATTGATTCGTTAAAGGTAAATATAGAGATTACCTCACAGACAGTATATTATCTGAAACTTTATTAAACTGAAAATAAAAGCACACACATACTTTACACAGTGATGTTAGTAGTTTCTCTGACTTAGTGGTACTGCCACCAAAGAGAGGGCATGAACAACAGCTACATCTCACGAATGACGTCATTAGAAACTAAACTCTCCAATAGCTCGCGATTTCAAACGCTGACATGCATATTTTTTCAATAAACCCCCGTTTTATGACATGCAGAATTCAAATATTTGATCAGAAAAAACCGCCTAAGCCTTTTTGGTCATGAAATAGCAATTTAAACGAAAAATTATCTTGTTCGGGAGAGAAAATTCAAGCTGCCAATGTGTCATATATTCAAATGGGGACTTTGCGCGGCCAAAATACAAAAGTGCGCGGATGGAAAATTTGAATGAGCGGGCAATATATCGCGGCGCGCGACAAAGTTTCCCAGTCTGCAGAGTATGGCACTTTTCGACGAGATCTCCGGTGTGCACGAGCAAAAATCCTGGTGTGACGGTGTGCACCACCAAAAATGTCTGGTGTGCTGGTGTGTTTTTTCCCCTGTTGTGGCTAAAATTTGTGAATTTGCATTTCACCGTAAAAATGCGTTTGAAGTATATGTACTGTTGAAGATAGCGCAAGTTTTATTTGTATATTTGTCAAGTAAGATTCATGATATCTCAAATTGTTCATACACAACTGTGCTTGTTTTTATCAGCTGACATTTTCTATGGGACCACACCAAGCCACACCCATCTTAGTTGCCACACCCAAAAGTACCTGGTGTGCAACAGGTTTTGCACATAAATATCTCCGGTGTGCACATGCCATACTCTGCAGACTGGAAAGTTTCCAGTCTGGCAAGGGAGGGAACCCTGTCTGATCTAAAAAACTATGTACCCAAAATTTATATGTATGTTAAACTGAATGCTGAAGTTGCTAGTTTTCATTATGAGTGATATCAAATTTTACGATCGAAGCTCTAAATAATTACCTTGCTAATGAAGATATCGATTACTGTTTCATCGTCATCCTGACAGGAGCCAGACGCCATTTTGCATGAAACCTTTACCGCCACTTCTCGATTCCAAACGAGGCATATAGATCCAATTCCGGGAACCCCCTCGACTTGCTGCTGGACTTGCATGCAAGTCCCCCTAAGTGGTTGTGATTCATGCATTCACGCACTGCAAAATTGGATTTTAATGCTTACGCAAACAATAAATGTAATATCAGCTATTGCTCATTAGAGCCCTGTTTGAAGGACTACAACACTACTTTCAAACTTTGAATACTAATTTGAGATTTAATTATCAGTGGCGGATCCAGCCAAAAATCTGACTACCGCCGAAATGAGATAGAGGGTTGACCACACCCTTTAGACCACACCCATTTCTTGGTCACACCCGGTTTTCTAAAATGATTATTGCTTTCTATAATTTCTTATGTAGCCCATTTTCAAGAGACAAGCGGTGCTTTACTGAAATTTCATGTATCCTTACAACAAGCTTGAGAAGAAATAAATAATCTTATTCAATATTCTGAGGATGGATATTCTAAAAAAATTTACGGCATTTAGACGAGGAACACCATCGAATTAGAAAAAAAGATACATTTGGCAGAATTTCGAAGTGTCGCCTAAAACTCGCATTTAGTCGGACAATTACTTATGAAAATCAGACCTGTTGAAAATTACTAAGTTTAAAAAGCTAGATAAAATTTGCAATTATTGAGAGCAACTTTTGTTAAACAAAGAATCATACTTTTGGCGAATATTGTGGGCCTGACTTTTAATTTAATATTCTTTTGAAATATATTCCTACGAATAGTTGTGTATTGTACAGAATAATGGGTCACATTGGCTTTGAAGTTACAGTTTGCCCACTTGCAGAATATGTAGGCATCCCCCCATCTTTCTGTAACGTTTGAGCCGCGTTGAGCGGCAGTACTACTCAACCCCCCATCTGAGCGGTAGTCAACTCGGTTGTTCATTGGTTGTCAACAAAATTTGTATGCATCCCCCCAGGTTGGCAGTGATTTCTGACGATTTGATTGGTTTAGGCAAGCTGACTACCGCTCAGTGCAGCTCGAATCCGCTCTACACCGACTCAACCCCCCTAGCTAGCAAGCCATGATTTCATCATCCCCCCATGCTAGCCTTCTATTTGCAAACATGTGGCTCGGCAATTGGCACGCAATTTCCATAGCGATATGGAGATTAAAACATACTTCTGTCTCTGTGGAAATTTCAGGCATGTTCCTAGGAAGAAAGGCTTGGTTTGCAGCGCGATCAAATATTTTCAATAATTAATAATGGTTTAATTAAAGTAGTAGGATAAACATGAGAATGATCCTTGTTTCTATAATTTTTTGAATAATCTGACTACCGCTCGAGCGGTAATGGCGGTAGTCTGGATCCGCCACTGATTATTATTGGTTCATTACGCACAAAATTGAGACAATTCTTTAAATTATCATTCAAAATTTCATTCACGGATAGTTAAAGCCTTTTCACGACATAAAGCAAGAAAAACTCATGTTTCACGCTTCACGTAGGAATCTTTATTCACGAAATAAGGCATAAAAAAATAGAGATTTCACGATTTCACGACATCACTCAAAAATATGGAGGGGCCTGCTCAGGGCTTCTAGATTTGAACCAAAGAATTACTCTAGAAACTAAGTTTGAAAAATCTTTTTTGTATAAAAACCAAATTTTTTTCCCGGGAAAAAGTATGGGGTTAGGTTTTGCTTCACAGCAACTGTGTTTTTTGTTAGAAACATTGAGGAATCATACTCGAAATGGAAGCAGGTGACTGGCTAATGACATTTTGTAAACAAACCCGCTAATTGGTCTGTACTCTTGTATTTACAAATTACAACCCTCCCCAAGCCAACCCAAGCCCAGTTACTTTTCAACGTACAAAACTTGCAAAAAATTGCTTACGAGGCTGGATGAAAACGAGAATATATTGCTGTTGATGTTGTCGATATTGTTTGTGTTTTGTAAGGTTCTTTGGGAAAGAAACAACTAATGTAGGTTTCTTCGATATGCCAAAGATGAAAAAGGAAAACATCAAAGGAAAGAAAAAAGGTATTTGAAGAATCATTGTTGTTAAACTGAGCTATATCCTAGCTTTAGCTTTTTGTGTATGCTCCTTTGCAAACATTCACGGTGGCCGCTCAAGTCGAGTGATAAGTTGAGCGAATTTCTGGAGAATGGGCTGAAAAAAGTAGGCCATTACACTTGCGCGGCCTTCGTTTTGTCACCAAGAATAGAAGATTCGGTTCTGCATAGATTATAGCAGAATTGTTGATGGTTTGTCTGAATACGAAGGACAAAATGTATTTGTAATTGGTGTTCTTTCCTTGGTTCACAAATTACCCAGAAATTTTGTCCTCGATCAAATTATTTATAGAGCTTTAAAAAGTCTAGTTTTTAATTTCTGTTTATTTCTCTTTGTGTGTGATTGATTTTTGACAAAAATTCTTATGTTGGTTGCTATCAAGGTTTTTAGATATAACAGAGTTTTCATTAAACTCAGATAATCAGGATTTATGAGTGTATCAAAGAAATAAATTTTGTAGATTCTGATGACATCAATGGACACAAACCCCTGAAAAATTTGTTGAAAGACAAAAAGAAAATCAAGAAGAAAAAGATTGGGAATGATAAACTCCTGCAGCTAAAGAATGGACAAGGAAAAAAGAAGTTGAAGAAAGAGAATTTAAAAAACAAACTGAAAACTGGAAGGAAAGAGAAGTTTGTTAACAGTAAGGTATGTTAGTCAAATGATATTTAAAGATAGCCAAAAGTTATTTTTGGGTATTAAGGTATTAAGATACAGTTATATGTATTTTACATATGCAGTTTTGTGTAGGATTATCTTGTGTGTTTCTAAGATAATGTGATGAATGCTGGATATTATCTTAAAGAAACAGGTTTAACATTAAGTAACCTCTTTTAGAAAGGATGATGGAAAATAGATCTATCCTACCAATAGTTATTTCCCTTGCTCATAAAATAAAGTTTTTCAAAATATATAGTGATACAGTTTCATCCTATTATAATGTACCTGGTTATAATAAACTTTCAGATATAACATACTGATGTACTTGGTCCTGGCAAATGGTCTGCACTAAAGCACCCTACTTATAGCATACTCATTTTTTAAATGTAACATACTTTCAGTTAAAGTAAACTTCTTTTTTGACCTTTCTAAATAAATGCCATTGGATGCAATTTGCTGTGTCCTTTTTGTTAAAGGACCTCCCCAGCCAAATTTTGCATGCATTTAATTGGCTTGAACCTAAAGGAGTTGAACCTGCTGATCATGAATTCGTTATTTGTTTTTGGATATTTTTTACAGTTTGTGAGATATAAGCTCTTGCATTTTGATAATTGAATTGAATTAACCGACAAAAATTATCAGATTTATAACAAGAAGTTGTTGACTGTTTCAAAATTTTCCTTTTTTTATTTGTTGTGATACTTATTATCAAGTTTTTTAACAAGCTGCGTTCTCCAAAGTCTCAATCTACTGAGTCCTGTTCAATAAGAAAGTTTCTTTTAATTCAATTAATGCTTTCATGTTTACCTAGCTTCATTGAACTAAAGGATTTATTTACAGTGCATTAGAAAATAATACATTCGAATGTTGATAAAAAATGCAGTTTGAATGTTTTGATTATTTGATATGCTCTAGCATATTTTTTCAAATATTTCAGGCTCAAAAAGTTCACTTTGAAGCACAAGTGAGACCAGAAGCAAATGAACATGTTCTTTTCCCGTGTGGTTCTTGTGGCAAAGAAGTGAATGACAACGATGAAGCAATTCTTTGTGAAGCTGGTTGCACTTATTGGTACCACAGGATTTGCACAGGAATGGGCAATGATGCTTATGCTTTACTTACTAATGAAGATAATGCAGAATGGGTTTGTGACCAATGCATTGCAATGAAGCACATACCCCTTGTTAGAGTACATTAGTCTAACTATATATGTAGTAGCATGTATAAATTAATTGCTTTATTGCATCTTATTGCATTTAAGTGTTTCATTGTAAATTTTGTCACTTGTAAACCATCTGTAACATACAATGTGTAGGTATGTCACCAATTGTCTGCTTAGTGAAACATTTCTCTTTCATGTTTGTTCTCTTAATGACAAAATGTTTTGTTGACTGGCTGCTGGGACATTTCAGCATTGAGCATTGTTTTCCTAATCCTGTTTATATCCCCTATATTTAATATTTAAGCAAAAATTCCATAACATCTCACTGCATTTTACAGCAGTTTGGGTTCAAGAGCAAATACTGCTAAGTTGTTTAAGAAACAGCAACACAACCAACTTGAAAGAATGTGTAGGCAAAAAAGGGTACCTTCCATTAATGAATAGTACCTTGCTCGTGTAGTTTTTTTTTCAAATTCAAAATTATAAACGGATTTTTTTGGTAAAAACTTGATATTACAAAATCTTTCAATTAAAGCATTGGAAGTATGAAAGCAATCAAGAATTGACTAGTGTATGAAATCCCACATCATCTGACAAAGAAACACATAAGAAGAAAATCTTCAATCTCAAAAGCTTTAAAATCTCATGATTGATACAATAGACTATTGTATTAGTGTATTAATACAACAATACACTAAGTGTTATTTAACTACTAGGTAAAACAAGTGTGCAAGGTGAAGTCTCAAAAATGTGTAAGTATTCAAAAATTCCATTAAAATTTCTGAAAATTCTGCAGTATATATACAAACATATGGAAATAAGATACCATACAATAACTGGTTAAAATCATCAATGCTAATAAATTGACACAGTTACAATAATGATGCCAAGTCAGAGTTACTGTAAAAGGATATTTGACATACCATTCATAATTAAAAATGTTTTGTCAACAATACCTAAACATACAGAAAGGAAAATAGAGAAAATATTATGTACATGTATGTGCTCAAAATCCAACAAATATTCTAACCAGAAATTGATATTTGATACTTTCTAGCATTTTCCCTTTTTCTTCAAGGCGATCTTTATTTGCAGCTGCTGCCACAAACCTTTAAAAACAGCAAATTGATTACAATGACAGTTAAAAAGAAATTTACTATGAAACTTACTACCTCAGAGACTATCTGGTTAGTTGTCACATTAAAAGAACATATGACTCAACCTTGTTACTACCTATGGAGAGAAATCAACATAGGGTAAAATGGATAACCTAAAGAGCTTAGTTAGGTATGCTGCTCAGTTTGTTAACAAGAATTGCCCGAAGAGTCTTTGCCTCTTTTTCCATGTTATCAATTAAGTTTCTTAATCGTGCATTGTCTTTTTCAAGCTCTTTCTCCCTCTTAAACATTTGTTTCTGCTTGGCTCTTTTGTTTGCTCTTGAAATTTTTGAGGCTTCATTGTTCTTCTGTCTGCGAATGGAAACTTTGTCTTCTGGTGATGATGCGCATGAGCTGTAGACTGAAGAAGTGTCAACAGAATCTAAGTCAGACACACTTGGAGAGTTCTTACTTGCTGCCAGATCGTCTTCAGATGGTGCCTTCCTTTTTCTTTTCACATTTTGATTATCAGGAAAGTCTATATGTTCAAGATCAGTAGGAATTCCTGAAATTTCCATCAGGTCACCTAAGGAACTGCTGGTTGTCATGACAACAGTTGTATCAGATAAGACACATCTGGTGTCAGTACAATCAGCAAATGTTCCTTGGCCAATTTCCAAGGTTTCCATTTTGCATGTCTCTTGAGCTAATTGAAGAGGTTTTCCATCAAAAACAGTTTCAGGAAAAACATCACCATAATTTTCTGGGGGTTCCATTTTGAATGTCTCTTGAGCTAATAGAAGAGATTTTCCACCCAAAACAGTTTCAAGAAAGACATCATCATGATCTTCATCAGCATTGATTTCAAAGTTGTAGCCACTGAGCTCTTCAAACACTGTGTCATTTAGAGGTTCAGCATTAGAACTTAGTAATCTGTTGAGATCGGTGAAGTCTGACATATTAAAACCGTTGTGTTGATCAAATCTTCCTGGCTCATGGCAAACATCGTGAGATGCTGAAGATTTCAGTTCTTCAAGAGTATCATCCAACAGACTGTTATCAGAATAATCACCAAGCCAGCAAATATCTGAAGACCAGAGCACATAAATTAAGAAACATGAAATTTACGTTTAACAAAATCACATTGATATGCAATAAAAAACAAAGATATATTAAACAAAATATAAGATATAGACTAGCAAGGTAAAATCCGGATTGGAAACAAACTTTTGAGCGGTTTGATTAAAAAAAGTTGATAAATTTAGCCAATACAACCCTATTTCAACACAATTCTACATTAGGAAATATCATACATGTACAAGATTGTACCTTGGTTCTCAACTGACGTCGTCGGGCAAATCAGGGCGACTCTGTCCGCTACCTCCTCCACACCAAGGCCTAAACGGCCCTGGTTTTCTATGTTCCACACATCTTTCTGAGAAAGATTTTGTGTTTTCGAGTAATTTTTGACTCGTTGATGCCATTTTACTTCCTTCGTAATATGAACGGAAGAACTGGCGTCCGTAATGATGCTAACTGGGACAACCGAAAGGCTCTGTGCCTGTCGTTTGAGAGCTCCACGGGCCTAAACGCCGGGAACTCAGACGAAGTTGTGGATCCAACCTCTTCTTTCCAATCCAGGAAGGCCTGGACTGAAGCACAAGCTGCAGGAACTTTCTCTGGCTTTGTAGCTGCCTTAAGTCTCTAATCTCACTTTCACTAGCCCTTCCTACTTCTGTGAACTGTGAACAGGTCTCCCTTCTATTCGTCATAAAATTTATAGTGGCTGTGGTGCAATACTTTCTATTTTTAACATCTACGTATGCAAATAAGTTTTTGATTGGTTAACATCAACAAAAGACGTACGGCGGCTTCACAGCATTGGGTGATAAGTATACCAAGGATATGATTGGCCAATTGCCAATGGCCTCTTTTCCACGATACAATTACGTCACTGGTATTCTAGGATATACCGAGCAGTTGTTAGTTACCATCGCCACAATAACAAAAACAGTGTTAGCTTTTGGAGCACCTTAGTTTAATCAATTGATACTACATGCATTAAACCAAGATAAAAAATAACATTTCCCATTTCCCCAATTCTGAAAAACGTCTGGACGTGGCACGAAGGGGCCGGGCCCCCGTTGAGATGACAGGGACAAATTGTCTCAGGCCCTCAAAGAATGGAATTAATCAACTTAACAAAAGTATGCCTGGGGGCGATTGTAAGATATATTCTAAAGGGCATGGTCTATAAAATTTGCGTATCCTCCGGTTTATCCTCCAGTTTTGCCCCACGTCTCCTGAAACTTTTCCAAGACATTTATGGGTGAGAATGGGGGCCGTGAGAATTTACAAATTCGTGCTAAATTTTCCAAAAACAACCATTAAAAGGAAACCCAAAATAACAATAATCTTTTTGCCTAAAATTTGCTGAAAAAATTTCCTAAATATTCATATTTTCTCGAATGGCCTCCGCAAAAAAGGCAGGGGCACAGTAGCCTGTGTTCCAGACCCCCTCTACTTTCAAGTTAGGGGTCTGGAGCACAGGCTAGGGCACAGTTGAAGTTATATTTGGAGGGATAAGGATAGAACTGACCAACCAAAATTCCGAAATTTTCTGTCAAATCTGGTACTTTGGGGGACTATCTTCCCGAGTCACTACGCCACTAAGCAGGGGGGGGGGGTAAAAATTGCATAAAAATGTTGGGTAATATATTGTTAATGGCTTTGAAAAAAGCAAACATTTGAGTAAACTAAAGCTTTTCGTCTGACACTCTTCAGAGTTTAAAACGTCAGAGCATAGATCGAAAACTCTACGCTAGTAAACATATATACCCAGTTGTGGATCGAAATAGGCCAATCAGAAACGCGAGCAAATTTCGATCCACAGGCAAGGATACTGCATTAGTTTTCTGTGATATATTTTTGCAACGGCCCCTGTTCTCGTTCTTTTCAAGCTATGAATGCAGCACTGCAGTGATGGAAATTCAAATTTTACAAGGCGATGACGATAAAAGACAACCAAAAATGCATTTCTACTTTTGAAATATTATTTCTACTTTTCATTAAAACCTGAACAGAACTTATCTATGAGTGAAACAGAACTAACCATAATTGAATAATACATAACCATACAAATCAATTAGCTTATAAATTCCTAGGTTAATTATTATCAGTAAAGCTAGTTTGAGATTATAATTGCTAATTTTCACAATACGACGGCCAATCGTTTAAATTCTCTAATGAACCCAACTATCAAACACAACTACTCAACAAAACATTTTCATTTCTAACACGAGAAATAATATGTGAAACACATTATTTATGTGACAAAAGTGAGCATGCTACCCAGCGCAAGCTCAAACTAGAAAACACCCTAGGCAATATTTTTGACTACATGTTTCATGAATAATGCAATGTTTACAATATATACAGACCATTATACAGCGCATTAAAAGACGGGGATTTACCCGTGTGCTAGTCTCTTTTTCCTGATCAAATCCTTGAGTTTGAATTGCGAATGTGGTGGCAGCCAGTGGCCATTCAGAATTGGAAGGATAGTCATTCTCTCTGTGTACTTCAAGTCAGGCAACAGCTAGAGCAAACAAAGTGAGAAATCACAGTGAAATTTTAATAGCAGACTAATAGAATACAATTATAATAAATATCACAGGAGACAGAAAACATTTCATAAAGCCAGAGAATCTGAAATTTCAAAAATCTATTGGCGTTAGTGAAATACTTTTCGCGAAAAAAATTTCCTTAGAAATCATAAATCGTGATTCACATTTTGAAACTCAAAGTTATTGGTGCATAATCATTTCAGCATTATTGGGCTGGAGCCCACTGGAAAAAATCGTTCAACTTAAATTGGAGTGTTGAACTCTAATCTCTCTTATACTAAGCCTTTTTCAATGTTCAAGAAAATATTTCTTACAAATGAATGAAATTTGTGGGAGGATAATTTTCCAGGGAAAGGGCTTCCCTGGGTGCCCTGACCACACGAATTTGAGCAAGGAAATGGAAGAGAGGCGGAGAATTGGAGCATCTAAGGGAACGACTGGACACACATTGATACCTTAGATTTTCAACATTTATGCGATTTTTTCATAGGCAAACCATAAATAAGGAAAACTTTAGTGCAGCCTTATCTTGATGAAATTAAGTCATTGTCGCTGTTATAATATGGTCCTGCATTCGAGAAGGGAACATTAGGAACCGTTAGGTTCTGATTATTGTCTCTAACAAGCCTGAAAAAATAGGTTTTTTCCGAGGCAAGATTTCTTCCTTTACTTACAAACTGTTTTAATTTGAAAAAACATAACAGTTACGTACAGTCTAGCGGTCTTTCAAAGGTTAGCTGCTCTAAGACCAAATTAACTATTTTTTACAAACCTTTGGTGTGATGAGGAAATACTGACTTGTTCCAGGCCTGCATACAGTTTCGACAACCAGGTCAAAGACCCTACGTTCGTTACTAGGATCCATGCCCTGAAAAAAAGATCAAGCGATTATATTGATAAGCAAAATCATTTTGAGCCAAGCACAATAAAAAAGAGTAAACGATTTTAAATCTAAAGAGAGAAAACTGAGTGATTCTAAAAATTCATTTCAATAGAGAAATTTCCGGGAATCATAAAATGATTGGAAGTCAAAAATATAATCGTCATAGCGAGGTCAATAAATACATTAATGTTGGCTTTTAGGGTTATGCCCCAAAAGACTTTCAGGTTCTGTTTTAAAGGGGTTTGACAATGGAAAAAGCGGAAATGCTTCAAGAAAAGGAGCATTCCAATGCAGTAAAATCGTGAGTCAAGACTTTACAGGTGATTCCGAAAGCCAGATTCCGAAAATGTAATGTCAGCTTAAACAATCAAATTAAAAAATACAAGATAGGGACAGTAAAGCAGCACTAACAGTGACAGAAACGTTGCATGTTCTTGGTGCAATAGATGTGGGTTTTTAAGAACCAGTAAATTTGGGTTCAGGCTGAATGTTCCCAATTTTTCAAAAAATCTGAGGCTTGATTGTTCTCAATATTATTATAAAATTGTTCTTATAAAAGAAAGAGTGTAGGCCTATGTTCCTAAAAACAAGACCTATGGCTTATTAAACTAGAAGAGTTAATGATCACAATCAATGCATCAATTTCCCGCTAACTGTTGAATTTCAAATAAATAACAACACACTTTGTCCGGCAGCCTTTCAAATTGCCTAAATGTTGCCTAAATATCCTAAAAAACATAGGCTTGAGATTTTGTTCATTTGCATAAATGTGGACACGTTTTCCAAAGGTTGGCACATCAAACAGTTTTTTTATTACTCACTGTTCATACCTTTTCAAACCGATGATGTTATATTATGATTCGAAATATTATTTTTTAAAGACTGGATTATTTTATATCTTTACTTTTTCTAGCTGATTTCTTTGGGCATTGAAATCTGTTTGCATTGAAATTGAAGTTGAGATTTTCAATGAATGTACTTTACTCTAACACATATGAATCCTATATTACATTCCTTTGCTATACACAATATATTTAAAAAAAATTCAATCCATACAATAACTTTTAATTTTGGATTATTCAACGAAGAAAATGCCTTGGTGTCTTGCACAGCGCTTCTCTTTATATTAGCATCTGATTCCGTAGTGTAGCGGTTATCACGTGCGCCTAACACGCGCAAGGTCCCCGGTTCGAGCCCGGGCGGAATCATAACTTTTCTTTTTGGTCTTGAGGAACTAACTCAGGTCACAACAAATCTGGATGCAAGAAAACCACTTTATAGTATAGCATAAGTAAAAGCCAATCATCAATAGTTCAATCATTAACTGTTTTGGGCAGGAAAGAGTCATTATTGATGGACTGGTTCAATGTTTTTCACTATTAAAAATGTGGCAATCGTTCCTAGTAGGCCCATTGCACTCATCTTTTGTAGAAAAATTTTATAAGAACACGAGACGAAAATTGGGCTCCCCTTGAACACAATAGCTAGCGATTTCACTGCTTTTACCTTTATGATTAAAAAAAAATCCAGTTTTGAACAAGTTAAGAACAGCAAGCCTGGATTTAATTTACTGGTTCTTATAAAAAAAGGTTGAACTCCTTTGTGCTCTCTGAACTGCAAGCGTAAATGCTACATAAAACGACAAGAAATAAGGTGCTGCAATGTCAGGATCTGAACCCACGATATTAAAGGGAAAGCGGTAAACTGCAAGATTAAATACATCAAAATCAGGGGAAGGTATGAATCAGAAAAATGTATTCTGTAAAAATTCTGGAGCAAATTATTTCTTCCTTCCTTTGCGTTGTTTCAACTTTAGGAGGCATCAGTACCAACTCTTTGCAAAAGGTTAAAACGTCCACTCTATTCCAGTAGAAATATTTCAGCGCTACAACTTGGGAAGACTAAATCGATAGGGGTAGAGCTGAGATGGCTTCAGCGCCTCAAGAACTCTGGGAGTTTTTAAAACCTTTCACCGAATTACCTTGTACTTTGTATTTAGCCAATAAAAAATAAAGTTGTAGGCCCCCTTTCCCAAATCTGGTTATGGCTGAGAATGTTGGGTCCTAAAAGAAGCTGTTAAAAAGATGACCAATAGCTTTGAGTTATGGTGCTACCGTAGGCTTTTCTAGTCTTTGCATTCCTAGTATTTTAATTATGTTCTTTTAGGTTCTGCAGTCAAAAGTAAAACATTTGATAGATTAGCTGGACTGAAAAGAAGACTTGTGAATAGGTTTTAAACAAAATGAATTGTAAAACAAGACTGCTGGCATGAATCAACAGCAGGAAGATGTCTTCTGTTGGGTACATTTCAGATTACAGAAACTTGAGAAAGATCATCTTATCGGAACTGTTTATGGCAGACTAGGAGGACAGGAGGAAGACTGGAAACTAGGTTTGCTGACAACATCAAAGAGAATATGTTGAGTGCCACGGCGGTTCAGATTGAACCTTATGTAACTTAATGATGACTCCCTAATCTACAAGATAATCTGCAACGCCCGCACTACACTTAACTAACCTTTACTATAACAAAGATTAATTGATGAGTTCATATTTATCTGTTAATTCTTATTCTATTTGATGGTTTCAAACGTTTCCAACTCTGATTCATCAATTAGAGATTGTCCTAAAATATGCTTTTTGACAACATGCTTGAAACGTTTGAAAAGTCCTTCAAATATTGGCACAACTAGGAATGGTAGGCCAGGCGATAGTGCGAAAAAAGTGACGCTGACTTAAAATGGTAGGTGGTAAAAACTCAAAAAGCACTTACTTGGTTAATTTCATCAACCACTCTAAAGGGGCATTTCGTGAGCTCTTGCAGGGAAATCAAGTATAGCATCGTAGCGACACTTCTTTCACCGCCACTTTGATGATGGGCGGTAAGCACTTTGAGTTTCTCGCTGGATCGGTATTTCACCTGTATCTCGATCCCATATCTACTGTAGTTTTCGTCCTGAATAGTAAAAAATCAAAGTTAAATTCGTGTCATCTTTAAGGCATCTCCTGCTGAAGTAAAGCAAAAACTAATTTTTAGAACATTGTTTAGCTCTTGTATGGCATTTTAAGAAATAAAACAGAAATGGTTGCTGAAAAGACAAAATTTTGAAGTCCGGAAATTCCCCACAAGGCCCATGATTCCCAACTAGTAAGTGCTCTTATGTTGAAAATTGTCTAAAAATGAACTTGAATAATCTCTGTTTATCTCTGAAAATTATATCCTATGTTGTATGGTCATTTGTACTGCCTTGGATCTGTTTGAACTTAGTTGCATCTTGTTTTTCCTCATTGTTGTCAATCATTATATGTTTAATGTTACCGAATGTTATCCTGCTTTTCTGTTTGCTTCAAGTTGCATCACCATAAGAAAAATGCCTTCCAGCATTAACTCCTCACTAGGATGTACTAATCAACATTTCTCCTTGAGAAGCTTTTAATTTAGCAATCAGTATTTTCAACATAGGAGAACATGGAGATAATATGTTGACTGTTTCTCTAAAGTTGTAATTGTGCCCAAGAGAAAATATCATGTGACTCCACGTTCAAGGGGGATGTGGTGAGTTTTGTAAATAAGGATATATGAAATTGCCGAGAGCATCATCGTAAAATGTATAGCTGAGGTAAAAAGTGGAACAAATACACTTGGAACATTTAAAGAAAAGCCTACCGGATCTCTGTGTAACGCAACTTGCCCAGCGCAGCCCATTCTTTTGAAAAACTCGCCATACTGTTCATTAATTCTGGCAACCAATGCCTCCAAAGGCTTCAGCCATCTGGTAGAAAATAATTAGGGTGCAGATTACAAAAAAGAGAGAATCCTGCATCAAATTTAACAAACTAAGGGCACTGGCAACGTCACAATATCATTTTTGTTAACACAGAGCAGTACAGCGAAAACCAGTTCTGATCAAAACGTGTACGACAGAATTGAGAGAAAGGGAATTTGGAAAAGGATGACATCAGTCAAATAAAATCAAAAGCGATACCTTTCTTTGATTTTGTTGATCTTATCACTAATACTAGTCTGGTCTTCCATTTCTTTTTCAATCTGCAGTCAAACAAAGGAAAACATGGGGTTATGGCAGATGGGGTTAGGGTAAGCAAAATACTCTAGGGTGAAATTTATCTCTTTATCGGTAATTTCGGTGCTTGTCAAACAATGAAAACAAAGGCTGATCATAGGCTGGAGTTAAAATTTTGGTAAATCGGAAGCTTTTTTATACAAGGGATATAACCAATATTGCAAGATAAATAGCCCGTAATTAGTCGAACACTGAATGACGAAGAGAAGACATTTACAGGTGACAGGAAAAGAATAACTTAAGACGAATAAATCGACTATTGAGAAGGATCAAGAAGGGTCAAAGCACGAGACACAGGTTTCGCTCAAATCGCTTGACCCTCAGTTGCTTTGTTCTGTCCTTGCAAAAAATCGACAAGAATGGCTTTGAACATCAATTCATATCAGTATTTTCACATCAGTATTACAGCAGTATTTTTTCTAGATAAGTCAATTCCAAAGTGAAGCTTTTATGGAAAAAAGCATTCGAGAAAAAAAACGAGCAGCCACTGTGAAAATATCATTGCTGTAAAACTTTTTAAGAATCTAAAGTCCTTGTGAAGTATTACAAAAAAAATACCGTGAGCTTTTGAACCGAAATATTCAGTACAAATACTTAAATGATACCTCTCTCCTGAGCTTGTTGATTTCTTGTGTGTTTTTCTTGTATTCGTCTAAAACCTATGAGACAGTTATGTTAACTACCGTTACACCTCAAGCTAAAAAAGTCATAGACAATAGAGTTCTAAAGTGATGACGTCACCAAAATCTAATTTAGAATTGTGTTCTGGTCACATTAGCAAAGGCTCTTTCTGCTTCAGATCATTGTAACTTGGTCTTGGTTCCAAACTAAAATTTAAATAATTTCAAACAAACTAAAATAGTTTCTATTTCTTCTTTTCGTTCATTTGCATCCTTAAATTATAGTTAATCATATATTTATTATTTTCGTTCATTTTGTATTTTTTAATTGTAGTTAATTTAGTTTTATATGTTGAATGTAAATTACCACAGGGTTGCTATGTATTCCCATGCTCCCTGTGGTATCGTCTGGTAAATTTGTGTATGTTTAGTAAACATTTTTTGTTTATAAAAAAAAATAAAATTTCTAGGAACCTGGCCAAAAACTAGTCAATAATCGGTTGGCAAAACTCAGTTATTTATCTAGGTAAATTTCATTCAAATTGCAAAAGACTTCAACGATTTTGCATTTCTAGTATTTTAATTATCTTCTTTCAGGTCCTGCGGTCAAAAGTTAAATATTTGATTGAAACTGTTCAAGTAAATAAAGCAACACTAAGGTTGAAAAATTTCCCGAAAAGCAAAGCAAAGAAAAGTAACGATAGCCACGTTCGGATATAAATGTTTACTTATATCAACAATCCATGCAAAAACTATTACCTTTGGGTTGGTCTCATAATTGCAGTCAGCTTTGGCTTTCTCTTCGTGAATAAGGTCATCGATCTCTTCAACGGTATTTGGAAGGGTAGCAAATAACTAAAAGTGAAAAACGACGTTAAATAAAATGCATACAGAACACAGCTGTGAATTGATGCAATTATTTTGGTTATAATGATAATTTATATAAAGATAATTGCTTTCATAAATTGCAGAAACAAACCTCTTTATATTCATCTGATAATTCTTTTTCCGTATCTGTCTTTTTCCTAGCTTCTGCTAGCAGCTTACGGCTAGAATTTTTTAGCACCGTGCACCTTTCTTGCAGTTGCCGAAATTCTTCCTAAAATACAAGAAAGCACAGAAACTAAACACGGCATCTCTCATCTATGAAACCAAAATGCATTTGTTAATACATCATCCTACTGTATTGCAAACCAATATTGGCAAGAAATTGATTCTGTTATAATAATTTCTTTAGCTAGTATCATATTTTTATAATTATAGGCAACATAGAAATTTATATATATTTTTTAAATATGTAAATTTTTAGCCCGTTAACTTTTGCTCCGATGAAGCCCCGTATGCCGGGGCGAAATTTTAGCCTTTATTGATTTACGTGTTTTTATTGTTGTTTATTCTCGGCGTATTGCGGTGTTTCATATTTGCTACATTTTTATCGACTTTTCGCCGCAAGAACTCCTTGGAGCCCGTCGAGCAGCCTGCTACAGTGGCCTTTTCTTCATTCACACATAGAAATTTATATTTGGTTCTTATAATACCTCGGTTTTAACTTGAAAATGACACAGAATACTGCAGTTATGACATTCGAAGAAAACCGCACACGGAAAATGGTATATAAAGCTCCTGTTAAATGTCTTGTCAAACTAAGTATTAAAAACTGAAATTAAAAAGCTGAACAGCTGGGTTTACTTTCTAAACGTTCAACTTTTGATTAAACTGAATAGATATCTATTAAATTTCTAAAGACAAAAACCCTCCGCCGTATGCAATTGAGTAATATAAAGATGACGATTTGCTTTTGAAAAAATGTTTTGAACAAAAACGGAATTAATGAAAGAGTAGTTGTGGTTCTCACCTCGTAGCCCTGTGTGTTCTTAGTTGACTCTTTGATTTGGTTGTCCACATAAGATCGATCTGTGGCTATTTGGCCTTCTTTCAAAGCAACCATCGTTTTTTCTTTGTACAACTCCAGACAGCTCTAAGTAGAATTTGATTGACTTCATTATAGAGAACATGGCCGAGCATGTTGAACTTCAATGGTATTAGCATTTGCCATCCAAAGGGTCTCTTTATTTGTACAAATATTGGCACCAGAGGTTGGAAAATTGTGCATTCGTTTTAAAAAAAAGTTTATTTGACCTTTTCCTCCAAGTCTTTTGCACTGATAACTTGTAGCATTCATTTGCACTGATAGCTTAGAAATTTGAAAGAATGCAGATTGCAGATTCTACCATGTTTTTGACATTTTTAAAACGTCAGCAAAACAAACATTCTAACTTAGCTTACTTTCAGCACTGTCGTGATTCCAAAATCTTGAGGAAAAATCTACTAGTCTTCTTCTTATATACATCATACCATCTTAACGTACTTCATCTACCATCAACAAAAAAATGAATAAAGTTATGAATGAGGTTACCTCCACATCTGCCTTGTACTCTCGAGCTAACTGGACTCTTTTTTGATTGATTTTGGAAATTTTGCTTTTTGCTTTCTTTTCCTCCTCTTCAATGTTTGGAGCATCTTTTAAAACGGATTCCAGTCTAGACGAAATTGAAAAAAAGTAGCACAATATAAAAGATGTACCATTTATGTGGATGAGGAAACAATCAAATACCAAAAGACGAGACGTTGTATATAATTCAGGAAGAGGAGAATTTCACAGCCCGAAGTCACAAAATTTGTGAAAACCTGCAACCTCAAAAACGAAAAACTGGGAAAAACATGATACCAAAGTCCCTCAAACAGTGTCTTTAAATAGCCTTGGTGTTTTAAATTTGTTGATGTTTCTAACTTATCGAATTCTTCAATATCTTCCACACTTGAGTGAAAAATCATCAAGCTTTATTTTTTTGCAGTGTGGATAAAACCTTTTCTTTTGAATGTTTATTTACCCTAATTTTACAAACACTTTTCTACTTAAAATTGCATTTCCATCAAATTGGAAACAAGAATTAAAATCATTTCACAACTTACGTCTTCTTTTTTGACTCAATTTGTGTCTGCAATGTCTTCCTTCGGTTCATTTCTCTCTGGAGCTCTTTCTACATAAATAATAAAATATTGATAATAAACATATATGAAATGAACATATAAGAAATGCTACAACAGCATAATCCTCAAGTATTTAAAAAGAATTACCTTAAAAGTGAGGGACCCCTTTAAAAAATATTCAAATTCAAATCAGATTTAACAGCAAATAAACACAATACTCGTTTTGTTTCTATATTCTCAAACAGACTGACAGCAAAAAGTGAGTACCTTATATAAAAATTCTTACTACCCAACTTGCATATTTTCAGAAAATACCTACAAACAACTAAATTGGAAAGTTCTTAGATCTACAGAACATAATCAGAAACAACTTTTCTAAAACAATGAACAAAATAGTTGTATCTATATTCTTCCAGGAAATTAAATTGCATTCGAGGCAAATAACCATATTGAGAAAAGTGTTAATATTTTCCTTTATGTCCTTGGGCACAGCAGCAGAGGTGGCGCCAGAAATCTTCCGACAGAGGTGTTGGAGCTTCCGACAGGAGGGCTAAAATGACTAAAATAAGCAGTTTTCGTACGTTATTTTGTCAAATTTGCTCCGACAATAACCTAAAATCTCTTCCGATGGGGGGGGGCTAGATGCTTCCGAAGGAGGGGCTGTAGCCCCCCTAGCCCTCCCCTGGCGCCACCACTGCACAGCAGACGACGCTCTTTGTTTATCTATTACATGTTTACAATACACACCTTCTCTGCTTTCAGTGCCTCTAATTTCTTCTTCATTCTGTTGTCATTTTCTACACATTGGCTGTGCTGAGCAGAGATCTCGTTGTACTTCTCTTGCAGGGTCTGAAATGCATGGAAACAACAACTGTTAAGCTTAATCTAAGTAACGCTGCTTTTTACAAAGAAACAGACTTTTGTTGGAGAAAAAGGATTCCCTGAAAAACTTCAGGCACCAGCATCAAGAGCTACAGTGGTTTCTGCAAAGGGATTCCACCCGACCAAATCTATTCTCATCAAATAATTTTACAAGGATCCAAATTTACCTTGAGGTATTGCAACCAAAATAAAATAGACACTAACTGGCGACTATGTTTTATTTATAATTTATCAGCAAACTTTAAAGATAGGATACGACCCAAAATTGACAATGAAATTCAGAAACCTTTGGTGTCTAATGCCAAGAATGTTGACTGTGTCATAGAAAAGGTCCTTGACTGTTCAATCATAAAGATCATTCCAGTAAAAAGTTGTCTAAACTAGGAAATGCTTTTCGATATGATTCATACTGGTTACAATATTGGAACTGCATCGATTGAAAGCCTGTAGCAAAGCAACTTTTTACACTACATGATATTATAAAAGTTGCAGTTAATATGACCTTTCAGGCCATGAGACGAGCGATCGTGTGCAAAAAATTAAATCTACTACGCGAAAAATGATATTTTTATTTAAAAACCCAGGAACAAAATTAACCTTTTAGGAATAAATGTATTTGAGAAGAAACTTACACCCCTCTCTTTTTCAAGCTCCTTCTTTTTCTCTATATCAACTGCGATACTAAGAAGTTGTCCTTGTCTATGGAGAGAAATTTCAGCGAAATTTTATGGTTGAACACAAGACATTTTTCTTAGCAGCTGTCGAAGCAAAGGGGACTTTGATTATGAAATATGGTGATTTTCAAGTAAAAGTCGCGATTTAGGACGGGAAGAATGCATCTATGTTTAAAGGCTATTGCGCAACCGGCATGCTTAGCGGTAGCTCTCTTTTCACGCGAAGAGAAATTGACTGTGTTTTGTATTTTCATGCAGTACGATATTAGGCCGGTTTTTGAATTATAGTTGCAAAGCATGCCGGTTGCACAGGAGCCTTTAAGTACCGTTGAGGATTGTTCTGAGAAGCTGTTCAAAAACAAAAATTTCGGTTTCCCAATGAAACAAGAATTGTCAATTTTTGACAAAATAAATATAAATGGATAAGGCCTCTGAAACATGAATGAATACCAATCCTGACACAAAAGGTTTTTAGTGACACCCTCAAATAATGTATGAGTCAGCATCAGAACCTTCTTGATAACTTTTACAAATTCTTTGAAGCAATAACGTCACCAGCTTTGTAAGATCAACAATTACTTCAGAAACTCTAGTTATTTGAATGTTTATACACAGTAAGAGAAAAACCTAACAAAGATTTTTGTCAATCTCAAGGCGTCGGTTTTATTTCATGTGTACCGAGCAGTACTATGAACATCTGTCATCTGACACCCTAAAACATGCTTTTTTATGAAGGGTTATCTAGTTTTATCTATGACCATGACAACAAACCAAAACTCAGATTTTGGGATAGTTGGAAGGTCATTGTTGCCAACCTTCTGATAGAAGATGGTACCTGATGATGATGATATCAGTTCATTTATTAATATACATACGGTGAGGCAACCCTGTAGCAAAAGCTGAGTTTCAATAAGCTTTCCTTCAATTTAAGATAGTGAATCAAATAACAAATTGAGAGCTAAAAATCAATCGTGACGACACGGTTTGATATCCTGCCATTATATGTAAACTTCTCAACCTCAGCAAAATATTTCAAATGTTCATATATAACAAAGCAACGATTAAAAAAGAGGAAATACTTACTTTATTCCTGACGTCATTGTTGACTTATTCCTGCTGCCATACATTGATTGGCTGATCTTATACTGCAACCAAATAATTATAATGATCATAAATGTGGCATAGGCATCATTTAAAGAAACATGAAAATACATGACAGCTGAATTCAAATCAAGGCCTTAAATTTAGCTTGATTTAACTGGGAGAGTGGAAACAAAGCAATTCCGGTGTATTTTAGACCATGCTTCTTCAAAATATAGGAACTGATTTTTGGTACCATGATTATTGAATAGCTCTTGCATCTAACATTTTCTTGTAAAAATTAGTCTTCCGCACTGTTTGCAGCACATAGCATTTATTTTCAAGGAGAAAAAGCTTATCTGCACCTTTAAATGCTAGATGTCATTTCCTATTAACCAGTTTTGATGTTATGTTAGCATTTTCACTGAAACTGAGAGTAGCCAAGGACATGAGCAGAGAAGAAATTTCAATTTCATAAGGAGCTATAGTAGTAAAAGGCTCTTACCCTGTGCGTACGAGTGAAGAACAAGCCAAAGCCAGACTGATCTATGGCCTGAAACGAAAAAATATTCCATTTCAACAAGTTTAGAGCATTTAAATCAAATTTGATATTTAAGTAAAACTAAAGAAGAGTCATAAGCGAACGCTAGGAATAAAAGGCATATTTAACAAACACGTGAGTTTACCAAGTAAAAATTGCATACGAAAATTTCTCTAAAGGGCTAATAAGATTGACGGGGAACGGTAAAAGGTTTTCTTTGGGCAGTTCATTATCGACCACCGTTTAACCAAAGAAAACCTCTGATTTCAGAGCCTACAGACTGTTTTTCTTTGATTCAATGCCTTGAGCTTAAGTATTTATTTTTGCAATGAAAAATTTTTAGCTTAAAGGAAAAAAGCAGTAGTAACAAATTGGTCATCAAAAAACACCAATTAAAAAAAAAACTTTTGACCATGCTCCTCTTCTATGCACCATAAAAATAAGACCCAGGAGGAGTCTGACTTTTAAAAAGTATTTTGGGGATTTACTTTGCAGGGATATAAATGTAAAATTACCAGAACAGCCAGTATTCGCTAATGAAAGAGAAGAAGGAGAGCCGTGGGGTTATCTAGAAGATAATTGTCTTTTAATAACGAGGGAGGGCCATTAGACGTTTGTCGTTTGAAGATTTTCATGATTATATCAAAAAAGAGACGGAAAAGACATACTTGAGTTACTTGATCACTTGATGCTGCTTCTGCAATTGGGATGTTATACAGATGATAGGAATCAAAGAGATACCTCATCACTGGCTCTGGGGCATCGAATAGATCACTTACGAACTTAGTAAATCCGAATCTCCTACAAAATAACAACGAAAGTTTCTTATAGAGAATGAAACAGAGAATGAAAATGTAAAACGACAATGAAATAGAGGATACATTCTCAAAACTTTGACGTAATACCGTAAATCCTCGAATTCCCCCCCCCCCCCCCTCGAATAAGCCCCACCCTATAACTACAAATTGTCAATAAGCTACTCCTCAAATAAGCCCCCATTGCTACTTTAAATTCTCGAATTGGACCCCTCCATTTGATGCTTTCTGCCATCTGAGGTTGCCTATGGCGTTTAATTGAATTACCACAACAACCACCCCCCTTCCCCCTAATAAATTAGAGCTGCTAGCTAAACAATGTAACTGCAGAGAAATGACATTACACTTATGACGACAAAGGTCGAAATTATGTTCTGATAGTGAGAAACAAAAAACTATGGAACGTAGAATCATCCAGAGTTAGACTAAATATGGGTAAGGATCGAGGTAAAAATTTCTCTTCCGTTTCAGGAAAATTCGAAATACTACGAGGCAGTCGACTTATCCCACATTGACTGTATAATACTCATTAAAGGTTAATTCGATCACTAGACTCATTAAAAATTGCATTAAAAATTGAGCAAACAAATCTAAAAATGCTTCAAAAAAGAGAAGCAAAGTACTTGCCTGATCTCCTCTATTGGTTTGTTTGGTTTGTAATCGGACAGCGACTGGTTCGGGGGTGGGTTGACAACATTAACAGGAATGTTCTGTTTATCTCTAACCTGAGAACAACAAAATCAACCATCGCATTAAAAGAAGAATTCACTTTTTTGATATCGTGTTTATTGCGAAGTTTGCAAGTTTTCCTCTATCGAACAGAAAACTACGGATTAAAAGAGTCAATGGCCAGGAAAAACCAGAACACATTTCGCAGATTCAAACAAAAAGCCTGTTATTTAAAGAAATAAAGGTATTTTAGATTTGAGACATGCAGGGGTGAGGGCATTTTTAGAAAAAGAAAAAGACCAACCTTGTATAAAAACATTGAAGGACACAAGATGACTTTGAAGATAAAAATTTTTGGTCCCCTTATATTTTACAATAACCAAGAAAAATAAAATACCAGGTAAGAAAGAAAATGGAAGAGGAGTTCTAGGACAGCTTGGTTTGTGATACATTTCTAAACCTACAAGAACTTTAAACCAAAAAATGTTTTGTGGTAGCCTAAAACAGTCGATGTATTTCGTTAGAATGTCCCTAAAAATCCAAGCAAAATTGATTTGTGTTCTGGCATAAGAATTTTCATTTATAAACAGATCAAATCTGGAAATCCTTTGCTCATATCTAAAGTCTCTATCAACCTCGATACGAAACTGTTTAAGACTAGAAAATCAGTTCCTTTAAACAATTTTTTCAACCGGATTACTGGCAAACCGACCACTCTAATGTCAATACATTGCCAATGTAAATAGAAAAGAGCCCCATAATATAAATTAACAATCAAAAGAACTAACCTCATGCAAAAAAACTTGCTGGTCCTCCGCATACTCACAGACAAAGGCTATCAAATCTCTGTGTGCAATAGTTGATTCAAGATATTTTGCATCAGAAGGATTTTTTAAGTTTATCTGTGAAAAATAACATTATGCCTGTTTAACTATGGATTTTTTTGCTGACAAGAACTTGCGAAACAGGTTACGTTTGAAGATTGCAGTGCCTGACTTAAATGACTCTTTCTTTGACAATGAGTGAAAACATTCATTAAACGGACTTAATAAATGACCTACGTAGTTTTCACAGTAGATACTAAAAATATTTTCCAACACGATACAGAAGGAATCAAAATGGTACATTATTCCAACAATATCTAGAATTCCAAAGGAAATATTCTTAACACAGCAGATATCAAGCCTCAAAACAACCACATGACAGAATTGAAGCAAGTTGCACGACAACAAAAGCTAAAAACATATTCGATTTCTTTCAAGACCTTGACAGTCTACAGGTTCATCATCACGAGGCACAAATTATTCACTGGTAAGTTGAAAATTATCCCGAGACATGATGATAAGGTTTTGCAACACTCAATTTTGACAGGCACATTTTGATTAAGAACTGTCGTTCTCGAGAACAAAAACATTTTGGGCAGCCATTTTACATGAAACATATAGAGCAGAAAAAAATCAAGTAGCGATATTACGAATGGGGGAAGAAACTACATTAAAATAACAAACCTGCAGCATTATTGGTTCAAAAACACGGCCCTTGAACTTATTCCTGTTGTTATTGAGCCATTGGACAGCATTATACGCGTTCTTGTCAATCTGGTTCAGTTTCTGTAGACGCCTATTGCCAATATCATCAATTTCTCTTATTTTATGATTCAAAGCTGTAAAAAAATTTAAAATAAACAGATCTCTTACATTGAGAAAATGGTGCAAAACCTGGAAACATTAACCGCAATACTAAAGTGTAATGCTTGTCCTCTGCAACACAGCATTCTCGTTTTTGCAAAATTTGCTGTTACTACAATACCTGCAAAAGTACTTGGGACACCTGACACTTTGCGCTGTATATTTATATTTTTCAATTCTTTTCCCGAATACTTCCCCTTCCACACCTCCTTCCTCACAAACCAATGTTGAAAGTTTACTAGAAAAATATCATAAAAGTCAGAGGAAAAAGCGTACTTCTTAATCTTGTACTTTGTTTTGTAGCAAACAGACATTGTTCAAAGGGGTAGGGGGCTGAATTTGCCCTTGAAAACTGACGTTAGTGTACCAAGACTTTTGGTATGTATTGCACTATTCCTTCAACCAATCCACGCAAATCAGGCGAAAATGTACGCGAAAATATGCTGAAAAGATCCTGAAGCGTAATGTCTTTTAGCTTCATGTTAGAAAATTCCTGAAAACGGTCTAGGTTGGTGCACATGGTCATTAATATGGGGGCATTGGGGGAGAGGTTGCATGTTTTCCACAAAATTAACGTTTTTAACTATTATATCTCCACAAATATATCGCGTACCTGCTATGTTTGCTTTGACAGAATCTGCCTCCTCTTTCAGTCCAGTCGCTTCTTGACTGTTGAGTGAAATTGCTTTGTTTGCTTCTCGCATTCCATTAACAATTTCGTTATTACGGGGCTAAAACAGCACAACAGATATTATTACGACCGATTCTTTTACGATTATAAAAACTAATATCTTCACTGGTCTCTTTGTCTTATCTTGGAAGCCATACAGGCTGCTCATGTCGAGACTACTGTCTTCAGGTAGCAGTGAGAGCTATTTTTGGAAAATTACAATTCCAAATTATCTCTTTTGCACAACTTACAAAAAGCGATTCTTGGAAAAAGAATTGCCTGCTTACAAAATGTTATCTGCCATTGTAAATGTATGGCTTTTGAAAATGGAAAAAAAATTCTGCCTTACGCTACATGATGCATTCGAATTTTATCCGAGGCAAAAAGTTAAGATATAAATGCTAGAAGAACATATCCGTTTTTTTCACCAAGTTTTGAAAAAAGGGTCGATCAAGAAATAACTTGCTTGTAGATTTAGTTAGTCCTTATATTTCATCTACAAATAAAACGAAATGGGAGACATTCCCGCTGCTTGAGAACAAAAAAAAGACAATTATCATCCGAGGAACCGGCACCATTGTTAGATATCCATTGGATATGAACTATGCAAGCAATTGAAAATAAACCCCATCTATGCGTACTTGCAAAAGCGTTGGATCTGGAGCTTCATCAAAATCTCTTTTTAACGCATCTATACTCCTTTGTAAATCCTTTACTCTAAAAAATAACAATAAAATTACAGCCTTTATGACCTTATCTTAACAAAGCAGCTTTGAAGAAATTTCACAAGTTCATTGGAAAGGTCACAGTTAGAAAGCTTTATTTGTTGGGAAATAGAGTCATAATTTGTGACATTGTCATATTATTCAAAGGAATAAAGAATGCAATAGTATATTCATCTCGTAAAAGAAGAATGTTAGAAACTGTATGGAGATACTCTAAGACAGAAAAAAGTGCGTCACAGACTGGAACTTGAAGTTGGACCAGTATTGAAAAGAAAGTAATGACTGCAGGGTATAACATATGTTCAACAGAGCTGTTACAGACACTTTAGCCAGCAAACATGCTGAAACTTTCCCTACCCATTCTATAATAGAACCAATAACAATATTTGAAAGAAAGATATTTTGATAAAGATCACATAAAAAACCTTGGAAAAGAAAGAATAAGTATATTAAGACTTTCTAGCAACTTGCAAAGTTATAGAAAGGAGTACTGCTGATTTAATCATAAAAACCTTAGCTCTCTCTGCTTTTCTTGTTCTTTAAGAGACTTTATTTCACTTGAAACCTCCAGAACCTAAAATAAATTTATAGATGATAAAAGCGGCTGAAACGTGATACAGGGTTCGTAGCCTTAACCCATATATCGATTTCGTTAGCTTTAATTGACTTGTTTTAGAAGCAAATTTATGATTGCCTCAGAATGGTATCCTACAGAGAGTTTATTTTTTTCCAATTGAGATTTATCTGTAATGTTTCTCAATGCAGCTTCGTAACTCACACTTGGCGAAAATTCAATTACAATACAATGACACGATTTTCCTTTTCAATCTTTGAGGTTGATACTAGAGGCACTACATCAGCTGTAATAAACAACATTCTGGGTACATTTTTTAAAACAATAGAGGCAGCTCTATAAGCCCGGGGTGAAGGCAAGTCACAGCATTTTGTTTGTGCCAACAAAAAGATAGGGTGGCAACGTAAAATGAAATTTGTTCAAATGAAAGCCGTCTCGCTTTCCAGATTTTCATTAGATTTGTTGCTTAAAGACAATAAAATTTTGGAGCTTCAGATTACAGCTTATCACATATCTCAGTCTCTTTAGATTTTCTAAAGAACCACTTTGCTAGTTTTATTACAATATAAGCAGAAGGCCCAAAAAATAATATTAGAATTAAACTATAAAAACAGTCCCTACAAGAACGCTTCTTCTGATACAGGTGTCAACATTTATTGCAAACTTGCCTTACTCTTGATCAAAATGACGCTACAGCTTAAAAACCCCCTAACCTCAATGGTGGAAGTGGCCTAAACTAAAGCAGTGCAAGGAGATAGCAGTGCTTATTAGATTAGATAAATGAAAGCAATTACAAAGAACAGACAAAAATGAGTACCTTTTCTCCTTGCTTCTCGAGTTGATCACATCTATGTTTAGCTCTTGTTACTAAAGCATGGCCATTTTCATTCTGAAGAGCGATTGAACAAAAAAATCAATAAATGTTTGTCAAAAACTGAATTTCATAAAATGATGAACTGAACAGATTTGAGAAGTCCTGAAGCTTGCGGTGCCAAGTAAAGAAAAGCCTAGGTGGGTTGGCAAAAGTGCAATATGATTTCTTTTCTTCATTTGTTCGATTGGACAAAAACGAAAAAAACTCACCAATTTCTGCTTTTTTTGCCTTATAGCAGCAAGATCATGCTGAATACGATCAAGTTTCTTGCGCAGTGGCTCAGATATTTTCTTTGCGTCTTTCAAAATTTTTTCAATCTCATCTTTTCTTCCTTTTGTTTCGACATACCGTAGTCTAGATTCTTCATATTGCTATTCAAGAGAAGCAACTTTAATTAGGAAATGAATACACCACGATATGTTATGCCATAATCCATTTTTCACAATAGTAACAACTACAAGGCAAAATACGACTTTCCAATTACTACACTTGAAACAAGGATGTAAAATTACTTTGGAAAGTGGTGATTTTTTAAAATTGAGAGAAGAAAGATAAAGGATAGAAATTCTGAAAACAAATTTCAATCTTGTCAATTACTTTTTCAATGGATATCGCGTTTCTTCAGACATCAAAGAAGTGATCAGTGATCATGAGGGAACTACATTAGGGATGTTCCTATTAGTGATGAATTAACATCTAATATGAGATACAAAAATAAAGGTGACCTAATAAAATTGATTGCTCCTTTGAATACTTACTGCCCAAGGCTTCTTCTTTTCAAGCAGATTAATCTTATCCAAGTGCTTCTGCCTTTCATTGAAACGTTGGACCTCTCTTTCTAGTAACGCATTCTTCTGCTCCAGTTTTTCCTTGTGCTCAGATTTTTCTTTTAAAGACGACTGAAATATAAAGAATAGGAAATTGCAGACCCAAAACAGTCCCAGATTTAGAACCTTGCAGGTACCTCACTTCAGAAAAGCTTCAATGAAAGACGTATGGTATACTAAACAGTCTTGACCATCGCTTTGTCGTCACTGTTACCTCTCTGTTCTCAGTAAAATTCTCTGTACCTTCAAAAGACGAATGAAAGAAAACCAAACAAACCTCAAATGTTCTTGAATTATCTTTCAGTTTAATTATTTCCATGTGGTCCTTGTGCATTCCTGGGGGCCCAACCTGTTACGGACAAAAAAATAAAAGTCAAATCATATTGTATATACAGAAATATATATCAATTATTTTGTGAAATAGCATAATTTCAGTCTAGCAATAAAACTGCTTCCACATCAATATACGTAATTTTCCAAGGAAATAAGAAGAAAATTCAACACAAACTAAAATAACTCATCATCGCTATCAGAAATCCTCCAATTAAGCCTCCCCCCTTAAATGAGCACCCAACCCAAATGAGGAGCCCAACTAAAAGAAACAGCTGAAAGTTTCATTAAAAGAAAGCAACTGTTATTTGTCTAGACTTTGAGAAGAAAACTAATGCCTTAATTTTCATAAATACGCGATCAAACTAATTATTAAAAAATATAGTTTTCTTATTGTTCTTTTGGATCTTGAGAAATGATATCAAACTAATCAACGCTACCTAAAACATTAGGAAATTCAACTAACGCAAAGTGTGCCCACGGTATTTGATATAAGTATTAGGATTTCTGGTCATGAAATTAATAATGGCAGGAGAATTCAGTCTTCAATTAATATTGACAGGAGTCTTCTGAACGGCAACACCTTTATGTTAATAATATCCCAACTTTTCTGGCAAAGCAAAATTTAATTTAATCATCGAAATGTGAACCACCAAAAGTTGGATTAAACAAGGATTTTTATTAGGAATTCTTTGTTCAAGTAAGGAAAACTAGAACGATCAAGCATCTAAAGGATCAGACTCTGACAATAAATTTCTTAACTGTTTTCATAAATAATAAATATTAGAAAAACCGTCCATATTTTGGCAGTAGAAACAGCAGCTGTGGTAGGATAGAAATAAAATGTGATATCAGACACATTCCTTAATAAAACCACCCGTGTGCTTCCATGTGATAAAAAAGCTTGATATGAAAGAGAAGGGTTGTAGATAGCACAAAATATGTCGTTTGTCATAAGAAATAAATATCTCCATTAATTGCTATTTCGAGTCTATAAATGAGAAAATACTCACAGCTTTTTCAGTTGCAACAAGGAGCTCCTGTTGACTCATCTTTGCAAATTCAACAACACGGTCCTGAAAATAAATAACCATGCAATTAAACAGGCTCTGTGCCGATAGAATTGAAATGCTGATATAATGCAATTTTATCAGAGTTAATTTCACGAGGGATGTTGTAGAATTTGACTTCACTAAGGGTTCTTATTTTCACCCGTATTTATGTATTATTCTCATTTGGGTATTGAAGTCCTTATGTGCTGCTTGATGCTATTGGGAATAATAGGGAAGAAGGAGTTCTGCAGTTTGGGTTTCTGCACTAAAGTGTTGGTTCTTTTACGCAGTTGCGTGTATTTGATTGCTTTAAGTCTGGCTTACCACGTCCCTCCCTCCTCTTTTGATATCAAGCATAGTGTGTTTCTTCAAATCATTAATTGTTAGTTCTACAGTTCTCTTAAGGGTAATGACCTATTTACGTCACAGGATTCTTTTCAGTTCCTGTTTTTCTTTTTGTTTAGGATAGACTCTGCTCTTAATTCAGTCATGTTTTCTCTCCCCCCTCCCCCCTCATATCTTAGGTATCTCAGGCTTTTCCCGAGAAGACATTTAGAAATAATTCAACTAAAAGCAGCACTGCAATACAAAGTGTTGGAGAGGGGTTCCAATGCCCCTATCATTTCTAAATGTTTTTTGTATTCTTCGTCTCTCTATCGTGAGTTCTCTCTTAATAATTGGGACTGTTAGACAAGCATTTTGTTTGGGGTCAAATAATGAATCAACCTGTCCACCCTTTCAGACACATTAAACTACATTTTCTATTTTCTAAAAGCTTTGGCAACATTATAGAATATTGATAAAGAAAAATAGAATCAATACCTGGGGCAGGAATTGGCACAAGTTGGACATCTGGACATTGAGATCCTTCATAAGATCCTGGACCTGTGGAAGAAAATAAGCTTACCAAACTTTGCTAGAAAATCACTCTTATCATGAATCACAATTTTTTCCTTTATTTTAAAATAGCTGCCAACTGCCTTGTGCCTTTCTTTGCAGTGTCTTATTCTTGAAACATTATAAAAAGATAGAATGAGACAAAATACTACCTCATAAAATAGAAAGATAAAAAGGAAATATTACCTCAGAAAAGGGAACTTGCTTTCTATTAAGAGACCAAGTGCTTCGTTTTTCAGCTTTTAGAATTTCTCGCTTGATGATGTAATTTTTTCCTCCTTCATTTTTCCTGTAAAATAGCAGCCAAAATTCAAATCAGACCAGAATTCAAACAAGACCAAATAACTTTAACATAAATTTGCAAATTTATTGTTAAGGTATCAGTTCAATTTCATGTTCATTAAACTGCAAGACTCTAACAACTTAATAGACACATTATAATTTCTCATAAAAACCTCATTAAATATACTCACAGTTCTATTTCAATTGTGGCTTTATTCTTTTTATGTTTCACAAATTCTCCAATCTGAAAAATTTCAATATATGAAACCAGCACTAGTAATATTGAAATTGTACATTATATTTATGCCATACCTAAGTCTGAATTTGAAAGATACCTTATTAAAACATAAATAAGTGCCCTTGGCGGTTATTCAAGGCTTGGTGTTTATAAATTGATTGCACAAAATCAAATTTTTAGAGTTTATTAGAGAAAAACCCATTCATGTAATTCATTTTTTTAAAAGACATGACCCTAAATATACTCAGAAACATAATCTAGATCAGATGTGTGGATAATGATCTCATTTTTGTTTTCTTCTTCACTTCAAGAATCTAAAGTTAAGAAGGGATCTGACTCGTCTGCATGAATAGATAATGCACTTGTTGATCTTTTTTTATCAATTTTCAGACAACAAATTGAATATTGAATATTTTTAAATTGTTTTTTACAATGCGTTACTTAAAATCAGCCTTTTACAATGCCTTACTTGAGATAAAAAAATCCAGACCCCACTGGGCATTTACTCCAGAACAATTAGTATACATTTATTAGAAAAGTTTATTTGAGGTCTAGTATTGGTTGGAGAAGCAAAAAATGTGATGAGGAACTGGAATGAAAGACAACAAGATATGACTACCAATTTTTAAACTGCCTGTTGTAAAAATGGTGAGGCCGAAACCAAGATGTGTGAACATTTTTTAGGTGTGTGAACTGGCATAGACTTCAATGATGTGGGGTGAAAGTGAACCTAGAGTACAAGAAGCATTTTCAGTAGCTATTGCAGGTGAGTGTTGTTTTACTTCTTTATTCTAAAGGCTATTCAAAGTTATTCAAAGCACTCTTTCTGTGACGGAAGGATTTGAAAATGGAAATTTATCTTGAGAAGATCAAGAATCTTATTGATAACTAAGATAATGAGGGAATAGAGAGGTTTGTGGCTATATATAAGCTGGGGGAATGTATTGCTGTTGAGCACATCATCAATGATGGCTCTGGCACAGTACACAAGCCAAGAAATGCTACTTAAAGGTTTTTATTGCAAGGTATGATACAGATTATATAACAGATTTACTCAAGTTCTTAAATGTCACTATAGACAAAAGCAAGATCTCAAATTTTGATTTCCTGACCAAATTTCAGCCCTCTGAATTTGGTAAAACATCAAATTTTCCTAGAGCTTTGCCCCCTGGACCTCTAGCAGGGCTTTGCCTTGAACAACCACTTTGGGGCTTCCAGCATCCCCAGGCCCCAGTTGGTTTTTCTTGTTGTGCAAATGTCTTATTTCAGGCTGGATCCACCACTGATTCCAGCCTTATCTTTTACAGCTCTATAGAATAAAGATGACAAGCATGAAACTTTATGATCTGAACCAACTTACCTCTTTTGCTCTGCCAAGTTTTGCTGTTTTCTCTCCTAAGCCAATACACAAAGCACAAACAATTGATGATTTTCCTGTACCTATAACAAAATGTAAGATGAAAAAGCAATAATCAATATTTAATTTCTTATCTTGCTAAATTGGAGAATACTAGCCTTTATCAATTTACCATTGATCTAAATTTTTATTTGAGATTTGAAATCACATATACAGAAGATTTACTCTTAGATGGTAATGCTAACTTGCATGACTAGGTATAAAGAAACAGATCACAGACTTTGCAGACTTTGTGAATCTACTACCGTTAGTAGTTCATGTGATAGAGTTTTAGTTACCTCCTTTTTATCAATTGGCTTAAGCTGGGCGTCGATTTTATTAATTTTTAGCAAAGAACGCCTTTATTTCTTAGAAAAATTCACTGTTAACATGCATAATCACAATCATTGGGTCAGTGGGGCCTAGGCTGTAAGAGAATAGAACCTCAGCTGAAAAATTGCTTAAATGCCTGAACTTGTTTCAACGTTAGAATCAGATGAGTAGTGGGGGGTAGGGGAAGCACAATGCCATTGTTCTTCCTAAATTTTTTGAGCTGCAGGGTTATACTACCTACACAAACAAATAATTGATTTGAGCTTCTTAAACATTAGCATAGTTCTAGATGCCAATACTTGTCTCATCCAAGGCTTGGTATAAGTGAAATATACTGAGCACCTACCGGCCTGAACTGCCTTAGAAAAATTTATGAATTACTGAATTACATATGCCTGGAATTACAGAGACCTGGTGACTCCCCACACTCTGGGTGAAAGTTTGGTCATGCCAGGGACTCGAGGCACATAACCTTGGGTCTGTATGCAGCAGACTACAGAAAAAGCTTCTGGCCCCCCACTGAAAGACAACCTTTTCAATGCTATTGTCCATCACTGTATTACTTTTAAATTTTTGAAGTAAAGGCAGTGAAGAATTGGTTTGGTTTTAACTTTTGCATTATAATTCGAAGTCCTAAAGTTTTAACACTCCATCATTGATTAGAATGAAAAATGTAGCATAAAGTACCTGACATTGAATACATACCATTTGGACCCACAACAACATTAAGATTAGGACCTGGAGTGAATTCCACATCATCATATGTCCTGCCATGAAAACAAAAGCCAATAAAATGGTGCTGGACAATCTGATTCAACACATCTATCCCCAAAATAATAGAATCATTTTCAAAATGGCTTTGAAAAAGCAAACATATGAGTAAACTAAAGCTTTTCGTTTGACACTCTTCAGAGTTTAAAACATCAGAACATAGACCGAAAACTCTACACTAGGAAATATATATACCCAGATGTGGATCAAATAGGCCAATCAGAAACGTGAGCATGTGACTGTTGAGGTTGACCAATCAGTGCTGCTTGCCTATTGATAGTGTTACCAATGGAGTCCCAAGATAAAAATGAACTCATTTTGTCTACACAATAGCGGTTTTTATTGGTTTAGCGGTTTTTGTGCTTATGTAGATAGTTTCCAAACTGCTAGATGGAATGACGTTCGGGCTTTACCAATAATCCAAAACATGTCACCATTATAGCTTTTTGCACAATCTGGGTTTTCCAGTAGATGCCACCCAATAGCAGAATCACAGGTTTTAGTTGTACTTTTAGATCTGCAAGACCAAGGTGGGTGATCTCTTTGGGGATGAGTTTTGTTTCTTATACTAGATGGAACATGTTGTTTTATTCTATCCTCAAATCTATGGGCAGTGCTTCCTACGTAGCCAGAATCACACTGGCACCTAAATTTATATACAATGGTTCTCCAGAAAATCTTTTTTAGTTGTTCAAGTTCTGAGTTGAGTTTAGACTTGGAACAAATCATCAGTGTCCTATGTGTAAGCGTTTTGATGAGGCTGATTCTTTGTTTTGGGCAAAACGAACTCCATTGAGTGTATAAACCCAAAATGTGGGTTTACAGTATACAGTGGTGAGAAATCCAGCGCAAGACTGTTCAACTAAAACATCTAGAAATGGCAAGGAGTTTTTTTTCTTTCTTTTCAAATGTAAACTGTAGGGCTGGGTGAAGGCCATTAGGGCGTTTTAGGAAAGTATCACACTCAGCCTCTGCTTTGAAAATGGTATATGTGTCATTCACATAGCGAAAATAAACACCTGGCTTTTGGTGGCAGTCAAACAAATGCTCTTCATGAAAGCCAACAAAGATATTGGCCAAGGCAGGTCCCAGAGGTCTACACCATCCTTTTGTTAGTACATTTCATTGTTAAAGCTGAATTCAATTGGGGTCATTCCATATCAAAGGAGGACAGGCATGTAACCCAAAGTCTCAGAAATTGCTCATTTTTTGTGAAGAAGTGGATAATGATAAGATAAACACATATACAAAATTTTACTTTAAAATCTTTTGTTGTTCTAAAAATAGAGCATTTTGAAATTTTGCTGATTCTCAGCATTTTTTCCAATGTCCGCCATTTTGAATCTAACCCAGAGGTTAAATATACTAAATAAATGCCTCTACTTAGCATCTTGATGTCAAAATCATGTTTTTGACTGATTTATGTATCAGGATTTCAAAAAAAGTTAGAAAAAATTTGTGAGACACACCCACAGTCTGTAATTAACTAATAAATGAGGAGCAGTTGTTGTCATAGCAACGAATTGTCAAGATGTTATTCGAATTTTTGTCATGTTGCACACCTGTGATAAATTTCAAATTTTCCAAGCACGAAGCTACAGTCACAAGTAACTCTTTTACAAAGAATTAGCAGGGTTATATTTGTCTTTACAAAAATACAGCCCTAGAAATGCTAGCTACTGTAAATGTCTCTTTCGTCTTCTTCACCTTGTTAAAAATTAGCAAATTGCTAGCTGAAAAAATTTTAAAAAATATGTAAAAGCAGGAACTGATCTTTTGACGATCTTTGTGTGTTAAACTTTGTGTGAACTGATCATACTGCTAGAATAATGCATATAAATCAGTTTGGGACATGGGTGTGGACATGGGTGTTGGCTAAGGGTGTGGAATGTATGCTGAAAGGTTGTAAGGGGCTTGAGGGCTGTAAAACTTATATTGGTAGGGAGCTGAGGCCTGTTCTCTGTAACAATTTATATGGTCATCATATAAAAAGTCATGATACACCTTAAATATAATTAGCAACTTTAGCAACATCTCTGTCACAGAGGTAATATTGTCTGCCGGACAATGTTGATGTTCTTGGTGCTTCAACCATCATGACAACATTCTCTATAGGTACCCAGCATATGTCTTCTCTTCTGGGCCATGCAAATGAACAGCTTGGTAAGTGTGGGTGCAAGAAATTGACTTTTGCATCTTTGCTTTCAGTGTCTAATTCACCAAAAAGCCCAAGCCAAAGAAAGTCATCATACGAACAGACCAAAAAACATCCAACACGGAGCTTTTCTTTGATTTTTTCATCTTTGGTTGGCTCTCCAGTAAGACTGAACTCTGCTTCAAAGTTGGTATCAACTGATGTTTGTTTCACACCAACTTTTCATTGTGATAAAGGGATAAATTGATGGAAGCTTCTTGTTCCTGGGACCGTCCTAGCTTTTGCAAAGCGGGGTTCCATGCGTTTTCTCGTCTGTGATATCTCAATTTGTGAGATGAAGAAAAATTGAATGCCAGAGATAAAATTTGAGCAAAATTCCATCATATGGGTTGCAGACAAAATTTGATTACCTGGGGGGCATTGTAAACTGGCTTTTGCCGTGAGGCGCTTGACTGTCTCACGATGTATAACGTCTCAGTACGGTCGACATTTGTGCCAACGTTATGATATATAACCACGGGATGCAATGAGCATTGCTGCTGATTCCAATATGTGGGACAGTCAAGCGCCTCACGGCAAAAGCCAGTTTACAATGCCCCCCAGGTAATCAAATTTTGTCTGCAACCCATATGATGGAATTTTGCTCAAATTTTATCTCTGGCATTCAATTTTTCTTCATCTTACAAATTGAGATATCACAGACGAGAAAACGCATGGAAACCCGCTTTGCAAAAGCTAGGACGGTCCCAGGAACAAGAAGCTTCCATCAATTTATCCCTTTATCACAATGAAAAGTTGGTGTGAAACAAACATCAGTTGATACCAACTTTGAAGCAGAGTTCAGTCTTACTGGAGAGCCAACCAAAGATGAAAAAATCAAAGAAAAGCTCCGTGTTGGATGTTTTTTGGTCTGTTCGTATGATGACTTTCTTTGGCTTGGGCTTTTTGGTGAATTAGACACTGAAAGCAAAGATGCAAAAGTCAATTTCTTGCACCCACACTTACCAAGCTGTTCATTTGCATGGCCCAGAAGAGAAGACATATGCTGGGTACCTATAGAGAATGTTGTCATGATGGTTGAAGCACCAAGAACATCAACATTGTCCGGCAGACAATATTACCTCTGTGACAGAGATGTTGCTAAAGTTGCTAATTATATTTAAGGTGTATCATGACTTTTTATATGATGACCATATAAATTGTTACAGAGAACAGGCCTCAGCTCCCTACCAATATAAGTTTTACAGCCCTCAAGCCCCTTACAACCTTTCAGCATACATTCCACACCCTTAGCCAACACCCATGTCCACACCCATGTCAAATTTGAAATTTATCACAGGTGTGCAACATGACAAAAATTTGAATAACATCTTGACAATTCGTTGCTATGACAACAACTGCTCCTCATATATTAGTTAATTACAGACTGTGGGTGTCTCACAAATTTTTTCTAACTTTTTTTGAAATCCTGATACATAAATCAGTCAAAAACATGATTTTGACATCAAGATGCTAAGTAGAGGCATTTATTTAGTATATTTAACCTCTGGGTTAAATTCAAAATGGCGGACATTGGAAAAAATGCTGAGAATCAGCAAAATTTCAAAATGCTCTATTTTTAGAACAACAAAAGATTTTAAAGTAAAATTTTGTATATGTGTTTATCTTATCATTATCCACTTCTTTACAAAAAATGAGCAATTTCTGAGACTTTGGGTTACAAAATGAAGAAATTTGTCCCACTTTGAAATGGAATGACCCATTGAATATGTTGCAGTTTCAATCAGTTCAATGAATATTTCCTCTGGGAATGGTGGGCTATTAAGCTCACTCCAGTACAAAGCAATGGCGCATATTTTGATGCATTATTTTGATGCATACATAGGCATTTTTGAAGTTTCTGCTCTAGCTTAGCCGTTTTATCCCGTGTTTCGGTGTCACCCAGTTTTTTTAACTTTTCCTTGTTGATGAGAATATTCTCCATTTTTTGGATGTAGTTCTTTTTGTTCAAAATAACCCCTCCTGACCTTTCATCAGGCTTTGTTATAAAGATGTCATTATCAGACTGCAGACATTTTAATACTTGAAAATATCATGGCTGGCAACAAGTTGAGTATGTAAGATTTCAAATTCAGCAAAAAGTTCCTTACTGTTTATCTCTGTTGTATCTTAGTTAAGCCTCTATGTGGGGGCTTATTAAAACACACAAATTGGAATGTTAGTTTTGAGGTGTATTCGAGGATGGGGGCTCATCATCAATATCTTTTACTATCATAGTTGGGGCTTATACAAGGCGGGGCTTATACGAGGAAGGACAGTTCGATGAATCACTGTAAGCACTATGGGAGATGGGACTGGTCTTTAGTCAGGCCACGAGGAACAGACAACAAGTTTACGTGTGCCCGAAATTTGTGTATGAAAGGGATAACATCGAAGTTTTAAATCGGGGGATTGTCAAGGCTGATTTAATTCGTTATGTAGACTTACAAAAAGTTGATCAGTTTAACTCTGACAATAGATCCATGGCAATATTCGGCGTCTCCCTTCGTCCCGGAGACGGATCCATTCATCAACGTGTGTCCATTCACATTCAGTTTTCTTTGCTTCGCCCGGCTTGATTCTCCGCTATCTTGCGTAGCAGCACTGGACCTTCTATTCATCTCGCGATTAGATATTGTAGCGAAGTGAATCGTTAAGTTATCGTTGTAATATCTTAACAACTATCTACATTTCATCTGTCCTTCCCGAACATCCTATAACCAAATGTGCGCATGTCAATAAGATTGATTTCGCGCCATTTCATTGCCACCCCGACACGAGTCTCAGCCTCTTTTCTACCCTTGCTATACTTTCATCCGCAGAAGCTATTGGGGGGCACTGATCTTTTTATGAGACCAGCATTGGGGAGGGAGATAGGGAGGGTAAAAAGGATAAGATAAAAGGAACTGCGTAGAAAAAGAAAAAGTGGAAGGGCTGCTAGGTAGAAGGAGGAAGAGAATAGCGGCTATTTTTCCTTTCCTCTTCTCTTCCTATTCTCCGCAGCTTCACCACTTCTCAATCCCCATCTCCCTCCTCAACACTGATCTCCTCAATAGCCTCTGTGGAGGAGATTACCCTTGCTACTTGCATCCCCCCTCAATGAAACATAACAAATTGTTTTTATGTATTCTGGCGATTCGAGGGCTTTGTGCCACGAAAAGTTAGCTCTAATATGATTGAGACCAACTGTCTACGTCTACCTGTCTTTGTCGCGGAAGTTGAGGGGGCAAAACACGATAAAAATAATCTTACTTTGGCTTCTAGCATATTGAGCCTCTGAAAATTGATAGCCTTCCAATCCATCAAATGATCCCTGTTATGGACCTATAGCGCTTGGTTATGGACATATAGAACAGGACTGTCCTAATTTAAAAAACTTTAAGCAAGATAGCATCAAAAATCAAATTTCAATTCACCGATTTTTTTCCCACGAACTTCTACCCAAGAAAAATTTCGTTCGATGATGTCTACCGAGCTTTTCATGCAGGAATGTGAAGCGAGGAGATGGACAAAAAAGGTGGGCCTTTTTGGGGCATACCTTGCGACATGGAGGACCTGCGAAACAAGGCAAGGAGAAGTACGAAGAAATAAAAGCTCGAAGAAAAATGAGAAAAGGAAGACCAAAGCACAACATCGCCTACGTCGTCAAAAAAGGTCTCAAAAAAAAGGCTGCGAAAAAGAAAATGCTGAAGATCGTAAGAAGTGGAATGACGCAAAGGAGAAGACGCCAAGAAGAACAGGAAGAACCAAAAAGACAACCTAGAAAGAGGACTTTGTGTACTAGCTATCAATCAATCTACCTCTATCATTTTTTCTATAAAAAATTACTGTGCTTGTCAACCGCGTTAAATGAATGAATTAATGATTTTTTCCCTTTGGCAATAAATAAGGCAAGGATATCGTAAACATTGTTAAATCATGAGGACTGGCCTTCAAAAAGAGAACTGGCTATGGCAATGTGACTATACTCGTATGATTAACATTTAGATTACATCATAAGATTAGAAGAATATTGAAAAGAAATATATTAGAAAATAATAAATTTTTTAGATCTAGCTCGCTACTCTGAAATTGTCTACATATTCATTTTGCATTAAAAGAAGGAACGGTAGGCCTTTTATGCCTACAAAATAGGCCATCATGGGTGATATTCGCTATGATATACGTGAAATTCGATTGCTTTCAAGATTTCTTCTACATGACTTAAAAGGATTTGAATGCAAAAAATTTTCTCGGCAAAACTTTTATAAACAGTCAAGTCCACTTTAAAGTCAAGACCTTTACACCTAAAATCGTTAACTACCGATTGCCATAAAGTCGATATTAAATGCATTTTTCTTCCGAGTTTGTAACGCCAATATCTGTTATTGAATGTTTCAAAGGGATGCATTTTCTAGGGTTTCTTTTTAGATGAACAGTAAGTGTTCTGATTGTAATTTTTACAGCAAATGAACAAGATGATGGCATTGAGAATAATCATTCTGAAGCTATGCGAACTTTGAATCTAAGAAACCAATATAAGATCGCAGCATATGAGTTGGTTTGTTCAGCTTAAAGTAATATTACTGAGATCCAAGTTTATGAGAAGAAAAATGCTTATATCAAGCTAATCTGTATGTTTTTGTCTTCAGTTAGATTAGGAAAAGAATAGAACAAAACAAATATCCAGAGTTGACCGTGCTACAAGAGGATCAGAGGTCTCCCTGCTACAGCAAATTGCACCCAACTGAAACTTAATGCTTCTTGATAATACCCATACAAATTTATAAAAGATTTATATGTCAGCTATTCAATCAGATTGTACACTCACAAAACGATTTCAACTATGTTTTACAAACAGGCCACCCTTTAAAATTTATCCTAAGAAAAACGTTGATGCTTTGGGAAAGTATGACACTCATATAATATGTATCATATTAGATATACAAATATATATGTAACTTAAAATATACATAATATGAAGTTAATCAAACAGAAGAAAATGGCAGTGCATGCAAATCGATATGTGCTTTCGAAAAGATTAAACATGCCACTTATCAACAATTTTTGATATCATACTCCAGTGTCTTTTCTTACTTTGTTCGTCTTAATAGGGACAATAACAACATTATATATCAATTATTTTGCAATGTTATATCTCTTATTTAAAAATCTTTATTCGGTCCTTTTTAGATGAAGGGACATAAAAGATTGGCATGCTCTTCAATCTCTCTCTAAAAGTTTTCCGCTTACATTCTTCATCCTCTGGTAGATTACTGTCTCTATCTGAGCTACTCTTGGTTGTAATTGTGATATCATCGAAGTCAAAGTCATACATCATTGACTTGGGCCTTGTCCCTGCTTTCTTACGAAGACCTACAATGTTATTGTCAACCTCGGGGCCTTCAGCCAAGGAATGCTTTTGGCCCCTTTTCATTAGTTTAAATAGTGCTTTCGGCTTCACTGAAGCTGACTTTGCGTCTATATTTGGTTGACTTTTAATACTCTTTCTACTTTTGGCATCAGAGTTCTCGTCTTCCTTGTCTTTTGTAAAAAACATTTTCAACCTTCTTTTATTCAAGGTTCCAAATTTGGACACCATGTGCTTTTTTAATATTGCACCTGTTGATAAGCTATCGTCATCAATTCCAGATTTAATATTATATGCGAACATAGAAATGCTCTCAGGTTCCTTCCGACCTACACCCTTTCTCCATGGTTTGGAACGTTTTGGCTCAGCTGATCTTGGCTTTACGGAGCTCAAAGATCTAGCAACCTGGTTTTCATGAATTCCTAAAGTATCTGACGATTTTGCCCCATCCATTTTTTCTGTTGGTTTTAGATTAAACTCCCATGTCTGTAACGTATCCGAATCATTCGCAATGGTTCCAAATGACAAGTCTCCGCTGAGGTCGGTTGATAATTGGCCATATATCCAGTAATCAAGCCTTGTCAAGAGCCGTTCATCTAGGCGTTTGATATCCGATATGCGAGCTAGAGTTGACGTTGATAATTCATTATTACAGTTAACCTTTCCCTTTGCAGTTATTTGGTTCGCATTTATCTTCGAAATTTTCGCGGTGAGAATGTAACAATCCAACTTCTTCTGGATTGCATCGGCTTCCATAGTCGGCCCGGCTAGGCCACATTTTCTTTTCCTCTTCAAAGATTGTTAGGAATTCAATATCAAACCAAACAATGTCTACAATTCAAATAACAATTGTTTAAAAAACCATTCTAAATCACAAACAATATAAGCAAATATGTACAGACAAAAGACCTTTTATACTTGTTTGGTAAATACCATGGAGTAAATACCTTTTATGATTTTTTCGACCGTCAGTACAATGAGCAAAGGCATGTAACGTGATTTTGACAACAGCCGTCGTGAAGCAAACCTAGTTCCGCCTTTTTCTTTTAAAAAATCGTGCAGCCTACGTCGTTGAGGAAAAATAATACGCGAAGAAGACAATATTGTCTAGATAATAAGTATTGTTCAAATTTTGTTTTGATGTATTAGTTGATCTTCAACATTGTATGTAATGGAATTTTGAAAAATGAAGAAATTGAACAGTATTCTTAATACATAGTTGTACCATTGAAACACTCTCTTTATAAGAATGTATTTTTTAGAATATTCAGGCTCAGAATCAACCAATTTCCAAGCATATCATTAGTAAATTGCTCAGTCCCAGCTCGCATAATACTGTCTTATTTTTCAGCATTTGTCTGTTTTGCGATGTTCATAAAAAAGACTCACTTTTCTAACAAACCTTGTTTTTTCAAAAAGCATGGTTTCTATTCGAGGGTGAACGATGTTCCCCTGAAACCATGTCAAATTTGAAAAATTTAAGAATACTTTAAGAACATATTCAGGCTCAAACGAAAATGTCGATTCAGGACAAGATCTATATTATTCTTATGAAAAACTTTGTAACTCCTTATTTAATGAGAAAATTGCCAACTTCTCCACATAAAAACAACAATACGAAAACAATATGATTACCTCGGCACTGAAAGTTTAGCACGCGTTGGGCCTCCTTAAAACCCTCTCCCTTTGTGGGGAAAATGCTGGCCTAAGTCACTCTGACTTGCCAATTATGATATACAACATAATCAGGATGTTCTACCTATGTTGCAGAACCCGTTTCCAACTATAACGATTTTAAAACGATGAACGAAGCTTAACTCGAATTCTTTTTCTTCAACGCGTGCGACAAACTCTTACTCCCTAACTCCCCGGATCACCTGATCTTACGTCAACGGTCACAAAATGCTATTTTCTACACCCTTCCCTTCTCCCAAGTGAAAAGCCATAGAAATTTCTACCGTAGTGCTTCGATTAAACGTTCAATAGATTTTTTGATAATTTAGGGGGCATCTATTCGAGGGAGCGTTTAAAAGTGGGGGCGTTTATTGAACTTTTTCACTCTTCCTAGGCAATATGTTTAGAAAACATCTAATGATGATCGCACTTAGCGTGAAACTTTGAGTAACAACTAAATAAGTCTGGTTCCAGAAGTTATAAACGCTACTCGGAAGTTTTAGAGAAGGAACTTTTCAAAAGAAAGGCGAAATTTCCAACTGTAACGTTGAAATTTAGAAAGAAGGGCGTATATCGTAAATTTTTCTATTATTTCACGAAATAAAGCTAAAGATGTAAGTTTCGAATATGTTTAGACGGGGGCATCTATTCGAGGGGGCGTTTTTTTTTAAAAAAAATATAATAGGGGGCCTTTATTCGAGGGGGGTGTTTGAAAGAAGTGGCCTTTGATCGAAGCATTGTTAATATTAACAATCATTTTAGAATCGAGGCTAGTGGCTTACATCAGGATATGCGGGCATCACCATTCCCAAAATTCACTGCCAAAATTGCATAATCACTTGTGCAACAGCTTATACTCGCGTGAGAAATAATCGAGTAGGAATAAAAACAGTTCACCTTTCTAACCATCATTTGGGCGCTTGTGTTAACGCCGAACGCTGCAAAACGTGAAAGTGAAAACCGAAATGGCAGTGCCAGGATCCAAGAAAACACTGATACTTTTGAACGTAGTCTGTTTTATTTGCCTTCTTGCTTTTAATGGCCTATCAAACATCAAGTCACCACTGTTCCCAAGGAATATTGGTAATGTTTCCAGTGAGTATCCTACTGAAATAACTCCAAGTGGGCCTACCTTCGCAATATGGGGTTTCATCTACGCCTTCCAGATGGCCTGGGTGCTGTACACGCTGACTCTGATTTGCAGATCGAATGCAGCCGACATTCTTCCCGCCACATTGTACGTTGCTTTCACTGTATCATGTGTGTGCAACGTATGCTGGGTGCTAGTATGGGTTCGCGAAATATTTGGGCTGTCACTGGCATTGTTAGCTGGGGCTGTCATTTCACTCGCTACCTGCGTCTCCACTGCATCAAAAAGCCTTCATGACTATCTCAAAAACGAAAAGAATCCCATTGTCGCCGATGTCTGGTGCGTAAGAATTCTGGTACAAAATGGTATCATATTTTACAATGCATGGGTTACGATTGCGACTTGCATCAACCTTGTTGTGACTCTACATTATCAGCTTGGTTTTGACGCCAGCAAGTCAGCCACGGCAGCTCTGGCGATCTTGTTGTGTGTCACAGTCTTTTGGTTCATCCTGGAAAATTTTGTCCTACAAGATTACACACGCTTCGTCTTTGCTGAGTACATTGTTCTGATTGTTGGACTCAGTGGTGTCATGAAGGCACACTGGACAGGCGGACAGGGAAATCAGTCATTTGTGCTTGTCTGCCTCATAGTATCCGCTGTGTTTTTCATTGCAAGAATTGCTTTGATAATTGTTCAAGAAAAAAGAAAACCAAAGAGAGAGGAGATTGTAATGTTCCACATGCCTGCTTCAATTTAAATGAAATTTTCAAGTCATGGGGTCAGTGAGTTCCTAAACTGTCAAAGATTGACTGTGACATGTTTGCTGTAATTATAGAAATAGTTTTGATTAAACCAAATTATTTTGCTGTAAACGCTAAGGATAAAAACGATGTAAATTTGCTAATGAAATATTTTTTACTTGATACTGGTGTTCAAAGAGCTCTATTCTATTATTTGTCATGTTTTCTTTTCTTCTGGTTTGGTAGACTGTTATTTCAAACGGAAGTTGTCGAGTCGGTCGCCCATAATTTGATGCTGCCCCCAAAATATCGAGGAAATCCACTAAAACCCTTGCATATCAGTTTCTTTCTGCCGAACAACCACGGATATTCAAACAGTTGCTACTGGGGTTCCTGTAAAACCATGGGACTTGTACCTTCCCCTCATTTGTTGGTACATTTACAACAAAGCAACAGCCATGAACTTAATTTGAATGAAACATAGGCAAACATTCAATTTTATAGCCTTTTAACATGCTGGTCAGAATCGATACGGAAATTTGAATGGGGCACCCTATTTAAAGATCTGAAATAGAAAAATTAGAATTCAAACTTCCCCCTTCTATCATTCTAAGTTGAAAGCTTACTTCAACCGATAGGATTTTTTGGAAGCTGACTAGGAAATAATGAGACGCTAGGACAAAATACCTCTAAAGTCCAAATAGAATTTTTCTCCCAGCGATTCTCTGTGAGAGATCCAATGTCCCCGGAAGGCTTTTTCTTTACAGTTTGTGGTAGACCTAAACTAACCTACATAAAGGCTAACTTTGAAATTTGAGTTTAAAAATAAGAAAAATCGATTGCTAAGCCGATTTATAGTAAATATAGGCCCTCAGACGAAGGGGGGACCATGCCCCCCCCCCAATTTTTTGTAAAACAATAGAGCTTTTTAAAAATTATTTTCTTTTGATTGTTAAAATCTCCCTTAGCACCCCCCCCCCACCCCCACGGAGCCCATGATCCCCCCTCCACTTTCCAACTTGCGTTGGAGCAAATGATAGAGACATTTCTTGACATCATCCCGATACCAGTCCCCGATCATCTTACATAACAAGAAACGTAAGAGGTTCGTAAACAAAAGATGTCCTGAACGTGACTATCGCAAAAGAATAATTGTTCTAGTCAACAATAACAGCAAGACAAACCAAGGCAGGTTTCAACCATCTGCCTTCATTTTGCAAATAACGTCGTTGCAAACAAAGTCTGTATCCTCAATCATGGCCATTTCGCCGTTAAAAAAAGTAGCAATAACTGTTAACAGTGTAATCTTTTTCGTCACGATGTTGATGGCATTGGTTGGCTACGACACAGCATTATACCCGACTTCGGTTGCCAAAGCTACACAGAAGTATCCGACCGACCTCGACGCACCGGACAGTGCGATATGGTACACAATTTATTTCTTCCAATGCTGCTGGATTCTCTACACGCTAACTCTTGTTTTCAGGCAGGATGCTGAAGACATTATACCTCTACGATGCTTCGTCTTGTATTCCTTTGCAAGGGTGTGCAGTGTGGTTTGGCGACTTATTTGGTCCAGAGATTTGTCAACAGTCGCTCCATTTGTTATTATCCTTGTAACAGCTTCCACGTTAAATTTTTGCTTGCTCTTTGTTTTGAAAAGTGCAAATGCTGAATGTTACAACAATTCAGAGGGAAACTACAACAAGAAAGATGTCTGGTGTACTCGTGTGTTTGTTCCAAATGCAATCGTTTTCTATTCAATGTGGCAAGATATGTCGACCTGCTTCAGTCTAAACAGGGTATGTTTTAATTAAAGAATACTGTAAGCTCCGAAGTTGTTTGCAAAATTCAAATGTGATGTCTTTTATTAAAAGGCTTATTAAAGATAGGACTGGAACCCAGTGGGATTGTAACGTCATATAGAACAATGGTTCACTACAAGTCTGACCCGTTTTTCAAAGGTTTTTTACTTCATGGCTACGCCAAAATTATGTAAAACGGATATGTTTTGAATTACGTTCATCGCTGTGTATCGGTCAAAGTTAATTTTCGTATTTAATCGTTATATTTTTGTTATTCCCAGATGCTTATCTACGACTGTGGTGTCAGCAAAAGCACGGCTGCAACAGTTTCCCTGACTGTTTTGCTCTCCTTGATCGTTGGTTGGGTTGTTCTGGAGAATTACTTCATCGAACATTTCTCAAGGTTTTTGTTCTTAGAATACGCCCTTATGATTGTAGCCCTGGGACAGGTTCTATATGCACAGTGGAAAGACGGGAGTGGAAATCAGGCTTACATATTGGCAATGCTGGTTCTATGCTGTATTTTCTTATTACTCCGTTTGGCTGTGATTTACGTAAAGGAAAAGAATCGCCTAACTACAGATAGTGATGCAAGCCGTAGTTGCTTGGTATTCAAAAGGGATCACTGATGCTGATGCTGAACCGTAAACATTTAATATCCTGCAATTTTCAAAACACAAAACTCAATAATTCCTTTAGTGGACCATCTTTAGTTTCATTCAAGTGGCCGCAATGTTTCCTATATGAACATTCTTAGGTAACATCTGAAGTCTGAACGAAATGTCGTGTTTAGGATTTATCAAAGAAATGAGAAAATAGTACGAAATCAAGCAAATTATGGTGGGGGCGGTAAGAAATGTTGGGTGGGGCACAAGCTTTTTTCCTCAAATTTAAAAAACTCATTTCAAAAGGGTATTTGGAGTAATATTTTCGGCTGCCCCCCCCCTCCTCCCCCGCTGTGCAGGTACCATTCCTTGCAGCAAGATAAAGGGAATCACTCTCAACTCAGCTGTAAACTAATATCCTGTTTCACTCAAAGCTCAATCGAGACAAGATACTCTGGTACATGCATTTGGCCAGAGTTTTTAAGACCTTGACAGGTGAATCAAAGTTTTTACAATAGGGGGCCTTGAGTTGACTCTTGCTTTGATTAAAATACGTTTCTGTGAATCGCCAACGTAAACATAATAGTTTTTTAAATATACTACGAATTATCCTTTTCTGTTTTAACAAAAATCTTCATCTAAACCTACATAAAGATAAAGCTTACAGCGAAACGATAAACATTTTTTTATTGAGCATCTATTTAATATTTTAAAAACTTTTAAAAATAGAAGCTATTGAATACATATGTCTCTATATGGCATTATCGTATGAGACACTTAATTTCATTTTAACAAGTATTTGAAGTACAAAATATGTGAATATATTGTGCATATTCAAAGCCAATAATTTCAATGTTACAAATTCACAATCGTAATAAAGAATATTAGCGCAGCATTGTTTGATTTTTCTTTAAAAGATATATTTGAAACGAAATTTTCTTTTCAAATGTCAACCTCTGCACAATCAATGTTTTCCTAACAAGTTATCAAAGTTAGAAAATGAATCTGTTTTGTAACATCTAAATAATATCCATGTTTCGGTCTATAGGAAGAAAATGACCGATGCTCTGGTTTTTTTATCTGTTTCCTAAAAGTTTAGGGGCGTGCCCCTTGAGCCTGCAATTTATTTTCTATATTTCTTTTCCAGCACGGAATATCATGAAGAAATTTTTGTGGTTGAAATTTATGCCATAATTTATAGCTTTTATTCATTACCATATGGTATCAAGGTACCACTCGGTCTCCGCTTTGCGAGAGCTGAAATCTACTTGTGCTTTGGAAACATAAGGTAATAAAATTTTTGAAAGTCGAATATGATAAAGTTTGAATTGAAATCTTTGTTTATTTTGTTTATTTTGTTTGTTTATTTTTTATTTTATGACTACCAAACAGTAAGTATTTAAAATTTAGTATTTATGTAAGAAATGTTTCATTTAAATAACGTTGTATATATCGTTTACAAAAGCAATCGTTAAGCCAGGGCCTCCGACGAAGGGGGGCCGGGGGGGACATGGCCCCCTCACTTTTTTGGAAAACAATAGATTTTTTTCAAAATCTTTTGTTATGGCTGTTAAATATTCGCGCGCCCCCCCCCCCACTTTCCTACCTGTGTCGAAGCCCATGTAAGCATCATTTTTATCTCTAGTTATATTGTTAATTTTACAAGCTGGTGTTAATTAGCTGTTTATTAGCCAAGCCCCCCCCCTCCACCACTTTTTTGGTAAGCAAAAATATTTCCAAAGAGGCCCTGTTTTGAAGCACTAACAAGTTTGATTTATAGAGCTTGGTCCCTCCACCTTGAACTTTGTGGCGTGGACCCCCAATATTCAATAAAGTGTAAGAAAAAAATAAAACAACCTCCTTTGTTTCAATTACATAATAAGTAAAGAGGATTCCCCAGACAGATGTGACTACATCACAGATCGAATTTCAGTTTAATTATACCTAGTACCTTCAGGCAAAAAGCACCTCTTGAACAAATTTTCAAGACTATCGACTATCGAAAGGCTTGAAGAGTCAGTCATCATGGCTTTGTCATTAATAAAGGGTGCATTGGTTATTTTGAATGCTGTCGGATTTGTTACCAAACTTATATTCAACAAAGAAGCAACCAAAGTCTCTAAGATTTTTCCAAGAAAGACTGGCGAAGTTTCTGACAAAGTAGAGACTGATCTCACACCTGCAGCTGCTACATTTGCAATTTGGGGAGTCATTTACTTTTTTCAGGCGTCTTGGATAACGTACTCAGTGTCGCTGCTCTTTAGGCCAAGTGCCCCCGACGTACTTCCTGTATCGTTTTATCTCGCCTACCTTTGTGCCAGTGTCTTAAATATCACATGGCTGCTAGTATGGGCTCGACGAAAATTCGCTATTGCATCTGCAATCTTAGTTTTTCTAGCACTCAGCCTAGCTACCTGTTTGTTTTATGCGTACAGTAATTTGTACTTGTATATCAGCAATTTCAGCGGAGATCAAGACAAAATAAACACAGACATGTGGTGCCAAAGAGTCCTTGTTCAAAATGGCATAATGATTTACACTGCATGGGTAGCGATTGCATCTTGCATCAATTTTGCTATATTTCTGCAGACTGGACTGGGCGTACCAAGGAACAAGGCTGGCACAATTGCTCTTACAATACTGCTATCAATTGCAACATGTTGGTTTTTCTTAGAGAATTTTCTATTCAGGAAACACACGAAATACACATTTTCTGAGTATCTCGTTCTCATCATAGGTCTAAGAGGTGTGCTGAAAAAACAATGGACTGATGGTCGTGGAAACCAGAAATTTGTTCTGGCCATCTTTATTGTTTCTTGTTTAATGCTTGTAGCTCGATTTCTGATTATGTTTGTATCAAAATAGACAACTGCTACAGCTATACCTTATTTGAAATGCATAAAATAAGCATATTGTTAACAAGTAACAATTAAGTAATTAGCATAATACTTTATTACCAGGGATGGCGCCAGAAAAGAAATGCTGGGGGGCTGTAATGTCCGAGTGCCGACAGTCAGTGAACCACCCACAAAGATGTATTATCATATCCTGCCCCCAAGCACCCCCAGTGGCGCCATCCCTGTTTATTACTATAGTTGAATCTGGCATTGATTTACACCAGGGGTGCTGCAGATGGGGTTTGTTGGACTCAGGTCCCAATTAAAGAGATTTTAGGGAAGGGGCTCAGCCCCTTAACAAATGAGCATGTGTTTGATTTGGCAAATTCTTTATTGGCAGCCTTCTGTGAAAAATTTCCTATCAGTCTTTTTGAGTCTGTGAATAGTTTACACTCAACAGAGAATTTTTAACACAAATGCAGCTATATTGGTGTGATTATGGTTGTGGTCTTGGGTGTTGCATCTAGAAGTTGCCTTCAGCACAACTACCCTCCTCACCTTTTAGGTAAACACCCTTGGGTGTACAGATAAAAAAATTTAAACTTACAGCAAGATGTCTGGAACACATGCTACATTTGTGCAGTTCTTGGTTTGAATTGTTTCTGAGAAGTTCAAAGGGAGTTTTGGCAGAGATATGATCCTTTAAATGGGACCAAATATTTAGCTACATATGAATGACCTAGGATTAAACCAAAAAGTCATCCCTAACCCCTGACTATGACAAGGTAAATGGCAGACAGTTGTCAGGAAGAGATATAGCTGCCCTTTTCCTAAATTCAACAATTACAGTATGATTTTGCTTTGAAAGGGTAATAAGAGGTATTCAAAGCCTTGCTTCTTAAATAGAATAAGCACCCCATCCCCATTAATCGTAGCAACCCCACCCCATTAATAATACTAAGCCTACCCCCTCCCTTCATATAATAAGCATACCTTCTATCATTTACTAAGCATTCATCAGTTGACAAGAATAGTTGTGGAGTTCTAAATAAGTAAATTTTCTTTATAGTGAATCGTTTTAGATCTGTTAACTCTATTTATCTATATATTTAAAAATTTTGTGCGCTATTTGAAGCAATTTTTCTTTAAAATCTTAATTTAATCCTAGTATTCTTTTATCCATTGTCAATTTCCAGATGGCATGAAAGGTACTCTTAGATGCCCAATAGAGACTGTAAAAGCAGAGGGAGTTGTAATCTTATGAGAGATCTAAATCCCACAAAGAAATTTTAAGGGCAAGGATAAGGTGGGTGTTGGAAAATGATTGCATTTCTGTACCACACACTTCAGGTGCTTTGAGACTGATGGAGGTGCCTGGAGATTGATGGAGGTGCCTTTTTTTACAATTATGTTATACTTTTAAGATAAAAAAAGCAAGAAGATAAAAAACTAAAATGTTGACTTTGTTTAATTACTACTGACTGTCAAAAAGATGCTTTTCACCACCGGATCAAAGCAAAATTTACCGAAGGATGAAACAATAGAGTTCCAAAGTGATGACGTCACACAAATCTATTATTAGAATTTTCGAATTTGGATCCTATAGCCTGAAAGAGCATCATGAAATACTTTTAAATATGCAAAATCAGTCAAATGTGTTGCGTAATGACTGAGATATGGCAACATGTGGATTGGCTCTTTCCCACCAAACCTGTATTTTGGTCTCTGTTCATAACTTAATGAACAGAGCGAACACAACAGTGATTCGTTAGAAAACTTCAAATCCTTCATTCGCAATATCTCAACTGATTTTAGACATATTCGACTAATTTTGCATATTTGAAAGTATTTCATGGTGATCTTTAATGTTATGTGGTTAAAATTTAAAAATTCCAAAAAAGGTTTTCTGGTGACGTCACACTTTAGAGCTCTACAATGTGGGTGTCACATCCCATCACACCTGGTAGATCCATCCCTGGTCATCAACCGTGTACTGAAATTGTCGTGAATGTAGAAAAATCAATGTTGAAATAAGAACACCTTTAAGAACACCTCATATCATCAAAAAATTATCTTGTTTGTATAAATAAGTGAAAGAAAAAGGATCAGTAGCGTATCTCTTGTGGACGTTCAGATTTGTAACTCAAGAGGAAATATTTCTACCCTAAAACAATGATTAACTTTAAGAATCTTATCGAGTAAATAAGCTATCAAATGTTCACTCTTGATGTTGTATTTGAACTTGATATTCTTCACGAACAGGAATGAAAAATTCCGAAGTTACAGAAGCGGAACAAGGAACTTATGGAGTTACGAAAGAGGAACAAACCGTTCATGTGCTATATTAGCTCAAAGATCCCTTTTTAATCTTGTTTGTGCAAAAACAAGTGGGTAATAGCCACAACCCGCATAAAGCAAGCAAAAAAGACGCATGTATTGAAGTAAACTACACATTTTGTATGGTTCTTGTGGATTTTTTAAGGCGCTTGACTGTGTTCCACACCAACGTACTGTTAGAGACTTCAGGCATAATGATTTAACGAAAATTCTTTGCAAATCATGTTAATTACAACAAAGAGTAAAAAACGATTCTAAATTTAGTGACTGGATGAAAAAAGCACCACTAGGTTCTACTATTGACAAGGCCCCATTCATTTTGAGCATACTTATCAACGATTTATTTTGCAATTTACAAGAATCCAAGCTATTTAACTTTGCAGCTGAACACACTATTTGGGAAGAAGGAACAGAATTATTACAGAAATACAGGTGGACATAAAATGATAAAAAGATTGGTTAAAAAATAATTCAATGTTGATTAATACTGGTAAATGTAAATTGATGATCATCAATTCGAAATCTACCTGCGAGGAAACAGCAAACAATAGATCAATGATGTCCACGAAACGAGATCACGGAAATACAAGATAACATACATGAAAGTGGCAGGTAGAACAACTAGCACATCTTAATTGTGACTGACAGATGTTTGAGAGGAGGGAAAGAAAACCTCTAAGTAGATAGGAGATTCCAGTAAGCATTAAAAAACTTCAACTACTGCCCACTTGTTTGACAGTACTGAAGTATTGACAACTACAGCAAAAACAGTAAGAATAGCTTACAATAATTACACGACCTCGTTTGAAGACCTTCCAAGAGATACCGTATTTTTAGCATATTTCGAACTTCATAAAATATATGGACATAGTCTTACATAACAAGAAGCTGAATACAGTAAAACATGGTTTTCAAAGAAATTATTTTAAATGTAAACAGATCTTGAACAGCATGCCAAAAGAATCAAAATTAGCAAACGATGTAAAAGCAAAGATAATGAAAACTCATCCTGCAGCTGCAGATTGTGCACTCCTAACAATCAGCACTTAGGTTACATATAGATAAATTTCCATTGCATAGTTTCAGGTTTTAGCCTCAACGATTTGTATATCAATGTATCAAAATTTTAATGTATCAGTTTTTCAATAAGCTATTATAAATCAATATTGCAAAAACAGATTAAGAGAAAAAGCGCTGTTATTTCATTCATAGACTGATGGTGGCTTGACTATCCTATCCCAGGTCAAGTCCTGCCCACATTTCTAAAATTAGTAATATACTCATAGAATACATTTTAATAATAATGATAAACATATTTACTATTTTAATGTGTAGAACAGGAAAGTCTAAGTTGGAGCTCCTGGTTACACATGCAATGCAATTGTTAGGCAACAATGGGCATGCCTTCATTGCTGATACCGATTTCCAGTTCAACTTCATGCCCATTGGAGAATGTTAAGTATTGTTTGAAAAAGTTTGACTGTGAGTGAAGTGGGTCTGTATACAGTGCTTAACTGACTAGTTTTACATTTTTGGGCCTAAATATAGTGTTACTGTAACTGACAGTGTTATGTCAAAGGATTGACTACAACCTGAATCAAAATTTGCACCCACTCCTTCACTTCAAAATTTCTTAGGATTTCAAACAGGATTTCTATTCACTATAAACCTTTATTCATCTCACTTATCATGTCACATATTATACAATAGATTCACACATCCAATTCACAAAATAGATCCATTTGTGTGATGTATGTTGGTTACTTCAATTCTTCATTCAAGGCTATATAGCTATGTTTCTGTTATGAGCAAAAGACAGGAGTAAAGGAAAAAAAGACTGAAAGATGTCTGCATATTATACATTTTGATAATCAGTCAATACAAACATGTTCTGTTAATAAATACAACATACTAATCAGACATTATATGAACTATACTAGCTTAAATAAAATCCCTCAAGGCAGGGGGTGGAAAACCTAAGCAATGCACAAACATATGAAGTCATTGCATCCCACTAAAAAGGAATGATGTACACACCATAGATGGAAAAATAAAGGAAACTGCCATGTGAAGGTCTAAGAGCAGAAAATATAAAACTACTTATGAAGACTCCAAAACCAAGAAGCTATGGTTACTAAGAGTATTAGAACAAATAAATATAGAAATAGACTAAACATTTGAACTATATTTACAAATTAAACTAAACTTGTCCCCATATGGAAAACCTCTAGGTAACAACAACACACAACTATAAAAACAACCAACAATAGCCCCTTACCCCAACTGATGATTTAGTCCCACCATAAAATAATAATTAATCTTAACATTCAGACTAGCTGATTTTCCATTTCTGTTTATATTAATCTGTTACAGGCATATTTATAGCACTTTTACACTATAAATATTTAACTTCTACCTCATTAAAAAGTTAAGTATATACTTAAATTATAGGTTAACAACATACAACCTCATTAGCATACAATCTAGCATGAAATTAATGCATATGCTAACATTCACCATTTTTGAAATGACTTAAATTTTCAAATCTTTGACCCAGTGAACAGACACAAAATTCAAAATCATCAAAACTGCTTTTCCTTGAAAGAGGGGGAGCAAAGATCTGATGTTGGTTCTAATATCCAGTACTCCACATCACTGGCAAAGAAATTAAAAATTCTTACAAATGTATCTGGAAATTCTCAAGTTAACAAAATAGCCAGAAACCAAAAATCTTTATCACAATCACCTGCAGTTATAGTGTTCAGTAAATACCCAAAACACAATTTAGAATGTCTACTCATTTTGGTTATAATCTATGATGAAACCAACCTGAACTCAAATATAAAAATATAGGGTTTTATCCCAATGCATAAGCACATCTCATATTCTTGACTTTGTGTAACCTTTTCTGGATGATTACAATAAACAATACCAAGATCCTTTCGTAGCTAAGGAATAATTATTAAATATGTCGAGAAACCAACAAACTAAACAATAAAAGAATCAAATTTCAGGATTAAAATGGAAATTTCTTTTCAATAAATTTTGTAAATAAAGATAACAATTTCAACTAAAACCTGAGACCCATCTACAAGCTTTTAATAAAATAACTGACTAATTAAACAATAGGTGAAGTTATTACCTCAAGCATGAATGGCTATTCTGCTTGCATTAAAAATGAAACCCTTGGTACCATCTGGACCTCTTGGCTGTCTTATCAGTCCAAAAGGATTTAGTTTCCCATTAAGATTATCATCATTGTCATTGAGATCTTTATTGTAGAGTTTTCTTCGAGTTATCCAGGGGCTGTTAGGCAGACTTGAACTTTCAACAACAACTCCACGCTGATGCTGCTTTCGCTGAATTTCTGGGCTTGTTGCGGGGCTGTGTTCCTTAGCAAGAGGTGACACTTTTAGCTCTCTTTGATACTTCAAAGAATTGTTCCCTTTTCTAAGAGAGTTTTTATCAACCTGCCGTTTCTGTAAGCTGGGGCTTGATGGGCTGCTTCCTGCAGAATTCCTTGAATCTGACAGCTTTGTCTGAAGCTTTGGACTCGACCTTGGACTGCTTCCTTGGGATCTACTTCCCCCTTCATACCTTCTTCTGTAGCTGCTGAATGGTGAAAAGTTTGCGTCATTATCGGAAGAGCTTGGGCAGCTTTCGTCCCTGAATTGCTGATTTGATTTTTTAATCACTTTTTTCTTCTCGTTCTTCTTTGTTCTAGAAACTTTAAGCTGGTTGTTTTCATCCTCTTTTGATGATGTAACCTCTTCACTTTCACTCTTATTATCACTTCCACCTGACAGCTGTTTCGTTCGTCTCGCAAGTTGTTTGACTCCCAGATGCAACGGACTAAGATCGATATCTTTGAACTTATCCGCAAGTCCAAGTTTGACAACATTAGAGGCCATTTCTGCAGTTTCGAATTCCACAACGGCAACAGTTTCATTTGCCAGGTCCGGGTTGTGTGCAAAATGAGACTGCAAATCTGCTGGGCACTTCTTTCCAGGGCGAACGATTCGGACACCAGCTATCTCCCCCTTATCTTTAAATAACTCAGAAAGAAAGTCCATTGAAGGGTTTTCTGTTTTCATGTTAGAAATGACAACAAATCTAACTGGCGGTTGGTCAAGTAACCTTTCTGGGAGTGGATCCTTCCGCCTAATTTTTGTACATTCGTCATTCATTACTAGCGATGTTGAGTCCTTTAGTGCCTCACAGATGACTCTATAATCCTTGCAAATAGACCTCATCTTTTTAAACGACGATAAAAGTTTTAAATTGACATACCCCTCTTTGTTCCTTTTCACGTGCTTCAACAAAAACCCGTCTTTTTCCAAGTTATCGTCGCTGAACAAGAACTCCGTCTGATTGACAATTTTGCTCTTCAACTCTGGCGTTAACTTAATCATACTGGATTTCCTTGTAACTTTCTCTCTAGTTTTTTTGCTGCTTTCTTCTTCCCTTTCCTCCTTAGCATCGAAGAAATCTTCTCCTTCAGAGTCAGTCATGTACGGCGTGCTGTTGTCAGAGAAACTTCCAGATCTCCTATTAGGCCGGTCGGAAAGTGCATCCTCTTCGTCTTCCTTGGGACCAACTACGACTACTTCTATATCAGCTTTTGGCACCTCCATATCGTGGAATGGACCGTCAGTGACTTTAAGGGTTATAAGAAGCGCGAATCTTTCTCACATCCACTCAAGTCATCCACAACAAACCTTTCTCCTTTCATGACGTCAAGCCACAAATTTATAATTGCTGGGTAGCCACGTGACCCCAACAATGAGATGATTGCAACATGTGACCTGCTCATGTTGTCTAGTCTCCTTCGGAACGTGAGACACGTCATTCATTACAGCATGATATTCTTGCATCATTGATTTGGGCAGAAAGAAATGTGCCAAATTTTCATTGGCCTTTCAGCAAAAAGATGACATTCTCGTTGCATAAAAATATTAGCAATGCGGCAATGACCAATTTTGCATCATAAACCCCCATTGACGTCCTTGTTTTGATAAAAACTTCGAACTTCTTTGTACTTTGATTTTAGATTCAGATGAAGACCACAGTTTTAGTCTCATAAAGGTTTTCATGATGCTAGCATTTGTGATACCGATTTTGTGATGATATTTTATTATAAACTTCCAAATTTTCACTTTATAAATCTTAAAATTTTGTAAGGGGTTTGATCGTAACCTGGAACAAATTTGATGTTAAATCCTTTAAGCTCTTATCTACATGAAGATTTTATCGTGACTAAAAGTTTTGAATGGCAACTACTCATTTGAACATGCTTTCAAGACCCCAGTATTGCCTCAAGGGGCAATTTACTTCAAGGGGGCAATTTACTCTTTAATTAAATAAACAATCTTACATGATTTCCCCGAAAACAAAAGGATTTCCAGAGAATTTAAGCTAAAACAATAAGATTCCATCCAAAGGATTATAAGATTGTAATGGAGTGCTTGCCCTTTGCTAGCCCCTTTCAGTCACTGGGAGTGACACCGGAATGCGGAGAAAGTGAGCCGCTTTCAACACAGCTTTGAATGGACTTTCGACTTGTGTTGTCCCATGGACACTTACAACTCAAAAATGTAGGATGGGTAGTTTTTGGAATACTTGCGGTTGATATCCCTTAAAAAGAAACCCTCAAAAATTTTGTTTTCTGTTTTGTGTGAAACTGGGGCCATGGTAACTAATCTCCTATGCGAGCGTATACTGTATAGTATATACTGTGCGTAAGTATACTGTTCTGTGACAGTATCTTCTCTTTGAGGTGATCCGCAAGTGGGCAAGGAACTTGTTTACCTCAAAAAGGAATAGAGTTTATCCGCTTTTCAAATTTCAAACTTTCTTTATCAGTCATTCTGGGAATGGCCTTTGATGACCTTTCGACTTTTCTCGCCACCACTGAACGTTCGCACATTAAACAACATAAAGGTGAGAAGAGGATTTATTATTTTGTTATTTTGGGACAACACTTAATTAAAAAGAAAACTTATGTCAGATTACAGATTTATCAGATGACCTTTGCTCTTCAATTAAGGGCTCACAGGAGCAATTTTGTACTTGAATGCAATCTTTATCAAAATACCCAACAGCGATGACCCAGAATACCCAAATGAATACAGCAGGTCCTCAAGGATATTCCTGGATGAGGTACCAGTAGATCCATCTTCACCACTATCATTGTAATCACAATCAGTTCCGTACACATTAAAGGTGGGGTTCATCAAGCAAGGGGGGGGGGGTAGAGCTCACCGTTCCGCGCAAAAATTGTTGATTGACATTTCTGACAAGAAAAATCATGTCTTGAGCAGGGCCCATTTTACAAGACAACGGGTGAAGAATTCCCCGAATCTGTAAGGCTTCATAAGGATTTCGTGTTTCATTTTCAAAAAAATTCGCGCCCGAGAAGTGCGGGAAAATCCGTCATTTCGTCGAGCGGTTGCCAGTTTTCAATAATTGGCGGCAAATTTTTCTCAGCACTTTCTTTCTTGTAGAAAAAGAGTGTAAATTACAAAAATAAGATTAAAATACGTCACAAGCATAAATATGAGTATGCATAGTCCTGATACGTTTTGCGAACTTCACTTTCTTTTATTTACATATTCAAATTATTTTAACTGCATAAAAGCTAAGTCACAGTTGGCCACTCTATTGAACAATAAAACGTGAAAAAGACCACTTTGATTTTGAATATTGTTTCTTCGACGGGAAATGTAGTGGAAAATGTAATGTAGTTAGAGAAAAGGATAATTTTGATAATTATGAGAGAAAATAGAATCTGAAGTGTAACATTGCTCCAATATTTTGTGACAATGACGCAACAAAAGGTCTAGAAAGCATTGTTAAAAGGACCCCAAAGCATAATAAACTAAATGAAGATTAACTCTGCGAAAAAGCTTTTCATAACTTGGAATGAAGCCAATTGGTTTAACGACAATTAGATACAAGTTATAAATCCATTTTAAAATTGGATCTAGAACATAAAGGTTTTATGGTGCAAAATGCTTCAATTTATAACATGATATTTCTGTGGTCAGGCTTAACACGAGGTTAACAGTTGACTGAGGAGCATGTGTCTCCTTAGCGGGATTTTCACTGACGTCAGAAGGGGAAGCAAACACTGATTAGAACCATGTTAAAACTTAAAAACAAGATATTAGCTCAAAGGATAGTTTAAGTTGACTGAGCAAATCTGTCAGAGCATACGTCAGTGGCACGTTGCTTAACACAAAAGCACTCTATTAAATCCAAAAATAATAGCTACAAAGCACTTTTAATGATATCGATACAATGATACAGTAATATAATCATACAATCAGTGGACAAGAATTGTTATTTCCAGCTCTTATTATATGATAAAATAGATAATTTTTGGACACCGCTAGACAAACCTCAGCGATGGCTGGTGCAAGAAGCCAAAAAGAAGCTGTACATTTAGGTAAAGCTAGACTTCACATTTGTATACATTTCCATGCTTGTACCAAACACTGTCATTATTTCGGTAATCAGGGCCCACGTCACGAATTTTAAGGTGGAGGGGCCAAGCTCTATGAGACAAACTTGAATTTAATGCTTCAAAACAAGGCCTCTTTGGAAATATTGTTGCTTACCAAAAAGGTGGGGAGGCCATGGCCCCTCTCCGCCCCCCGTTGACAAGGGCCCTGGTGATCCCGTACATGGATATGTAGAATTGGTACTTAGTAAAAATAATTTTTCTTATTTAACAACATGTGTATAATACCATATTATGGTGTTATTCAAACAAGTATGGAAAAAGAAACATTTTCAACTAAAATTATCCGCCCGGCCTTGGTTTACAAAAAGCCGCAGACCGCTGTCAACAGAGTGATGATGGCATACAAATTACTTTTTTGACTACATTACCCAAAACAATATAAAAGTCTTCTGATCATATTAACTATGATCCTGAAAAACTGACTCAATCGATGGCCTCGTTTTGAAATAACACAAAACTTTATTACTCTATTTTATATCATTTTTCATCTATTCTAACGTAAACAAAAAACATAGGTTCTGGTGCACGTAGCATGCTACGTAATCATAGGCCCGTGCATTGACGTCATCTACAACAGTGGTAGCAATACCTAAGCTCAGACTTTTGCACAGCCCCTCAGCGTCTGTGCACGTCACGTACTGCATGGATCCTTTTGAATTGAAGAAAACAGCGTTGGATAACTCTAGAAGTAGCCTAAAATTAAAAGCAAGCCTTGTGACGGGTTCCAAGCCACCAGAACCAACCTTAGATCCGTTTCATCCAAACAACCAGTTTCCAAAACAAAATATGAAAACAGTGGTAAGTCACACTATAATGAACAGTAACCACACCACAATGTACGTCAATGTACGTATTTTCTTTCGACACGCGAAAATCTCTCTTCTCTAGAGGACGAATAAGACATCATAGACCGATTCACTAATTATGCAGATAATTCCAAGATTATGAATATTACATTTTTACAATTATACTAACTTATACAAACACAGAATGATACATCATAAAACCAAAATACTTTATCATGATGCTAATTCCAATACTAGCGCCAAGGAAAACAACCTTAAAAATACGCTTTTTACATACTAAATAGAACTAAATAATTTCCAGAGTCAATCTTAAATAATTGAAAAATCCTTACAGCGGGTAATACAATACAGATGTGCTAATATGACGTTACTCGTTGTCAATTCAAAGTAAATACTTCTCAGGTTATGTGCACGATAGATGAAAAAGTGAGATAAGCCAACACGATTAGAAGGAAAAGTAAATTATACCCTACAGCAATAAAGTTAGCATATCTATCGTTCGACATTCACTTATCATATCTTTAAGTTTTAGGCTATATTAAAAAGTTGGCATTTTGGGCGGCTTCTTTCAATGCTTAATGTCATGGTCATTAGAAATCATAACTTCAAAAATCAAAAATCTAAATACTTCTTGTATGGCAGGGTTTGATCAACAATATTTCAAACAGCAAAAACATGAAATTCCTTTTACTAAAGGCTTTTACTAAATCAAAAGGGACATGGTCCTGTGTAAGTATAACACAAATAGCCCTATCCTAATTTTAGTAAACATTACCGTTGTTGATGATGTGAATTTAAAAAAGTGAACCTGTTTTGGATTTTAAGAAAATGAATTTAAAAAAATGAATCAATCCTAGTGACCAGGGTATAGTTAACCAGCGTTCACAGAGAGACAATAAGATTTTGTTAAAACGACCATCCATGTCTTTCGCCAGATTTGATGACAGAGGGGGTGCTTGGAGGGTACATGCGACAGAAAAAATTTGCAGTTACCACATTCTGCATTCAAGTGCGACAATACGATTCAAACTGCCATCACTTCAGTTCAAAAGCAAAATGAAAGCTTTCTTCGGCTACAGGTTCAAATGAAAAACTATCTGGGTAACAATCCATACATATCAAACGTTAATCGTCGTTAGATGTAGCAATAAGCTTCTTTGGTACAGCAAAAATAGTGAAATACTCTATGTTACTGCAACAAGGCGATTAAAGCACCATTCAGTGTTTTTCAAAAGCAATTCTACAGATACCTTTAAGCGTGAACATGGACGTTTAAGTTATTCCGTCAATTCAAGCATTAAAATTCCAGATAATGGCAAAGACAATATTAAAAAAAGACCTGACATAAGAGCAGATTGTCATTTCTTCATGAACTTTGTTAGTCATGTTTAGCCCTGCATCAAACAGAAATTCCAAAGAAGGAATATGTTGGAAAGGAGAGCTTGTCATCACCGGTTTTTCTCCGTTTGGTACAAAATTCAAATAATAGTTGCTTAAAACAGGGCAGAAAAATTTCGGAAATGTAATTTGAATATAAGTTTTAAGATTCTATATAATTTTATCACGGACATGATTTTTTCACTTTGACAGTGAAATGCGCAAAGGAAGCCAAAACCTAGGAATGTTATAGTTCATGTGGCAACAATTTATATATACCAGAGATCACATCATTTAAAAAGTGACAGGGCATTCGGGGGGGGGGCGTGGGGCAGGAAAAAACTTTTTCAGACGAATTCAATTTACGAAATGTTGACGACAGGAGATATTTTTAACGGTTGTTTGGTTGTGCCATACAAGATACATTTAACGTGATTTAACAGATTCCAAATAGACATAAAAGCTTTTAAAAACTAAACCGAATAACGTTTAAATATCTTTACTTTTTGGAACATTTCATTATAATATGATAAAGTGAAAATTGTCTTTGTACTTTCATTGACAAAATTTGTGACATTGAGAGCCCAGTTATCAAATTAAATGGCATATTACCTACAGCAAATACTCGCAAATAGGAAACTCTCTTCAATAAGAAACAGGTCTCATTGTCTTCAAAAGGGGCTGCTTTATAAGGAACAATTTTAGGCCTGAAATTACAATGTTTCATATTTTTTAATATAAACAGTATTGTTTTCTGGTTATGCTCTAGGATGGTTGTAGTGTGTGTGTTCTATCAACACGGACAATTATACTGTAGATAAGTATTATATACTATTATCAGTAATTCGGAATACACGTCCATGGAAGGTATTGTCGTACAGCTTGACTTCATTTGATTTGACAGTACCTATTGATAAGAAATTTAGGCCCTAATGATGAAGTCTATGTTAATAAGAAGCTTTCTGAGGCCTCAGCTTAAAAAAATGGTTTTCATATGCGGGTACTTACTGTATTATTGCTAGAATATTAGTTGTATACATTAGTGTGATTTATACAAGCAAATCGATCGATGTTTCTTGTGCATGGCTTTAGTGTGCGTTTAACGGTGATTAATTTTCTTTGAATGCTTAGTCTTCTAAGGTCCTCATACCATTATATCGAAGCCAGCATCGCAAAAAGACTTACGATTTGGATCATAAATAAACCTACCGATAAAGCCGCCTTGATTCCAAGGCCTCCGGGTATTTTTCCATCAAATAAAGTAGTAGGCTGTCTACGTAGCTCCGTAATTCCATATTCTCCACTTTCAGAACTGAAAGAAAATAATCGATAAGACAAATAGCATTTACAATGGAAAGGAAACAGCAAATAAGAAAGTGATGATAAACATGATAGAGAGCAATTCGAAATCAAGTGAAAGGCTACTCAATACATGATGCTTTAAGTGCTGCAATAAACTAAGTGAAAGAAAGTGATTTTATTACATGATGCAATAAAATTAAAAGTTTTAAGTAAGGTTATTCAAATTATGTCCGAAAACAAAAATCTCGCTTGAAAAGGTTTGAAAAGAAGGCCATCAAAACGGCGTCAGGTACACGAAAGTTCCGACTCTTGTCATATTGAGCGACTTATTTTCATGTGAATGTAAAAAATGTTAAATATTCTATTTGATTAAAGTATCTAAGCTTCATAACAAAATATTTTGCCACACCTATGAATATTTAACAAAGAAACTCTTGAAACAGTGTATTATCTAAAAAAACTTGAAAATATGGAAAGTCACTAGAACTGTTGACGTCAGTGGTTGGTAAGTTAGGATATTATTGGCAGAAATCACAGGGTACATGATACAATAAGAACAGTTTTGTTTACTTCTTCACATGTAGCATATGGCCTCACTGGTGGTAGCAACCCAAACCACAAGTAGTTACAGAACAAAATAGCATAAATCTGAATCCAACGCAACATGACAACAGAGACCAACGTTGGTTGAAATAAATTTTTACTGATAGGAGAAAAACAAAGCAACCCAGGTCAACAGAGACCGTTCCTTTCAAGTTGTGGATGAGCATTTCACGGAAAAACTAGTCTTGAGTTTGAAAATGGCTTTGAAAATACGTAGGATCTCACGTAAAAATATTCTGGAGTTATTTAATTCGAATTTGATTGACGAAATATTAGACACGTAAATGCAGTTTCAAAAACAAAATGAGCAGCAAACCCAGTTTCAATATTGTGCAAAATGCTTCATTTAAAACACAGCTATGGTTAACTATGCATTAAAAACTTATGTCTTGGAAAGAAAATTTAGCAAAAATAATGTTTAGGCGAACTGGACAAACGTGGATATCAAGATATTGCGCCATAATACATTCTTGCATAAGATCCATAGCTGTTTGATGATACAAGTAATTTAACACAAAAATATCGACAAGAAACTCGATGTTTCATGAATTCATACTTCTACGAATTTAAAAACGAAGTGACACTCCACAGAACAAGAACCACTCACTATTTAGTGGCGAAGATAGTGTGGGACAGAGGTGGCAAAAACCCCCTGTAAAAATAAACAATTATTTTGTCGGAAAACGTCTGATCTTGTCGGAAATATAACATGGATGCCTATTTTTCAAGTATATGTCATTTGGAAAGAAAAGATTTTGAAGCTGTTAAAAATGCTTTTTTTGTTTTATTTTAGTTCTAATGTCATGTTTTGTTCACATTCAATGCTTATTGGTGGATTATTAGATTTTTGTCGGGAAATCTGAATTTCTCAAACCTCCTATGAATTTTCCTATCTAAGCCATTTATCTATATTAAAACAGATAGAATTTCATTTTTTAATTGCAACATGATTTATGTAATTATATAGAATCAAAGTTGCACTGCTTTCAAACAATGAATCAAAATTATTTTCACCCACTGACTTTTTCTTGCAGAGCCTGGTTTAGTGGTTTAGTGCCAAAATCCTCTACAAAATACAAAAGGCTTTGCAGATTGCTAGCGAATGTTACAATAAAAGAGTAGACGAATCACGGTCGAAACAATACAAACCTTTGACTTCTTTGGTAAGTTCTTCAACTTCTTTTTTCAAATTATCTGTTTGTTCGTTTTTATCACGACCTTTGTGACCTGGAAATGAAAGGTGCTGTCTAACATAGGGCAATGCAAAATCAAACTTGGATGAAAAAGGCAGAAGAGGTTTGGCACTTTCAGGGAAATTCTATAAAGAATGAAGTCTTATTAAAATCATATTGAAAGTCTGAAAGTTAAAATATTTGCATAAATGATTTAAGGATGTGTGACACAGCCTTTAGCCTAATTATCACTTTCAGGTAAATTTTGTAAAGAATGAAGTCTTATTAAAATCATATTGAAAGCCTGAAAGTTAAAATATTTGCGTAGATGATTTTAGGATATGTGACACAGCCTTTAGTCTAATCATCATATGTAAAACTTTAGATCAAGGGAATCATAAAATAATAACTTCAAGAATGCCACATATCTTCATATGAAATGAATGAAGTTCTTTCACTAATGGCATTAATCTAATAGTAATTTGTTAAAGAATTGAATGAAAATCTACAGTTTTTCCAAATAATTTTGAAATCAGATTTCATTGATCCTAAAATCAAATTTATTTTTAAGTCACAAATACCTGGTAGTGGCGGCTTTCCATTTTGAACTTTTTCAGCTTTCTTTGTGAAAGGTTTTGAAGACTTTTGGTCATCTACTTGCAAAAAGGTTGCATCGGGTTTGTTAAACTTCAAAGAATTTTCGAACGCAAATTGAGTCTTAGATTTAGTAGTACCTCCTAACGCAGTTGCTAATGACACAGGTCCTACACTATCCCCGGACCGTGTTGTGCACATAACTTTGGTTGATGAAATATATTCTACAGTTGATAAGCAGTCCACACCTGCCACGGTCAAATGTATAATGTCACTTTTACTCTCTCCTAAGTTTTTTCCAGTAATCTGGACTACTGTCCCTCCTGAGCTAGGACCAGAAATTGGACTGATGAACCGTATCTCAGGAGGATCTGATACTTTTTCTGCTACTGGTGATAAATCTCCAAGGCTAGGAGACCTCTCGGACTTCACATTGTTGGCAGCACCCTCATTTTTTGGTGACAAAAATAAACTGGATGCCCTTTTCATTCCCGTAGCTGCTACATTTTTGGGTCTTTCCAGCGTTTTACTGAATGTTGGCTTGTAAGTTACTGCTCCTAAATCTTCAACAGAAATGGACCCTTTGAGCGAGGTCCCACCATATTTTATGGAACCTTTCCTGTCTCTTTCAGCGAACTGCTTAACATTGAACCTTTGTTTGAATTTGAAGAAGTTTGTCTCCTTTTTTGTAGGAGTCTCGGTTTCATTATACTCTGATATCCAACAGTCAACGCATATTTCCCCAGAAGGATTAAGGTTGCGCCTGTGAGGGCCAATGGCAACCCATTTAAAGGTGTGTTCCTCATGCGGGATTTCTGTTAGTGGGATTTGAATCTGCCCTAATGTGTCATCTCTGTCTTTGACGGTTAGTTTTAGTGGAAGCCTTGGATCAGATATCATACTGAAAAATACAATATTTAAACAAAATTGACTCACTTATATCTTAAAAATGTCTTTAATTAATCATCTGGTTACTATTTAAACTTGCAAATGTACTTATCTTTTCATATGGATACAGGAAAACGTATCTTTCTAAACATCATAAAAATTATTACCAGTTTAAATATTGAGAGCTTAAAGTCTAATGCTGTTGTAAAGGTTGCATTTTCAGCTTATGTAGCCCTTTATTTATATATATTGACTGATTATCACACACTTTCATTTGAAAACTTTGCTTGATGATAATCACATCTTTTAGGAATCTCTTAAAGGAATTTTATAATCATACAGTATGTGTATGTACAGTATCAAGCAAGTTGAATTTTGTTAATGTTACCAGACCTGTAGCTACCAAAAAACTAACTGGGGAATGTATGGCATTCTGCTTGCATTTCACAAAATTGTTGTGATCTCATTATTGGAATTCACGCTGACTAGAAAGATAATTTTCAAACTTCAATGTCCAGTAATTATGTATGCATTTTCAAAGAATTCTGAAAAAGCATACTCCCTTCCATTGAGTATATTCTAGACAACATGAAATAAATTTGAATTTTAATTTCTCATTGAGACAACAAAAGCAGTACATACAATGTATTTTCTTCATTCCACTTGGGGTTAATGTCTCTGATCTGAGCGGTGCAACACTTGCTCTTTCCAAATCCAAAAACCACCCATGCCAAAGGTACACCTTAAAAACGATTAAAAGACTGACATAAGTCTTAGATTACGATACTGAATGGATATACCCAGATTTTTTTAAGGAATTAAAGAGGCCAAATCATCTAGACATACTTTCCTACAAGAAAATTATCATGCCAAAATAGGTTTTTATGCAACCTAATTCAAATTCAAATTCATGTTATTCAGCAACAACAATTTTTGTTTACAATCTATTTCGATAATTAATTAGATTTGTATAAAATATTAAGAAAATTAAAATAACAATGTTTTGGTTAGTATAGTTGCCCAGGATGCTGAGAAAATCGAGACAATTTTTGAGCCCAGCACCTTAAGAACACCAATACATGATAATATAGAGATTGGAATAGCAATCAACTCAAAGTGTGAGCATATTTTTTCAGGTTTGGCTTGCTTTCATAACCAACCACAGCAGCTGACTAAAACCAGCACACATAAAATGTCTATTGGACAGAGTAACAGCCTTTCTACACATAACACTGTTAATCTTTCAGCCTTTGAAACAAATGGTTTGAAAACATCCAAGGTATGGCAATGCAACAAATGAAATGCAACATTTATGAATAAGCTTCGTCAAAAGCACATGTTTGCAAAATATTGTGCATGAGCAGAGCACCAATTTCTAGATATTATTTTTTGAATCTACAATAACTCTGTCTTTAGAAACAAGCTTAAATTTGCAAGTCAGGATAGTAGCAAGAAATTTAAACTCAGTTAAAAGGGTCACAGAAGGTTGTTATTGTAGAAAGAAGCAATACACTGAAAGACTGGGGCGTGGATGGAATTTTATAGGCCAGAAAAATCATGTTTTTAGCGGCATACCATTTTGATGCTGATCGTTTCTTGTTTTCAACATTTATAATATGTCAGAAATGAAATTTGCAGAGGCAGCATAGGGCCTTACTTCGCTTGTTTTTTCTCACAAATCTGATGTTACATAATAAAAGCTTAAAAGGAAGAAAAATTCCAGGGGCCCACATGAATTAAGGGGCCTTCTGTGTAATTTCTTGAGTCCCAGGGGGCCACCACCATCCTGCTGAATAAATTGTGACTGCTGGACAGTCTTATGCACGAAGTAAACTTAAAAAATAAGTTTACTTGTTTGATAGTCAATTATAGCTTATGAGCATGTTTAAAAGGTGTCCTTTGTTTGTAAGTGTCTGAAAGGTTGCCAGGAAAAAGTGCCTTTAATCTGAAATGAGCTTCTTGCTTTTTCTAGTATCTGCATTCTATTCACAAACAAATTTGTTAATCATCATAAAAATTGAAATTTAAGTATTTTTTATATAAAACTTACCATCTTTTTTCTTTGGCTTTAGGCATTTCCCCCCATACACTGAAACACAGATAAAGAATTCCATAAGCAAGATGCATATAATTATATTGCAGACATTCAAGCCTTATTCAAAATCAGGAGTTTTTTAATAAATTACAGTGAAACATTTATAGTCCAATTACAGTTACACAAAATTAGCAAAAAATTCTACAAAAATGAGTTCTTGCAAAAATTAATTCCTTCAAAAGGTGATGAATTCAAAAAAAGACAAAATTTATCCCACCTTTAGTTTATTAAACTAAAAACCAACTATTGAAAAAGCACTAAAATGCTTCACCATATCTTAACCTACGATTTTATAGGGCAATCGTTATGCTTGCGGAGCATTGGAAGTGCCAACAAGAGGTTGTCAAAGCCCTAGGTATATTTGAAAGTAGAGGCGTCCCTGCTAGCGTAGTGAGCAGAATATTTTGCAACCATGCCCTTTAGATTAGCCTAAAACATATTTCAGAATATTTCTTGCAGTCATTTTCTTGCAATTGTTTCTTGCAAACATTTTGCTATTTCCAAGGCATGCTTTCAGTACGTTTGATTAATTTCAGTCTTAAAATGGAATTTGTTACTTTATAAGGCCCCATAGATCTCTGCTTATACCTTGGAAATTAAGCGATAAAAGGATTTATTGCACAATTCTTTTCTTCCATTTCTTTTATTCTTCTACTTTCTTAAAAACACTTTTTGCAAAAAAAGTGGGGCTGAAACCACCAATGAAAACACACTTTTTTTCGCATTACTATTGGCTTAGTTTAAGGGTGTGTCTTAAACATGGTAACATTGACCGTCTCATCATTTCCTTTTGATAGCAAAGTATCATTTTTTAGAAAAAATATTGTGATATTTGGAGCACCTGTTCTCTTAACTTGAATAATCACACTTTTATCAGAAATTTGGTAAAAAACTTTGAAGTTCTTTAGCTGGGATAGAAAAATATCTGGCAAAAGCTTTTTCATTCCTTAAATGAAAGGAAACCCTGCATTCTCCTAATTAGAGGGCACATCCAGGGCAGTAATCGTCATTAATGTTGTGAATGAAATGGATGATGGACAATAATTTTAAGGATTTTAAAACCTGCAAATGTTTATGATGATTTCATGATGTTAAACTTTCTACTTGATTATTTTAAACATAATAGTTTAATGTAATGGTTTTAACAAAGTTTCCTCCACAGAATTGCATTCCAACGCTATCAGCTACTTCAAAGATCCCAGCATCAACAGAACTCCAAAATGCCTTGAACGAACAGTTTATGTCTGTTTTCACCAATGAAAACATAAACAATATACCCCAACAGTCACCAAAATACCCCAGTATGGAAAACATCAACTTTGGTCTTGAAGGTGTAATAACAATTTCACAAAGCTTCTGATCCAGACAAACTTCCAGCTAGATACTTGAAAGAGCAACTGACACAGTAAGATTATATCACCATCTATACACCCAAAACAACAAGGGAAATCTTCCTTCTGCATGGAAACATGGAATTGTTTGTTCTGTGTAAAAAAGGCATCAAAAAGTCTGCCAGCCAACTACAGACCAATATCCTTAACAGCCATCCCTTGTAAACTCATTGAGCACTACATTGTATCCAAGATCCGGTCTCATCTAAATAAATATAACATTATTACAAATAAACAGCATGGTTTTTGGTCGGGGATGTCATGCAAAACGCAACTATTAGAGGCTATGAATGATTGGACATCCACATTAAATCAGGGTAGTGGCCAAGTGGATGTTCTCCTGCTTGATTTCAGGAAAGCCTTTGATGTTGTCCCAAATTGCCGCCTTTTATGCAAATTTGAAATGTACAGCAGCTCAGATCTGACATCCAAATAGATAGCCGGATTCCTAAACGGCCGAACTCTGGAAGTTTGTTGTAAATGGTACAACTTCTAGTATTGATAAAGTATCTTCTGGAGTGCCTCAGGGTACTGTACTGGGCCCTCTGTTGTTCTTGATGTATATCAACAATATTGGGAAAGGTCTCCATAAGGTGATATGCCTTTTTACTGATGATTGTACCTTATATAAGTTCATCAAATGAAAAGAAGATGAGCTACTCTTTCAAAAAGACCTTTTCAATTACAACGACGAGCCACTACCTGGTAGTCAGCTTTTAATGTAAAAAAATGCAAAATTCTCCATATAAGCCACAAAAAACTAAAAAGATCAATTTCCAGTACAAAAAAATTTTAGTCATCAGCCTTAGAGGAAAACGTTACTTCTGACAAAGTTACTGAATCCACTAAATCTACATTTGATGATGGAAATATATCTGAATTAAATCTGTACAGCTTGGACGAGACTACGTCGAAACGTTACCTTGGAGTGATTGTGAATAACAAGCAAAATTTTAATGAGCACGTAAATGACATCTCAAACAAAGCCACTAATTGTTGAACCTATGTCGCCAAAACTTATACATTTTCCTCCCAAAGCTACAGCATCCAATGCAATTTTCCGTCCCCATCTAAACTACACATCAGCATGTTGGAGTCTGCATACAGAGAAGAACATTAACAAAATTAAAGCTGTCCAGAGGCAAGCTGGAAGGTTCACATTCAATTATCACATTTATGGTAGAGACGCTCAGTTGACACAGAAAATAAATCATTGAACTACAACTACACACAACTACCACTACAACATCAACATTGCATCCATGACCTTCAAATCTTCCATAAAATTCAAAACAACATGCTCAATATCTCATTTCAAGAAATTGTCCTTTCCTCAACCAGAAATCCGCTCAAATATCAAACAATTCAATGCCCTACTCCGAAGCTTTTAGAAATGAATTCTTTGTAAGAACAGTCCAGATTTGGAATAGCCTACCTTCAGAAATTATGAATTGCATGAAAGAAGACAAATTCAAAGCATCAGTGACAGAATGGTTTTGTCCACCTCAGTGGGTGAAGGTGGCCTCCACCAACACGTAGACCCTAGTATGGACTTATTAGAGACTATTTTACTCTCTTTGTAAGTCCTCTGTTGTCCTTTGTTTAATGCTTAACATCGCCTCCTCTCTGACAATAGCCAAACCTGCTTACCTATATTTTTGAGTTGGATTTGTTGAACCTACAATCAAATTCAACTTTTTGTGGAAATCAACAAATTGGAGTGCTGGGTGGAAACGGTATTAATCTTACTTCTGAGTTAATTTTCCTTTTTATCTTTTAATGCTCCAGATTGGCTGTAAAGCCTTTAGGAGTAAACCATTGAAGATGGAAGAAACAAAACGATGGAAGTCCTATACTCTGTTGGAATGAACAATAAAAACGAGGAAGTTCATTTTTCTTTTTATATTTCATATCTAAACCAAAGAAGCCATGAGGCATGAAAAACAAAGAACCCATTGATACGGTTGCATGGATAAATTTGCTTTAGTTTGTATGACCAAAATATATTACGGATTTCAAATTCGTACCATATTTGGTGTATATAACACAGGTTCTTCGGAAGGAAAATTAAAGGAAATCAAGTTTTTAAAGTTGTGGGTTCTGCAACTGAATTGTAAGAAGGGGAAAAGAGGGCAGTTGCGAAACTAGACTGAAAATTGAATTATTTTCTAAACAGAAACGTCAGTATTAACTTACCAATAACAGTAACTGACTTTGGAGTAGGCATGCTATTATCGATTCAATGTCCCTTATTTACTCTTCCTTAGGCCAACCCAAGCCGCGTCCAGCATACACCATTAGACCATTTGCTAGTACATTGAAAAAAAAGCTACTGTTTGTTCGCAAAGATAAAGAGTGCAAAATTCGTGATGCATTTCACAATAAGTTGTTAAGCTGCTATGTTCAGGAATACGGAATCCAATATATGTTGCTTTGATCGTAGACATTTTGCACATAGCATTTCAGTGACCAAAACTTTGGTTTGATTGTTTAACTGGGTTTCTTTGTTAAAATACAATAGCATTCTGCTCAATGTACTTCATGTAAATCTGCAGTGAACAAAAGCTTGTGTATTTTTATTACCAGTTGAAAGGAATTTGTTTCTGTTAAATTTCAAGGATCCGAAGACATAAACCAGAGAAATTATTGTGCAAAGTTGCAGGTAACTTGATAGATAATGTTACCTCGATATGTCTTTGAAAGAAGAGATTGGTGATTCTACAGTAACAATTACATGTATTGAGTTGATGCTTAATTTCACGCAATAGAAACTTCCTTGAAAGTTTATCTTTTACCCCCAGTTTAAAACAGGACCTCTTTAACTTACAAAATAGAGGGCAATTACTCCCACAGACCTAGTAGCTATTTTAAACAAAAGGCTATTGACCACCTATTTATTTATTTTTTGATCAGAATTATCAACTCTTTTATAAATTAATAAAAGTATATAAGTGTATTTGTTTGATATTGTATTTAATATTGGCTAATTTCCCTTTCTTCAAAAAGGGTATGATTAAAAATCAACTCGGTAAAGAAAACCACCTGCTTTGCATGTTTTCTATCTTACAGATGCCCTAATTGACTTGATAATTTTATTGTATGTCATTTACTTGCAGATGGCTTGATGCAAATCTGCATTTCTGTTTTTGCTAAAAAATTTCTTGATGGAATCTGTGACAAATCACTATGGTCAAATCACACTTTTCACTGCATTCCTGCAAAATTTTTTCACTGCATTCCTGCAAAATTTTTCATGATTTACAAAAACCAAGGAACAAACAAGTTCAGGACAAAAGCTAAGTGACAAAGGTTGCTTGTTTTCATAAAAACACCGCCTCCAAATATCCCAGCAACTAATAAAATGATTCTAAGATATGATGCTTTAATATATTTGAACAAGAAAGAAGAGCCAGAAAAAAACTAGTAATTCACAGATGTTTTGTTATTCATCTGATATGACTTCTAAATACAATATAAGGAATAAAAAATGTCACATCTTCGAAGCATAATCCACCAAACAAGTATGACCAAAAAGGTATAGTAGCAAACCGTGATGTTTTTATTTCAAATGATGCAAGTTTCCATCCCCAAATGCATTGTTTCATTAACTTGATGTAGAGAAACCAGCGCTGAAACTCTCATGGTTGATATCTAAATCTCTCTGTAAAATACTGTCTGTGGATGACGTTCTCAACAACAACACCAGATTCAGAGATAATATTGACATATTTACACTGCGTAGAAATCTACATTTGAAGAACATATGAGGATTTTTATATTTGAAATTTCAACAGGTCTTGGGTCTCCTGAACAGCAAAACGTGTGGCTCTAGAAAGGAAGGATATACGTATAGACGAAAAGAAATACGCAACATGTTCAAAAATATGACTTGTTATCTTTTAACGGTGCAATGCAAAACTTGTTCTTATCATTGGATAGAGCTATGTTGAGTTATTTAGGTTTTATTAAGTTTAGGCCTACGCTTCACAAACCGCCAAAAAGCTCATTAAAGACAAGCAAATTAATTTTATACATATCAAAATCGTTTTGAATGAAATTAGTTTGATTTGAAATGCATATGAATGCAAAAAGAAATGTACCAGGCTTGTGATACATGTAATGAATCCATCCTTGTGATTGTTGTATGCCCATAGCTCTCCATTCCTTCTCGGCCATTAAATCCTTTTTGGCGGCTATAATTTTTGCCATATCCTTTGGAACGATAACATGTCTGCAAAAAGAAAGAAAAACAAATAACAAATTACTTGTACCTTCAAATGTTTGACATATATATTTATATTTTAGAAACCTTACGAGTTTGGCCCCACAAACTTGGCCTAGCAGGAAACGGCGTGCTTCTTGCTAGAATATAAACCACACTTGCACAAGGGAGAGAATTCAATTAAAATCCCTCTTACCTATATTCAAAAATGTCATCGTAGTATTTTTCTGAGTAATAAATATCCCTTGAAGACATTTTGGTAAGATTTGATTATGTTTAAAACGTCGGCGTCCAGAGCAGCACTTGAAGAGTTTAGCGACAAAGTGAAGTGTAACGATCGTCTAGCTGTTCAAATTCGGTGCCAGAAGAAAATTGATTGGCAAATGATCGTAAATAAAGGCATTTCATTGGCTATGCGGTTTTCATCAAAACTCCCGGATGTACGCCTTCGCAGCATGGACTTCGAGCAACATCCTTTCAATGTTTCAACGAACAACGAACGGATCAATCAATCCAACTTACAATATAATACTGTTTATATGTGATGTGTTTGAAGCATATAATTTTAACAATGATTATTAATAACAACAGTATTTTTGAAAATTATAATGATTTTTGAATAATATGATTTTGCGTCGAAGGCACAAAAAATGTTGAGGCGATGCCCTGTCTTCTTTCCTGGAAACGCTGTTGCCTTGAAATTGATAAGAAAATGAGCTTTGAAGTGTCATTAAACTGTTTATTTTTCTTAAATCTTCTTCACGAAACTTCACTTTAAGGTCCCACTCTGGTAGCATGAAATTTTTCACTTTTTTAAAAGTTGGTAAATACAGTATTCTCTCCAATTAACGGACACTCTAAAAAGCGGACACCTCTGATTAGCGGACAAATATTTTCCCCCGATCGTTTTCTGGTCAAAGTCTCATAAAAAAATTTCTAAAAAGCGGACACTTAATTAGCGGACACTCTAATTAACGGACAATATTGTTTGCACAAAATAGTCAATGGGGCTTCTTTTTCTTTCCAATTAGCGGACAGTACAAAAAATTTGGGAGCCAGCGAACAAAAAAATGAGACGAATGAATATTTGTTCAAATATTCTTTTCAAACACTTTGTCACTTGACAATCTATTTGGCTTTTTACAGCTTCGAGCTTCTTCACAGCCCAGTTTATTAACTTTTATATCCGTGAAAGTGTTGTGTTACGCTCAATTTGGTTATTTTTTCTTCTTTTATTGTCCAAGTTTAACCCGATAGCCACAAATTACCAAGACTACACCCAGAGGTGGCGCCAGAAATATTCCGACAGAGGGGTTGGAGCTTCCAACAGGAGGGCTAAAATTTTGTCAAGTTTGCTCCGACAATAACCTAAAATGTCCTCCGATGGGGAGGGGGAGGGCTAGGTGCTTCCACCCCCGGTGCCATCACTGATTACACCTTTTAAATATAAAACTAGGGTTTATTTTCAAATTTAGGATCTACATTGCAAAACTTTCTAAAAGGCAGACACTTCCAATTAGCGGAAACCTTGCTCTGGCCCCGACGGTGTCCGCTATATGGAGAGAATACTGTATTAAATCCGTTTAAAATTCTGAAATGTACAGATAGTACATCAGATTCGTAGTTAGAAGGGCTGGGGCTATGTATCGCTCTACCCTCAGCCCTTGCTTGAAATTTCCAATCATAACCCTCTATATGAGTAATATAATTTAATCTGATCGAATGTGTCTGATATAACAACTTTTTGGTATTTTCTTTGGTGTTTTTCGATATACTCCCATTTCCATGGGTAGCACAGTATGGAAATAAATTTTAATTTCAATTTAAAGACTGACTAAAGATTTGGCAAAAAGACTAAATATGTCACCAAGCAGCGAAATTTAGCCATGGTGGCAAGTATGACTAAACTTTCGAAGACTGAACTTCAATAAACGTTTTTATACGAACCTCTAGGACTCCTTACGGGCTAAGAGGAAAATGCTGAGGAGCAGCCTCGGTAACGACGAGAAGCAGCCCACTCTTGCAAATAGTGTACGATACTTCCACAAAGAATAAGGATTTCCGGAGAATTTCAGACAAACAATAGGCTTCTCACAAAAGGGGTAAAAGATCTTCATGGATCTTCATGAAGTGATTTGCCCTCGAGTAACGATAGAGGAGACAAATAATGAAACTGTTGCGTGATGGAGTTAACTGAAGAAAAGCCATCAAAATATCGGTCACTCAAGAAAAGTACAAGAGAATTTCTGAAAGTAAGAGAACACAAATGAATCTTTCGGAAGTTAATTTAGTAGAAATACAATGATATACTATAGTACAAAGATTATTAGGAAATCAACAAAGAATGATAAAATCACTATGGTCACTAGGGGTTTTTACGGATACTAGCAAATTCATTTCAAGGGATAAATTAAATGAGCTACATAGACACAATGTTGTGCAGCTGTGTGAAAAAGCTTTGAGCCTTCTTCACGATATTCGCGACAAAGCGCAGAATAGAGGCTCTATTAAATGTTAGAAAAATGCAATCGAAATTGGTCTGCCATTTACATAAACTTGACAAATTGTAAAACGTAAAAAGCCTATAATTTGACTGCAGTGAGGAATTTTTCAAGCTATAATGAGAGATTTGGGGTTTAAATACACTTGTGGGTAAAAAGGTCTTCAGAACAATGAATATTACAAAATTACAGTTTATCAATTGCCCTGGTTTATTGTAGATTCAAAAACCATCAAAAAGAAATTTCAGTTACAAAACAGGGTTACATTTCAGTAACAAGACCTAGTTTTCTGCCAACTTGCCTCACTGAGATAATAACAAATGACACAGGGGTCAAAGCAGTCGGAAAGATATAGGATGTCCACAAGCATTCCAGCGACTTTTTGTTGATTTAAGCCATCAGAGTTGTAAGAACATAAATTCTTAACAAAATTTGCATTATTTATAAGGTCCAGAATTGATCAGGATAGACTAAACGAACTGGTCTTTCCTCTTTGCCCAACCGGTCCACTTCCTATAGTTGCCACTTTGATTTCTTCAAGAAAGCTGCGGAAAAAACATACTTTTATAAAAAGGAAAGTAGATATTGAGGCTAAAGTCATAGGAAATCAAATCACACATAACAAAGGAAATAGGTCTTTCAACAAGCACTAGATCTATCAATTCTTACTGCTAGTAAAGTCATTTCAACCTTTTTTAACAATAAAATGGTTTGATATCACCTGATTAAAATTCTACACTAAAAAATGTTTGCTGACAATTATCAAAAGCAAAAGAAATAGAATGAAACAGCTGACAATGATCAGAACTTGAAACAGACGAAAAATACCAGAAAACTGAAAGAGAACACAACTTATTTTTGTTTATCAATTGATTAGCAGAATATTACGTACAACGAATTAAGTAGCTTTTTCTGATGACAACTAAACAAACTCGTGCTTTGGCATTGAAATAAATTTCTTTCACAATTAATGCAAATATTTTCGATAACCAAAAACTAACCTTTAGGCCCAAATAATTGGTCGTCTAGGTAAATCTATTTTACTAAAACTGTGTCACTCCAATATCAGCATTAGAGCTAGAGTATAAACGAAGAACAGTCCAACCAGCATAATTTGCAAACTATCCTCAAACTATCCTCATCAATATATGCTTGAATGACTTATCAAATATTATAACTATTCAAACAATGTAAATACCTACCTTTCACAATTATGAACTGTCGTTCCACCCAAAATAATTCTCACTCCAGGAATTGATTTGTTGAGTTCATATACCACCAGTGCTTCTTCGTATGTTGCTCCACCCACCATAAACACTATGATATCTTGTGGCCTAAAATATCAATTATACATCTTTCAACTGTACGATTCAACGTTGCAAAGAGATCAAGCAGGTTCAATTAATAATCTTTTCTCACTTTCAAAATATCTTATTGCTTCTCTTATGATGACACACGCTTGCTAACGAATAAAAATGATATATTAAAACAGATTTAGATAAAGAAAAATGTTGTAAACAAAAATGTGAGCTCTTGAGTATAAACAAAGTTGAAAAAACTAAAACAAAAATTGACGCTTCTTGCGAACGCATTTGCAAACTTCCACAAACTTAAACTTTTGCATCACAAGGTAAAATTACCTTGAAATATATCTAAGCTCAAATCAAAGTATCAAGATTTTGCTAAAATACAAAAATACAGTTGTTTGCAACTAATTCCAACTTGCAACTTCTTGCAATAGCAAACTTCTGTTTATGACAGTTTTAAGGTATGATGATTTGCATCTTCATCTTTTAAATCGTCAAGATGTGGCATAACTATGCTTTAAAAAGCTTATACAAAAGATTATAGTACTTGTACAAACAATTTTGTTCAAAGAATAACGCAGATTGTAGATTTAGATAATAACTCAAATCAAAGATAAATGGTTTACCTGTCGCGAAGAATGTCTTTTCCCAAATACGGAAACTGGAATTCTCTGATTTTTCCCTTGATCAATTGATCTAGAGTATCGTGCAGCAATGGCTTATGTTGCGTGTAAATATTTTCAACACCCTGTATGAATGGAATCGCAAGAGTTTCAGGTAAGAATGAGTAAGTGCTCCTAATTAACTGGTCTTAGATACTTGCTGCTGTCCCTCAATTTATATTACTTATCAACTGGAAGACCAAAAGAGCCTGTACCCAACTGTTCAAGACTGACGAATGACGCATGGAATGACGTGTGCATGGAATGACTCAAGAGCATGGAATGACGTGTGAATTCAGGAATTCTTCCTCAAGCGGTTGGAGCAAGGTCTCAAAAAGGATGGCTTAAAATAATCTGATACAACACCACTGATGGTTCAATAAGGAGAAAGTTTTTAATTAGATACAATGTGCAATAAAAATGGGGGTTTCAGCTAATTATTACATCCTGCAATTGACGAGACTATTTTTGCTAATAAATATAATAGCTTGAAAATGGTGTGAAAATTTCTCATCAAATAGCTTTAGACTTTTCTCTATAGAACGGCCTTAATCAGATAAACGTGCTTCACGGTTCTCAATTTTTAATAAACAAAGGAAAAAACTAAAAACATTCTTTGTCACCTTTAACCCTTTGATAAAGCGTTTCGTCATTTGCAATGCACTTTTACTTTGGCCGAAAATGTCACTGGTTCTGACTGTGGCTCCAGCATAATCAATAATATTCAAGATTATCTGAAAAAATCAGCATCAGTAATGAAGTAGGGGAATTTACAAATGAATAAATACTGAAACTGAGTTCCAATACTTGAAATGTTGATAGAAAAACAGGATTTGGAATAATATACTGGAAAAAGATTGTGAGAGGGTATGACCAGGGCACGACTTGAAAAAAAACCAAGTTCACTCGCTCGTATTTTCTCTTAACTATTTAAGTTAAAAGTAGCAAATTTCATGTCTGTAATCTAAAAATCTGTAATATTAAGAAGCATTAAAAACTGCTAAAGTTTTCTTAGAGTTAAGTAAGAAATAAATGTTTCATCAAATATATTCTTTCTGGAAAACGAGGAGGACGAAATCATGTTTCTTTTAAAATAGGGGTGGGGTAAACCAAGGATGTGTTTTAACAGTTCAACCACAGATCTATTTCAGTCACAATAATTATCAAGGCAGGTATGAATAATGCTAATTGAATAAAGCAAAATTATGACTCAAACTCCATACCCTCATGTAATTGTCACTGACTGCTCGCTTTTGCAGTTCGTTGCGAAGTCCTTTTATGTCGTTGCTCGTGTTCCGCTCATATCGAAGAGTGTACAGGAGAACAAGTCGGGTAAGATCTAACGGTGATATCCTTTCATTGCCATGTATCATTCGACGTAGAAGCTGTCACGAGAAAACATAAAAAGGTCATTGGAATGGGCTCAGTTGTGGGAAAATAAAAAGGGGAACAAAGCTTCGATACTTCGGTTCAATTCCATAGTTGGACAAAGTTTCCAGCCAGGGAAAAGCCTAAGGTTGTGCTTCTACAGTGAAATAATTGATGGGTAATACAAAGAATGAAAGGAAACAGTGAATTCATTCATTTATTGGATACAAGCAAAGGTATGCGGAGATACTACCAAAAGGTTACAGCATAAAACTACTTGATTGGAACAGGACAGTTGAAGACTTATTTAAAATCATTTAATATACAATATCCACGCATTACTATAGCTAACTTAAAGACCCTTCTCAATAAGCAAATAACATTATGTGCATATAGGCAATGGCATTTGCAAAATAGAATACACATGTACCTTAAACTGAACTCTTCTCGTTTTTTCTAGCCCAAGTAAAAACATTATCCAATTATGAAACTAAACAATAAAGTAGCTATTCTGTAATATCTTGATCAATTGCTTTAACTTGCAGTCATATTTCATGAGCCTCGTATTACCTGTAAGTGCTGGGCATGATCTGATCTGCATGCAATGTCTTGTTCCAGTTCAGATACTTCAAGTAAGCAGAACTCACTGACTAACCTCGACAGCTCACTTACAACTGTGACGTGTTTTGAGACCGTTCCTGACATTTTCCTGAACTGAGGATAGTTTTCAACAAAAGCCTGTGAAAGAAGACAAATAGTGTGCAAAAACATTGATATTTATGAAATTCTAGACCATAAAGGTTTCTAAGCATGCAAAAACGTGCCATAGAAATAATTTCGATATTCTTAATCTTCATCATACAAAATGCGTATTTATTATCATAGATCTGATCTAGGTGTATCTTTCTACGACCTTCCTCATAGAATGATAATTATGCTGAACGCTCATGAGTGACTCCAATCAATTATCACGACCAGATTATCACGACCAGAAATTTTTCATTTTTCTTCTACCATCAAAGGGTTTCTCAACAGACAGAATGACCTAGACACATGAACAATGTAAAATAAAAACTGAAAAAATGCATCATATAAACACAGAATCTCAAAGTGTAGCCTGGTACTGTCAAAACTGTTGTTGCTTTATGTATAGTACAGTGCTAGCTAGAGCTTCTAAATAAGGTGGGTATAGCAGCATACAAAATTCTACTTGTTTCACTCATAGAGCAATGACAAGATCTTCAAAGGAATCCTTCTACAATTTCAATGCAAGATAGTAATTGAAGTAATTGACAGATGGTGAAGAAAAATGGAATTCATGCCAAAAATATAAATTGCTCCAGTTGGATTTTACTTTTCAGTGGAGAGAAACATCGGATCAATGAAGGTATTTAAAGCCACTAGCGCAGAGATCTGGGGGTAATAGCAATGCTCAAAGATTCATTTAGATACCAACCTGTTTGTTGGGGGTTCATAACGAAATCGATCAAAAGTTTTCCATTTTCTCCATCTATTTTCTATTTTAAGATCGCATACAAAAAAATGAAACCTAGTGTTGGTAGCCTTCGTTTTAACGTTCTACGGATGCCTACAAAAAGACTCTCTAGATATTACTTTAGGAATATAACTTCAAAAAAACCTTCATGTCGGCAATGGAGTCCAATTTCTGGTTGCTTTTTGCAGACTTCTGAAACTCGTCCATTAACTGTTTCATATTTGACGCTATCTCACCGAAGTTAAGGTACATGTTCTAAAATCAAACAAAAACGTGATAAAATGCGATGATAAGATGTTGAATTATCAGCCTGGTTTCCAAAAAATTTCTGCTCACTGACACTGTCACATGACACTGATTGTACTTCAACACATTGCAGTGAAAGTTTTGTCTGATAGTTGGATAGTTAAAATTGAAGACCAATTTGCGAAATAAATAGTTATGTCAGATAGGAGAATAACCAGGGGTATTTGCAAGAAAGCATATCCAAAGTTGGTACCATTTCATAGCACTTTGGGCATGCTTATTCTCATCACAAATAAACTATTGTTATTTCTATGGATAATCTTCAGCAATGCTCGCTACAGTTATTTTTTCACTAAATTCGCTCCTATCAAGTAATAACCTTTTAGTCTCAAGTGCCAAGGTATGCCTGTTGAAATCATTAATACAGCAGACCAATAATGGTGTGAGCTATCATTTAAGGGCTATGAAGTATTATCAATCATTAGCAAAATAAAGCATGCACGCACATCTCTGTAGACTTCGTCGTGCTCAGCTGACAAAACCACTTCCTACAAGACATCAAATAAGAATAAAGCAATGAACGTATAGGCAACCTTCAAAAATCATAATGACAGCAATGCAATTGAAATTAGGCTTTCGAAGGGAAATACCTTAAAAGGATCAGTTTACACAAGATGACACAATGGTAAATGACTTACTACCTACCTTTAAATCTTTACTGATTCCAGGCACTCTAGACAAGTCGATTCGATTGTTCTTTATACCAAGTCGTTCATGGACCATGGCCTGGTACGTCCACTAAGATTTAAAACAGAAGATAAATTTCAAGATGTTGGCGAAATGGCTCTGCTTGAATTCAGTTGCAATAGATTGATGTTTGTTTAGAGTCAGGTTAATTTTTTTGATAAACACATGATTTCATTACAAACCTGATTTAGCAGAGGTGTGACAGGGTCATCTCTTCTGTCAACAATAAGAAGCAACGGAGGGACATCGGACTGCCTAAATTCAAAAAGGCCAGATTCTTGATACATTTTTTGCTGAAAATGGAAGAGCAATAACCTTAAACTAAGTACATCGATGGGTTAGGAACTGAAAAACAAACTGAAACAATCCCGATATAATGCTCAAATTATCAACCTATTGAAAGTACTTTTCTTTTTCAGCATGCTTGAGAATGATTGATAAACAAATGAGAGAATGACAAACTGACGCCAAGTATTGCATTGTAAACCGCGAGAAAAAGGAAAAACACGCGAGTCAAAGGATAATTAGGTACTCAATCGTTTTGTGATTAAACTATTGGAGGATTCAAAATCATAACTTGGTCAAACGAAGATAAAGAAATAGCGTACCATGACATTCTCTGCCAATCGCTTGCACATTGATGATGACTGCTGATACCGGATTACAGGTTTTTTCTTAAGTGAAAGCAGCAATGATATCAACCCCTCTGCTGTCCTCTCTTGGTGTTCATAATCCCATGCAGCTGCCTGGAATGCAGTAGTAGCTCCATCAAAATTTCTAGATGTCATTAGTTTATTTCTCGACAGTTGGTACTAATCAACCAATACTTGAGCTGCTAATATATTGCACAATAATAAAACAGAGGCAAAACAATACCCCCATTTCCCATAGGGTGCTATGTGCTTAGGACATGATAAAATCTAAACATAACTGTATCTTGTTCCAAAGATACCAAAGACACCATGTTTACAGTGACTGACTATATGTGCAAATTCTCCAGAGCATAAAGGTTTCCTTATCAACAAACAACGCAATAAATGATTCTGAAAAGTGTCTTTGGAAGAGCATTTTTCAGCCAATAAAAGTTTTATAATTTCAAACATTGCCCAAGTGAGTAATCAAAGGACCTCACAAAAGTATTTTGGTAGTCCTGCATCATGCAAAACAAGCTTTCAGAGGCAACTAATAGAGCTGCTTTGGTTGGGTAATGTTTACCTCATTTAAACAATTTTTACCTAAAGTTTGTTTGTTGGTTTGTTTGCTTGCTCCGTTTGTTTGCAGCATGTTACCTCATAGATAGAATATTGATGCAATTTTGCACTACAAAATGGTGTGAATTTTGAAGTTGACTTACCTTTGTGCATCCTATAATATTCAATGAAAAAATATGTGGAGCAACAGCAAAGTAATCACCATAATACTCCTATCAACAGAAAGAAAAATAAAAATCATATTTAAGGATATATCTAAAAATTTGTATAGTTACAAATAACATCCTCATAACAACCAGATCTAGCTGCAGGCTTTCTCTGTAACAAAACTTTTTGGGAAATATAACATCTTTAATCATTTACAGAAAACAGACACTTGTCATGGAATTTGTCACTTACACTGTATGTATTTTGATCAAGCACAAATGAATATACGCATGAGATTTTTAAAATGTAACCTGAACTTCTTTGACAACTTCTTGGTCATCTGCTTCTGCCAGAGCTTTAACAATGCTTTTTTGCACAACATTGCTGAAATCTGCCAGTGAACAGGTGATAAATATATTATTTTTAAGCAAAAGTTCAAAACCTATTGATGAGGGTCAAAATCTGTTTATCAAATTCCTTTAATAGATAAACAGGTTTTACATTGCAATGGCTAAGTGACAACAGTCAGTGTTCGTAAATTCTTTTTGTGATTGTTTTGTTGTTATTTTTGTATAAATATTTATTGGGTTGCATAAACATCAACCATGGAGTGATGAATCAAGTTGTGCCTCGAATGATTTGAAAAATAAATGGCAGCTGCCTTATTATTTTGTTTGGTACTTTTGGAAATAATGAAGTGATTGTCAGTAACAGCAGTGGTGGTGCATAAAATGCAGAAAAATTGGTATTAAAAAAGAGCATCAATACATTTTAAACAAATTCCAAGGACTAGATGTCTTAAAATACATATTGCTTATTCTAGTTTGATTAAAACGTTAAGAACAAATTACTTTTAGAAAACTCCCTAAAGCAAATTAAAAAAATTCTCTTTGCAGAATATAATAAAAGGAGTAGTAGATTGCAAGTTTGGTTGTAGATGATGATTTTATATAATATGCACTAAAAATTTGATAAATCTTTTCCTATTGAAAACCTTATACATACTTAAGTCATGTTGAGGCTAAATGTTGATCTGTATATGACAAACATAAAAATACTTACAAAGATAATAGGAACCATATTTTGGAGCATGTAACTCTTTTTTCAAATTTTCTTCATTTTCCTAAAAGAAATAATTTGTTTCACTTACAAAATTTCTTAAGAAAAAGCTTCAAATTCAAAATGATAATTTGAATTGTTTCTAAAACAATTAAGGACGCTATAAGCTAGAGAAGCTCTACTTTTGCATAAAAGGAAAAACAAATGTTAAGATTTCTTACTTTATGTTCAAAATGGCAAACAAATATCAAAACCATTCAAAAAGCAAAATCATATACAAAAGGAAAACGTATACATACCTTTGTTGGCCTGAGAAAACAAATGGCCTTAAGATGCTTCATTGTTTCTCTTCCTTGGGAATCAATTCGTTCAAACAAATATACTTCTTTTTGCAGAATTTCACTTTGTGCATAAACCATACTGACAATCCCAGTCTAAAAGACAAGTCTAAAAGTCTAAAGGAAGGCCTCAGATTTTCCATTGCAATACAGGGGCAACATTTGCTAACACCTAACAACTGAGCATCTTATTGTGAATAGAATATACATTGCGACTTAAACTGGGGATTTAAGCCTTTGCTTTTTCAAAAAAAGACAATATTCTATTGTCAAAAGACAAATAGCAACTAAAGATTCATGGTAGGGATGCACCAAAATGTGCAATATATATTCCAAATAATATCGTAAAAATTTTAGTATTTCAAACTGAATCACAGGCTGACAATGATTTTAGCATAATGGCTGAAATACTACTTCAATTAGAAAAGTAACATTTTTTCCTAATTGTTTTTTAACACAAGTTCTGCTCTGAAATAAGTCTGAGTTACTGATAACTTACGCAGGGTTTTTGTACAGTAAGAAATAAGAAAAACATAATAACCACATCATAGCTTCATTAAGTTTAACACATATTGAGTACTTTAACAAAATATAATTGTTCCAGGGTTAGTTATTGTAAAAATGAGCTAATTCTTTTGTCCTTTGCACATTTTGCATAAGTGTCTCAGAATCTATTTTTAAAGATTGCCTGCATGATGGGGCCAAGACCTACTTTGTCAATGATAAAATCTAATTAGATGAAAAGGTAGGTATATTACCGTTTCCTTGTCCATAAGTAGCACTTTCATGCCAGGACCAGAATCCTCAATCATTTTTGTAATATATTGCTTTACAGCAATTATTACATTCATCTTTGCATTTGTTCTTCAAGGAAAAGCACAACAGAGAATTGATATAATTCAAAACAAAATCTGTTTGAGAAAAAGAAGTCAAATTATTTCATCACACAACTCCTGTAACTTTGCCCTGCAACCAATACACAAAATATATTTTCAACTGCTATTTTTTTCTTTTTCCTTTTCTGAAAATGAAGAGTTCCTCTGTCTATCTTATTACAGATAATGCCCTTTACATCAGGCCTACATTTCGAAAGAAAACTGAAACTTTCCTAACAGGCTTCTAGTGGATTGTACCAATGAAGAATCTTAATTGGTAGAATTCTTCTGTTCTCGTTTATTCATATTATTAAAGCAAATTAGAAATTATACAGTAAACTTTAAAACACATTGTATCAATTGACCAAACAAACATAAATATAGGGGACTGACTGTTACTTTCAATACCTAGGCCCCAGTCTGGATTTCATGGCAGTTTTGACAAGATCTCAGGAGTGCACACGCTATTACCCGCGAGTGCAAGAGTGCATTTTTGATAAGCACATTTGGGTGTGCAGCAAATTTCTCAGTGATTCTTGAGTGTGTGCTTATTTTGTCTGGCACTTTTCCTGTTTACATCAATTTTACATCTCTGGGAAATTCATGATTGAAAGTTGAACTATGCTTACCTATCACTACTATCAATGGCTGTTATTAAAATTCCTAAAGATTTGGCAAGTAAAGATATAATTTAAAAAATAATGTTTAAAAAGGCCAAAAACATGATCTCACAAGCAGGGTCACGGAGAGGGGGGCAAGGGGGCAAATTGCCTAAGGTCCTTGATGTCTAGGGAACCTCATTGCTAACAATGGGCCTCTGCGAGCGTGGCGATGATCCAAACAATGGCAGTAAACTTTTATGGATTAGCCAAAATTGATTTCAGACTGTCTAAAAATGCATTATGGGATGCTTGCATAGCGCAATGGCTCATTGTTAGCAATGACTCTTTAAGAATGGAATTTTTTTGTTTATAGTTGAATGATAGTAATCCGTTAATAGTAAAATGTGACAATGAAACAATTGAAACTAAGTAATATTGAAACAATTGCAAGAAAATGACTGCAAACAACATTCTGCGGCGTATTCTGCAGCCAATCTAAAGCAGGGCCTATTTTAGTGTGCAGTATTACACACTTTGTGCAGTATTAATTTAAAAACGTGTAGTATTGATTTCGAAAATGTGCAGTATTGAATTTTGGGATTTGTGAAAATGTCTATTTGCGGCTATCCCAGATTCCTGCTTTGTTCAAAAAATGTGAATTTTCCTCGTCAGTTTGATATAGAGTTCATGTATTGTAATTCTCGTATAACCATCGGAAAGACTCTCTTATCAAAACTTAAAACAAATCGAAATTCCCAGAACCAGAAACAAAACATCTCCTGTAAATGTCAGCATTGCTGTAAATTTCGTAATTTGATCTTGTCAAAGATAAAACATTCAGTAATAATTTATGAGTTGCCCTATGATGCTCTGGGCATCTAGCAGAAGCTCATTTAACTTAACTAAAAGAAAGATAAAGAGCCTAAAAAAACTTTTTTGTTTTACTGTCCAGACAAAACATGAGATAGTGACTCTGTTTATAAGAGATAAATGACTATGTTTCTATTCAGGTTTTGTAGCTTCTGTTTGTTTTGTTGCTGTTTTGAAATGGTATTATTGATTGTGTATATAATCATTTATCCGTTTGTGATTTCTCCGTCATGGCCTATACACATGTTCAAAATTCGGGCAATTTCCTCACTACACTTGCATGGCTAAGATACCTGGGGTTTGCACTGATTCCAACAAAAAAATTCCCTATAAAAATATGATTATAAATGTGCAGTATTGAAAATTTCTTAAAAATGTGCAGTATTGAAAATTTCTTAAAATAGGCCCTGATCTAAAGGAAGAATCACTAAAATTTTCAAGTGTGCCTTTCTTTTTCAGTTTAGCCTCAGTCCCACTGAAAACCTTTTACCGGTCCTAATCTAAAGTGGATCACTCAATTTAGAATGACACATTCTTTTCCAATCTCAGTTCTGGGCAAATTTAAAAAGTCATTTTGCAATATTTGAAAAAACTTTCTAATTTGAGCCCATGCTCATCTTTCGGGTGTGCGAGAGTGCACCATTATTTTACAAAAATCTCTCGGGAGTGCAGGCTGCCATGGAATCCATACTGGCTTAGGCCAACCAGGAACACTTGCTGTTACGAGAGGAGGAAGGCCCATTTGTTTTATGGAATATTAAAACATTATGTATCCTACGTTTAACATTATAAACTCGTATCTTACCTATTTATGTCTAAAGAAGGATAAAACCACAAAGTTTTCGAGAGCCAGCAAGTTGAACCTTCGATTTTCAATGTTGTTCTTCTTGTCCCCAAAATGAAATAATCGTTTGAAGGCGAGGCTGAATTTGAGGGGAATGAAGAGGCGGTTATCTCTGATACAAAATAATTGGTAAAAGAAGGCAAAAAAAAGGATTCAAAATATCGGCCAGGCATTAGAAAGTGAGAAAACTTGATAGTGAATATGCTTGTCTCTTTCATTTTATAAGTAAAATTGGTCAAACATTACAGAAGCTGTGTGACGACCCGATGTACCGCTTCTTGGCTTCCCCCAAAGTACCACTTTTGTCCCATGGTCTCAATTGTGCTATTTGCTACGAACTCTTTCAAACCGTCGCTTGGCATTCAACCTCTGCATGGGCCCCGACAGAAGTTGGAAAGTGACCAAGGCCAAATTGAACGCCCATAACAAAAGATTTGCAAAAAGCTCTATTGTTTTATAAAAAAGTGGGGGGGGGGGGGCATGGCTCTTGGCTAACTTTTGGGTAGGGTCTGTCTCGAGCATGTTCAAAGTGATTTTAGTAAAACCAAACAATGTTGAAGAATGTAGCATTTATGTAAACAGGCAAATAGTTAAAGAGGAAGACAAAGTGAAATTGTTGGGCGTAACAATAGACAACCAATTAAAATTTGATGACAATTAAAAAAGTATGTGTAAAGAAGCGGGAAAAAAGATAAATAGCGCCTTATTTAAAGAAAAATAGAAGAAAACTATTGATAAAAACATTTTTTTGCATTCTTTATTTACTGTTCCTTGGTATGGATGTATTGTAGTAGGAAAAACAATAAACTTACTAACAACATTCATGAAAGAGCATTGCGAATAGCCTACAACGATTTTTCATCTAGTTTTGAACAACTACTGCTCAAAGACAATACGGTTACAATTCATACAAGGAATTTAAAGCAACTTGCAACTGAAACTTACAAAACTATTCATCACGAAAACCCAAGTTTCATGGAAGATATTTTCACCATAACTGAACCACCTTATAACCGCAGGGGGCTCACTTTCACTAGAAATAAACCAAACACTATATCATACGGATTAGACACTGTATCCTACAGATGTCAAGAAGTATGGAACTCAGTTCCCAAAGAAATAACCTCACGCTCAAATATAAAAAACCTTTAAAGCAAGTATCAAAACTATGTCTGCGAATTCTTGCTCATGTGTAAACCATTTATTGGACAAGTAGGCTATGCAAAATGACAGGGAACCTACTTTACATTGATGTATCTTATTAGTTATTCATCTATTTTTGTTGCGTTGGTAAATTTGGTTATTGTTAATATATTTAGTTGGTTTTAATTAGCTTTAGTATAGCTAGTAGTGAAGAAAACTCAGAAGAAAATGAAGAAAAAAACCGTTCATTAGAATACTAAATGTATCTATTTCTAGATTACTAAAATAGTTTATTAGAAATAGTAGCCTTAACTAAAGCATTTTCTACAAAAATTGTTGGGTTGTCAGGTTGAAATTCCTATTTCTAAAGGCTTTGTTAAAAACCAACTATTGTCAAGGCAACAATATGGTTAAAATGACATTCTTTGCAAGACCTTGGCTGGACCAAAAAAGCAAAAACGTATACTCTTAGCTGCACTAGAGGTCTGTTAAAGTTTACCCATGCTCAAGGCACATTCAAAAGTACCTGTGCTATGTAAAAGCCATGAATGTCATAGAACGAACCATCCACGCTGTCATCAGCAAACAGTTGAAAAACTATTTCATACAATATATTCACAACTATTAATTTATACAATAAGTCTCTTAGTAACTCTTCTGCATGACATTCACTAATATTAAAAGCATTATAAAATTCAACAAACGAAAGACAATGGGGTACAACAAGTCTTTGAAAAGCACGAGCTGGGTGCTCACATTTGCCACAACGAAATAAGAAGTTTCTTCTTTAAAAAATACTGCATGCAAAACGCACATACCGGTGTTTAGTTTAACTAGAGATGGCTTCATGAGTATGAACCTTTATGAAGCCATCTTGCTATTGATATAATACATGAAATTCTGATTAAAGCCACTTCAAAAGACGAATAGCTAAATATTATTTCTACGAGAAAGAGAACAAAAAGAACGTTAAGATTTTCTTGATAATGGATTTTCTTTGTATTCAATGCATCGTTTTTTAAAAGTATGCTTAATATCCAGCTGGGCTGAACAATAATTGGGTATTACTTTCATGATTTTTTTTTATTTTACACTCCCTGCAAAGAGATGTAGTTTAACGAACCCTCTGTGAAAACGAAGCAGATCTTTTTACAACATGAAGAGCCTGGAACATGTTTTAATATTCAGCATTACATTAAATAATGTCCTACTTTGGGCAATGGATAACATCACACCAAAACCAGATTATTTCTGGCTTTTTATTGGACACTTTTTGTGAGAGGCCTCTTTGTCCTTTTGTAGCACTGCAGCTCTGTTGGATCCTGTTATTATTCTACTGTTAACGCTTTTCTAACTCTGTGCAACTCATTTCTTTAAAAAAATTTTAAAATTCAACAGCAGTGAAACAATAAACAGTTAACGAAATTCTTCGAAAGCTATTTCACAAGAATGGCAACATTTTAAAGAGCAAAAGATAAACAGTAACGGAATGCCCTCTGGTATGCTTCGAATAACTGCATGGATAGATGGGTTTGGCGTATTGTTCAGGTAACAATACCTCAAAACTTGTGTTGGGCTTTTTTCAAGCACAAACACGGAAGTATATACAGATTTGTTGCAAACAAAACATGTACCAGTTGGTCTTTTGAGAATGTTTAATAGCTCAGTTGGAGCTACGTTGTTCCTTAATTGATTTACACTGTCTTTCATCAGCTTCCCTAAAGAAATAAAAAAATTGACTGTTTTTTAATCAATCCGTTATCTATTACAGTTTTCAATATTAAGAATAAAGCTTGATCTTCATGGCCAGTTATTTGCCACAACGTTACAAAGAAATATATTACCATAAAATGCATTGAAGAGTTCATCTTTTCCAATGTATTTCATTATTACTAAATTTTGGTAATATTACATTAGCTGTCAAGAATTCAATATTGTCAAATAATCCCTGGTTACAATAATGCTTCGTTGAAATTGAAAGAAACAGCTTACCTGCTTCTCTAAAACATAATTCCACTAAAGGCATCACATTGCCAGTATAAGATCCAATGCGCTTTATTCGAAGACCCAAATAATCAGCTAGAAGATAATTTAATGATGTTCGAGAGGACATGAAAAAACTGAACACTATCATTGCATAGCTGAAATGCTTTTGTGCCTGAATCTTACATTGATCGGATTATAACCAAATGGTGAACGCCTGGCTTCTGCAATACTAAAAGTTCATCTTAATTAATTTAAAGTAAAAAGAGGCTCGATAAAAGGTATAATAAATTGCTAATTCTTGTTGCAAAGTTATCGATAATTTGGGAAAAGAAAACAGTTTATATTCAATAAAGGCAATTGTACTGCAAAATAAAAGTGCAGATACAAGTGCTTTGACGGAATGAATGCAGATAAAAGACCTGACTATGTTACAAGGTATCGAATGGCATTGCTGATTCAAGAAGCTTTGATTATGGTCAAGAGCATCTTACCTGGATTACTCCGGTCACCTTCAGGTCGGATGCAGCTGTGAGGGGTAAAAATATTATGAATCTTTGAGTTTCATTGCATTCGAATATCATGAAAATAAGTTAAACCCAGGTAGCTGTTTTGCGTAAATTTAGAAACCTCTTTTTAGAAGTGTTTTGCGTCTGATGATAGAAACTCTTAAACAGACACGCAGCTGAAAAGTACAAACGAGTACCCGTGGCGAAAATTGGTAGAAATTTTATGAATTTTGAACATTCGCAAGGCTATGCACTATTATTCTAATCACAACCTAGTGTAGATAAATAAGACCTCTCTGGATGGAATAGAACCACACTTTATGGTTTTTCTCACCTTAACAACATAAACCCACTCTTGATAAAATTGTATAGATGAATACTTAGACTTACTTGTGTAATCCGAGGTATATTAGTTTGGGACATAGGACGATGGAGCCTGGTATATATAGCAGATGATAATTTGCATCTAATGTTAAATCCGTGATTGACTTTAAATGATACAAATCTAAAAAAGAACAAACTTGGTTTTAATTCAAAAAGGTTTGAATTAAAACTTGGGATACTTTCAATGCTTGCATTGTCAAGACGAGTTTCTACAAAAAACCGTTAAATTTCCTAAAAATTTGAAAATTAATTTCCTTCTTCACTCGAGTATGTCAAAAAATGGAAAAGAGTTAAATTTACAATTATCGCTGAATTCGTAATGAAACTAGATATTATTTATGCTTTGTAAATTGCCATCGCTTCAGGTTTAGGGGTGGGGGTGCTCCCCGCTTGGAATAAAATTAGATAAATTTTTTCGCATCTAGAAGTGCGTTGTCGGCAAACTTTCAAACATAATGGCAGATATTGAATGGCTTACCCACGCTGTCGGTAAATGGGACCTAGACCTTTCCACGAGCACTAAAGCTAGAGATGGTCCTGAATTTAGATAATTATCATAATTCATGGCATTCCACTAGTTTGAATTCAATACATCATCGAATATACATTGTCTGAAGAAAAAATAAATACAGCTTTAAAACCTAATGGCAAAAACTTCAGGTTGTTTCTACTTGCAGAAAAGTCCTGTAAGCATTCCAAGTCCAAAATTTCACGAGGAATGTAGTTTAAATGATTCCCATCAACTTGCAGAGTATTCAGACTAATGCAGCCGTTTATTTCTTTCGGCAGTTCTTCAATCTCATTGTTCATTAAGTTCAACGTCAAAAGATGTTTCAGCTTTCCAATCTCTAAAGCAAAACATTTTTTAAATTAATAGATCTGTTAGAATATAAAGCATGAATAGCAAAGAAATTGAAAAACAGAGTTCAGAGCATATGAAAGAGTTTCAGTTTCCATTGAAAAGGCGTCGTTTTTGGGAGGGGGGGGATGGAGGTGGGGCAAAAGTTCACAAGGAGGAAAATACGTTAAAACATCAAAAGTTATCACTAACTAGTATTAGTTCGATCTACTTTTGTGCAATGTCAAGTAAAAAGTTTTATAAGATTTACAGTATCTAGCGACTTGATAATATCTGCTAAATAAAACATAACCATCAGTTCAAGGTAGTCAGTCTATCCTGTCCCATAGTTGATCTGAGTCACTGTCCGTCGAATTCAGATGATTCAACCTCCTTCTTCTGTGGCGACCTCCGGCCTCTGCCCCCATCCAAACACCATTGTTTCTTTACACAAGAAAATCTGATAAAAACGTCACAAAGTAAACATTCTGGTATAAATAAATATCATTAGTGTCAGAATGGAACCAACTTCTTGAAAATATTAGGCAAAGTTATCAAAAACTTTAAAATATGAACAAACCAGCAGGAAGACTTTTCAAATTGTTATGTGATAGGTGCAATGACTTTAACTTGGGTAAATCTCCAATAGAAGTGGGTATTTCTTTAATTTCATTTCTGCTCAACTCAAGTGACTCAAGGCAAGGTAAACAACCAATACCTGAAAGTACAGATTTTCAAAGGCAATTATCAAGATAACCACAGATGTAAAAAAGAGATGAATGAGGGTATTCGTAGGTCCCAAATTTCATTTTCCCATATCATACCGTGTCCTTATCAAAATTGATAGAGAATCTAATCTTATTAGCTGAAAGCACCTTTTTTGTTTGGTATGATACCTTTAAAAGCATAGAAAAAATGTACCAATATTTTGCTTATCCCAAAATCTATATTGCATAAAATCTACATTAAAAAAGAAACAAACTCTAGTGTCTCTAATAGACCCTAGCGTTTAATAGGGCCCCCGTCTATTAATTTAAAATAAATTACCCCCATTGCTTATTAGCACCCCCCTTATATTAAATTTTACAAATCTGTTGAAATTTGCTGACATTTTACTGAAAATAAGCCAACTTGAACACCCCCTTCTATTAGCAACCCCTTTCTATTGAAAACTGGTCAACATGAACAGCCCCTTCTATTAGAACCCCCTTCTATTGAAAATTGGCTGGAATGAACACCCCCCTACTATTACCTCCCCCTTCTATTAGAGAGACTAGAGTAGTGATAACCCAAATTACTCTGCTGAACAAACAATCCAGTAGTGACTATTGGAAAGTGTAATATTGCCTTTGAGAAATGATAATCATGAAAACAATTCAGATTTTCAAGAGTTTTCATGGAGCATGATATTAATTCTTTCACAAATTGCAGAGACAAGAAATAGAGAGGCAATGAAACATACTTTGTGGGATATTTTCAATCATGTTTGAATCTAAGTACCTAGAGTAGAAGGGAAGAAAGCAATGTTGTTCAAAATCCCCATAATAAAACCTATGACCTCTAAGTTTCCATCCAAATACATTCATAAAGAACTTCTTAAAAAGTAAGTGTATCTATTACTGAATGCCATTTTCCTCCATATAAGTCAAAAAATGTAAATTTCATGCATATTCAAATAACAAAAACCCTCAAGAGCATTTTTATGCTGATCAGGTTTTGCCATTCTCAGCCTAGCAATTGTTTTAAAGTTTTGACAGAGAACAAGAAGCAATCTATCTTTTAAGCTTAAAGACATCTTGATTTATAGTCTCAAGCAAAGATGATGATCAGAAGACACTTTTCCACTCCTCTGCCATTTTCTACTCATCAAGTTTTGCAATGGTTTGTTGGGTTTTTTCAAATCTTTGTTTTATATGCAAAGTAAGAATTATTGGCACTTGATAGATAACTATAAAATTTTTTTTATTGGGAATCAACTTAAACCAAACTAAGAGTTACTTAATGACTTATAAAGTCAAAAAAATGTGCAGATTGATAGCCAATATTCAATAACAATAGTAATAAAAATAGTTTATTAATGAAACAATTGTCAACTTACAAGCAAACCAATGAACCAAGGAGACTTATCTCATTTGGCTAGAAAAATAGGTTGTGAAATAAATAAGTTAAGGATACATGATTCTCAGTTATAGTTATTGATATCTCCCTGCTTGTATGAGTTTTTCTATTTATCTAATTTTTGTCTAAGATTTGTCTAATTTTATTAAGACTGGCAAAACAAAATAAGAGGTCCGCAATGTTGATTTTGATATGAGTTTAAACATAGACAGGGAAATTTTTTGGCACTTTTTCATGGTATTCTTGTTAATATTCTTGTTAATGTACAAAGCTTTACAAAGGAAACAGATTCTGAACCAAATGCAGCCAACATCGATATCACTTTGCCTTAAGTCATTTCTTATGACAGAGTTTACCATGCTAATATTTCAAACCATACTAAAATGAGTACAGTTAGGCCTTCCGTTTTCCAACAGAAAGGTCTTCGAAACAGCGAACAGAGAGAATCATCGCTTTTTCTATATATTTTTTTTTAAATGTTAGTGAAATTTCTCGGTGGCAGTGTCAAATGTTTTACACATTCTTAGTCTCAGTAGTTATTTTTCAAAACCCAATTGTTTCATAATTTGTTGCCTCGACTTCTGTGGCTTCTTTGTTGCTCTTATTGTCCAGTACTCGTTTTCTAAAGCATGTTTATCATAATTAAACGATGAGTGTAAATTAATTCAGTACTTTACCAAATTCCTCAATAGATTCTGCTTCATGTAAAGTCTCTTTAGCATTTTGATTTTCCAAATTTTCTTTGGTATTTCATTTAGTTTCATATAATTTAAAAATAACGCATCATCGTTGTGCTTTATGCAAAAATCTATATTTGAATGTACTGGCCACATTGGTCCTGGCTCTTCCGCCATGTTTGTTTTTATTTTTATTTACGCACCTCGATTCCACGTAACCTCAATACCACTGATCACGGATCGAAGAACTATTTTTTAAATCCATAAAAAAATCATTGGAAACTACGATCTACGCTAAACCCATGAATCATAAAAGCCATCAAATTCTGAAATTCTTCTCTTTAGTTAAAAGTATTTACAGCGTTGCAGGTAATTAATGAGTAAGATAAAATCAGCTGCTGGAAAAGATGTTGAAAACAACAAGGAGAAAGAATTGGACCATAAACATCTGGTTTAGGTCCTTATCAGCTGAGATCATAACCAACTCAGTTTATGGGGGAGTCAAAATCGCGTGTTTTCGCTAATCAACTATGTATGCTTCAGATGCATATCGAAAGAATGAATTTGAAATTTAGAACCCAAAACGATTAAGTTCCTGAACAAAACATCTTCGCTTCGTGCTTTCCACAGTACTTTCCTGTTGATCTATCATATTAGCTATCATGCATTCAGTGGCGAAGCCAGAGGGCAAGCTGGTCAGGTTGATCCTGACGAACAATTTTCAGTGATGTTTATTCCATATTGAAAAAAAATAACTCACAGTTCTCTCTCTATGATGTTCAGAGACTCGCTATTTTGCGGTGAAGCGCTTTCAATTACGGAGCAGTGGTTCACTTCTGATTATGATTATGGTAGATTCCATCCAGAATCATAAAAAGGCAACCATTTGCTTGTCACTTGTATTCAGATCAGTGTCCATTTTTCCAGTTTGAAATGGGCCAATATTTAAAGAATCATTGCTAACAATGAGCCATTGCGCTACGTAAGCATCCCACAATGCATTTTTGGACAGTCTAAAATCAATTTTGGTTAATCCGTAGAAAATTACTGCCATTGTTTGAACCTTCGTCATTGTTAGCAATGAGTCTTTAAAATCTCTACAGCACTTTCTGGTGTCACGGGTGCTTCGGTGGCAGAGACCACTTCAGTATACAGCAAAATTCTGAATATACATCTTAATTGTCGTTTTTAGCCACTTGCGTCATGCTTCCCTCTGTAAAGGATTCCATGATCTACCGAAAAATATCGGAGTTTATCGCAAAAGGAATCCTAAAGTGTTTCCTGACAAAGGCTATTTGCAATGCAACATAAAAACAATCGATTAAAAGCAAATTTGCTAATAATAAAATATGGGAAGATAAGAAGAATACCATCAGCCAGTCTTTGGGATGTGACTAATGAAAAACCCTAAAATTTTCCGACAAGCATTCAGATTTTTACATAAAGAGCCTTACAGGGGGGCGACGCGCCTTCCCATGCCTCCCATTGGTATCAGCTCTGGCCTTTTGACATTACCATATGAAAATGAAATTTTTACAAAAAGTTCTTTGACCATCATAGAAAGAACTAAATTTGTTAGAAAACTGTTCCGTTTCCTTATGGTTAATTCACCATGAATAGATTTTCACAAATTAGAAGTAGGCGTTTTATTTTTGGGCGTGGTCAAAAAGGGCGTGGTATATCCGTATCTGAGCCTGACCGTCCAACCAAACCTGGCTTCGCCACTGTATGTAGTATATGTTTTGCTGCAGAAATAGCTATGTGGCAGCCATGATCTTTTGTCATATTAATCAATAACGAAATACTTCTTAGTTTTCAATTGTTAATTAACATACATTATCATGTTAGCAAAAACGTTTTAGAAGTTGAATTTAGAAGTTTCTTATAAAAATGCATAAGAAATTTTTAATTTATAAGTCAATGAGGAATTGATCAAATATTTGCTATCAAAATATCAATATTTACTTCAAAATATATACATTTAACCACGATAAATTGAATTACAATATATATATTTTATACAACAGCAAAAATTACAATATTTAGAAGTCCTTAACTTTTTTACATTGGGCTGGCCGGACCTGTAACAGGAGATGGACAAGGCAGTCGTTCAGGAGGTGATTCTGTTATTTCTCGACATTCTTCATCGTCTTGCTTAGCTGTCCTCGCCACGCTTCTACGCCCATTATTTGTTGTGAACTGGATAGCATCCTGGGGTTGCATGTTTGCGGTGCTTATGTCCAAAATAAGTTGGATGTTTCTGATGATATCCTGTTTAAAAGTTTAAAAGAGGAAATTAAAAGAATTTGTGTAGAAAAGGTCACGGGCTGAGAAAAAAGTAATAGGGAGCAGTTAGGACTGAGCCATTAGTCACACTGTGAACTACGATGAAGCTGATGAGTCTTTTATTGAAAGGACTTTGCCTTAAAAAGGTATACGGAAATAAGAAATGTATGGAGGACTATGAAGATAATATAACTCCAGTGACGTAACTATCAATAATTGGTCTACATGATGGCTTGGTAACAACGATTGTTGTGATAATGAAAAATTGCAAGAGGAAAGCAAAAGTAAAAAAACATATACATTTGATTGGGCTTGGGTAATTTTGGGATGTAAGCATAATTTGCAAAAGGCTATACATGACTGGCAAGTACGAGAAGATCAGCTTCAAACCTTTAAAAAATTAAAGAAACGTTACTTTGTGTACGACATCGGGAATTTTAAAAACTCAACTTGTGTTTCGATTTTCATAAGGCATCAATTTAGTTTATTTTTTATAGCATCTACATTGAGGCACATTAGAAACCTGTATCAGTTTAAAAAATATAAAAATATAATACCACATTATATTTATTATTAAATTTATTAAACTTATAAAAAATTAAATTATGAAAAATAAAAAATAATATTATAAAAAATTTATTAAAAATATAATTGGTAATCAATTGGTAATCAGTGCCCGTCACATTCAGAGACGGGCACTGAAAGTAGTAAATGGCAACAGGGACAGTGTACAGCTGGAGAAAGTCAGTAGTATACGAAACAAGATGTGTGCTCTTGAAGTTTTCAAAAGTTTGAATAGCGTATCGCCACACGCCTTTCGAAACTACTTCACTAGAGTAAAACACAGGCAGTGTACTCGTGCCAATGCAAAAAATATTGTTTTGCCCAAAGTACAATCAGAAGCAGGCAAGAAGGCCTTTTACTTTCAAGGAGCAAAGATTTTTAGTAAACTAACAGACGAAATGAAGTGTGAAACTTCAATTCTTAGATTTAAGACTTTTTGTAAAAATTTTAACTTCGACTTTTAAGATTTCATTTTCATCCTGTATATAATTTTTATTTCGGTAATCCATGTATATTTTAGACAGGTCCTTTATTGATAACATCACGTTGTTGCTGACCAAAGTTAACCTGTATAAATATGATATTATTATTATTATCTGTAACCAAATTTGCTGGTAACTAATTCAAACAAAATGACATATACTTGGCTAACAACTTGATTACATGACAGTTAGTTACATAAAATAATAACAAGGTTGATATTCCGGCTTAAAAGCAAGTATAGATTACCGGAATATTTGATACTGCTTGCTTTTCATGGCTAGAGATGTCACGGTGGATGAGAGAGAGGTTTAATGCAAACGATGACAAGGCCTGCTGCATACTCTCTCCTACAGTTCTGTATAAAGGAAAATAATTCATTGAAAAACAACTTGAAATACTCCCAGGTGGGTACTCCCGCTATGGCCAAAAAGGGGGGTCCAGTCGGGGTAAAGAGGGACAACGTTAAGATTTTAAAGAATTACCCCCAAATGGTAGTATTGTTTGACAAAAACCCTTTAACGGTAGCATAAAGCCCGAAATTATTTCCTTGGTAGCATCAATTTCTTTGTGCCCCCCTGGTCCTTTTTTGACAAATTTCTTCATAATTGACAGTTGTTGTTTCGGGAAAGATAAAATCTTGTTCATTATCTATAATAAATCACAAGCTAAACTGAGCAGTACAGTTACTGTCGAAAACGGTCCATTTGGTAGCCATTTGGTAAAACCCTCAAACGGACTGGACCCCCTTGTCAGGCCTTGATGGGAGTACCACCCCCCGGGGAAATACTGAACAAAGGTACTTTAAGTATGTATGTAAAGGTACTTACAGAACAAAGTCAAGATGCTAAGAAAGTCAACCGATGGTTTAAAATAGAGTATATTGGAGTATCATTAATCAATCTTTTTTGGAGAAACATTCTATCAAACTTTGGATCAAACCTGAATTTAAATGTCTAAACCCGAGTACAAATACCTAAAGATGAGCACTGACACGGAAAAAAAGTCACTTACATAATTCCGAAGGAATCTTTGTGAAGCTGATCGATTAATGTGAAGACCGTTCCAAGCTTTGCCTGCAATAAATAAAGATATATCAAATTGGCGCCCAACGTCGTAAAACTAGGGCAATTGCATCATCAAGAAATCAATTTGCCACTTGCCAAGATAGCATAAAAAGACGGGAAAACGCGGATTCCCCAACCTCGTGTAGACAAGAAGGAAAAGGATGTGTAAATTTAGCAAGCAATGAGTAAATGCACAGAAAACGGGATGTTTTTCAAATCGTTAAGCTCAGAGACAGCCGGTATGAAAAGAAATACAGTATCATATAAGAAAAACAACTAGAACACTTAGCAACCACAAAAAAGACAGCATACACGTTTTTTTTATATCAGAATAACACTTGCAAGAAATTTCAGGCTGAGATTTGCCCAAAAATAAAAACAACATAAGAAACAAAGTAGCCTGGCCTTGGATAAGAATTAATAAAAAAACAACAGAATCACAGAAACTGCAGGTACAAGCACAAAAACCTTGACCGAGGCTTTAATTGCTTTATTAAGCACATGTGTCCAGACACTTCTATACACATGAAATTCTTAATAAGAAACAAAATAAAAAACACGCGAGGCTGGAATTATGAGAAAAAAATGAGAAACACCAGGCGGATACTGGTGCCAAGTGTTCTTATAAAAGAAACCTGTACTGGTGGGCCTCATCGGACTTGTGACACAAACAACTTCGTTTAAAAATAAATCCTGTCGAAGACCAGACGTAAATAATAGACTGTCGTGATAACTAGACCACTTTCGAATTAATTTTCGAGAATCCTGTATCAACAATTCGATTATTTTTTCCCAAAAAATAATTTTACAGTATTGTCAATTAAATGCACTGCCTTTATGAAACTTGTTTTTCTAAAAAATATTTTGTAAATCAATCAAAAATCAGTTGTATTTTACAATTAATTTGATACTGAAATGGAATGACCAATATATTTTGTTAGGTTTGCATTGTAGCCGAGAAAACAAATATTATCGAAAATTGGTGATCATATTAAAAAATAATTAAAAACGAGTTGAATATAAGAAACAACAAAAAATGAATTTCTGAAGGAATTTTTGAAGAAAAACGATAGAAAAAATAAGCACCTCCGACGGGACTCGAACCCGCAATCCCCGGCTTAGGAGGCCGATGCCTTATCCATTAGGCCACGGAGGCTTCATACAGGTGACCAGCTATCCAGGGATGTATTTAGCGACTACTATCAATTTTGAACATCTACAACTGTTTGAACCAGGAATGGATTTAGGCAAGAATGACGGGGGGTTTTCCGGCCGTCCCCTTTTGCCCCCTCGCTACGCTACTGATAACATGATAAAAAGGAAAATTTTGGCATTACTTTGTTACTGCTGACTACGGTAAATCACCTACCCATTATGAATGCCTCTACTAAATTGGCGAAAACAGAAGGGTTGTCAAAGCAGTTTCTTGATTCTCCATTCACCATCAGTGGCTTTTTCAACGGGTGATAAGTGTTTTTAGGGGGTGGCAAAAATTTCAGAGGTTTCAGAGCGCCAATCGAAAGGTCAAGAAGATGAACATTGCACTGCTACCAACGAGACAGCTCTTGTATGCTGCGAACAGTGTGCACATTTATTCCTATTTTACCTGAAGATTGCCACGATAGTTTTTATTTTATAGTTCTCTAAAACTGTTTAGATAGAGCTGCACATCAAATGTTTTCCCATTTTGCACGCTGGCTAAAACAAAAAGGTAGCGATGACATAAACGAGCACACAGCCTTAACAAATTCAATATCTAAGATGAACATACCTTGATATCGTATCCGATTCCATGCGACTTGCAAAGTTGAAAAAGCACACTAGATTGGACACTCCGAAGGTTTTCGTGTTTCAGTACTGTACTGTACACAGCAAAACGACTCTCTTCCTCTGTCTAAGTTGAAAAAGATAATCGATTTAAACTTAGATTAAAAAAAAACAGCACTATGTTTCATTGCTACAGCATTACTTCAGTGATCATGCTCCAGAATTTGTCCAAACAAAATTATCTGGTATCTTTTGATTTAGGAATTATTCTAATTCTAAACAGTGTTAGATTTTAAGTTAAATTCTGCTTCGCTTATAAATTCGGGCACATGTAGAGATTAGAAAACTTGGGCAAGTTTGTACCACAGCTTGAAGATCGAGCCACTTCTCTTGAGGGATGATCACCTATATAGGTTTTTATCGAAAATCAGGTGTATCAACTCAAGTCCTAATCTGTTATGAATGATCACTGATCATTAGCAAATTTAAAAGACCCTTGAGCAAATCTAAAAGACCCAAGAATAGATGCTAATATTTGAACAAATCATTCCAAAACTATCACTAATGAACTAATAGTACACTAAAATAAACTCGCAAACCAACCCTAATATTGGGGGCCACATATACTCTAAAGAAAAGCAGTAGATGGACCACTATGTATCAGTTTAATAAATCTATTTCTAGAAGATCAATCCATTTCTCAGCAAAAGTTGCAGTTCAGGAAACCTTCTGGCCATAATGTAACGTTAATTAAAATAAAAAACGAAAAATCGTCAAAGGTTTTGTAGCAGCACATCGTCAAATGTATGAATAGTAATAAAAACGTGAGCTTCGTACAACACTTAGTACATAAAGCTTCCTACCTTTTCATTGTACTTTTCAGCAGACTTCCGTCTGCTTCTTCTGTACGGAGATCGCTCCTTCTTCGTCAGCACGGGCACAGTTAGCGAGTTGCTGCTGAAATTATAGACACCTCTGGTCACGTGCTTAAGAACTTGAAAAGTACTGTGGCTGGCACTATACGAGAGGTCAAGACCAACAGGCCATAGTCTTTGCTTTAGCTGGAAAAAAAGAAAAACATTGCTTTGCTTCATTCAAATTTTTGAAACAGTCTCCTTTCGGCCCTGAACGGAGCCAGTTCTGGACGAGAACTGGTGCCAACCGGAACCCGTTTCTCTCGTGTAAACAAGGTCTCTCATTGAAAATCACGCACATCCGTGTATCTTGATTCTATAAATCTGATTATGCAGATGCTTGCTTTCGAGTAAAGAATTCAACAAAATGATTTGTAAAAGGGGTTCAATAAATCTGACAGTAAAGGTTCAGTCATATCAGAAGTACTGACATAGTGTCGACACATACCGATGAAGGATCAATGAATGTTACAAAATTGATTGATAAATAACCAAGGATCCCTCTGTTTCTACACGAAGAGCATATAGCATCAGTCATTGTCTGTATATCATTTGGCTCAACGGACAGCTGAGGGAAGGTGAAACCTAGGCATCGGTACGGGGACAATCCGTGAATCTGCAAGAAAATATGGTAAGCAATGCAAAAATGCATAATCCAAGAAATGACTTAGTGATGAATAAGATGGGCTTAATCCCTCGGGTAAACATAAAGATTTCAAATTTTATATATAAACTCATTCAAAGAAAAATAAAAATGGAGGGGGTGACGCCCCAACAACATAATATCATTTACGTGCCTGCTGCCTGTTAAATGTGGCAAATACAATTTTCGTGCATTTCTAAATAAAGAAAGGCTAATGGTTTCTAACGATTAAAGGTACCTGATCAGAGGCTGAAATAATTTCGCTTCGTCCGAGAGGATCAATAAGAACATTTACTGAGAGCGAGGTTACACTTTCAGAAGGAGGACTTGCTTCTATTACTCCACCTAGAAGAAAGAAGAAAGTTTTAATGATATATGAGATGCCAGATATCTCCAAAATGATATGGGCTTATATTCTTATATTTACATTTTTTAAAAATCTTATTAGAAGTGAATGGTCGTAATTTTTGACTGATGGAAAAAGTTCAACAGAAATTAGTGGTACACTTATGATGTGCCAAAGTGTAAAATGACGGATTCCGTCAATATCATGATACTACGAAACATGGGAGAAATGTTTATGCTCACCTTTACTAAGATACTCGTTGAGAAATTCACTCCAGGTATAGAACCTATTCTTATCAACAACAATGGAGTACTTGTCTAGGATTTCAGGAATCTCAGAAATAATCTTGATATAAGTAGCCTCTCGCGCCCATTTTTTGTTCCATTTCTCCCCATAACGCCTTGCTTCCTTCAATGCCCAGTTGTAGCAAGTTAGATGCGAAACAACGTCACAATACGCTGCGGAAAGATGATACAAAATTGAAAAAACTTTTTGTTAACAAGAAGAGAGTCAATGCTTTTAAACAACGTTTCTGGTAAGAAAGGAGATTATTTGATTCAACTGGTACGGTTATAAAGGTAATGCGTTTCATTGTCGATTGATCACAATATTCTTTGAGATAATATCATTCGTTCAGAACAGATCGAACGATTCCGGTAAACTTATACAAATATTTCATGAAATAATAAAACCTTTTCAAAATTGACCAAAATTCCTTTGCTCTATCTGTTTCTTATAGCTACTGTAATATTGAATTGCGATTCATGGCATTTCCTCTTGAAGCAAACAAACAAAGTAGATTACCAATGCCTCTGCCCTCAACTTCATCATCTATCTTAAACAGCCACCTCTTGGTGTGTAAATTTGCAGCGACCAGATTTGCGAGAGACTCATGCAGCTGAAAATAGAGAAATATTTGCACGGTCAGTAGGTGCACAGGGAATAATTATCTGATGTCGATAGCATATAAAATAAATCTTCAGATGACATGAAAAAACTTTAAATCAGCAGAAGGTAGAAAACATATAAAATATCAAAACGAGTCTGGGATAAGAATTTTACCAAAGGACACGAGCCACAGATGACATACATTCATTTCTTGTACCATACAGATTAAATTCATGAAAGCACGAATTTTGAATGCGATAACTGCCGAGAGATTTACAGCATATTTGATTAATTGAATTAAACAAAAGTTTTAAAAAGATTATTAATGTCGAGCCTATAAAAAATCAATGCTGCTTAAAATTTCCAATTTTTGTAAACATCGACAGGCACTGAGAGTAAGTAGGCTTGTTTCATATACAAAATGAACTAAAACATCAAATAACAGTTTGCTAACCTGCGTAATACTATAGATATCTGTTTCTGCAGGACCCCTGTCAATGTTAGCATCTTCAAAGATACGTCTTGCACCTGATTTTGAAGAGTACAGTGTTGCCACCTCTGGTTCGCACCCAAGTACTGGCACATCTGTATAGGGACAAAGATTAAATGGGTGTTTACTGAGAACTATCTGAATCAAAATCACTCGAAAATATGCAAAAAGCTCACTCTGATCAATCAGAATTAGTAGAAACGAACCCGTAATAATTAAAGGCTTGACTGGAAAGGGAATGCACAAGATAAATCAAATGATAGATACGCCAGGCCTAGCAAATTGTGGTTGGGGTAATTCAAACAACTGCTTCATATCAGAGGTAACAGCGTTAAGAATCCTAACATCAATAGGATCCTCTCAAAAACGGGAGGTCCTTAAGTTTTTTGTAGTCATTGAAATGCGAGCGAACTAAAACAACTAACCGAGAAAATCAGATACATATAGATCATCGACATGCATCAAACCAGGAACGATGTAAGCATTTTTCCCTTTTATCAACGATTTTATCCTGAAAAACAAGCAAAGAAATTCAAATTTAAAGAATAGGCGGAAGAATTTTGTATCATACTAAAGAAAAAATATAAAAAGGAGAAAGGAGAAATTAATATCCAGATGCGAATGAAAAGTATCTTCAACCATAACTTTGGATAATTTTAAGGCAATCAGCCCTTTTGTCAAAAAAAGTGAAATTCAAACATTGAAATTCCTAAAAAACCAAAAATTTTCCTTGTTAGAAGTTAACTATGATTTGAAAAAGCAAGAAACCGAGGTTTTTCTAGCTGCCAAGGAAAACAAACCCGTAGCATCGTGCCACTTACAACATCATTTATCAACAGAAAACATCTTTCGCTAGTGGTATTCAATAAGATATTGAGAAAATATTAAGGAGAATCTAAAGCTCGGATCGCAGCACTGACTCTGTGAAGATTTAGGTTTTCATTTATTGTAATGCGTCTGATGAGAAGTCATATAGACGGGCGGACTATAACATTCAATGTGTTGTTTCACCTGTTTAATGTTCTTGTGCTGTACTTCAGCAGAGTGGAAACACACATTCTATGGGCCTAGAAGTTAAAAAAAAGGATGTTCAGCTTATCTGAATACTGAAGATCTTTATAGAAAGCTGGATGACTGACGTGGTGAAGACTTCTGTTACGCTAAATATACACGACCAAGTAACCAACAGATTAAGCATCACAGCAAAAACAGCTACAGTCACAGTAAATATGTGTTATTCTTAAAAATGATTAACCATAAAATCTTTCTAAAAAGCCCTTACCGGAAATCTGTGGGCAGATTCTGGTGAAATTAAAGAACATCTTTTAGAAGGAGGTTCTATGTCATCCCTTTTTTTGTCAGTCAAATCAAGCAATTTCATGTAGTACTTTTCTGTATCCTCGCTGAATTGCCACGGCCACACGTATATGACATCGACGTTTGGATCTTTAAAAAAAGTCTGACCCTTGAAATGATAATTTCTTGAGGCACAACTTAAACTTATATTGAGTCTTTTCTAAATAGTTGAATTTGTTTAAAGGTTAGACAAAATAGAGGTTTTACTAGTATAACAAAGAATTATTTCTCGAGAAAAGAAAATCACGAATTAGGAGAATTAGCGTTTTCTTGATTCATTTTCTCCGATTCGAATTACTTTCACTTTCTAGGTAAGCTAAGGGCTGTTGTGTTAATGTGAAAACGAAAATAATTATAATAAAGTACTCAGAAGAGCAAAGCTGGAAGAGAGAAAAGTGGGGAGAGATAAAGCTTGCAACAGATAGAATGGCTGAAGAAAAAGGTCATACCGGTTGATTCAAATATTCTCCCAACCTGACGGTTCTGGAGGTCGCTAATATCTGGTAGAAAGTCGCGCACTTGCTGTGCGTATCCTGTTAATAAAAAAGTACACAATTGTCAGTAAAAGTGGGAAAGGACCATCAAAGATAAAAAATTGAAGAGATGGGGGAGCGTTTATTAAAAAGAGAAATGCAACTGTTTGCAAGTATTTAAAATGAAGCATCGGATAAGCTATGAAAACCACTAACACTAAACAAAGTTGGCTGTAGTCAAGTTTTGCCGGGCGAACATTAGGCTATCCATGTATGTAGGAAGGACAGCAAAAAGAAGAGAGAACGCGCAAAAAAAGACATGTAAGAAACAGCGCCAAGAGCAGCACTGCAAAGCAGCTCAATTAGGAACTTGAGACTACCACCTTAAAGTGCTGCACAGGTGACCTCAAATAACTAGCCTTTTCTGCGTATTAGTTCTTGCTACTCCAACTGAAAACTTATTTAATTGGAGTTAAGTTCAATTGTAAAACTGAAATCGATAGGAAGTTTGCAAAAGAATTATTACCTAACGATGGTATGTGTATAATCACGCGCTTTGAGTCCTGCAATTTTTGCCAGTTCTGTTTCAAAACCTAGGATGAAAAGATTTTGATGTTCATTTATCAAGGTTTGAATGCAAGATTTTATAGCACAAAATTAGAAATATTGTGGTTATTCATTGTGGTTGTGGAAATTAGTGGTTATTAGGGACAATACGACGAAAAAGCCAGGCACACTGGACAATAATTAAGTAGGTCGTGATTCAAAAGATTGACCTATAAAAAATGATTTTTTCAAGTTCAGTTTGGATGTTTCTTAGTTTCTGAAAAAGTGTCCATTCACAAGACTGTGAGCATAAAGCAAATTTAAATGACTTAATCACATTACTGAATATAAACATCAAGCAACTTATCACCAGACAGATTTAATTCAGTGTGTTTAGTAAATAATAATGAAAGTTGAAGAGTAAAATATGTAGTTTCGCAAAAAATTAGCTTCTGTTGGCAAGAAGAAATTCAAACAAACTGTTTATCATTGTTTTCTCTCAGTTGCAACACTTGGCTTGCAATACTTAGCATTCTTTTTAGCTATGTCAAAAAAGCTTACCTTTTGAGATAGAAAGATATTAAGCGAAAATGAAAAGAGACTGATTTAACAAAGAAGGCAAGGAATGTTTACAATTTAGCTACAGAAATCTGCAATTAAAGGACCGAGCAGCAAAAATTTTGGTAGAACTCACCCTTAGGCGCAGTTTGTATCTTTCTAGGTGTCCATTTCTAGCAAGTCGTAGCTGCTTTCTTATCAAAGACATCTTGCATATCATAATCCAGTTTAGTGCCAACAAACCTAAAAACGTGATTGATATGGGAATTATTAAATTGAAGACAGGCAGTTGTAACTCTTTCCGTTCATTTCAAGATCTTAACTTTATGTTGAGAAAAATATCTTAATTTGCAAACAATTCTGGTTTAGGTTAAGAAAAATAACCTAATTTGTGTACTTTATGAGTATCAATTCCATTTTTAACATACAAAAATTGACTTTGTATTGCAAAATGAAATCTTCCATCAATCTTGGAAGCGAAACTTTCTAGCTAAATATTAATAATTTCTGGATCAATATACTTTCTGAATCAATAGCAAACAGGGGATTACGAAAGAGGGAATTTTTCTAGATGCATCTATCATAAAACGCATTCTGTTTAACCTAGTAATATCTGGGTTAAAGACATCGTATTGCTGGAAACACTGAAATCACTAGTAAAGGAAAAGAATCTTACAATTTTTCACTAATACGTTAAATAAAATTTAAGATAGACTTTGAAGTGTAAAGTGTAAAGTATTTTCCTAATTCTGATCACGACTTTGTTCTGACAAAGACTAAGATGCCGTAAGTTAACCGTGTACAATAATTTCGTAAGTGGATTAATGAATAATATCTTTTCTTTCCACGAAAATCAGCCCTGGGAATTCATCCAATTAGTGCTTATATAAATCATGGCTCAGAGATTACCAGAAAATAAAACCGTAATAATCCAGACCTTTAAATAACTGAAGTAGCTCCCAATTGTCTTAATCTTTTGGGCACATATAAAATAAAACTGCGCGTACATAATAAGAAGATTTTCTTGCTTGATATAAAGAAAAGAACTTGTGAATACTTAAGAATTCATTACAGCAATGTTCATTCTAGCAGACTCATTATATAATCCTAATTAGTATCTGTATCACTGCTACGTTCAAGTAATGAATGGCATTATTATTATAATGACTCATACCTGCAGCCCATTTTCTTTTCCTATAGAGCAAATATGCATTTCGGTCTTTATATCTTCGGAAAGAGCTCTAGAAAAGAGAGAAAATACAAAGCATATGGTAAAAAACAACAAGTAATCTGTACGTCAAACAAAAACACATCAATTTGAACAAATTTTAAATTGATCAAATACAAAACGGATATTTTCAACAATCCATTTTCAAAAGCTAAGGTTTTGGTTTTCATGTCATGCACTTTGCCACAGCATACATTAAAGTGATTCATAATAGGGTCTTGTATTAACTACATTCAATTAGCAGACCTGTATGAGATGCATATCATTAACGAACCTGTATCTTTGTTGCTGCTTCTTCTCTGCCATCTGCTGCTATATACCGCCTCCCCTAAATGACACACAAACCAGTTTAGTTAAAGAAAAGAGACTTTGGATAGTGACACTGGAGTATAAAAAAGTTATCAATCAAACCTGCAGGCATTAATCTATACTAAATGAGAGTCGATGCCTCCCATATATATATGAAGACATATGACTAACAAGCCCGAAAGACGTTCTTTGGGTAAGACCAATTCTCCATAAGCTGCCAAACTCAAGAAGAAGTGGGGAAAAATTACATTGCATCATTTCATCCTCTTTCTTTAAATGATGTTTTCGCTGTTACTAAACATGATAAAATTCGTGCTATTAGTACAAAGCCCTTATATATTTGATCATTTAAAATGTTGCTTATCCAAATCAACTAAAGTTAGTAACAGGGAATTTGAAGGTTACCAGTCAAAACAAAGAACTTTTCTCCGAAAATCCCAGCTTTTACACATTGGAAAATTACAATAATTAATTAACAAATTTATATTCAGGTGCAGATAAAAAATAGTCTTAAGGTAAAACTGCATGTTTAGGCTTTAAAAAAAACCTATAAAGCTAAATAATGAAGGAAACTTATCTAGTCGTCATCTAAAAACCGAAAAGTAGAGAATACCGAAGAGAAACCAATACAGAACATTTTCCAGGATGGGAACACTTTTACTATATTTTAATAGATTTTTCCGTTTCACATGAAATTTTATCTAAAATTAGTCAGGAGTTAATAAGTAGAGAACAGGTACATTTAAGAAAATAGTTACTTCCTTGAATTGCAAAGAAAAAACCTAAAGAAACTGCTATGATAAAAATCGTTAATACTCACAGGAATCATCAAAAACCTGCTTACGTCATCCCTGTTCAGATTGCAGTAAGGAGATCCTAGGATAAGAGAAACGAAGGGTTCTAATTGCAGATTGGCTGACGAAAGCTGAAAAAAGTTAGAAAATGAGCCCTGTAGCATTGGTGATAGCAGCAGTGGGAAATAAATTAGACTTAGTGCATAAGATGGAATCGTACAATAAACGTGATTCAATTTCATTATGGTTCAAAAATAGCAATCTTTTAGTTAAAAATCTAAAGAACTGAAGGATAGATTTTAACTTTGCACAGAAATAGGTTGTAAGCCAATATAAAAAAACTAATGAATATGGATAAAAAAATTCAAAGGAAAATTTTTTGTAAATTTGCATACTGTTTTTCATATATTTTGATAACAAAGTATAGTTTGACGTTTCGAGATGGAACATCAATTTTTATGCTTGCAGATATTAGGAATAAAACTAAGAGCAAAATTTTAAATTTCTAGCTCCGCCTAGCCTTGCAACGACAGACCTAGCTTAAGCATTCAGCCTTGCAACAACAGACCTGTAAATAATGCCTATCGTTACACACGGTTTTTAGCAAAAGATTCCATCAATTGCAACAGTGACCTGTAACGATTTCGACGCCAAGAGTTACATCTTCAACCAAACAGAAGTTTCATCCTTAGTCAAACCAATAGCGAAATCTTCCTGCCTGCCTATCATTTGCAAAATCACAAAATAATCCATTGCATATTAAATGGGACCACAGTGGTAGGTAATAGCCTATGCTTTATCAAAATATTTTTCTTTCAAGCCACAAAAAACGCTTATTTGATACCCTAAATATTAATCTTCTTCAAAAACATACCAAATTCTGCTTGCAACAACATACATGCATCTTATTAGTGGGTTGCAATCTTCAAATGATAAAGCCAACAGTTGATGAAAGAGATTTAGATTCATTATAAAAAACTTAAAAATCATGCTCTGATTTACCTCCTTCGATGGAGCTAGATTGCCCTCAAAGTACAGCGCCAAATCAACAAATCTGCGTAGAAAACAAAAAAAATGAAAGATTGAACGCTAGAGATCAAAATTCTCAAAATGGACTTCACTATCTAAGAAGCATGGATCTTTGCAAAAATTATGAACAAAATGTCTGTTCAATCGAACAAAGAACTCTAGCTCAACATTCATTTTACTAATAAAAAGCCAATGATTATTTAGAAAGAGCAAAAGGTGGAAATTTCTGAGTAAATCTGCTCTTGTGATGAGGCAATACATGCATAAAAACCAAAATATAGAATTGTTTCTGTCGCACAAGTTTACAACAAAAATTATATTGAAGTTGTCTAGTCTACATTGGGATATAATTGTTTGGCTTTTTCGAAATAGAATGTATTCAAAAGATTGTCATGACAATTTTTTAAGATAAATTGTCAAATTTTGGTTAGGCAGTGCAAAATAAATGATCAAATTGTGAAAGATAGCTTTCAATAGAAATAAGATTTGAAAAGTCGCCTTCCTGATTGAGCACATACATTTGTGCAAGGAAATCAAGGCAAACACATCTGAAAATGGCTTTGAAAAAAGCAAACATTTTACAACATACTAAAAGCTTTTTTATCTGAAACTCCTCAGAGCATAAATCGTCAGAATAAGGGTCAGAAAGAACACGATGAAAAATATATCCATGCAAACACATCTGTTTTCGATGCAAACACATCTGTTAAAAGATCATCTTAAATCTTATTCAAATTTCCAATATTTTCATGTTCCCTTTTGATGCTCAAACTTTTTAGAATTAACATCAGTAGAACAAACAACTCACTGATCTCCGTTAACCACAGCAACAGGAATTGAATAGTTCGTCAAAAATTTCTCCATTTTCTTCAGAAGAGATACAATGCTAATAAAGAATGAATTTGGATAATTATATAAACAATCATCTTTTAAAACATATAGATAATTCAGTATAGATTATGTTTCAGTAACATCGTAAAGACCAAGATTTTGAAAATAATTTATACTTTGATAACAATTTCTACATTTATCTTTCTAAGAGGTTTTTTGTCTTTCTTAAATATCTGAACAGGACCTACCTGCCCCAAGATGTCTGGTAAAAATCTTTAAATTTTGAAAATTCCTGTAAATGGAAAAAGCCATAGATTGAACTCATCTGATAATCAAGTTGTTGAGCTAAGCATATTGGAATTAAGCTAACTAGCACAACCAATGATTAAAACACTTTATGCGGTTTATTCTGTAAACTTTAAAATTGTCCATGAAATCGAAAATAATGCTTAATGGTTGCTACAAATGATCACTAAAGCTGGGGATATGATCTAACAATGGCTCTCTCTTTACAGAACCTTCTTATCTTTGCAACTACCTAAGAAATGTTCTCTAGACACGTTTACCTATGTATTAACCCTTAATTTAAGAAAAAAAATGCTTTGCTCTACATAATATGTTGTGATGTGATTCTTGTATTTTTCATGTCACTCTATGGTTGATAAAAAAGACATCTATGCAATCCTCAATATACTTAACATCTTCAACAGCGTTTTACCCTTACCTCTGTTGAACTCCTTGCTTTTCCATTTTGAATCATAAATTTATGTATTACTTTCTCATCATCAAACGTCGGAGTAGAATAGGGCACGAGAGCCTTGAAAAAACAGTACATTCAGTGTTTGCAGCGCGCATACGATCTATTCACAAATAAGGTTTCCTGGAGCTGAAAAGTAGTTTTCTTGTCACTTCTATCACAGGCCAATACATATGTGCAATATATCAAACATTTAAGGAAAAATGAAAAAAAAGAGCACACTCTTTGTCATCAGGATACAACCTGTTTACATTGCAACTGACATTATTGATTGGTTGAAAATAGTATTGATTATGATCTATTTCACAAAGGCGAAACCAGTTTTACTTTGCATTTATTTTTACTTGAATCCTATCATTCTTCGAATTTAGAATCGCTAGAATTCTATCTATGGAAAATTTTAATTCAAGATACAATTAATGTTGGCTGGACTAGATTCGGTCATTCATCTGAAACTCTAATTAGATTGAATACTTCCAATCGAGAAGAAAACTTAATCCAAAGTAAATCTGAGATACACTTTTTTGATGTATTTCAAGTAATAAGATAAAAATTCCTTTTCCATTGTCGTGCACAAGGCTTAGTCTTATTGGACTTCATGTGCTTAGCAGGTAAGAAAACCAGGCAATGACCTGGCAGTGATATTGTGAGAAGGAAATACCAGATTTTTCAACTTACAGGAAAAGATCTATTAGAAAAAAAGGAAATATTTGCTAGAAGTTATTTCAATTTGTACCAGGATCGTTTCAAAAATGTTGTTTTGAGTCTATTGTCAAACTCATTTTGTGACCTTCAACAATGGTGTCGATAAGTTGAATTGATATGGACAGGTAGAAATATATCATGATTTCAAAACAACATAGAAAAACTTTTAAAAAAGGCAAAGAGGCAGGGTGAACAATGCAAAGAGCAAATGGCTGAGAGCTGGTATAAATGCAAGATGGGTGACAAACCTGGACTCCTTTAATGCTTGCCGAGTCATTCAAACCAGACAAAACTCTTGGATTTCTTCTGTTTCCGACATGAGTGTCGCTTTTAGTGAACCGCATATCCCGTTTTGCTCCCGCAGACTCGGGCTAAAGACAAACATAAAATGCATGACACGAGTGGAAGCATAAACCGGAATTGGAAAAGGACATAGATTTTAAAACATGAGACATGTTAAAAATGACGCATAGCAAAAAGTTCCATTTCCAAAAATAACGGTCGCTAGAGTATTTGAGCAGTCTAGATATTATTGTTCTCATCGCTTTTATCAATGGTGAACAACGACAAGAGAAACAAGGGAGATAAAGTGGCAGCTTTACAAAGACAGATGTCAAGGCTACTTTGTAATATTTGCCCCTCTCACCACCAGTGTTTAGCTCAAAATTTTCATACAATAAAAAGGTGTAAAGTTGGAGAGAAATGATACTGTTAATAAAACTTGCAATTACCTGGTCCCTGAAAGTAACTCTTGACTGTCTTGAAATAGCTAGAAAAAGACGAAAAATGAATGAATCTGGTAGCTACAGCTCTACAACAAATACTTGTCACGTCAAAAAACGGCTGACCTTCCTTATTATATTCAAGAAAATCAGCGAGAAAGGCCCTTATGAGGAAATCTCCATATGGCAAACGAAATAGGTGGCTTCACAATATAAAAAAGCCACAATAAAGGAGACTTAGCTTCGAAATGGGAAAATGGAAAAATGCTATATCAGATGCGATTGGCTAGATGACATGGTGTGGGCTTGCTATCTGATGTTGCAGAATAAACAGAAGGACATAAAGTGCCTAGTAAGTAATTCTTTTTGTAGTGAGTACTGCACTCTCCAGACCTAGAAATTCGATTCCAATACAAACAACAACATTAAATGCAGTATAAGGGTGACAAAACCTGTTGAAAACACAGCTATTCTCTCTGATAGTGACGTTTGCTAGATGACACGTATTGATTATTCGAAATGACTGAGGGCCATTCTAATTATCAAAATAAAAAATAATATACAGAAAAGTGAAAGATATCTTCCTGAAATGGGTAAACTGCAAACTGGTAGGAAAGTAAATTACCTCTTTGGGCGTCTTTTGAAACCAAAGCTTTCGAATAGTCCAGTTTCTCTTCTTCGTCCATTTTGTTCTCTTTTGACTGAATCTCACATTCTTCTTCACCTTGGTTGTGAGGACGTAGCTTCAAAATAAATTTGTTACGATGAAGCACTACCTTCTTCACAGAAAGGAGCAAAAAGTAGTTAGACATATTGCGATAAAATGTAAGACATGATGATGTTTACAAGACATATTACGGTAAAGTACGTAAATAATTTTGACAGAAGATAGTTGAATGAAAACTAATATATGGATTATGAACCATTCTAGAGAAGAAAAAGTCAAAACGCAGAAAAAATGTGGTTAACTCGTTCTACTAAATTCCAGTATGTTTAAAATCATGTTAACTCTTCTGTTATCACAAAGAATGTTTATCGTCGGCATATCTTCCTGGTTGAAAACTTCAAAGAAGACAGACATAGAAGCAAAAGGAAACATAAAACGATTTCATTAATTAGTAGAAATACTACTGCTCTCTCTTCTCGTAGATCACTCACCGTTAATTGCTTTGTCTGCACTGGTGGCGGCTCTAGAGTTATTTTTGCATATGGCTGCAATGTATGTCGAGAGTTTGGTCATTAATAATGCATTCTAGTGGTACGTTAAATTTAATTCTATACTTGACCAGCCTTATTGATAATATTATAATGCTAGGTAAGTCGTTGCACTTTAAACATAAAATACTAAACAGCTACAAAAATTAGTTTGCATAGCTTTGATGACATTGATAAAGCTAATAATAATTATAGTAATATAAGATTGAATTGGCATGCTGGCATAACAATCTTTTGATGATAGTCTGTATAAGTAATGATTCACGATAAAAGTGAAAATAAATGTCCTAAGCAATAAACGTTCCTTAGAAATAAACAAAACTGTGAAAAGGTAAGACAGTACAATGGCTGATCCTACCGGTATAAATCTCCTTTCAATAAGATAACGCATGCCTTGCTTAGCATCATCAGCTGTCATCTGGGGTGGTGCCTTAAAGGAAGATGCAAGGGAATTATTGTTTGGACTTTTTGAAATTGTACACATAATATGTAAAATACTTTTGGATATGCAAACAGTCAGTTGCAAATCGGCTGAGACAGCCAGTGAAAAACTTATACAAATGGATAAGTGTTGTTTTTGCTTGGTTCATAAATATGAAAGGAAAAGAGCCTTTGCTGATGTAGTCACTCCTCAGCCATTGTGTAACTGATTCTTCTAATTATGCACATTTGTATTTTTATGTATTATTTCTGACTATATGTCCCAATTCAGAAATTTTGAAAACACGACTTTATGAACTCATCATCATAGAAATAGTGAATGAGGAACTTTTCACAGAATAGATTTTAAAACTGAAGACGCTGCTAAATTGTGTCATTTGGCAAGATTTACACCACAAAAAGTGTTTTTCAGTTGATGCAGGGGCTAAAATAAGCGTGGATCTGACTCACTTTGTGGAGTTGTAAATCAAAATTGTGGAACTGTAATTGTAGAAAGTGTGGATTTGTAAATAATGCATTTTCTTAAAAGTGCAGCATAAAATACCAATCGAAACGCCTAAGAAAAAATTGGGAACATTTTTTCAATTCGAACTGAATGCCCGATCCCAGCCTTGTGTATTGCACTCATTTTTTACAGAATAATTGCGATAAGAAATAAGCAATGGATAATAAAGAAGAATTAAGAAACTTCAGAGCTCGAGCTTCAGTACATGCGGAGAAAAATCAATTGCGCTTTATGATATTTTTGTGTGCTATTTTGAAGTAAGATGGACTCTGTATACAGCTTTAACTTCAAGACATCATCTCAATTTAGTTTGCTTTTATGACGTGCTTCAAAAAAGACACTGAGACCAAGAGTAATGTATTTTGGGGTTTATGTGATAACTTTCAGTAGATTTAAGAAAAAGTTGCAAAGCAATTCAACGTCATTTAATCGTCATTTAGCTTAAAATCTAGCATACCAAGTTTAATTCAAAATGTCTCTGAAGATTTCTACAATCATCAAATGAACTAAAAACATTAGTACCATAAAATAATAGACTTTTAGTACAGGGGGTGCTCTCTCCTCGATTAGTTTATCTATTGAGAGAGCTCATCTTTAAGAAATTCCATACCTACAAACTTCCTCTAAATTAGTTTAGTTCTTTTTGTATACTTTGATATTATTTGTTGTTGTTAATGTAGTTTTGTACTTGTTGTTAGCCGGAATTTGTACGTTGGAATTTTTAAAATGAAAAACTTGAACTTGAACTTGAAATAATTTGGAATCTAGCATAACTCTGACATAACTCTGATATTATTTAAAAGAATAATTGTTTCCATTGAACCATTGTCTATCGTTACCAAATGCAAACACTTTACACCAGCACCTGTGTTTTTTCATTTTGGGAGTAAATTGTGACTTTCCACCTTCAGGATTTTGCTAGTTGTTTTGAATGGTTGGCAGCCACATATTTTGTGGTTGGAAGCCAAATTCAGCCAGCTAAACGCAGTATGCAAAAAGCTAAATTTTTGCTAATTATTGGGAGTGATACCGCAATCAAAACTCTCTTTGTAGGTTACAAAAGTCGAATTCTCGCAGCAAACCCTAATTCTTTCGATGTAGAGAGGCGGGTGGGGAAAATAGCATAGCTCCAGAAAAACTTAACAAATATGTAGATATTGAAAGAAATATGCTTGATATCGCAAGTTTCGAGTTCCGAGAAAAGCTGCAAAGATATGGCTCAAAAAAAACAAAAAAACACCAAAGTCTGGGAAGCAAGGCTGATTTAAGGGAGTTTCTGAAGTTGAAAGAAAAAAAAACTTTGACAGAGATCCGAAAAAACCATGTAAAAGAGTTTCCTTTCAATGACTTTTTGCTAACATATTAACACATCGCAATATGTAGCTAATTTCTTTATTAACCCAATCCATATATTGTAAATCATTCTTTCAAGAATTTGCCCAATTAGGACATGCTCTTTGCACTATGATGGCAGTTTCTATATTTGTCACCCCCATGATGCCAATCCCAGCAAAGTACCAGGACCAATTTTTTTGAAAAATGTGGATCTGTCAAAATTTCTTATTTTAGGACGGACGACTAAGAGAAATTTCTATAAATTAGAAAGTCTAAAAAGAGCTTTGATTAAAAGATTAAAAATTGCTGTAAAAACATTTTTGAAGCACAATCACATAGTTTTGAATCTTCGTGTCACAGAACTTTGAAAAGACTACATAAATTTTGCAACATTGCCCATTCAAAGCAAGCAGTGCATTAATATTTGCCATGATGAAAAGCAGCTTACCGCCGGATCTTTGATGGCTCCTCTTGTCAAATCTGCAGACAGGCTTTTTGCTTTGACTCTTGCCTGTTTATGCTGTAAATCTTGTTGTTCCTACAATTCGTAATAAACTTGATATTGTTGGTTTAATCAAATATTATATGACTGTAAAAGCACATTGAGGTATCAGTGATAGTTTGTGCATGGGCTGTAATCAGGGGTGGGGTTAGCGGGGGAATGTAGGGGGTGTGACACCCCCCAATATTTCTGGGTTCTTCAGTGAATTTTGCTTACATTTGGTAAAATCATTTTTGGTAGTCACTAGTAACAAATTAGTAAAATCATTTTTGTTGTCGCAGCAGCCAAGTGGTTAAGGCGCTTGACTGCCATGCAAGTTCTCTGGGTTCTACCCTGGCTCATGGACAGCCCTCAGCTGGAAATGAATACCTAGTTGAAATATACTACGGAGATAATGAGCGGCATGGAAAGAAACTGGACATCCTACCACACAATACCATGACCCAGGACGATGCCCCCTCCAAGAGTGCATTCCCCAATGTTCAATGTCAAATACGGAACAAACTTTTACCTTCTTTAGTAACAAATAAACGCCAAAATTTTACATTATTCATCTTCTTATCTTTGTCATTGTTTTGGAAGTTTCTTTATATAGTCATAAAAAGCAAATGGAAGGAGTAATTCTTATCTTTACATTGCTTTCTTGAAGTTTAAAGTTACGCTGACAGACTTGTGTTTACTACACTCCAGCAATTTTGCAATACATAATAGAACCTAGAGTATCATCCCCAAAAATCGAGATAAACACCTCACAAGCCTAGTGCCTACATGTAAAAATAGATCTACACAATTTTATTAAAAATGGAAACTTTTATCAATAATGAGTTATAAGGCACAGGTTCAAGAAAGAAGGACAATTTCTATCATCACATCTTATGGGTCACATGAAAGGGATTTCTTTTGCTCACCTCTTCATCGGGGCCTTCTGGTGCTGATGGCAATGGAACACTGTATTTCTCATTCAGCAGCTTCCTTGCATCCTTACTTAGTGGGTTGATGATAGCTTTCAGTTTTTGCAAGTTGAGAAACTGAAAAAGAATTTCTCAATAATAAAAAAGACCTTGTACATTGTAAAAGGCATTCAACTTGACCCCTATCAGTTGACCAATCAAACTGCACACAGAGAAAAACATGTGAACATTTTCCACCTTTCTGCAAATCAGCAAAACCCTAGAGTGGTTTCACGTGAGTAGTTTCAAATTCCTTTCAAACTCACATGCTCTGATCGAGTTATTTTTGGATTCACTGTACTTATTCATGTCAAATGCCTTTATTATTGCCATGGTAATTTAACTCCCAAGCTTGCAGCTAACATCAAAAATAAATTAAAATATAGTCTATTATTAAAAGAAACATAACAAAACAACAAAACATATGTGGTCAAAGAACATGATCTAAAAAAAATAAAAATTCTATTTCAAAGACTTAGAAAGGTTTTTGGACTGCTAACAAGAAAAATATTTGTCCATTGTGTACAAAGTAAAAGTAACCTGTTGGCCTGGTGGCAAAACTCCTGGACCCATCTTTTTTTGTGATTTTTGCTTAGGAACTTGAGATGTGGTATTAGGTGCAGTACTCTGGGTTGCCCTAAACAAAGAACAAAAGTTCCCCTGATTAACATTGCTTTCTCAATCAGATTTAAAAAATAAGTGAAAATAAACGGAAGATTCCTTGAATAACTTCTAGCTCCCTGTCTGTGTAAGAAAATTCATTTACTGGGTGTTATATTCTTATTAATTTTGTGTTCACTCATTTCAAAAGAGTGGGTCACTCAACCATCCAAGAATGGAAATCAGCTTCTAAATTTCATTACTTCAACAGAATGTTTAGAAGCATACTAGGTGGCCACATAAACGATAAAAGAGTCTGCCAGTTTATGGGCAGATCAATAGAAGATCTGCAACCATTTTGAAAGGCCTGTATAAACACATAATCATTCTATTTTAAAAGGTATATGAATTTGGAAATTATTGCAGATGATAGTATGGGTAGAGGGTTTTGTAGCTTACAAAAGTTTAATGGCTACCTTTTCTGAAATGGAACTCCTTTGGAAGATTCTTCAGTTTTCTGTGCAACAGTGGAGCATTTAGAATTAACAGATTTCACCACATCCTCTGTTTGTCGCTAAAAAAACATACTCATTTAGAGAATAATTCATTTAGAGAAAAAACCTATATATGACTTTAAGGAGAATGGCTAAAAATTAAAAAACCTGGTTTCAGACAACTTATATTTTTTGCTCACCTTGATATTATTCTCAACTTTTTCAATAATGACTTTTAGTCTTTCAGCAGCCAACTCATCATTTCCTGTTTCTTTCAATATTGCATCTTTCATTTGTTTGATGTCCTCTTGTGCCTAAAAATGTGAGAAATTTATCTGTTTCCTTAGATTACTTATAGAGAAGAAGCAAATATGAACCAACATTTATTAATACTCTCAATGAACAATACTTTACTGAAAGGTCAAAGAGATTCCAGAGTTTTACCATAAAACTTTCTACAATTATCAGAAAATTTGTGACTTAAATTTATTTTCAATCAAAGTATGGTAGTTAGAAAAATTACAATATTTTATCATTTCTAGTGGGGTACAAGCTAGGGCCTCAACTCCTAATAAAAAAGTATCTAAGATAGAAAACACAATTTAATCAGCATAGTTAAATAATATTTTGGAGCATTGTAAGGACTATTGTTAACTTGCTCAATCAAGTTGGCACTGTCTTTGCAGATGCTTCAGTTTTACAGTCCCATAAGAACAATTTTATAAAGGTGACCATGCCACTAAAGATTCTAAATTTGCCAGTGTGCAGAGTAAGAGATCTTGCATGTGTATTATCATGTGCACATTTTTCATACAAATCTCATTCTATTGATCAAATGGCATGCAAACAGACGTTTCTATAAGAATCCTGTTGCAAAGTTGGTGTGTGAAATCAAATTTTGGTGTGCCAAGCTAGACTTGCATACATTTGCAGAACTCTGGAAAGGCCTTTATGGTACTGAGAAGAGTTGTAACTGACATAAACGCTGATCTAGGCATGGCGCCACTGGGTAGCTGGGAGGGTTGAAGCCCTTCCCCCACTTTTTCAGAGATCAAAATTTTTCTACCATCTTTTCTATAATTTTCAAAACAGAGTATGAAATCAAAAAAAAACAAAGTGTTTATATACTACTTGATTTTATTTGATATATTTACTAACTTATTGAGGTTATATTTCTATCATTTGTCTTTTACTTGCATCAATTCAGTAGATAACTCTCGTTGCAATGTCATTTTTTATGTGTAAACATGACCTACTGAAAATACTCAAAAAAAAGAAGATACACATGTGTGTTCAGGAAGTAAAATTTTCCCAGTCAATTCAACATCATTGAGATGTGCACTCTGAACCAATGGTCACCATTTCTTCCTTGCCCCAATGTCTGTCACCATTTCTTTTCATTAAATTTATTTTATTTCATTTCATTCCATATATTCTCAGCATTGAATTACATACATAGTAACAAAGATATCGAAAGCTTAATTGGGTATAATTACAATGGGGTTACAGAAAAATATGCATCACAACATGCAAAATCAAAATTGCTGAAGAGGACATACAGAAATAACTCCTCAGAGCCTTCAAGTTGAGAATATGAGAGTTTTAGCATCCTCCCCTCCCAAATTTTTTCTAAAAATCAATAATCAATGTTTGTCTGAGAATCGCCAAACTGCCTGTTCTGAGCGGTATGGTATTTTGTTAAACTTTAGTCCTAGATATGTATTTCTAGCCATTCTAGAAGGCTTAATTTCAACAACTTTCTTTTGCATCCGACCCAACCATGGTGGGTCCTTCTATGTCACTAAACTTGATTCTTAGCCCTCTCATGATCAATTTCGTGGCGACGTCTCTGTGATCTCCCAAAAAATCATGAGAAATGCCAAATATTTCTGAATGTGCCTTTCCTCACTCAATATGCATTTGCACAAGTATACATTCGTTCCAAAATGTTGAGAATTAAACATTTTTATCCACGATTGCTAAGAATTCCAGATGTGAAATTTTTAGTGCTGCAGCTGCGAGGTTCTCTAGTATTTCGCATAAATCTTTTTAAAAACAATGTCTAACTGTACTTCCACAACACGACACAATAATACTCATGGGCTGGTGGGGGTTACTTCTTCTTTTGCTAGGCCTATAATCTTAGTAAGATTCTTACCTATACCCGCAAACGAGAGTCAAATTTCATCAGTTTTTAGCTAGAAAAATAAACAATAAAAGATCCACAATTTTCACATGAAATTTAGGTAAATAAATAAGATTAAATTAACCGTTGCGCAGAATCAGGGCCAGATTCGACAAAGCTTTTTGCAACAAAACAAAAGCTAATTCCCGTTTTTACCTTCCATAAAATTTCACCAATTCCAGCGAGAACTTCAGGCGGGGCATCCTTGGGACTTTCATCCTTTGGATTTGACTTACTATCAAACTCAAGGGCTGGTAAACTTATTTTGTCCATTTTCAGTAACTCGATGTTGCTCTTTTGACAGCCATGATTGCCAATGTCGTTGCCAAGGCAACGGGACTGAACCGAGATGCAGGCCATTCCGAGGTCATCCTGAAATTTTAATATTCACCACTGAATTTGGGCCATATTATCCTATCTCTATGATTTGGGCCCACTTGTCCAAATATATATTTCTAAAATCAAATAATTACTGTCAGCAAGGGCTCTGTCCTAAAATTTTCTATCGCTGCAGAAATTTCTTAAAAACCCCAGTTAAAATGAAAATCAAACTTAGACCTTTAGACTTTTCCAAAAACCAAGCATAAGAAAAACTACATTTTGAACATGTTTGAAAATCTTTGAGATAAAAAAATTAAGTTTTCGTAATTGTGAGCGCTTTCGGAAAGCGACAAGAACAGCAACAGCCCAATTAGTGCTTGAAAAGAAGTAAAAGAAAGAAGTAAAGGAAAGCGGCTGTAATGCTGTCATAATTGATCTGACTTTCGGCAGCAAGAACAAATTTCAGTTTGTGTCAGCTTTGCACTGAATGGTGTTCGACGCAAAGTTTTTGCTAAATTTCACAAAACTCAGTCTTGGCAAAGCCAAAGGCTTGGTAAAGCGAATGGAGGACTGTTCTTCGCTGAGCCTCTATGTCAACTGCCTTAGAAATTAGTTGAATCTTTGAGAAAGTGAGTCAATGAGAAATTGACTCGGTGTTGTTCAAGGTCTTTACAATTGAGGCCAACACTAAAAGACATGCAATTTCAAGAGAAAATTTGAACATGAACCGTCAAATAGGTAATAGGGACAAAGGGCAACGTACTGGGCTTGCCAGAGGAGGAAGGCAGTGGACAGGACACTTGTTTTCTTTGCAAAGATAAAGACCCTGAAACCCATCGAAAAACCAAAGCTCTGTTTAATTTTTTCTACAATGTAATGGATAAAGTTTGGGAAGAAATCTATGCGCGATTTAGTGATAGTGACTATCACATTATACGTGCTTTGGCCCGACGTAGGCATATGGGACTTCTATTCACGAACAGCAAATAAGATCACATTAAATAACGGAGAGGATGTCAAACACAATAGAAAAAAATGAGAGTTATTTTCTCGTTAGCTAGAGGGAACTGAGTTTTAGAGCTTCAGTTGAAGAACTTTTGAAGTTTTCAAAAGTTAATTGAACTTGAGCAAAGCTTTAAAGTTATAGACCTAAACTGTGTTACGCCACTGTCTCGTGCTCAGGGAATGCAAGCGTGTATGCTAACCCTTGAACAGAAATCATCATAAAGGTTTGCTCCTTCTACCAAATAGATTCTGAGTTCCTGAACTCCTTGAAATGGAGCACAAAGTGTTCAATAATCACAAGAATAGGCAGGTAAGCAAAAACGTGCGTGAATGGCTGAAAATGATGCAAATCATGTTCACAAAAAGATATCGATGAATTAATCGATATATTTGGTCGCTGTCGTGGAAGAGATTCACTTTTTTTAATGAAAATGTGCAAAATTTTTTAAAATGCTTATTATTTAAGATGGTTTTAATGACGCTGCATTTTAATCATTTCTTGACTCATATTAGAAGTTAACATGTGTTCGAGTATACTTCGTATTTGAGCGATATTATTTTTCAGGCAAAATATGTCAGCCCCCCCTAACCTGAACTCACCCCATGCGCCTATGCATAGAAGTAACTCCCCTGTGCCTTCTTCGCCAGGGAATAGCCCCTTTACATAGAAGTCTTCTGGCAAATATATCATGGCATATGAAAATTTATTAGTTGATAGTTTGAACCTTTTGGTATTGAAAAATATCTTCATCCCTATGCTATGCAAAGCATATCGCCTACTGGTTGGCCATATTTAAGGTGATTATATTTTGATGGATATCTTAACCCAACTTCCTTTTTTGTTGCAAAGAGATAATTGCATTTGCTTAGAAATTACGTCATAAATAGTTATTTTTGCTTATTAAAATAAAAGATACAAAATGATGCTAGCTTCCTTGATTGTCTGGAGGTTGTTCTTTTTAAAAAGGCGGGAAACCTTTTCGTCATCAATCCTCATCATATTTCGTCATCAATCCTCATCAAAAGATTTCCTAAGAGCCACTACTGATTTTACATGGGGTGGGGATGCACTTAAACTCTGGTTTTGGAGCTAGACATACGAAATGTTTCGTCCAGATCTAACATATTTGAAGTCCAGTTCTCATTTTCAATAATAGCCTGAGATCAGGCTCTCGGGGCGTAGTTTTCCCGGTCTCCGTCCGAGCCTGATCCAGAGGTGGCGCCAGAAATCTTCCGACAGAGGGGCTTGAGCTTCCGACAGGGGGGCTAAAATGACTTAAATAAGCAGTTTTCGTACGTTATCTTGTCAAATTTGCTCCGACAATAACCCAAAATTTATTCCGATGGGGGGGGGCTGGATGCTTCCGACGGAGGGGCTGTAGCCCCCCTAGCCCTCCCCTGGCGCCACCACTGGCCTGATCTCAGGCTATTTCAATAAGAAATCTTAGTCTTTTGATTTGCAATGAAGTCACTATTATAATTCTTTATTAACAATTTCATGGTCTAAGGATCGCTAAAAATCCTGAATTTTTCCTGTTTCGAAAGGTTTTCTTATCGTCTTTTTTTCAATAAACACCTTTGTTCGTTTATTGTCGTAGGCTGTTTTGGTGACTTGAAAGAAGGGGAATATTTCAGAAGTGTTCCTTGCAATAACGAGTGGTTTGTGTTTCTTGCAGTTGTTTTTCAACAAACAGCAGTGAATAGCAGCAATGGCAGCACATCGCACTGAAGTAAACATTGCAAATTTTAATGCTAATTTGGTGATTCTTCAGCAAAAATTTACTCAGTTTGGAGGAATACACGACAACAAGATTCCCGATATTGCAAACGACATTAAATATGTTCGTAAATATGTTGAAGAACAGAAGTCATCCGCACAACAGGACCAAAAAGTCAAACTTATCAATGGCCTTGGCAACGTCGTGGTGACGACAATCAACTCTCTGGAAGATATAACAAGCCAAGATCCTATCAGAATTATGAAAGGTGGTCTTAGTATTGCAACTTCTATTGCCGGAATAGTTGGAGGACCATATGGTGCAGCAGCAGCGGCGGTGTGTAGCATACTTGGTGCAGTCGTCTCCGCTTGTTCCCCTAAGGAACCCGACTTGGCATCAAAATTTGCAGAAGCAGTAGCTGTAGAGCTGCAAAAATTTCACCAAAAGCTGACAAATGAGCGATTTTCAGGCCTGCAACATCGAGTCAGGACTATGAACAACACCTTGGAATACTTGAGAAAACAAGATATTGATGGAAGTGCGCCTGCGTCTAGCCTTGACAATCTGATTGATAATCGTCTTTATGAAACAGACCTGCCTCAGTTTATTGGAGAAGTTGCAGTTTGTTTTACAAAGGTACTTTCAAAGGAAAGCCCTAAAAACGACGTCGAGGACTGCGTAAGAGCAATGGTTGTGTACTGTAATGCCCAAGCTACCTTACTCATTTTGATTGCAAATATCATGGCAACATTGAAATGCCTTGGTGACAAGAGTGTGGCTCTGAAGACCATATTAGAAACCGAAACAAAATATTCTCGTCAAGTGCTCGAGTTTCTCTCAGATGAGAAGTACCTTGGTCCAGTAGGGTACCTTCCAACAGAAGGCAGCAAGTTGTATTTGATTCTGGCTTTGCGACAGAATACCCAAGCCTATCCAGTTGTTGAACAGTTCAGAGAAAGTCAAGGACTTAGCAGAATGCCGGACACTGATGTTGTCGTGCAAAATGCTTTCGCATCAGGTTTTTTTTCAATCAAATCAATAATCGACTTGTATCCAGCACCACACAAAAATTGAAATAGTCATTATTTCCAATTCATAAACCATACAGATCTTCCAGTAAAGGTGGAGTGTGGAACGGCAGGCGATCACGTGAATGGCTTGAAATTTTGCAAGGACATAGAGCCACGCAAATCATACGAGCATGTTGCAACTGGATCAACATTTCCATACTGGAATTTTTCAACAGGTGGTTACTTCATCATTTACTTAGATGGCAAAATGAAAAACTACGAGAAGCGATTTAATGGTAATATAAAAGTTTACGAGTTTGCGCTCTCTAACCCATTTATGGGGTCCCGAAAAGCAGCCATAATAGAGAAGAAGGATGCTGTATATTCTGTTAGTGGTAATGACTGCTGGAAGATGATGAACAGCCCGTATTTTGGTGATCCGATATTGTTTACTCATTCGAATAAGCATTACTACATTAAAGCATCTCTTGGTGGAATACGTGATATATTTAAAGATGAAAAAGAGGATGAAGGTCAAGGCAAAAATGGTTGCCGTACTTGGAGATATGTTTTCCAAGAATTCAACCCTGCAGATAAATACGAACAATGTGTTATTCTGTAGAAAACAGATAACTTCTTTTATGCTGCACGAAAAACGTTTTTGAACTTGTCAAATGATAGCTAGTAACATGCTTGTAACTGTAAATTCTGCTTCTTGGCTAAAGCTTATTGACTTTCTTTCAAAATTTAGCAACGCTGCCCAAAAAATGGATCCATAAATTCTAAAAAAAGTTTCTTGCATTGATGTTGAAACGAGAGAAACATCATTAAAAAGTTTCTTTGAATATCTGATTAAACATTGCCCAAAATCATGTGTGTTTTCTGTGGTGACTCGATTTCTGTGGTCCAGCGGGGCTTATGACTGTGAAAACTAGTATAGTAGGTTTGAGCTTAATGGAGGGGGAGAGGGGGATTATCAAAAACTTTTATCTCAAGGATGGGAGATGATTCGATCGAGGCCCATTATTGGGTTCTTTCATTCCCTGCTACATCGCACTCACCCCTTTTACAGAGAGTCAAGAAATCGTGGCATTTCCAAATGAATGAAACTTTCTGGTACAAGAAAACCATTAAACATATGGCATCAACAAAACACTTGCAAGGCAAAATATTATCATAGCCTTTTTATGCTGTAATGATACACCCCTTGATAACCAAAAAAAGCTTTTTTAATTCTTTATCTTTTGAACGATATAAATGGTCGAAAAGAATTAATTCAATTTTCATACAAGAACTTCTCTTAGAGATCCAATCTTTTATGAATAATTACATTTTTAAATTCGCTCTGATATACCTTGAAAACTTTAACAGTACTGAATTTCTGGGAATGGGTTGTTTATGTACCCCTTGTTTTAGCATTAAATCCTTTTCAAGGGCGGTGTCACACCCCACCTCATGCCCATAGCGACGGGCCTATGAATAACACATTTTTCTCCAAAGTTTTGCGAAAGTTGTTTCCTGGAGGCATCTTTAGATTGCATGGTCGGCCTCGCGGCGTTTCCTACTCTTTTTTATGAGAACAATTTCATAAGAACACAAGCCTCTAAATTGGTCAAAAGCTGAAGAACATATTAAGAACAGGCTTAGGCTGAGCCACTGTAAAATGAAATTTTGAACAATAATCTATCTCAAAAACAAGTTTTTACCATCTATTGGTTTTAACTAAAAGTTTGGGGCGCTTTTTCGGTGAATTTTCAAACATTTCGGCAAATAGGGAGTTGCGGGAGGAAATAGGGTGTTAGGAAATAGGGGGTTGAGGGAGAGTGCGGAGGAGGAGGGAAGAGAGAAAGACTCTTCCGCAGTTTACCGCAACCCCCTATTTACTCGACGCCCTATTTCCTCGACACTGACGCTCTGGAACCCAGGGTAGCAATTGCACTATTTAAACCTAAATAACAAATCAAGAACAACCCAGTCTCAGATTTTCGTAACAATTAAGGACATGCAGCCTGAAAAACTGTTTTTAATCAATGGTTGAGCGCGAGGTTGAGAGCACGAGAGACAGAAGAGCCAATAGAGGCAAAATAATGCAATTCAATTACTGGCCGGTCATTGTTTTTCTAAATACAACATGGACGTTCAAGACGGTGAGAATTCCTTGTCTCAAAAGGATAAAGTTGATAGAGAAAGATGTGGGTTTTATGTAAAAAGAAAAAGGAGAAATTGTAGAATGTTACCAGCTAAAGGAAATAAATACTGTGCAGAGCATCTTTGCTTCCAAGATGACCAATTTTCTGCAAATAGAGATGATCTTCATAAAGGCAATGTTGAAATTTCAGTATGTAAAATAATTATTTAGAATTTGTAAGGTCATCACACTCTATTTTCCTCTACTTTAAAGTTTCTGTATGCAGAATCTGTGTGCACAGGAAATGTGCGAGAGATTTTTAAAGCATGAACATGCTCATTAATTCCTATTTGGTTAAGGTTGGTTGCAATGCACAAGCAGTATTTTTTAAGCTTTTTGCCCTTTTCGACCAGAGACAGGTATCCTGTCACTTTGTACCGATAATGCCGGTACACATTTGATGCTTTACCAGTAGTTGCATAGCATCCGCTAGGCCCTTAACCAAAGTTCTGCTTCCTATAATTGAGTTGCTTTTTGGAATGGAAACCGTTATAAAGTTTCCAACCTTAACTGATACAACAATCTTTGAACCTTTCACATACAGTATCTAAGGGCAAAAACGCAGAGCACCAAATTTTAATTGCTTGTTGTGGCAAAGATAGTTACTTGCTTTGTGAATTTGAAATTGTGAAATTGTGACAGTGACTTTTAATAAAGACTCAAATTAGCTGTTTGGTACAGGGCATGTGAAACGCTATTCTACACATTTTTAATAGAACATGCTTTAATTACTTTTTCTGAAAACTTCTACCCATGCGGCGAATCATAGATCTAAAGTCAGGCATGATTTTGCTTATTGACCTCCTACCACAATACAACCTGTATTTTCACCAATAAAAACTTTATTTCCTCAAAGGATTGATTGTTTTTGCTAACTAGAGTGGGTGCGGAGGTT